CGAAGACGCTACGTATGTGCTGACTTGGCGGAAGGTGATTTTTCGTGTCCGATCGAAATGTTGAGAAAGCTGGCCCGTGAAACCTACACACACTTGCTCCCCCGACCCACAACGATACCTTCCGATCCCCAGAACTTTTCTCTTACACGGGTAGTGGATGATATGTGGAGCGTTTTAGAATTGGTGAAAAGTGGATGGTGTGACGTTTCCCGACCCCATCGCATAATAGAGTATCTACAAAACAAGGAAGGACCCTCTGTTACGCCAGCGGCGTTAATTTGCTGCATAGATGATGACAGTCCGGGATACCTGTTTGAGATTATAGACGCCAAGGGGAAGAGGCTGAAAGTAACATTTGAAAAATGGGGCTTCACGTTTGGATCGGGTCTACATTTCTCCGGACTCACAAGTCTGCTGTCACATATCTGTGAGGTCGATGGAGTACACTTTGTGATTAACTGTAGATTCTTGCTCACTGCGAGCGAACTGGAGTGTCCGATGTAAGACGTGTGTGTGTGTGTGGGGGGGGTGTAAAGAGTTTGCGAACTTGTTTTTTCCTTCAAGTGTTTGTATGAGCATGCTTCTATAGAAAGATTTAGGAAGAACTGCCGCTGAAATGTGCCTAAAAATGCATTATTATTATTATTATTATTATTATTATTATTATTATCATTATTATTAAAATGTGAATTCGTGCTGTAGCTTATGCTTGCTTACATATTCTTGCTTGCTCAATAAAGATGCGAAAGCTGGCAATTTTGCTTCAGATGATGACTTTATTTGCGCACATCACACCATAGATTACAACACAACATTGTTTTACGGCTAAAAGTCATAATAGTAGCTGTACCAATCCTCAAAGGACATCTCGTCATTCATCATTAAAATTCAACTTTGTCCTTCTGATCAAAACATCATTGCTCAACAGTGTGGTATCGGCTAGAGATATCAGGTCATCTCTCGCCTCCCCTCCGTCTGCTCATTATTATTATTATTATTATTATTATTAATTTGTTAATTTTTTTATTATTATTATTATTATTATTATTATTATTATTATTATTATCATTATTATTATTATTACTATATGTGTGTGAGTATATATTTACACATTGGGGACAGTGTGACCCCTGAGACCTGGGATGCAGGGTTTTTTTACCGTGTGAGGACTACAGGACTTTTCACCGGGTCAAAAAGACCCCAGTCGGTGTGACCCCTAAGACGTGGGATGCAGGTTTTTTTTTTTTTTTACTGTGTGAGGACTACAGGACCTTTCACTGGGTCAAAAAGACCCCAGTCAGTGCGGACTGGGACAGTGTGACCCTTGAGACATGGGATGTAGGTCTTAACTTGAGGACAACAGGAGGGTTAACTTGTATCTTCACTTCTACCTCCACTGCTCTTGCTTCTCTTAATATTTTTTTTACTTCTACCACGAGCTCTACTGCTTTGACTTCTACTTCTTCTATTCTACAACTACTTCTACTGCTTACATGACTACTAATATCACTAGTACAACTACCTATTATCATACTTCTTCTAGTACTTCAACTTAAACTTATGCCGCTTCTTACTTTTCTGTGTTTTAAGGTAATTTTCTTCCTTATCCAATTTTTTTTGCAATTTCAGACTGTTTTTCTAGCCTTATTTAGCATGAATGCAATTTTAATTTATGAAGCACATTCATACTATTTGTACTTCAGCAATTTTCACTTTCATCTAACTTCTACTTTTCTTTCTTCAGCTCTTTAACCAAGTTTACATTTAAACCTTCCTCCGTTTTTTTTTTTAGCAGTTTAGCATTGCTTTTTCAGCTTTCAGCACTCAGCATTTCCACGCATTTTCTGCAAGGAAATGCAACTTTTCTAGTTTTGATAATGCCTGTCACATTAAAGTCATAAACACTGTAAATATCTATGCACACATTTAATCCTTGTGGATGCATCGCTTAACCATCACGAAAGTCTCGACAGTAACACAAGTTTGTATGCTAATATTGTCATGAAATCTTACCGTCTCCATGTCGTAGATGTTGTCCTCTCTGTTCAGGTGTTGGTTAGAGGTGTTTGTCGGAGTCCTTAGTCGTCTGGTGAGGTTTTATTTACGATGAAGCCGTCAAAATTTGTAAGTTCGTGAGCCGCTTAAGTTTTTCGTGCTGTTCTCTTCAGATTTGATCTTCAGAAATGACCGCTCTCTTTTGCTTGTAATGATTTAAAGTTTTTACATCGTTACAGGTTACCATGGAGATTTAAAATGATGTTTACTTTAGAAAAACCCTCACATTGGTAGGTTATATCTAAAAGTTTAATATTATCTTTAATTTACTTTAATCTCAATGGAATATAAATATCTCTCGAAGTAAAGTGGAGGTTATTTTTCGTGATTGAAGATAATTATTAGTATAATTATCTCTTAAATACAACGGAGTACAAGGGGCACAATTAGAAAAAAAACGTTTTTAAATCTTAAAGAATAAAGTTATTATTTGGGAGAATAAAGTCATTAATATATAAGTATTAAGTCGTAAAGTTACCTGTTGTGAAGGACAGTTATTAAAATCAGCACTGTGGAGTATTTAGATGAATTTTACTTTAGTATAGGTTTCACAAACATGGAGATACTTAATCTTTTGGTACATGAGCATTACACTGTCATGAGTATCAGAACATATATTTGAGATATATGAGAAATGCTGCTTTTGTGGAGGGGAAAATGGCTGGAAATGGCTGTATAGAGGCTAAATCCGTCAATACAGCTGCTAATAGCAATAGCATAGGGCTTTAGTTTATTATATGAGTTTATATGCCATGAGGTGTTGAGATCTCTGCATGTGTAGGTTACTGACTTACTGTAATCATCGGGTCTATCTCGTCCTTATAAAAACCTGCTCTATTACGGCGAGTGTCTTCTTCTGTAGTCAAACCGTACGATATCAAAATCTACCCGGATACAGCAATGCTGCTTTTTTATTGGCTGTTCAGTAGATATATTTTATTTGATTGGCTTGCGCGTGGCACGCAGCTTCTGAACTCTTGGAGGAACTCAGTTGATTCCTACCTGTTCCATAGTTAAAGAGGCGCAACTTGGTGGACATCACCATGTTCATTTAAATGCGTGAGAAATACAATGTGTGGCGTGTGAGCGTGTGAACGGGTGGGAATGCGTGTGTCACACGCTGAATGCGTGAGACTTGAGAGCCCTGCATTTATACACATTATTCTGACAAATTATCAGAATATGAGGACATCAGTCTATATATACATATTACTGTAAACTTCAGAATTAAACCAGAACAAAACAGTAGTCATAAATAATACATAAAGGTTTTATTTTGGTTTTTAGCTCAATAATAAATTCAATTCGATTCTTACGGAATGAACGGAGCGAAAAAAAAAAAGCTTACGGCGACTAAATCGAGAGGAAGACAGCTGCAGCGCAAAGATGGCGGACCCAAAGATGAAAAAACGCAATAACAAAACGCAATACATTTCCGCATTACCTCCGATTGGCGGACCCAAAACAATTACTTTCGGTGGATAGGCTTTCTCGTTGGCGGACTTCCGGCGCCGAAATACTTCAGGTAGTCGGATTTAGTCGCCGGATCCTTTTTTTTTTGCTCCGTTCATTCCATAAGAATCGAATTAAATTTATTATTGAGCTAAAAATCAAAATAAAACGTTTATGTATTAATTATGACTACTGTTTTGTTCTGATTTAATTCTGAAGTTTACAGTAATATGTATATATAGCCTGATGTCCTCATATTCTGATAATTTGTCAGAATAGGTAAATGTATGTAGAAGTTATCATCTTACTCAAATTCTTTTGTAAGAGTTTGCTACAAGTATGGACTGTTTTAACCTCTCGTTACACATCATATAAGAGTGTTTTCTAACTTTTCTCTCCAATAGCTTTATTACACAGCACATCAATGTTTCTTAACTTCTCTGTGACCTTGTTTCTCCACTCCTATTAGGACCTCGTTTAATGTCAACAATGTTGCCCTGACCCTCACATATTTTCTGTTGTTCATAATTATGTTTTATGAGAGTGCTTATGTTGCTGCACATATTTTTCCCCCCATCCTTTAGTAACATTGTGTAACCAGGGACATAATTTATGAAATGGTGTGCTTCCTGGTGAACCTCTTCAGGATTGCTTGACTGTGCAAAATCCAAGTATACAATAGTTGTAGAGACACAAGTCACATGATCTCTTTAAGGTTCAGAAGAGCCATATAGCAAAAACAATTGAATAGCGATATCATTACAGACTGTGTAAAGAAATGGGAAATTGTCATACAACTGCTTTGAAGATTTCTTTAATGTTTTCCAAACAAAATTGTGAACAGTAAAAAAAAATATATATATATATACAAAATTCAGAGCACTGCCGTTGGTGTGGTGGGGGGCTTAAAATACGTTGCCACAGGCCATCATCAGCTCTGCTCTGAACCGGGTGATGCCATGCTCCTTAAGTGCTTTGATCAAAAGCTGAAAAACAGTCAAATAATGTGAACAATTGAAGTTATGCAGTATGGGTTAATTGTTGTTCTTGAGCTTTCCAAATGAATAAGAACAACCTCTTAACAATATCATCAATTTTCAAAGCAAGCTATATAGTTTGATCTACTCACCTCTGGGAGCATGACATCAAAAACGAAATCAAGCCGATGAATCTCGCCTCTCTTTATTTTTTTAGAAATGGTCGTTGCCTCCTCAATGAACCGCAGGGAGCTCGAACATCTATTGAAGAAAAACACACAAAGTAAACACCTTTCAAATGTTACACCCCTGAGAGTAAAAATACTCATGATGGATGGCATTTTTACTTACGCGCTGCTCACTCCAACTTAATATCCTTATCTTGAGGTGCTGCTTTAGTCTGAGTGAGGTGGCGGGATTCCTCCAAAGGAGCTTTCCAGACAGTAGATCATCATGTAATGTCTGAAACCAAAGAGCAAGAGACAAAAATGTAATCATCTGAAAAAGAAACGGTGACTTTAACAACTGATAGTGCATTCAAAAGCAACCTTGATCTGTGTCTTAGAAAAGACAGCATGAATTCCTCCACTGTCAACAGCATCCTTGATCCTGCAGAGAAATAAGAAAAAGAGCAAGCCCTCATTTTTTCATCCTTTGAGCCTCGTATTTTTGACTGATACTATGTTTCCTTGATAAATTATGTTATACCGAGGATGCTCAATGGAGTCCTCGCACCCGCAGTCAAACGGCTCCATTTCAATCCCAGCACAATCCTGATGCAGCCAGCCCCTGCACGTCTTGCACTGGACCCATTTCATGAAGTTTACCTCAGGGTAAAGCAATCTGATCAAATGAAAGACAAACATAATATTAAACAAACACGCTGTCCAATTGATTATACCTCTGCAGCACATTTGAATGTATAAATAATTTTCCCGCATGATTCGTGCATTTAAACTATATGTAAAAGTGGTCACTTCATGGAAAATCACTGAATAGGCCCCGATAATTGCATTTATTAAATTGAGTCTGCAACACACCTCTCTCCTGTGTTGTTCGATGTCTGGTAGACACAGAATTGCATTGAATCTGCCATGCACATTCTTTGGACATCCGATGCTGTCTGCGTCATGGTTTCCTTGACAAGGCAATTTGAAAAGTAACATCAATTACCAAATACATCGAGACAATGTTGATCCATACAACTGTGTGCATTTTGAAGGATAATACTGTTTTTAGAAGGCAATTTTCTAACCTCTATGTCCTGCTGCTCGGCCTTCCTCTTTAGACTGAAGACCGGAGTATGCTTTCCAGCAATGAGCTCTTGACATTCTTTGGTCCAGTGGGCGAAGATTTTCCCACAACTGTAATGACAATATATCTTTAAGTACAATATATTGATTGTCTTCCAGTTAATTAGGTTTAGTTTACTTAAACTGTCTACCTGTTCAAAGAATTGTTCTCCAGGAGCAACAGGCACCACCATCGCCGCAAAACAGGCATGTCATGCTGAAATTGTTGTTTGTATTTCATTTTAGTGCACAATACAAAATACAATCTTGAGGATGACACTGCGTGTTGAAAAGTACTTACAACTGAGTAGTCAAACTGTGACTCCAGAACGATGTACATGGCAGACTTAAAAAAAAAAAATTATGAGACAACATGTGAGATAACTTTAAAAAAGTCCATGTTGGAAAGTTATTCTAGATACAATATTTGTGCATTACAGCTCGTTATGACCTACCATCAACATGAATATGCCACAGTCTGAGCCAAAGTCCTGGCTGGGGAAGCCCTGATTTAACAAAAGCAAACGTTAATCATCTTGTCACATACACTTTGTAGGAGCCAGATTGGGGTTTTGCAGTTTATTGTTATGTACTTTTGTGCCAGCAGATGGTGCTATTGTGCCTGTCTATTTAATGGGTGGGTTGATTAGGAGAGGTGCGCACATAAAATGATGAATAAGTAAATAAATCAAAACAACAGAAAATGTGTGTGACATGTGACATTATTCCACCTGCGGGCACGCATCAACTCAAGCAAAAAGGTGTTCGCCACAAGTAACAGCATTGGAAAGCTGTTATACACTTTTCAACTGTAATATAGAGCATGCACAAATACCTCCAAATCTCTGCCCGTTTTCTCAGTCCATTGCCCAGGACATATCTTCTGCGCAATGTTCCTGTTAATTTGAGAGCGTCACTTAGATTTCCCATGATGGAAACAATGGAATGCAGGGTTAGGGTTAGTTTGAGTGGGTCGGAGGTGAGATTGAATGAATGCGGACGGCTTGCTTCTTTTCAAACTTCCTGAGAGTTCTTCTTCTTCTGTAAATTTTGCCGTCAGAAAGTGTAGGTGCATACCGCCACCTACTGTTCTGGCATCGCAAAGCGGAAGTTCATGTTTTGGGTCCGCCAATCGGAGGTAATGCGGAAATTCATTGCGCCAATCGGAGGTAATGCGGAAATGTATTGCGTTTTGTTATTGCGTTTTTTCATCTTTGGGTCCGCCATCTTGCGCTGCATCTGGGTACTCTTGACTAAATCCGACTACCGGAAGTCCCTACCGGAAGTCCCTTCAACCAAAAAAAAATCGATCATTGGAATAAGCTTCCCACATGTTGTTTCTTTTTTTTAGCTGGACGAATTAATTCAGTTAGAAACATACAGCATGGATGTGACCAAAAAACAAACTTTTGGCGAAATATTTCGGCGCCGGAAGTCCACCTACGAGAAAGCCCGTCCGCCGGAATTATTCTGCCGGAGGTAATTCTAAGTGAGTATTGCGGAAGTTCATCTCCTGGGTCCGCCATCTTGGTCTGCAGTTGGGTCCCTCTCCTTTTTTCTGCAAAAAAAGCTTTATTAACTCTTAAATTAGAAAAAAATATGAATATATTAAATTTTACAGCAGTTTATGGGAAGGTGACATTTTTTTGTCACAAGGGAAAAATGTGTGAGTTCTTTAAGGATATTTTAAGGGTTCAAATTAGTCATCCTTCAATTTACTGACTACATTTGATCATGCATTTTTTTAATAGTATATTAGTATTTTAATTAGTATCTTAATAGTTTTTATTATTACAGTTGACAATGTTTGTTTTACATTATTCAAAATGGATTGTGCCAACCTGCTCTAAAATTGTGAGCCAGTGAACTCTATACGATGAATATCACCATCAATGATGAACATTTGTTCATACTGAATAAATTGCACATGTGGTTTTGAAGACTTGAAATGAAGACTTTGGTCTGACACTAAAATTATGAATATTAAAATCAACCAAAGTGTTTAATTAGTCCTCTTAACCCAGGGTTAATTGTGGGAGGCAGCATTGCACCACATCCCTAAAACCATAAACAGTTTTGCATGTTAGCATGCATGATTAGGATGACCACACGTTTTTTTTGACCTGGACATGTCCTCTTCTGGGGGGCTCTTCGGCCTGCCGGGGAGGGGTTTATACAATCCATCAAATGTCTGGGGTTTTGTAAGGAAGTCCATTTTTGCCAGTGAAAAAAAGAGATGAGATAAAATGTTGTCTGTCTTTTCTCTTTTTTCAAAGAAAAAAAGGATGAAAAACCTAGAACGTGTATCCATTCATTATACAACAGAGCAGCACATCGGTGCACTCTGCTGCTTTGTCTCTCTGCTTAGTTCTAAGCAAAGCCACTGACACGACGCACGCATGCACTGTCTTTGGGAATTCAGAAAATGCATTTAACTGAGATAGATGTGTGTAAGAAACACTCAACCCTACCCGAAAAACCCCTCCAAATTTTACGTGCACGCACAACTTCGCCCTGATTAGTAGTGTCCTCTTTTTGGGGATTCAGAATATGGTCACCCTATGCATGATGGCTGCATCACTGCCAGCCTTACCTTTCTAGCCATTAGCCTTATCAACACATTGTCGCTGTAAACTGCATAGGCTACGTTAGTGTGGGAGGTGAAAAAAGATGCACTCTGCTTTAGACATGCGCTGCAACCTATCTACTGACTGACCACCGGCCAGTGGTCACCATTGAAATTCAAACAAAATTATAGCGTGAGTAGGTGGGAATAGAGCAGACAGTCTAAGTCTACAGTGGCTGCATTGAACCATCTGTGGCCAAAACACACTTAAAGTCTTAGTCCTTGAGCCAAGAACCAAAATTTCACATATCGGTACCACCTGGGTGGACAAATTCTAGTTGTGATTTTTTTATTGCTATACATCCCTACAATAAGTTTTTATATGATAGACCTTGGTAACTGGTAGCTTTATTGTAGTTATCACTCATTGAAGTAATAGAGTGCAGCTGTTCAAAAATGAAAAATCGCCTTCCTTCAAAATTAGCTTTCTTTCATTTTAATCTCTCACTTAGGTGTGTTTGAACTATTGGCTAGCCATAGAGACTTTTAATAACCCCCTAAGTAGTATTTCAAGTAATTTATCAAATACAGGTGTGTATATATAGCTTCAATTAGCCAATTGTCAGGTCTAAATCAAGGTCTAAATTAAGGATATTTTTTGACTTAGAAGTAGAAGTAAAGTAAATGCAGACTAATAGCATTATAATAACACAACTTTAATATGACACTGACATATTTTAAATGCAGGAACTCAATATACAATCATCCTGGCTGGTGCAGGGCAAGAAGACATTAGCAACAAAATAAGATCTACTTATGTATACACTCTATACAATCATCTGAGAAAAACTCCAATTCCTATTCAAAGTCCTATTCTTTCCATAAGGAACAGTGACAGCAAATATGACAAGTTTTGGCTTAGTACATAATACTGTCACTGAGTCACAGTGGGTCTGTTAACATAGCTCCCTTTGGTCATCATTTATTAATCAACATCAGTAATCGACATCAGTATCTGTATCTTCTTCTACATCTGAATCTGCTGGGTGTACAAGGGGCTCTTCCTCACTGTATTTGTTGGCACAAGTTTGTAATTTGCACAGGTTTGTGCACTTCAGCCCATTGCTGAGACATGTGCAGTCTGGTGGTTTGCATGTCCTCACACACTTGCAGGATAGCAACTGCAAGACCGCATCTGGTGCTGGGGAACCACGCATCCACTGTTTTCTAGCTGCCCTTCGTCATTTATGGTCCACGCATGGTCCTTGGGGCTTGGTACAGATGGCTTGGTATGAAGAGACCGTCTCCAGATAGCAGCCTGGTAGTTGGCACGAATCAAATGCATTAATACGCAATCCTGACATGGTGGAAGCTGGCTGGACTCAACTTTAGCCAAGGTCCTGCATGAAGGTGGTGATAGTGAAAGGATTGACGTTGTCTTTGACGTTTACAAGGACATGTCAATCAAAAATTCAGAAAGACTAAACAGAGGTGCAGACATGGGGATCCAGTTCAGAAACATTGTTTCTGTCCACAATATTCAGCAGTGGAGGAAAGTTCTCTGCAGCCCTGCCAACAAAGCCAGTCTCATCAAGTTCTTGGTGGAGGAATGGAGTTTTTCTCAGATGATTGTATAGAGTGTATACATCAGTAGATCTTATTTTGTTGCTAATGTCTTCTTGCCCTGCACCAGCCAGGATCATTGTATATCGAGTTCCTGCATTTAAAATATGTCAGTGTCATATTAAAGTTGTGTTATCATAATGCTATCAGTCTGCATTTACTTTACTTCTTCGGTCTTGCAGTTACTATCCTGCAAGTGTGTGAGGACATGCAAACCACCAGACTGCACATGTCTCAGCAATGGGCTGAAGTGCACAAACCTGTGCAAATTACAAACTTGTGCCAACCAATACAGTGAGGAAGAGCCCCTTGCACACCTGGCAGACTCAGATGTAGAAGAAGATACAGATACTGATGTCGATTACTGATGTTGATTAATAAATGATGACCAAAGGGAGCTATGTTAACAGACCCACTGTGACTCAGTGACAGTATTATGAACTAAGCCAAAACTTGACAGTCATATTTGCTGTCACTGTTCCTTATGGAAAGAATAGGACTTTGAATAGGAATTGGAGTTTTTCTCAGATGATTGTATAGAGTGTATACATCAGTAGATCTTATTTTGTTGCTAATGTCTTCTTGCCCTTGCACCAGCCAGGATGATTGTATAATGAGTTCCTGCATTTAAAATATGTCAGTGTCATATTAAAGTTGTGTTATTATGATGCTATTAGTCTGCATTTACTTTACTTCTACTTCTAAGTAAAAAAATATCCTTAATTTAGACCTTGATTTAGACCTGACAATTGGCTAATTGAAGCTTATATATACACACCTGTATTAGATAAATTACTTGAAATACTACTTAGGGGGTTATTACAAGTCTCTATGGCTAGCCAATAGTTCAAACACACCTAAGTGAGAGGTTAAAATGAAAGAAAGCTAATTTTGAAGGAAGGCGATTTTTCGTTTTTGAACAGCTGCACTCTATTACTTTAATGAGTGATAACTACAATAAAGCTACCAGTTACCAAGGTCTATCATATAAAAACTTATTGTAGGGATGTATAGCAATAAAAAAATCACAACTAGAATTTGTCCACCCAGGTGGTACTGATATGTGAAATTTTGGTTCTTGGCTCAAGTGCAATGATACCTGAAAGAACTGCTTCACCATCAAATTGGGCCACTCCCACTTCATCAACTCATTTAATTAGACACAGGTTTGATTCATTTATAGAAAAGAGCAGTGTGACCCAAAAAGAGTGTGACTTTTAATGTGCTTTTGACTTTCTGTGTTGCTTTTGGAGTTAACAAAAATTCGCCTATTGAGGAAAATAACAAAATGAGAAAAAATATCAAAAGCTACCCCTATGAAAAGTCTATCATATTTTAATTTACTTATATTGACCCTAAAAACAATTTAGTATATGTAAGGTTTTGCCCACCCAAGTGGTACCGACATCTGGTCCGGCTCATGGACTATCTGCAGTGCAGGGCTAATTCACTGGCCACAAGCTGGTGTCAGTCACTCATGTTAAAATAACTGACTCGTTTTAATTACTAAGTTTAGCCATGTTGGCTAAAGGAAAAAACAGCCAACAGACTTAAGTTTAGAAACACACTGAAGTTAGCAAGTTATTAAACTACAAGAAAATGCTCTGGTGACTTACAAACACTGACAGCAGGCAGGTTCTATTTTGACAAATAACTTGCCTGTCAATGCCAACGTCAGATGTATAAGGTCGTTGCTCAAACCTGTGGCTGAATTGAAGTAGTTTGTGAATTTTTTTTAGATGTTTTGAACATTCCTAATGCAAAGTCTCTCACCTGCTGCTTTGCAGTGTTGGCTTGGGCCCTAATGAGAGGCACATAACAGTGTAAACCACAATATCAACCTTAAGCGCTAACAGTAGCTACAATCATTAAGACACAGCATCATGTCTACGTGCTGGGTCAAGCTTCAGGACTTCATCCACATCATAGGCCACATTGTCCCAGACCAGACAACGGAAAAAAAAGCTCAAGTGCTCTGTGAACTGGCTCATATTGGTTTCCTCTCATCATTAGCCACAAGTGTGATCAGTTGTGAGTTGTGCATAAAAGATGACAGCTGTGTTGGAGTTGTGTTCACATGTTGCTGCCAGTTGCTACAGTTTTGCAACACAAGTGTACTACAGTGTGATACAGTGTGATATGTGTTTAGTGATAAAATATGTTCTTAATGTTTCGCGAAAAAGAGCAGATGAGTTCTGCACACTGTCTAGGTACCTGAACAGTGTGTAAGGTTTGGCCAAACAAGTGTTTGATTCTGACAGTTTGGTTCAGAGAATTGATTTAGGGTTTTAGCAATTGTGAAAAGTTGTACTATACAAAAAGTTGTTCCAGAGTAACACTCTTAAACATCTCACTTAGTATGGTGCATTTAAAATGTGTTCAGCACATACAGTGAGTGATCAGTTTACCTTTTGGACCTGGGTGATCTTTGCCATCTTACCATGACTGACAATTTACAGGAACAGCCAGGGGGGGCAGGGTTTGAACTTTTGAAGTTAGAGATATGATAGGCCAGACCTTTTTTGCATGGAAGAGGTTGAAGGGGAGCATCATGTGTTTGATTACTGGGCAAATTATTGAAAGAAAAAGGACGATAATTGTGATTGAGATGGAATACATTTTAAATAATAAGAAGCTAATTTGGGAAAACTATTATTGTACATCTTTAAGCAATCAGAGGTCCCAGACTCACTGGCTCTCCCCTCTGTCGGCAGGCTTGACTGCAAATGAAAATAATCCCCAGTTTTTGTTAATAATTGCTGTAAATGTGTATTAAATACTGAAAATGTGTCTGATCAATGTATGTGCATAATCACTGTGTGAGTCTCATCCCTAAGTTAAATTGTCTGATTTCTGTTAATGTGTCTGATCACTGTGGTAAATGTGAGTTATCACAGTGCTTATTATTATCATCCAAAATTAGTCGATTTACAGTAAATGTAACTTACCACTGTTTATCATCACAGCTGTAATTGTGTCTGATCACTCTGCTTTTGTGTGTTTTTACTGCTGAAATTGAGAAAAAGACCAACCAAAAGATCAGGAGTCTCAGAGGTATTTGATTTAAAATGACAGTAAAGAAAGAAAAGATCCTCAGTAATTAAGCAGATTTACATGAATTTATCAAACAGTTCAGGGCTGATAAAAATAACACTTCAAGGGTGTGACACTTTAAACACTGAGGACATGTCACATGATTACATGAAATCACTTGATTGGATTTCAGATTTTCTTGGATCATTTTCATATTACATGTTTGAAGCAGCAGAATAACTATGAAGACATGCAGCTCTTTTTTTCAAGCTGTTGAGGCATCTGAATGTTCATCATGTTGCTTTGGTTTAAAGTAGAAAAGGGTTCTGGCTGAGATTTAGACATCACGTTTTTCCATTTCATCCCATTTATAAAAAGCACAGGTTCTACTTTCATCCAGTTCATGGGGCTGAGGAGGCATCTGTGTGACGGTTATCAAAGCTTTGTCCACTCAGCTATGTTATGGTCTGTAGTGTGTGTATGAGTGTGTGTATGTTGATGTGTGTGTGTGTGAGGTGACCTGCACCTCCAGTCTCTCTGTCAGTAACCAAACATCTGCTGAGTAGAGCCGCTCTGCTGAGAGGCAGCTGGCCGGCTCTGGACGGTTCTGCTTGGCTCTCGTCCCTGATTCTGAGAGTCCTGACCCTCCACTTGAGGCCCTTCTAGGATGGGGGTCACCTGGCTGCCTTCACCTGCAGATACTGGTCTCCAGGCCAGTGTTGGCGCCTCCAGTTGGTGGCTCATGGGGTTGACCAGCGTGGTGACGTTGATAAAGTGGGCGACAGACTGAGATGTGGAGACCCCGCCGGGTCCCACTGTCTCTGGGACAAGCTCGGCAGGACGATTGTGGAGCATGGCAGAGCCACTGACGGTGTCAAATGTGACAGTGAGGATGGAGTTGTCCAGGGTGAGGGACCGGTCGCTGGCGGTTAGGTGACCTACAGCAACAGGCTGCAGGCTGGTGAACTGGGCAGGGGCGTGGCTGGTGATTGGAGTGACAGTGATGTTGGTGAGACCCACTGAGCTGTTTGGTGAAGAGGCTGATGGAGTGCTGGAGTCAGCCAAGACCACAACCTGAAAAATAAACATTCATGGGTGAAAAGAACAGAAAAAAACACCCTTCGACCTACACACATTTTTTTTTATATATGATCTTCCTCAAGGTCTCTCCTGTAGACTGGAGGAGAAATAACATCAAAGCTGTAAATGGTTTGCTTCAGAGGCGGCCATTCGTAGGTACTTGCAAAAAGCCCTACTTGTGTTTGAGGGCGCACTGTTGCCTAAGTCTGAAAGTTTGATCATCAGTTTGAAAGTAGACTGCCTGTGGCTGCAGTTTCAGCTTTCTAGCATTAAATCCCTAGGAGGAGTTAATTTTTGAAATTATCTTAAAAAAGGGAGCAAAAATGTCAATACCCAAATTTTCAAACCAATATGGCTGACTTCTGGTTGGGCGCAGGTGAAAAGAGCAGAAAAATATAAATATCAGGAAATCCCTCATTTAGTCAGAGAGACTGCCTTATGTGATGTTTTGATATTGAGACATTTTCTGTAAATTCATTACTGTTATTGTATTAATGTTTTTTTTTTTTTTTTTACAAAAAATATCAATGAGTTAAAATTTTCTCATAAAGCAAAACTCATACTAGAAAATTCCCTCTGGGAAATTTTAAAAGGGCCACGGGGGGTCTACAGCTGGGGTGTTTACATTAGGATGAGATTCTTCAGAGATTTCAAATAATTAATACTGGTATCATTCTGATATTATATACATGGAGCACTTAACAACAAACATTCCTTTTTTAAGTATTTAGTTTTAAGATGGAAGAAAAAATAAATTTAAAAAAGGGAGCCAGAGCAGTAGATGTTCGAATAGCAATCAATAATTGCTCTCTTTTTTTTGGCTTGTCCATTAGTTTTCTGCAGTTTTTTGAGATTTGCATTGCAAAATAATTGTATACAATAGAGAAAAATAATGGCACACAAACCCTGATCAAACCGTATGTTTTCATGTATAATTTTTCCTAAAATTCTTCAAGCTTTAGGACTAGTAGCAAATCGAAATTTGTCTGGAAGGGGAATGAGGAAAAATCCACACTTTAACAATAGTGACTCGGTGCATTTGCCCTGTGGCCCAAATAAAGTGGAACTCCTGAGGACATTCCATTACACTTACCATGATGGTCATACACCTGTCTGTGATTGGCTGTTTAAATAATCCCTCATTTCAGTTTAAGGACACTGTCTCAGTTCAACTCCACTGTTAAACCTCAGAAGTTTTTTCCCTTCACTCATATAGCCTACCTTACAAAAGGTAGGATTGGACCGGCCGTGAGGGGGGGCAGCTACTCTGCCTCCATTAAAGGTGGGGCTGCTGGCCCACCACCCGTTTTTCTGGCATCTGCCCTCTTTCTATTTGCTGAGTGAAAGTGTGTGTTAGTTTAATATTCCTAATCATTTAACGGAACATCATAAGAGAGTAAAATTCATTTTTGAGTGTGAAAAGAGCATTTTCTAAGGGATCAAACTGCCACTTAATACTTACTTGACAATGTAAAACATGATCAAAATGAGAAAATGCCGATGTCTCACCTGAAACTCTGGGTTCACTGAGTTAAACCTGCTCCCGAGCAGGTTAGGTTCACAGAGTCTGTTACTGTGGTAACTGACCGCGAGGTTGAGTTACCTCTCTTTGTGAAACAGGTTAGAGTTACCCCTCTCTCTCTGGTTTAACTGACCCTCCTTTGTGAAACGGAAAACTCAGAGTTTCCCTGATTTCAGGGTTAACAGACTCTGAGTTTCCATTAAACCTGCTACGTGAAACGGACCCCTGAAGAGCAGCCTAGTACGGACGTTATTGTACAGACATAGAAATCGCATATCTGACACGGTCCTGACCAAAGTCTTTAAAGGAGGCCCCAAACTCACCCTTTCTGCTGGTGAGTGTGTTCGTGAACATAATGGTCCTCATTTATCATTTTAAAAGTGACGGGGGCCAAGGTGGAAATGTATAGTCTCTGTTGCTCCTCCCCCGGTCAAAGGGGTGGATGATCACCTGAGAGTTGTAAACCAACTGGGCAACACAGACACTGGTGATCACAAGAATAGATAACACCTCATTGATCCCCAGAGGAGGAACTTGTCAGTTGCAGTAAAACAGATAGAGTGAATAACTGTTTTCCAAAAAACAGTAACTAAAAATAAATGAGTTGAACTAAGTGGTATGTACAACTGATGTTATTCTCATTGCACAACTATTACTGATGAAAGTAAAAGCTCGGGATACAGGAACATGGTAACCAGTGATAACCTGGATAAGCAGCACGAATACCAGGTTAACAAGTGGGCTGTGATTGAAAAGTAGGTTAAGTATCTTCTGGAAAATGGTTTTGTCTGTGGAGCTCTTCTTTGCTCCTAGTTCCTATGTGGAACCAGACTTCACCTTTCTGATTACTGTAAGGTTCATTTCAAAACAAAAATCATACTCTTTTCCTGAGTGGTGGGTTGAGCCATGACGTTGTTGCAAAATTGAATCCTCTATATGATAACCAGTAAGTTGAACTGTTGAACAGCCTAACACTGAGATCTCAGCTTTTGTTACACCTGACCATTTCCTCAATGACCGTTATTTCTTTCACCCTGCTGCAGTCTGATGGATACACTTCTTTCTGGCATCAAACAGTGTGAGGCATAGCTCAGTGACATTGTTATTCCTCTGTGTGATCTGAGCATGTGAAAGTATTAAGACAAAATTTCAGCTGTTTAGAGGGTGCATGTTTCACTCTGAATTTGCTCAGGTATCCATTTGGTAATGCCCTTGTTATATACCTTGGAAAGCAGAAGGCATGGATAAGCGGGTGCTCTGTTAGCCAAAGTGCAAGCAATCCTGGATTTCTAGATTTTCCAGTGCCAGAAACCAGGCGGCTGCTGGGATTTTAGGCGTGTGCGGTTATTACCATAGCTTATGATAGTGTTGACACCCCTGACTAGTTTGTAAAGCCCAGCCAGTCATTTCTTGTAGACCCCTGAGTGTCAAAGCACCACTGGTGCAGGAAGATGACCGCAGCATCCACCATCTTGTGCGTTACTTTTCAAGCTTTTCCTGCACTACCATCAACAAATAAACCCTGAGCTTGTTGTCAAAACCCTTTTGTGATTCTGTCCCACATGCACACTGACAACCAATGTTACAGTGTCAGTAAGCAGACGCTTTTGTCCACACATTTAAGAGCACGAACAACACAAGCAAAAATCTAGATAGAGGAAAACAACCCAAGCAAGTGCCAAAACTGTCTGAGGTGCAATTTGACAGAGAGCTATCATGCAGTGTACGAGGCAAAGCACCATTTCCATTTGTTTGTTATTTTTTTTCAACGTATTATGCGCTGGGACTTCAATGCAAATGTGGAAAAATAAAGAGAGCCTGAGAGATCTGTTCATGTGTGCAGCCAAAACTCTTTTTGGACCTGCTGGAAGAGCAGAAATCTCCCAATAAGCATTTTTCCATCACCCTTTCACCCAGCTGTGGATGTGAATGTTTTGTGAGTTACAGTTAACCAGAGAAATTCATATTTCTTTTCTAGATGGAAATTATAAAAATGACGCTGTAAATCTAAAATTCATAAATACACCAAAGGAGTTCAAAAGATTAAAAACAAGTAACTAGAGAGCCACAAATGGAGGAACTAAGAGCTCCTCCTGCAGAATCCTTATTAATCACACCCACCCCTCTAACTGCACTCAAAATATTGAGAATACAGAGCAACACACTAGAGCTTTGTAAAGGGTCAGACAGAAAGGCGTTGACGGTATCAAATCTTTGAAAATACAACGGCCCAACATCTGGGAGCAAGACATCCCAGACAGATTTACCCACACCTCACATCAACCATGAGTCTCCAGTGAACACTCCTGATTGGACTCTGCTTTCCCCCTTTTGTTACAGATTAACAGGAAGCTCCTCACTCCTTTATTTCACCTTACAAACCATTCAACGATGACCACTAACAGTTTTGCCGACATAATGAAAAGCCTCCCCCTCTCTCCTCACTCTCTCTATACTGCGTGGGTGATCACAGACTGAAGTGACATTGCTGAATTAAATTTAAATGACTGCATGGCAGCCTGGACTCTCTGTGTCAGTGTTTGTAACACACAGGTCCACTCGATGTCTGATCACTGCACTGTCAGCATCAATAAACTCCAATAGGATGTTCATAACAGGCTGTACAGGAGAATACAGGACAGATCAAGCTTGACAGACAGACTGACTGACAAACAGACAGAAGTCGTGTTTGATTGTCACCCATCATTAACATGAAATTGTCTAAAAAGTCAGGATCATAAATGTTATTAAGGACTTCTCCAGCTCTCCCATCTCAGTGTGGGATCATCCCATGATGAAAAACATTAAAGGCCGTATCTCTTCCTCTTCCTCACTAAATAAATACAGAGGTTTAGGTCTCATCCCCCTTTTTTTTCCATGTACACCCAACTCTAATGCAAAGACTGTCTTCACGTGTCGGGATGACATGAGAAACAGGTAAAAATGCCTTTTTCCCCAGACAAACATTCATTCAGGTGTTTTACTCAAAAGATCTGTTGTTACAAACATGACCTGAAAACATTTGAGTTTAAATAGTTATGAAGTCTCTTTCTGCAGGACTTTCTTAAATAAATATTTTGTTGCTCCGAGCTGTTTTTGTTCAGAGTCCATGAGAACTAGACCCAAAAAGGAAGGCTATGAGCTTTGTTGAAAACATGTGAGCGATGAGTTATTGGGTTTAACATTTGCACAGTGATTCAGAGGAGATTTCTTAGGATGAAGATACATGCTATGTAACATGATTAAGTGTAAAAGTATTGGAATACAAGTGAATAAAACTCTTGCCATGTACCTGTTGGATACTCTGCACAGCAGAGCTGGTCTCTGTCTCTTCACCCACAATGACGGCGTTGAATTCAGTCATGGTTTCCTGCCGTGGTTGAGTGAAGTCCACATACTTGTCTGACTCTGACAGATCCGGCTCAGTCTGGATTCTCTGCTTCTTCTTTGGGTGTTGAAGAGATCGGCTGGGCCTCTCCTGAGCGAGACCCTCTTTGTCCAGAGTCAGAGAGGGCTGAGGAGGGAGAGGAAGAACAGTATGCTGACCGTGTTTCTTTCTCTCTTTCGCTAGTCTTCTGACCACTTGAAGTGCTTTTACATCACCTACGATTCATTCATTCACACCACATTCACACACTGGGACCTCTACCGCTCAGTCACAGCCACCTGAATGTCTAAATGTGTGAACGCACAGACAGTGACAGAGCAAAATCTGAAGGAAGGCTTGATTCTTTTTGGTTTTCTGAGAACTTAAGTGTCATACAGGAAGGAAGCATATCCAGACACACCATCGTTTCAGTGTTGATAGCTCTATGCAGAACTTTGCACTGTGTGTCATCCATAAAAAAAGCTGCGTATAAAAACTATCTCTATGTTCATTTATGTCTTCAGTTGGTTGTCACACTGATGATAGTACACAAAGAGGACGCTCAGATACAGTGGTACCAACTGTTTTTTTTACTTTATGACACAGAGAGCTGCTTGATGAGGAAAGGTCAACAGACTCATGGAACTGTAAAATTATCTGTCTTCACCGATCTCACCAAAGGAAATCACTCAGAGTGGGCCCATGACGTAGGATTTCAACTTGATTAATCATCCCAGAGTTATCACAAATGTGTTCAGATGAGAAAGGCCTTGGTCCTGCTGTGAGACCATCACACTTTTACTCCTTGGCTTTTGATGCATTGTAGTGTTATTTTGTTTTTTATCATCTTAGCACTTGCCGTGAGCCTGCTTATTTATATACTTATTTATTCTTTTGCATTAATGTATTTCTGCTCGCTTTATCTTGTTCTTTGATTGTTTTATTTGTTTTTATGTGTCATTGTACAGCACTTTGGCTACCTTGTGCTTTAGAAATAAAGTTGATTGATTGATTGATTGATCATGGACAGGGACCAGTCTGCCATCACCAGGTCGTCATATTTTACAGACTCAGAGCTAACTGTAATCGTAAGCTTCCTTGTGCCCTCTGGACCAAAGTCAGCAGATTTTGTGCCCACCAAACCAGAGCAAGTGAGCCAGAAGGACACAAAGCCTGCCTCCTGTGCTGTCTGCATACATTTAAATGAGCCTTTATACAAATATTTGGAGCATCTCTCTGCAGATTAATCCCTACACAATATTTATCCAGTAAAATCACCCTTCAGGGAAACAGTTTGTGTCTCATATACGAGTTGATAACCTGTTGATGAGACTTTTCTTCATCTAGATGACCAACTTCTATGACACAGTTTTGAGTCTATATAGTGACTACTCTTAAATCAAAGCACTCATATGTTCCTATCTAATTTGTGATTTTTTTCTTCTTTTTTTGAACTGTAGCTCTACTACACTCTGACGAAGCTACATCTTAATCTTCATTTTGTTTATTATTACAACAGGAATTTTTGATTGCTTGTTTTGCTTGATGTCCAGTTCACTCTTAGCCAGGATGTTGACTTTTATGTTTTATCAACTCAGGCCTGTTACTATAATGGTAATCAGCCATCACAGTAACAGATGCTCTGGTCTTTCTCACACACCCGTCCTATGATACATAGATGTGCAAGCATTTCAAATAAAAACAGAGACTACAGTCCTTGTTGCAGCGGTCTCTGTCCCACTCCTGTCTACAACTCTTTGCTGCATTTCTACCCCCACTATCTTCTCACCATCTCCCTGTTCCTCTTCAGTTCTAATGTCAATCTCAATTGGTGGAAAAAAAAGGCTCAAAACGAAACTTTAAAACAGTGTTACTAGGACTGTTATAAGTCACAGTGTCATTGCTGGTTGGCCTGAGAGGAGTGTCATCTAACCTGCACAATGCTGATGGATGAATCGTTGATTGTTGAAGGTTCCTGCAGATCATCAAACTCGTCAATCCGTGCAGACGCCACCTGCAGGAGGAAAAATTCAGACTTAGATAGAAAGCAGTTGCTAGGATCAGGAGAAGCTTTGAAAGGTTTATGGATTTGGGTTGTTTTCAAACGTGGCTGTTCTTACCTCGGGGTGTTTGCGTCTCAGGTGTCGGTTCATGGAAGCTCTTGTGGACACTTTGGTACCACACAGATGACAGGACTGAGCCTCCACCTTCTCATGGGTCAGATGGACGTGCTTCTGCAGCATGTACTCTGTCAGGTATTTTTTATCACATGTAGCACACGTCCATGTCTTCCCCACTGCAATGAGAGAGGAAGAGGAGGGAATTGACCTTTTTCATTCATCTGCCATCATCAAGTTACTGTTAGCACTGATAAGTCAATGTGGAGTGTCCGTGTGAGGCACTGTCAGTGTGCGTAATGATCAGTGTGGGGAGGTGCCAGTAACTGTTAAGGTCGGTGTGAAGACTGTCAGTGTCTGTATCACTCAGTGGGAGGAGCTTGTCAGTGTCTGCAATTTTCACTGTTTGGGACTTTTTGTTTAAAACAGGATCTGACTTAAAAATACTTGCCTGTGTGGATGAGTTTGTGTGTTTCCAGAGTTGTCCTCTCACTGAAAGTCTTCCCACATAGTTCACACATGAAGTCTTTGATACCTGCAGGCACACAGTTAGGGGAGCAACAGGAAAAAGAGGATTATGATGAACTCATAGTTCTACAAATGCACTCCTGTCACCTCAGCTCTGACACACCCCACATGTAAGACTTATATTTGGTCTCTAGAGAGGAGACAGGGAAATTCAGCCCTGGGCTATAAATTCTTGAATAATTGTTCCCGTCCTTTGACACAGACAGGAGATATGAACTATAAAGGGTCTAATGCATAGGTTTGATGGCCTGGACATGATAACTTTCTGTCTGTATACAATATTTGCAATAAAATGGTCTTCATCTCATTCTCTTAGGTGGTCCACAAGTCAAGAATTTGACCTAATAGAGTTAATCCAGTTTTTTCATCAATCAAAAGCTCCTTCATTCAATATATAGATATTTTTGTATAATGCACGGCATTTCCTGAAAAAGTCCTGGTAATATTGGAAATGCTTATCTCAGATGTCTTTACCCATAAGAGTCTTTTGAATATTAGAGTGGTGTGATGTTTTATCCTTAAAGCAGAGTCAGTATATTTGACAACAACACATTCAAATTCAGGATTTCTATTCATGTGCTTTTGAGAGATCTTCTTGTATTATGAACATAATTGCATGACTGCCTGGGTATACCTCAATTATGATCAAGTGTGAGGTGAAGATGATACAGAGAATGGTTACCTATGATCTTTGTGTTGTGATTCACCTATGGATCTGCCTGCCTTTAACAGTGTATTATACTAGTGCTATGGCTCTGTTGGTTAACAGCTGTGTGCCCAAGTGTGTGTGGTAAAGCCAGTGAGAGAGAAAGAGAGAGAGGATGGAGGTAAGGTACACGCAGTGCTGTGTGTACGGTTGTTGATGTTGGGGCTGCTGGAGTGTGGGAGCTCAGCAGAGAGAGAATTATGGGTAGATATTATCACACGAGTGTCAGTGTACAGACTGTCAGAATGATAATCAGGTCCCAGTGTATATCAAACAGTAAATGCTAATAAACTACCAGAAAGCTGAGTCAGGATCTGAGCAGTGTTTTCCAAACCATGAATTTTGAGAGATGGCCTTCCTCCACTCAAAAGACACGCACCTCTTGTTTCATTTATGGAATATATATGTGTGTGTGTGTGTGTGTGTGTGTGTGTGGGTGTGTGTGTGTGTGCAAGTGCACTTGTTTTAGTAAACCAGCATAGACTTTGATGGGTTTTACTGCACTGGGCTGTGTCTACTCTGCTCACACATCACAACCAAGGACAGGACTCATTCATGAGTCTCACACACAGCTAAGGCTTGACATCCATTTCATCAAGAGTGTCAGCCATTCAGAGCTTTCAGACTGCCACAGGGTCAATTTAGAAAATAGAAGATCTGCTCTGCCAGTTTTTACAGCCAGACAGACAGTTTATCGACTCAGTATACCCGTGACTACCACTGTTAAAAAAAATTGAAATATGCTTACTCTCTCTGGGTGCTTTTCACAATAAAAGTCCTTGGTATGAAGACCTTACACTGGATTCATGAACACAGTGGAGAACACAGATTTGACTGTCAGCATGTGTTTGGGTTCAAGGATGTCAGTCAACTGTAAGCTGACAGAACACTCCAGCCTACATCCCTGCTTATAAGGAAGTGTTGACGTGCCTATAAACAGAGACAGTTTTCAGGTGCAGTGAGCTTATTTTGGCTGAACTGGATGTAAGAAGAAAAACACTTGCCTTCAGAACAGTGATCCAGCACTTTTTAACAGTCTGGGCCTCTGCATGGCCTTCATTATAGACCTGCTCATGTGGTGTGTAGGGGGGTCAGGGGAGTCAAAAGTCCCAGTTTTAGTGGATGCCCCCTTTGTCTTACTGATAGGTTGGACCTCTACATGAAAGGAGGACATATCTGACTAACTAAACCTAGTGATTCGACATATTTTAAACTTAATAAGAGCTTCAGAGTCCAATAACAGAGAAAAATCAACCTTTAAAAAGACTGTGAGGAGTAGTCTGAATAGATGATAACTGGTTAACTGGGAGAAAATCCACCTTAAAGATGATGCAGAGTATGCATGGCTATATTTTTATGATGGTCTGTTGAGATTATAGATAAACATGTTCCCTTCAAAAAACAGAGTTAAAGGTCACATGGTTTAGTGAAGCAAGAGGTTCTAGACTGGACTCTGATTGGCTGTATTTCAGAGGGCTCTCACATGAGCTCACCAGGACTTTGCCCTGAAATGATAGGGATAGTAGGAAATATTCTGGGTGGATAACTTTGCACATGTCTGAAAAATCTGGCCAAGGTCATTTGACGTGTGGATAGTGGACGTGTTCTGCTGCCAGTGCTGCTTTTCCCCTCTCCTTCGTTGTCACAGGTTGTCCTCACCTGTGTGTCTCTTGTAGTGTTTCAGCATGTTGACCTTCTGAGCAAACTTGCGGTTACACTCCTTACACTCGTACTCTTTGATGCCCTTGTGAAGCTTCATGTGATGCCTCAGAGCATGCTTGGTCTTCATGCCTACACAGGATAAAAAAATATCTCTTCAACAGGGCGACAATCCGGACATTGACTGTTTACAGTGGAGTTTTACAGGGTGGGTGGTGGAGATAAAGTACTGCAAGGTCCTCACCTTTCCCACACTCAGCGCACAGGAAGTCTCTGATGTCATCATGAACCCTCAGGTGCTCCTTCAGCATGTCCTTTCTTGCGAATGATTTGTTACATTTATCACAGCTGTGGCTTTTGACTCCTGAACAATCACACAAGGACACAGACACATACAGACACAACATTACTGTGGAGAATAGAGCAGCTGACCTGGAGCCCTTTCACGGGGCTATATAGGGTTTAAACAAAGGCGAGCATTTTAAAGGGAACCTAGAGGCGGAGCTTTACCTGTGTGGATGATCTTGTGCCTTTCCAGGTTACCGATGCTGTTGAAGATCCGGCCGCAGATCTCACATGGATGGATGTACCTTTTAAACAGATGGGAAATGATTAGAGTGACTACTTCATGTTGAGATAACTCTTTCTGTTTTGAATTATTAGACTATTATCCTCTAGCTTCAGTATCACAGTATCAGAGGTCTCAGTCATCCTCAACAGAGACCTTTTCAAAACCATTTCAATTCATCTCCAAGTTAGTCATCAATCATTCTCAAGCATTTCAACCATTATTCTATGATGCACAAAATTTATATGAAACAGAGGCCAGTAATGCTCAAAGCCTACAGTTCATGTTCCGGCTCTGTCTGAAGGCTCACATGCTTGCCCACTGAAAGTTTGTTGAAGCATCACACAGTCAAGAGCAGCTGAATCAGTATAGAGGAAACAACATGCTCACAACAGGTTGTTTTACCTGTTAGTGTTCTATTTCCTGCTCATTTGTATTTTATTCTGTGACTGTTGAGCTTCTACTGTATGTGAACAAGCAACATGGTTTTAAAGTTTGGATTTTTGCAGGTTTACTTGTATTTAATGAAATAAACTATGTCCCACTTTGTTGTGCTGTTAACTTCAGACAAAGTTAGCAGCTAAAAGTCCTGTTGTGGTCCACACGGATCAGGGATTGACCATCGAGTTGCTCTGTGTTACTGATAAATCCATAACCAGAAAGTTTTTCTCATCTACATGAATTGATAAACAGTCGGGAGTCCACATATGTTGTTTCATTTTGAAATTTACTGGATGACATGCCCCTCTCCCTGCTTGATATCCTGTCTAGGACGATCTATTCTGTGCAGGTTAAAGCGTGCTCCATTGAAAATAGACTTGGTGCAGATTTCTTTACATATGAGATGCTTCTTGGGCAGAGCAGAGATGAACCACAGCCGTTCCTGTGTAACACTGAGCAGTGACTAGAATGGGACGTATATGCTGTGTTGAGTGGGACTCTGATGGAACATGTTGTACACACATCCTGATGGTTTATGCTCTATACTTTGATTTTTAAATGCCATCATTTAGTATAGCAAAAACCTGCTATCATTTAGGAATCACTAAATCATAACAGGTTTGATGGCTGAGGACATTAGGAAAACATTCATATAAGCGTGCATGAGAGTTTAAGGCAAAGGGCTCAGAACTCACTTTTTACCATCTTCCCAACATTGCTGGACAGCAGCCCTACTGACAAAGTTGCCTCGGATGTCTGATGACATTGCTTCATTTTTAATCAGCCTCATGAGTGCAGGCATCATCACAGATGCTGATTTCTAAATGTCATTCATCAGCCTGATTAACTGCCTAACAGAGTTATCAGTCTACCTTTACCTACATAAGACATGTCACACAAAGAGCAGATCGAAACCCCACTTTGTCGATTATGTCATGTTTTCTCACTGGAATAGGATTAAAAGTCAGTCTAGGATTAAACATTGTTCATAGCTTTGACACAGCCCATCTTTTAGCACACTTAATAAAATAACATCTGTAATAGTTCTTCAACCAGTTAGTATGACAGCAGATGGCATCCATCCTTGTCCATGATCTGAGTAAAAGCTTGAATATACAAAAAAGAGCAGGATATAAAAGGAGGGCTGAGTTATGTAGTCTTACTTCTGCACTGCAGGGTCGGGCAGCTGCTCTCTGTGGATGACCAGGTGAGCATTGTAGGTGGCCTTCAGAGCGAAGCGTCTGTTACAGATCCCACAGCCGTAGCCTCTCTCCTTGTGCTGCTCCATGATGTGCTTCAGGTACTCTCTGCCCTTTGCAAATGACAGCTAGGAAGAAGGAGTCCACCAATTTAGGACAGTGAAACTTGACCACAGGATTTAGTTTAGGCATGAAAAGCTGGTGGGAGTTTATCCTGTGCTCAACAGAATGAGGTCAAAGAAAAACACTTGAATCCTAGTCCCCATCTGAACAGGAACTGACCTCCAACCTGTCTGTTTGGTTGATATTAACATTACTGAAGTAGAATCTCAAGTGTTTGAGTAGAAGCATGCAGGTCTGTCTGGAAAAACCTCACCTGACATTTCTTGCAGTTGTACTTGTGGTGCTCTGGGTCCTCTTCCTCTTCATCATCATCGGTTTCATCGCTGTCATCTGCTGAAATGCCGATCTTCCTGATGAAGCCTTCTCTCTCCTGCTCATCCATTAAAGCTATGTCCTAAAAAGAAAACAGCCATTCAAGACTGAACAATTGAGGGTAGTCTAACCTGGTTTCCCAAAGCCCGATCTCTACTTTTCCTGTTTGATTCTGTGACAAGTGCTGACCTGACATAGAGACAACGGATTAAAAACCACACAGAATAAAGATGCTCTATGTAAATAAGGAAAAAAAAACAAATGAATGTCATTGTGTCATGAGTTGTGTTAAAATTCTACCAATGAAATTAAAAAACTGTCCCATTCAAAAACTGCTACTCTGATCAGCTGTTCATTGACCAATCAGAAGAGTTTCAAAGTTTAACTTAAACATCAGAACAGGATAGGCTGGCTTGGTGATTAGCAGACATTTCCTGACCTGGTATTGTGGTTATCAGGCAGCAAAAACAAACTGAGGGTCTGTAGACTGGGCTTCACTGCCACTGTAGAGTCCCAGCATCTGCTCTGTCATAAAGCTAGAGCAAACTGCCATTGGACCTGCCAACTTTAATCACATTAGATTAATTTAACATAGTCCATAGTTACTTATATCCTAATCCTGTAAACTTAATCCATATTGTTTCATCTTTACTTGCTCTGCAACCACAACTCTGTATGAGCTGTTGTTGGTGCTGTTGTTTTAAAGCTGCTGCTGCTGTCCCCTGTCTCTCTTTCTCTCTTTCTCTCTCTCTCACACCCTCGTTCTCTTTTCTCTCACCCTCTCTCCCTTGCTCATTCTCTCCCTCCTTCCTTCTCCCTTGTCCTCTTTCTCTCCCCCTGCCCTCTCTCCTACTCCTCTCTCTCTCTCCCTCCTTAGCTCTTTGTGTTTCTCCTTAACCCAGCAGCAGCTTGGTGGCTGTCTAGCATGAGTCTGGTCCTTCCCAAGGTTTCTGCCTGTTTAAAGTAAGTTTTTCCTTGCCACTGCCGCTCATGTTTGATGAGATGGGTCAAATCTGTCCCATCTTAAGGTTTGGTCTTGATAATTCATCAAACAATGAGCGAGGTCTAGACTTGCTCTTTTTCTTTGGAAAGCGTCTTGGGATAACGACTGTTGTGAACTGACGCTTTATCAATAAAATTTGATTTGATTTGATCTGATCTGTCTCACCTTGAAGTGAACATGGATGTGATCTCTGAGGACGTCCACGCGGAAGAATTTTCGAGCACAGATCTCACAGGTATACTTTTTGTCACCGTGAGTCAACAGGTGCTTATTCATGTTACTCCTGCAGGAGAAGACCTGTGTAGGCACACACACAAACACACACACACTGAACATCCACAGTGCATCCTCTATCCCCTGGATATGCAGCGAGCAGTTGAACCTGCTGCCACACTGTGTGGGTGCTGAGTGCCCACCTTCCCACAGATGGGGCAGGGTGATGGTTCCTTCCTGTACTTGGTTCCTTCTTCTCCGTTAGCCTCCTGCTCCTCTCTCTTCATGTGCTTTGATCCTGCAGAGACACAGCATGGTTCTATAGTTCAGCAAAGAGCTTTCAGTCTGATTAAAGAACTCTAATATGCAGCATCATGTGAGGTTCTGCTGCAAGTAAGAAACACAAAGACACACCAAATGTCCAGTGAAGACTTTACAGAAAATGAAGAATCTCAAACACCAAGACAAACAAAGCCTTGCTGTGTGCTCCTATGAGACTTACCTACTCCGTGCCTCCTGTGGTGCTCTTGCATCACATCTTTACGATAGAACATCTTGTTGCAGATTTCACAGGAATAGAGCTTCTCTCCATGCTTCTTTTTGTGCTTGGACAGGTTGCTGTTTGTGGAGAAGAACCGCGAGCAGATGTCGCACTGGAAGGTCTTGTCATCTAAAAGGAAAAGGGGGATTTTATGTCTGTCAAGGGGCAGCTTCAAACCGACACACTTGTTATGGGTCAGAGATTGATTGGACCAATCCATGAAGAGACAAGCATGGATGCAGCTGTAGCAGCACTTAAATCAGAGCTGGAGACATCTGCTCTCTTTACAGGGTGTATGGTCAATGCTTGTTTGGCATTGTTTTATGTGATTTGGATCTCTGTAACCATTTGGTTATTTCATTGACTGTCTTTGTTTGGACAGACATGTAGCTGAAGCTAACAGCTAACATAAAGAGCTGGTGCCTATCCAGCAGCATATGGTTAACTCCTTATCAGCTGTGCATGCCTACCACCTCTTACAGTCTGTGTAGGGTGAAGCCACGATGGATGTGAACTCTATTCCATCCTATGAATGTGTTTAACAGTCTACCTAGTGTGTCTAATGAGAATTAATGTGCGTACATTTCAACATAGAGGCTTTTAAAGAAGAAAGGAAAGAACTTAAAAAAATACAAAGAAAACACATCCTTACCTGTGCGGCAGTTGTGGAACTTTAAGGCATTTTCCAGGCGGAAGGATTTGTCACATGTGTTGCACTTATATTTGTACTCCATGTCAGGCTGCATGGGCACAGAAATGAAAAACAACACACTAGTTTAGAGGGTAAAAGTAGGGGATGGTAAAAGTGAGGAGTGTTACTCACCATGTTCTTGCTGTGCTTGTAAGAGATGTGCTGCTTTAGACTCTCCTTGCGGCTGAACAGCTTGTCACATTCGTCACATTTGAAGAGCTTATCACCTGTGAGTTCGATACAGGGAAAGATTATAAAATACATGTTTCACATTTGATGCTCACTGCTGATTTAACCCTAGGGCCCATTTTGACATATTTTAGGAACTACATGACCAAAAAAGTAAAAAAAAGTTTCCTCAACAAGAGCTAGACTGCAATGGTCCCAATGTTCCCTTTTAGAGCAGGTCTAGTCAACTAGAGGCCCTCAGGCCAGACATGGCCCATACAAAACTTTATATGTCCCACAGGAGGCAGCTTGAATATTAGCCTGATGTATGACAAAGATGACACCTATTACCTAAACCACCATGAGACATCTTCTTAACTGATCGAATAATGCAGTAAGTAGGTAAAATAGATAATTTGATTGGCTGCAGAGCCAGAACCCTGCCCCCATGTGCAATTTGCTGACAGCGTCACTTCACATTGACCTCAGCTCAGCCCTGGCTGCACGACATTTACAACTAAAACTGCAAAGTTACAATGTTTGTAACTAGATGTATGCGTAGATTCAAACGTATATGTCATACACTTAGAAAATAGATGTAGAGGGTGGGGCAAAACATGATTCCGTCCCCTACATCTATTTTCTAAGTATATGACGTAAAGCCTCTGGAGAGGGTGGTCTGACTGGTCTAAAAGAGCAATTAAACATCTGGGAGAGGTAAACATAATGTCCTAATAATTTATGCAGGTCAAATTATTAAACAGTAAACAAGAACACCAAAGAAGAGCTCAGTAGTTGGTTAGCTTCTCATCTGAGTTCAAGTGCAGGGATTAATATTATCTAAACGTCTCTATCACCTTGGCTGCTGTATCTTTTCATGTCATTACCATTTTAAGAGCCAACTGGTCAATTTCATAAACTTTATATGCAAATCTCAATATTTGTCTCTCCCTAATTTAAAGGACTATTATCATGCATCCCAGTTGAAAATCTCTAATTATTTGATGGAATGATGGATATGAAGCCGAATGGAAGGAGTTGAAAAGTGAATACAAGAGCACCCTGGTTCAAGCAGTGATAGGTGATGCCAAATTACTAAAGATGTTTGAGGACCATCGGAATCCCTTTGTCTCTTTCTCACTACATATCTGATTGGAAGTCAAAAAAACAATTAAACTGTATGGATTTAAGATTTAAATATTAGATGTATATGTGAATTACTAAAATAATTGCCAGGAACATTTTGCAAAGCTCTCAAACACCAAAACAATACACAACCTTGAAAAGTCTGACTTCTTTTTTAGATAATTCAGGGGCCAAAGCCACCACCAGAGGGGGCTGCAGCCCTCGCTGCTCCCTACCTTCCTCACTTCCACCTGGGAACTGTCTGGCGTTTGAGGAAAACAATTGTGGTGTAAAGACAGAGCTTGGCCAATATAAGGCGGCTTCAGTAGTTTGAATGTTTTCAGTTATCCAGTGTTGAAAATTGATCTTACTAGAAAGAAATTATGAGCTTGTTGGGACCCTCTCTGTTAGGTAAATTTTGAGCCTTTTTGTAGCAATAAAGATGGTATGAGAATTTACTTATCGAACACGACATGCAATAATAATAATAATAATAATAATAATAATAATGCATCAGATTTCATATAGCACTTTATCAGAGACCCTCAAAGCGCTTTACATTGGATAGATACATCATTCATTCACTCACACAGTCACACTTTGGTGGTGGTAAACTACCTACGTAGTCACAGCTGCCCTGGGGTAGACTGACGGAAACGTGGCTGCCATTTTGCGCCTACGGCAATGGGTCTTATTCATTAAATGGGAGCAGAAAAAAATTTACAGGCAAACCTTCATTCATCAGTTTTAGTAGTCCAGGTTTGTTTGTTTATAGCTACTAAAAAATTCCGTTTGAGTTGGTGTGAGAATTATCACATTCTATATTTTAATTCTTATCACTGTGATCTGGTATGTTTACAATAGGCAGAAACCTTTATAAATATCATTTAAACATGACCATAACAATCAATATCTAACACATTTAACAAAAGTGTTTGGCAATAAGCAGATTTGAACTACAGGTAGAATAAAAATCTGAAAGAGGTTGTTTTATATGTGTGTTTTACACGTGTTCAGTGATGATCAAATATTGATTACTCAGTGCTGGGGCTCTGTGGCCTGGTGAGGCAGACAACATCACATGGCAGCTCAGGTGGAACTGGTTTGGAGGACGGAGCAGGGAGAGAATATAACGTGTTTACATACTTGCACGTTTAAGGAGCCCTCATGTGTCAGATCAATAAAAAAAGCTATGCGCTGATTCAAGCATGTGCATTCGTAATCCACAAATCCATACTCGTGGAATAATTTACGAAGGCCTAATTATTTTATGATGGTGTAAAGTGCTAGTGTGCACACTGTCACTATACACCATCATTTGGCGTTCATGAACTTACATGTTCACGATCAAATCAGGAGTTTCCACAGCATTCATGAATCCAGAGAAGTTTTTAAGTGCCATATAAAATCTTTAACTACACATAAATTTACAAACATTTCATGAATGAGAGCCATTGTGTGAGTCTCAGAAAGAGACAGTGAATCTAGGTGAATCAGTGGTTCACGTACCATGAGATCGGATGTGTCTGTTGAGGTTGCTGCTGTTCTGGAAGACCTTGCTGCAGAGCGAGCAGCGGTACACTCTCTTGTGCTCTCTGACTTTGTGTCTCTTCATAATGGCTGTGTTGTCTGGAGCGCTCAGCAGTTTGCTGCTGCTCTCCGATGCTGTTGGCTCTGAGCTCTGCACTGGAGGCTTCACATCAGCACCTGTCAGAAATACATCAAAAAGAGATAGTTGCAACACCAAGTTTAGCAATGAGGATCTAAGGACTGATAGTGGTTTTCTTTGTGCTTAGACCAGTGAGCATTTCATAAAGAACAGTTAAAGCATTTACTTCTTTGGACCCTTTAAAACAGACTACAGAGAAAATACCTGAGCCAAAATGATGAACTCAATGAGACGCAAAATTCACCCTAACATAAACACAATGGCCCTCATTTATCAAGCTTGTGTACGGCAGAAAACTTGCGTACACCTTGCGTACAAAACTTTTGACGTGAGGATCGGCATTTATCAATCTGCACGTGAGTGTACGCTACGACCAAATCTCACAACAGGTCTGACATTGTGTACACAAGTTTGAGGCAGTGTGAATCTGCAGTGCAGCGAATGTCTGTCTCAAAATAATTGATAAACAAACCTCAAACATGTCATTAAGCACAATCAGCCAGATTTCATTGAAGATTAAGACGTAAATCAAATTTAATAAAATAAATTTGTTATGTCCTTAGTGAATATTCCTATTTGATAACTCTGCCCAGAAACACTGCCACAGAGCAGGAGCGCTGTTTTAACATTGTGTGCACACGCGCCACTGTGGAGCGCTGCGTTTGACTCCTTACAGATTCCTGGGTGTCCACCTCAACAATAAACTGGAATGGTCAACAAACACAGACATTCTGTACAAGAAGGGCCAAAGTCGTCTCCACCTGCTGAGGAGACTGAGGTCTTTTGGAGTGTGCAGGACTCTGCTCAGGACTTTCTATGACTCTGTGGTAGCATCTGCACTTTTCTATGCAGTGGTCTGCTGGGGGGCAGGGGGCACCGAGAGGGACAGGAAGAGACTGAATAGACTGGTCAGGAGGGCCAGTTCTGTCCTGGACTGTTCTTTGGACTCCCTGGAGGAGGTGGGTGAGAGGAGGATGTTAGCAAAGCTTGTATCCATCATGGACAATCCCTCTCACCCACTGCACCAGACTGTGGGGGCCTTAAGCAGCTCCTTCAGCAGCAGACTGAGACTCCCACCTTGCAGGATGGAGCGCTACCGCAGGTCATTCCTCCCCTCTGCAATAAGACTTTACAACAAACTGTAATAATAACTGGATTTACACCACCACTTTTTTCTGGCATTTAAATTGTGTATATTGTGTATATTGTAGAAAGTTTTTTTTTTTTTCTTCTCCCTTTTTCCCTTTTCTAATTTTTTTCTTAATTATTACATTTATTAAGTTCTTAATATTAGGATCTTTATTTTTATAACTGCATTTTGCACTACCTTTGTCTGTGATGCTGCTGTGACAAAAAAATTTCCCCCATGGGGGATCAATAAAGGAATATTCTATTCTATTCTATTCTCTATTCTATCAAACTATCTTGGCCCAGCAGCGGGGACGTTGTTGTACCCTCCTGAAAAGATGTGGGACATCATTTGGGCCAGTTCAGTTTAGCACAATGTTGCACTGGCGAATGGAGTGCCGTTGGCTGTGCCAGTGCAACGTGAGGACCCGATGCCCGGAGAACAATAACGAGGAGAGACTCACAAAGGTGCTGTAAAGAGGAGACAGGACCTTATCCATGGATTCTGATGTACAATATAAGTTTAGAAAGTGCTCTTGCTATTTAATTAGTGATAAAAATCCAATAGAAATCCATAAAAATGTGCCTCAGGGGCAGCAACACACCGTTTTGTGACAATAATAATCATTTTTGTTCAGCCTCTGTCAGACTCTCCAGTCTGCTCTACATTACAAAGACGCAACAAATTAAAACTAAATACTTTCAATAATAGGAGCAATGTACCCTATGTCATGGCAATAAACAAATATGAGGCATGTATGAGATATTAATTTATCATCATGAGCAACTTACTGACTAATGATTTATTCAGACTTCAGCCACTGTCCACTATTGTGCAACAGCGCTGTTCACCACCACCATAATCCTGCTCCAGACAGGAGTTTTCTGGACTGCTTAAATTCCAGTTTTGATGCTTCCAAAAGAGAAAATCCACGCGAGTTTCCACCACAGATGTGAGGATATCCACTTTCAGCTCAGAAAAGTTTCGCATCTTTGTAATATTTCTCCTCTTTCATGTTTGACCTCGGTGGGCGGGGCTTCTGAACCATGAATATTTAGGGGCGTGACATGTAAATGATGATCAATTTCAGACGCCGCATTTACCAAGACCCGATCATACGTACGCTGGGATTGGTCAGATATGAACCCTTTCATAAATCTCACGTGTGTCCTATCGTAGGATGAATCCTGCGCTCAGATCTGCACTCAGATCTGCGCAAGATTGATAAATGAGGGCCTTTGAATTTACTTATGACTCCTTCTATTGATCACCTTCATGATCTTTTCCTTTTTTTTTGTTTATACTCATTGGTTCTGGGGAGCTATCATAGTTGTCTTATTTTTGCTCTTATCACAAGTGGCACAAGAAAAAGCAACTTCTTTTTCAGTCCACAAAACGTTAATTGAAATTAAGCATCAACACTGTCATAATACATCCTCAATAAAAAAACAACACAGATTAATACAGAGCATAAAAACTGTCCATACATTCTCCAAAAAAACTGATGTCAACTCAAAAAATCAAAACTTAAAAATGCATCCTCTGTAAAAACCTCAATGAACACAAATAAACCTCCAACCCTGTTTAACCTTGGACACACCTTCATCCAGCTCACTGGGGTCAGAGCAGACTAGGCTGGGTTTGGTGCATCTTTTCTTGACTCCTTCTAGTTTTCTCTTATCAGAAAATTCAGAGAAAATTGAGGAGAGAGTTGCTGTTGAAGTGTATTATGATATCATATAAATTAAACAGCATGGTCAAACACACCGTAACACCGAGTTAGACACCCCCGAGATAGATGAATGTTGCCGACCGCTTGCTTCTGTAGTTATACCAACTTTAGTAATGACCGCACAATAGCAATACACAGTTGCAAACCTCAACCAAAAAGCCTCTCTATAGCCACAAATAATGCTCAGAACAGCACCTAACTTCATCAACAGTACATATAGAGTCCCAGTCAAGGTATTAGCCATCAAACCTTCTCCATTGCCTTTTATACTGATAGATGAAGCTGTATTTGTAGTTATTTCGCAGATTACTGTCTGCAGATCCTGCCTCAACCTGTTCGGAGTATGTGTTACTTACTCTTAACTAACTTCACTTAAAGATTATAGACTCTGGAAATATGTGCGTTTTTCAATACACAAAATTTAGGAGACATAAAGAGTAAAATAATCATGCAATAACAATCCTCTCTTTATCACCCAACAGAGCATGATACATGGTGTTTATGAAATCTTTTCCAGGCTCTGGTGAGGACAAGGAGTTTTCAGCCAACTTTGTTCCACCTCCTGAAGACTACGATTCACCTCTGTGGAGTAAAATGCAAGTTGTCTTCAAGTTGTTTAGCTGATATCCACCACCAGTGCTTCCTCTTAGCTGAGCATCTCCACCACCCTACACACACTCTAGACTGGAGCTAGACTGACACAGACCAACAGTAGTCTTCTTTGTGCAGATGAAACAGAGGAGAGAGCTTTTGAGGCGGACTGGGTGAAGCCATTTGCAGCTTTTCTATGAGAACCAGCACGGGGAAATGGAAGTGGGCTGTAATAAAGTAATGAGTGGGCTGTTCCACAGACTGCGGTGCATACAGCTCTTCAGAAGACACAAAAGATAGAATAAGAGCACCTGCTGTCCATGAGCTTAATGGTACCGACCAATCACACACCCATACCCACAAATCCCAGGCAGAGATCACTCAACTACTCATCAACTTTATATGTTTGTGACTTCCTGTTCTTCCTTCTTACCTTTACTTCTAACTGAAGCAGATGCAACAGCTCCAGTCTTGTGTCCTTTCGCTCTCCTCCCCCGGGTTGGTCCTCTCCTAGGGCCTGGTGGAGCTGCAGGAAGTAGCTCGCCCCCCTCTTCAACAGCACCCACCAGGCTCTCTTCTTCAGGCAGAAGTGAGTTGATTGGAGGTGTTGTTGCTGTCTTTACCTCATCAAGATGACTCAGCATGTTGCCTGTTATCAAAAAAAGGCAGGGGAATCAGAGCAAACCAGCATGACTCAGCATTAGCTCTGCTAAGCACTATCCTGTACAGGTGAATAATAATAATGCATCAGATTTCATAAGCTCTTTATCAGAGACCCTCAAAGAGCTTCACAGTGCACTACATCATTCATTCGCTCACATAGTCACACCTTGTTGGTGGTAATATGCCTTAGTAGTCACAGCTGCTCACTGACGGAAACATGGCTGCCAGTTTGCGCCTATGGCCTCTCCGACCACCACCACCATACAACACTCACAATCATACACCAGTGGAGGACACACACTGGGAGCAAGGTGGGCTAAGTGTCTTGCCCAAGGACACAACGGACAGACTCATGTTAGGTCTGTCTGTCTACTGCCAACCCTTAACAGTTTCATCTATTGTTAGTGGCATGTTCAGAAACAGCAGGTTAATGTTCCATGTGGTCTCACCTGTACTGTCCTCTTTGGCTGTTAGAGGCACAAGGGTCCCAGTTTTCACTGCAGCCTCATTGTTAGCAGAGGAAGACGTCACATCTGAGTCAAAGACAGAAAATCTGGACATTTTAATTCACTCTTGTCTCATTAATGACAGTCCAACTGGGGCAATGACTCTCTTTTTTTCCCCTAACAAGGAAGATAAGAAAAACATTTTCAATAACAGTGCTGGAAAAAAAATTATCAACCTCAGCTTTAACAAACCCCTTTTTGTGTCATTTGTCTCCTAACTGCTACAGTATTTTAGAGTGTGAGCAATTTCAAAATGAAAGAAAACTAGAGCAGCATTTAGATCCTTTAGCTGAAAGTCCAGCTTCATTTTTATCAGCCGCTTGTTGACATATCACCTGATTGCTATTCAGTCTGTTTTTTTTCCCCTAAACAAAGTTTCCAAAACCTGAACATGAGTTATGGTCTCTTTGTCAGGGGGAGTGTGAGGGTTCTTCATTCTGTGTGAGACTTTCTCAAAAACATTAGGTGCTTTGTTGTTCACCAAGACAACTTTCACAAAAAAAGAAGAATTAGTATAGAATACAAGCCAGAACCAGCTGCAAGCCATCAGTCATTAGAGACCTCAACTTGGACATTTACAGCGCTGTTTTTTTACAGAGCTGAAAAAACCAGATTAAACTTTTGCAAAGATCTGATTATCTTCATCGAAGAAATCAGCTGTGTGGACAGTTTAGAGACAGGCCTGTAACTGCTGAGAACAAAGGGCTCTAGAAAGGGGGTAAACTATAGCATGTTTGAATAGATGGGGACCCCCAAGATGAAAGACTTGAAATATCAGGACCACCTGCTTGATTCTCAGCTTTTACAAAGCAGGTTGGTAAGCAGCCTGCAAGGCAGGTGGATGATTCAGACTGTGCAAGAATGCATTTTAGGGTTACTACTAAGATCCCACTGAAGTGGTTAAAGGAGGGCCTGAGTCAGATTAAGTCTCACATGATTCCAGAGATTAAATGTTGAATCTGTTTGACTTTGTTGGAGAAATAAATTTGAAATTGTTCAGCGGAGTGACATGGTGGAAGACTGATCACAGATTTGACAGATTTAATTGAGACTCTGGGGTTATGACAGTGATTAGCAATGACCCGTGAAGAGAAGGAATTCCTTGTTCCTTTGACTTTGCTCTGGTACATGAACAAAAGGTTTTTAAGGGAAACACTTGATTTGTCTTTTTTCTACTTTCTCTCTGCTTCTCTGCATTGCCTCCTTACAGTCATCAGTTCCTCATTCAGCAAAGGCAGAGGTTTTAGGCTTTCTAAAACAACTAGGGAAAATGGACTCCAAAATACTGGTACAGGAGCTGTTAAAAATGTTGACTAGATCATCTACAGAGGAGCCATGATGACCGCTAAAAAGACTTGTATTAGTGGCAGTAAAAGCCTCACAGATACTGAGAACAGTCAGGGGTTGTGAGCAAGTCATAGCAGTGTGCTTGGGGTCAGGAGAGAGGAGTGGAATATGGAAAAGCACAGCCATGTGGTCAGAGACAAGAAAATCTGCCAAGTTTACACCATCTATTTAAAGGCCATGGGTGACCACAAGATCAAGTGCTCTTCAGCACCACTGGGGGCCTTCACATATTGTGTCAGGTTAAAAGAATTCAAAAGTTTGATGAATTCAGAAGCAAATGCAAATTGCCAAGAGCAACAGACATTAACCCATTTAAACCGGGACAGCATGCACGCATTTCAACCTTCCAAGCCGGGAACGAGCTGCGCATTTCTACTCGGAAAGCCGGGCGCATGTACGCATTTCTACCCTTCAAGCCAGGAGAAGCATGTACGCATTTCAACCTCCAAAGCCAGCGGCGCTGCTGCACATTTCTACCCTTCAAGCCGGGAGCGTGGATATATCATTTTGTAACATTCTGTAGTTTTTCAATCATTCCTGGAGTCGTGGTGAATCAAATCGTCAATACCTGTCTACCTCTGATTGGCTAATAAAGCTTAATAAAGCGATCGGATTCATGCTCGGATCTTGTTACATACTTCATGAGGAAAGTAAGCAACAACGGAGACAGAGAGCAGCTTTGGAGGAGAAGCATCCAGCAGCATCCAACCTCTTCATATTGAGTGCTTCACACTTATCTACACTATCGGCGATTTCTGTGAGTGTTGTATGACTTTGGATGCGCACGAAGATGACCACACCGTCAGCCACTCATTTATTTATTTATTTAGTTTTTAGTGCTGCTTTTGTACTGACACTATACTAAGGCAGCTGCATACCCTTTCAAATCCTTATTTTTTTATATTTACATTTGTATTGAATGGACACTTTATCATGACTGCCACTTGTTTGATAGAAGGCAAATAATTTCGTTATTCTCCAGTGCAAAGTCTCTTCATTTGAGTTTGTTTGTTCAAAGTTTTAAAAAATGTGATAAAGGTTCTGAAAAATAAAAGAAAGTTATCTTGAAAGCCACATGTGGAAGCTCTCAAATACTTTTTTGAATTTTGTTTCTATCTGCTACAGAGGCCGAGATATCAGCTTTTTGTAAACCTCAACCCTAACCCTAACACTAACCTCAGGATCTTGGGGCCCTTCTCAAAATTGCCCTCAGGATTTCAGAGGCGTGTGTCAGACAGGGTTCAGGTCTTCATGGGTTACACTCACTAAGATTTGTCCTGATAGCTGATAAAAGGTTTACCTAGGGCGTGTGTGTGTGTGTATGTGTGTGTGTGGGGGGGGGTTGATTTAAATAAAAATGAAAGAAGAATTATTCTTCAGAATAAAACTGACTATAAAATTGAAAAAACCACCAGTGAGAATAGGGAAAAGGCGCAGTCACCTACCTGCTGGTGGTGGTGGTGGTTCAAGAGGAGGCTTCAGCATGGACCTCTCCATCTTCTTAGCATAGAAAGCTCCATACCAGACCCTCAGCTCTGTCCCCGGCAGAACGTCCTGGAAAAAAGGAACAGGAAGATAAATATAAAAATTTCTCCAAACATCAGAAAACTGAAGTGTCGTTAGTTTTTACTCCTTAACCACATCAGAAAACTGAAGTGTTGTTAGTTTTTACTCCTTAACCACTGATTTAAAACGGTGGTTCTTCAAGCTTGGGGTCCTGACCCTATTTTTGAGGGGTTACAAAATAATTGTAGAGCAAAAACTAAAATGGCATATTCAGAAGCAAAACACATGTCTGTGACAGAGGAGTTTCTCAAACATTAAAACTCCTGTACAAGGGACATAATCTGTTTTACACAAGCTGCCCAGACAGCCAGTATGTTTGCTGCAATGCTTTAAAGTTCTGATGTGTGCTCTCAAAGGGAGTCCCACAGGCTGTGTGTTGTTTGAGTTATCTTTCCTTTTGCCCCAAAACTAGGCCCCAAACTACCCATTATCTGAATGCATGAATTCTACAAAAGCTATTACGTTTGGTTTTATTCTGAGAGGTTTAGAGAGGCATGTCATCTACTCTTATTAGGTACAATTGTTACACCAAAATAATAGATGCATAATATTCAGTCTTCAGGAAGTTTGCTGTAGCTCTATGGTTTGTTTGTTTTAGGGTTAGGCTTTAATGAAACAATCTACCTTAAAAACTGCTCCTCAGTTTGAATTCACATGTAAAATACAGCTGTATGCTCAGAGGGAGAGACAGACAAGAGAGAAAGATAAGCAGACAAAGAGAAACAGAAGTTCACGGTCAGAACTTACTTTACTGTAACCTGATGTTATGTGATTAATCATGTCATATACAGTGCATCCGTTAAGTATTCATACCACTTCACTTTTTCCACATTTTGTTATGTTACAGCCTTATTCCAAAATGGATTAAATTCCTTTTTTCCCTCAAAAATTCTACACAAAATACCCCATAATGACAAAGTGAAAAACTTTTTTTAGAACATTTTGCAAATTTATTAAAAATAAGACACTCAAATGTTGCATATACATAAGTATTCACACCCTTTGCTATAAAACTCAAAACTGAGCTCAGGTGCACCCTGTTTCCACTGATCAGCCTTAAAGTGTTTCTCCAACTTGATTGCAGTCCACCTGTGGCAAATTCAGCTGATTGGACATGATTTGGAGAGCCACACCTGTCTATATAAGATTCCACAGCTGACAGAGCACGTCAGAGCACAAACCAAGCCATGAAGTCGAAAGAATTGTCTGTAGACCTCTGAAACAGGGTTGTATCGGCTCACAGATCTGGGGAAGGTTACAGAAAAATATTTGCTGCATTGAAGATCCCAAAAAGCACAGTGGTCTCCATCATTAAGGAATGGAAGACGTTTGGAACCACCAGGACTCTTCCTAGAGCTGACCGCCCAGCCAAAATGAGCAAGCGGGAGAGAAGGGCCTTGGTCAGGGAGGTGACCAAGAACCTGATGGTCATTCTGACAGAGCTCCAGCGTTCCACTGAGGAGATGGGAGAACCCTACAGAAGGACCCCCATCTCTGCAGCACTCCACCAGTCAGGCATTTATGGTAGAGTGGCCAGACAGAAGCCACTCCTCAGTAAAAAGCACATGACAGCCTGCCTTGAAAAATATATGATTAAACATGTAGGAATTGTAGCCATTTTTTATACAAATGCTCCTCATTTCATGGACAAATGAACATAACCCTAAGTAAAATGTTACTTAACAACATCTTGTTGAGAATCCTTGGCAGGCAATGACTGCCTAAAGTCTGGAACCCATGGACATCACCAAATGCTGGGTCTTCTCCTTTGTGATGCTTTACAAGGCCTTTACTGCAGCTGTCTTCAGTTGCTGCTTGTTTGTGGGTCTTTCTGCCTTAAGTTTTGTCTTAAACAAGTGAAATGCATGCTCGAATGGATTGAGATCTGGTGATTGACTCGATCATTGCAGAATATTTCTCTTCTTTGCTTTAAAAAACTCCTTGGTTGCTTTTGCAGTATGTTTTGGATCATTGTCCATCTGTACTGTGAAGCGCCGTCCAATCAACTTTAATGCATTTGGCTGAATCTGAGCAGAAAGTATATCCCTATACACCTCACAATTCATCCCACTGCTTCTGTCTTTTGTCACATCATCAATAAACACAAGTTACCCTGTGCCATTGGAAGCCATGCATGCCCATGCCATCACACTGCCTCCACCATGTGTTACAGAAGATGGTGTGCTTTGGATCATGAGCTGTTCCAATTCTTCTCCAAAATTTCTTCTTCCCATCATTCTGGTACAGGTTGATCTTGGTCTCATCTGTCCAAAGAATGCTGTTCCAGAACTGGACTGGCTTCTTCAGGTGTTTTTTGGCAAAGTCAATTCCGGCCTTTCTATTCATGAGGCTGATTAATGGTTTGCACCTTGTGGTGAATCCTAAGTATTTACTCTCATGCAGTCTTCTCTTCATGGTTGACTTGAATATTGATACACCTACTTCCTGGAGAGTGTTCTTCACTGGAGTGGATGTTGTGAAGGGGTTTTTCTTCACCATGGAAAGGATTCTGTGATCATCCACCACCGTTGTCTTCCGTGGACGTCCAGGCCTTTTTGAGTTCCCAAGCTCACCGGTACACTGTTTTTTTCTCAGAATGTACCAAACTGTTTATTTGGCCACTCCTAACATTTCTGCTATCTCTCTGATGGATTTCTTCTTTTTATTCAGCCTCAGGATGGTCTGTTTCAACTCCATTGAGAGCTCCTTTGACCACATGTTATGTATTCATAGCAACAACTTCCAAATGCAAACGCCACACCTGGAATCAACTTCAGACCTTTTAACTGCTTAATTGATGACAGGTCAACAAGGGAAGAGTCAATGCAGCCTTGTTAATTTTTTTTGTTTTTTGCAGCCTTCTGAGTCAATTGTCCAATAACTTTTGGACCCTTGAAAAAGAGGCGGCTACTTATTGAAGAGCTGTAATTCCTAAACCCTTGCTCCATTTGGAAGTGGATACTCTCAAATTACAGCTGAGAGTCTGCCATAGACCGTATATAGAATGGACAGCATCTGCCTCCTCGCTGGGTGAAGCCACTCCGAGAACAGCACCCTCTGTTGATGGGCTGCAGTATAGGTCATAAATCCCGCCTACGCCAGCAAAGCTTATGGAGCTGTGGACAACAAAAAATTTATTACGCAGAACATACATTTTTCTCCCCCCTGCTTGCGGTGTTGACATGTAGTTATTGTAAGACAGGTTTGTGCTCAAGTCCTCTTTTTTCTGTGAAGCTCCGTTTTTAAAAGTTATTAGGGGGTTCATGTTTTCCATGATTGACACCTGGTACAGCCTATGGGCGTTCAGGGATTGTGTAGCTCACCCGGGCCGATACGCTGTTTGAGCCGAGCGTCATCACAGTGACTCTCGGCAACTGCGCAGCCGAATGCCCGCATCACTACTGCGCAGCACTGGTTTCAGGAAATGAATAAAAATCCCGAAGATATCAAGAGCTTTTTGGCTTCAAATCCGTATACAGGCGGTAGGCGGAACCAAGTTGTCCATAGTATACACAGTCTATGGAGTCTGCACTTTAAGCCCATCTTGATTTTATAACTGTATTCTGAATATGTTTTCGTAAACAGCTAAAATAACAAAACTTGTGTCACTGTCCAAATATTTCTGGGCCGATCTGTATTTAATTTTCTAACTGATAAACGTTTTTTTATTTTTTTATTTTGGTAAATATTCTCTCATTTTGAATTTGATGCTGTAAAGTATGTTCAGGGTCAACAAAAGTCTGGGAAATTTGAGGACTGCTCCAAAAGCACCTGTTTGGATCACTCCACAGGTGACCAGGTTCACTGGAAACAGGTAAGGGTCATGATTGGATCTAAAAGGAGCATCCCTGAAAAACTCAGTCCTTCTCAAGTGAGGATGGGGCCAGGATCACCACTTTGTCAACAACTACGTGAGCAAAAAGTCCAACAGTTTAAGAACAATGTTTCTCAACGTACAATAGAGGAATTTAGAGATTTAGTAAATATACTTGTTCTATTATCTCTGGCTCTTTAAGCACACAGCTGTCTGTACTATTGTTGTTGTTGTCTGTTTCCATCACTCTCTTTCTGTATCTCTCTCTGTCCCCTCTCTAAAACCAATACAGTCTTTAATTGTATCTATCCATTTATTTATTTTGGTTTAATTTTATTTTTCCAGGAAAGCCTCATTGAGACAAAAAAAACCTCTTTAACAAGAGTGTTCTAGCCAAGACAGCAGCAGCATACGTTATTAGATAATGATTACAAAACACATGTCAACCTAACCCAAATAATACAGAAGACTGTCATCATTCAAAGCATCAACAATCTGATGCATCCTCCTCTGAAACCTTTAATCTGCTTTTAAAAGCATTTACAGACCAGCTCCCTCAAACCCAAGTTCTCTTGGAGGAGATTCTGCAGGAGCAGCGGATCTAAAACATTTTTTATCCATCTCAGGATACACTCTGAGGACAGACAGCAAGGGTAAGTCAAAGTAAAATAACAGGAATTAGCTGCATGACAAGAGGACTCAGTCAAATCTCAGATGAAAAATCAGCAGCCCTGAGACAGACACTCAGTTTTGGATTGATGACACACCTGTGAGGTGTTAAAGTAGATGTCATCATCTTGCTGGTAGGCAGTCAGGTTCTGGTGTTTGTGGTCTGTAGCAGGTCGAACCAGCATCATCCAGTTACAGTCCTCTTCAGAGCTTGAGTCAAAACACACCACCACGCCATTCTTCTGGAAGATCTATCAAACCAAAAGAAGCAGAAAAAAAATCTCATTACTACATGCGTGCATTACAGAGCTGAGCATCACTTGTGTCCTCCCAGGATTCATTAGGCCGCACCTTCAAGGGAAACTCTCTTTCTCTCTCCAGGTGGGGGACCCTCTTAGCCTCAAAGGGCCCGAATCGGGTCCTCTTGACCAGTCGGCGCAGGACAAACACCCCCTCTTTCCCATCAGCCACCTGTCTGATCTCCAGGCTGTTTGGAAGAGAGGACCTGATAGAGGAGACAGAAGTTGAGACGATAGAAAAATAAATATATAATTAGAGCAGATGAGACAATTTTTCTTAGAAAACTGATGTATTCAAACTCCAGTCACGATACAAAACAAGGCCAGCCCATTTTCTGATGCATTTGTTGTTTTTAAATCTCTTCACTTCTACTTCATGAGTATGAGAATGAACAGATCCAGACAACGATATGAACTTAAAGTCCCACTCTGATCGTATTTTTCATACTTAAAGTGTCCTCAGTGGTCTTTAAATTGTGATTATGAAGTTTTAGCCAAAATCACGTTACCTGTGTCATTTTCAAGGGCTTTTCTTCTGCAGAGCTCCAGTAGCTCATCAGTTATTCGCCTCTGAGTTGTGGGTGGAGACAGCACTGCTCCGCACACTCATCTTCACGCTAGGTTGTAGCCTAACATTGCTGGTGTCGTAGAAGTGGTAGGTAACATAGGAGCTATTCAGTTCTGAGACACTAATGTCTTTGTGGACTTGATGAAAGTTGGTATCATAATTAGCTGTCTGATGAGCATTAAAATCCGCAAACATACACACTTGTTCCGTGATCGTCCTCTCTACCTCTCTTTGTCTGGCCTGTATAGCGGAGCTCCAGGGGCGGAGCTTGGAGTTGTGACATTGAAAATGGCACTGTGTCTGAACTTGCTGCTTGCGTCTGCCAGAGATTCACAATGATTTGAATGTAGAAATACTGAATGCAATTTTGCTCTTAGTTTTCTCATGATATGTCCTGTAGCATCAGAAAAATGTCATATGAACATGTAGACAACAAGAAAAACATGAGTTTCATCAGAGTGGGTCTTTAAGAGTCAATAAGTGAGTCTAAAGATGTTTATGAAAATCACAGAGAAGTTCACTCCTTCACCCTGGATGGACTCTCGTCCCTGCTGTCTCTCGAGCCATGTCTGTCTTCTTTCCCTCCTCCCTCTCTCACGCCCACACACTCATTGTGTGTGCACGTTAGAGCATCATCCTCTACAGACAACAGACCCCTCTTAATATTTTCAACAATCATCAAACTCAAAAATGTATTTCAACTGAAGGTTCTCCGGTGACATATGATAGTGCTGAACCTCTCAAGAACATTGATTTTTACGGGATATACAGTGCATCTGGAAAGAATTCATACCACTTCACTTTTTCCACATTTTATGTTACAGCCTTATTCCAAAATGGATTAAATTCATTTTTTCCCCTCAAAAATTCTACACAAAATACCCCATAATGACAAAGTGAAAAACTTTTTTTTAGAACATTTTGCAAATTTATTAAAAATAAGACACTCAAATGTTGCATAACAAAATGTGGAAAAAGTGAAGTGGTATGAATACTTTACGGATGCACTGTAAATCAACCAGCAGGGACTCATTTGTGGAATAGTCAGTCTAAAAATATGTTTCTCTAAGGGAACAGTAAAGTCAGAATGAACTCTCAATCACTGCTGTGGTGGAGGCTGTATCTGTCTTCATTTTGATAAATTGGTGTCTCTGTTTATTCTCTAGTTTTTATTAGGAAATGATGTATTTTAAAATGGTTAATATTTTAACAAAAAGTATAGTAATAAGGGCCTGCCCTGCAGTATACTGGGCAGAGTTGAGGTGGGGGGGCAAGGTGGCACATTTTTAGGGACATGGTCTGCAAAGGCCCCCCCAATAATGCTGACACCGAAGTGTTCCTCTTGAACTTTGAACACACCCCTTTAAAAGTCTCTGCACAGACCTTATCTTTACTCACCTGGCCCTGCTGAGGACAAATGAGTCCTGGACGGTCACCAGGGGTCCCAGTTCAGGGCACTCAGAGTCATGGTACTGACCACAGTCTTCACACCCTGAAAGACACACAACACACCTGTCATGATGGTGCCTGGAGTGTGTCTGAAACACGGAGTCAGAGCTGGATTCATACTCACAGATCAGCTCATCTGATGTCTGCTCTGCCATTCTGACAAGATAAAGAAAGAGGGAAAGCTAGTTGATGACATTTATTCAGACGGAAATGTTTGAAGGGTTAAAATCTCACAGAAATGTACACTTTGTGCAAAGAACTATTTGGAGGAGTGCAGCAGAATGTAAGAGAACTTTAGAGTCTGCATCCACAGCCAACCCGGGATACTGAGGGGCTGCCCTGAAGACAGCGGGGGGATCAACAGTGCTGTATTTTGACAATAATAACTGGTTTCTAGTGTAAGCCTTTCAGTGTGGACGTGCATGAGAACAGATGCAGTCCGGGAAGAAGGAGGAATCCAGGATTTGCGTCCTTCCCAAACTCCAGCCGGGTTTTAACTCCGATCTGAGCTGGTCCTCTTCTGGAAATGTAACAAAGAACAGTCGGCATGGCGGATGGACCGGAGACGCAAACCGCCAAACCGGAGTCGATGCTCTTCAACGGCCGACAGTCAACAAGGGAGGCGGTTCAGGAAACTCCGGCGCGACCCGGGCCAACCGTGTGCATCTCCACTACAATGTTGTGTGGTCATTGGGTGTTAAGACGCTGTACTTGGAAGAGAAAACACCTCACCTTTTTGGTTAAAGACCCTTCATTTATCGAATCCTGACTCCGGGTTCCAATCCGCTCCATAGACGGCGCAGGACCGGAAACGAGGCCCGCGAGTTGCATCATGGGGATTGTAGGCTCTGTGGGCCTGAGTAAAAAGTGCCCCTTTTCATTGGGCGGCTAAACGCTTAGCGTTCGCTCTTAATAGAAAATGACCTGGAAAAATGTATCTTTCAGATTTATGTTCATTTAAAACTTTTTAAAAATGTAAAAGCTAGGCAGAAATTTGCCTGCAATTATCAAACTTTAACATAATCTGTCTGTTCTCATCTTACATCTATCCAACATTGCTCCGCATCATCACACCAAAAAGCACAATTATGTGAAAAAGTGGACAATTATTTCTCAATTGAAAGAAACAAAATGATATGAATTCAGTGTTTTTTTAATACCAAAATAACTTAATACTAAAATACCGCTCATACAGCTGATTTCAGTGTGATGTAACTAGGCAGCTATAAATGAGCTAACATAAAAAGCTCTTTGAAGGTTTAACCTGTAAAAACATTTTCTCATACGAAGCAATTTATACAGGCCATTGAGCCCCACAAATAGCAGTATGATTTGCCAGAAAAACAATCTGGTCCTGGAAAACAGAGTGTATTATTATTTTTTTTTTTTTTTCAGTAATGCTGTTTAGTGAATAGCAGCAAAGCAACAAAATACTTTGAAGTATTACAGCTTCATGTTACTTTAAGTTGAATCACAATATGGGATGAAGTGGGACAAAGTCGGGTAATCATTCAGGAACAGACAGTCTCTGTGTACCATAAGAGTAGAACTCTACCTGAGCATAAACTCACTACAGCATGGCACCACAAGCTGAGTTACTCAGTCATATTTTATTGCTGAAAATGAAACATGTTGACAAGTATATTAGTTACAATACCTGCAGGGAAATGACTGCAACCCCCCGCAAATGTAAAGCCAGTTTCTGTGCATAGAGCAGACCCCACCATCAAAAGAAAAGAAAAAAAAAAAAAACATCAGGAGGCAGTTTATGAACCACATACACCCCAGTAGCTGATGCCTGCAGGCTGCCATAATATAGTAAGGAGTCTGAAGCTGGGAGTAATTAAAAAAAAAAATCCCTCACTTTCTAACAGTTTGGGGTGATTCTGGCTGAGCTGTGACATCCTTCTCTCCCTAACTGAAATATTCTTTTCGAACAAACAATGATGGAGGAGGAGAGTTGACATGGCCAGCAAGTGAGTGGTTTTTATCTCCAATAGTCTCTCAATGTAAACACCCAGTTATGTTGACAGTTATGTTAAGATAAGAACTTCATTTATCCCCGAGGGAAAATTCCATGTTATGTGCATAGGCTGCTAGATGATGGACAAAGCAGAAGTTGCCGGAACTCAGTGGACGTCTTTCAATAGCCTAAAGAAGCAAAAGTCACTTCAAGAGAGGGATTGCTTCTGACACCTTCAGAATGACTGTAAGGCAATCTGTCTGTCGACTCTCTTACTGTATATATAAACAGTAGTTCAAATGTTGTACAGACATGCTGCTTAGAAAAATAAAATACAATCATTAGCTGGAATTAAAAAAAGTCAGCCCTAACTTTGTTTGCTCCAAAATATCTTCACATTTTCTCTTGTTCATGCCTTCAAGCTACATTTTTTAAACAATAAAACATAGAATAAAAGACTGAAGATCTGCAGGGTTCACATGGGTGTACAGAACATATCTCATTAGTGCTTAAAAGCAACAAATATGGCAGAGTGTAATGTCAAAGTCCCTGGATTAAAAAGGTTCTTTCTGTTCCCTTTTGACACATTGACAACCCTGCTGATAATGGCAGAGTATAGGAAGGAAGACAAAGAAGAAAATTGCATATCTTTTGGAAACACTGGAGAGAGAAGTAAACAAAAAACAATCACGTATAGCGGAATTTTTAGCCATACTGTCACTGCTTCTTTTCTTCTCCTAGGATGGGTGGTAACTTCAGGGGTTGTATGACAATCAGAAGTTACTGGTTCTGATATCTTTCTTAGACATGTTACATACAGCTGTAGCTCTGGTCTCATACAATTAAAAGAATTTCAAAGGAAATGATATGAATACTACATTTCATAGTATTAGTGTCAACAAAAGTAGTCATATTACTATCTCCCACTTGCAATGAAAAGATCATATCCCTTTGTGAATGCTCTTTAATCTCTTTCACAAGAGTAGTTCCTATCATTGCACTTAAAATTGAAGGTACAATTGTGCAAATCATACAAACATCACTCTGTCTTCATCTTTGGTCCTGTTGGTACACCGTAAAGGAAATGTACGGTTTACAGCAGGGAGAGTTTACTCTTCACACTCAGAGTCAGTGAGGTAAAGAGTTGAAGCCCACACCAACAGGCTCTTCTGTTGGTAACAAGGCCACAAAAGCAATGAAGAAAAAGTTCAAAATGTTACATCAAATCAAATCAAAGAAACATGCTATGCAGTATCCTCTGAAATGCCTTTAATCCAAGACGAGAGATCTCCCTCCACACATGCACGCACTTCCTTTCAGTGTAAGGAAACAGCAACAAAAGAGGATACTTTTCCATCCGCACAACTTCCCATTCACAATGCAGGAGCCGCAGTATGCAGGCCTGGCAGTGGGGGGAGCAGGTTAGCCACGAGGTTTGCTGACGCATGTATGAGTTGGAGGTGGTAATGGTAGCTGCTCTAGGAGAGGGTCTCACACATGTGGCTCCCCTGAGGAGGTAGAGCCGTTAGCTTTGCTCTTATTCTTGCTCTTGCGGCTGAGTATGCGGCTGATTGTGGCTGTTCTGCTGGCTCGTTCCACTGCGGCTGGAGACTCTAGATAGACCAGGTCGTTGTGAGACTGGCTCATCCCTGGCTCCTTGCGTTGGTGACGCCGCCGGAAGAAGAGTTTGGCACTCTTCTGTAAGAAGCTGCCTGTGAGAGGGAAGCAAATTTACAGTCAAGATTTAGTGTGATTGTTTAAAAAAGAAGGTCCTATGCCATATGAAGCTACCAAATGTGAGCATGTGTGGTCAAAGAAGCTGAAGCAAAGATGACATTGACCTTCTGCTAGTTGGAAAATCGTTGGTAACTTAGGTAAATTAATCTGGAATGGACAAAACATGTTGGAGCAAATATGTTGTCTATTTTACATCAGTTACTACAAACCCTAGCTCCACTCAAGTTGGGACGTTGTGCAAAAAAAAAAAGAATAAAAATAGAACACAAGAATTTTTAAATCTTTTCCCACCTAAATTCTACTGAATCCATTTCAAAGATATTTAATGTTCATAAACTTGATTGTTTTATTTTTTTGTTAATTTTCCCTCATTTTGAATTTGATGCTGTAACTTGTCTCTAAAAACTGGTTCAGGGTCATGTTTCTTTCTGTGTTACATCACTTTTCCTTTAACAACACTCTGTATGTCTTTGTGAACCAAGCACACCGACTGAAGTTCTGGATGTGAATTCTTTTACAGTCTTGACTCAAGGACCACTTCAGCTGATCTACAGTCTGAGGTCTCTGGGCTTCACAATGCTCCACATAGTTTTAATGGGAGACAGGTCTGGATTGCAAACAGACCACTCTAGTAACTGGACTCTCTGACTCTGACTCTGAAGCCACGCAGAATATGTATTGTCATTGTCTTGCTGAAATAAACAACGACCTATCTGAAAAACACGGGGCTCTGATGGCAGCAGATGTTGCTCCTAAACCTGTGTGTACCTTTCAGCATTAATGGAGCCTTCACAGATGTGACAATTAGCCATGGACACTGACACACCCCCAGACCATCACAGATGCTGGCTTTGACCTTTGACCTGAGAAGAGTTTGGATGGTCCTTTTTTCTCTTCAGTCCAGACAACACCATGTCCACAATTTCCAAAAACTATTTGAACTGTGGACTCGTCACACCACAGCAGACTTTTCCACTTTGGCTCAGTCAATCTCAGATGAGCTCGGGTCCAGAGTACAGCTAAACACTTCCTCAGAGCTTGTGTGAGAAACTTCCTATTTGTGGTAATGTGGCGTTGTTATGGATGAAGTGCCCCCTCCTACTTTCCTTGCTGATTTTCCCCTGCATATGTGTAAGAAGTGTTTCCTGATGAAAAGTCTCCTCCTGCTGATTCTAAACAGTGAAAAGTTTCCCTCACTGAGAACTTTTGCAGTGGCTTTTCATCAATATGCTCTTGTTCACCTGTCCTGCCCTTGATTAGTGTTCATAAAAGCACAAACTGGACCTCTGGTCTCATTCATGTTGAATAACATCGAATTTAAGTTAGTTTGTGTTTTTTTATTGTTAACAAGACTCCAGTGAGTACATGTGAGTACAGCTGTATTTGTTTTGAATGAAATAATTAAACTGTTTTTAGTAAAAAAAAAAAAAAAATAATAAGATAAGTGTAAAGATAAGATAAATTCAACAAGTGCAGTACAAGCTTATAACAAATATGTTAATAAATCTAACACTTATAAAGTCATATTAGTGTTAATTAACATCCTAATGATGTTAAAGACCTGTATATAAACTGCTAGGTTTCTAATAAGAGTCTATATGTGTATTATAAGAAGTCATAAATGTGTTTATTGTGCTTTTTTTAAGACTTATTGACTTTTATAAATGTTTATAAGCTACTTATAAAGTCTGATATAAGTGGCTTATAAACCATCATGAATCCATATTAAAGGACCCTTATATAAAAAGTTATTGCTCTTGCTTTCTGTTCTTTATCTGCCTGTTTGTGTTTCTTTTTTTTTTGTAATTTGGGAACATTAATACATGTGATTATTTCATGTTAATTTTGAGCCTGTTTTCTCTTTCTGGTCGGGGGAGCTGACCTCAGGGTTTTTTACTTGTCATTTTGTAGACCAACAAACAAAATGCTTCTTTATTAATGTGAAAAAGTAGCATACAAAGTGGCTGAAACACAAAATAAAACTAATGACATAAAAGACACCAACACCAGAAACCTCAACAATTTCTATTGAACAACTGGCTTATAAAGACACCACACAGACTTGCTGTCGGAGAAATATTGGAGTATTTCACACAGCAGATTTGGTCTTTTATAGCAAGCTAAAATGATTTGTTTTCTTGTTAATATCTAGTGTCACATCATTCCTTCTTCTCAGCATATGAGTCTAATGTTTCCTATAGTTTCATCACCTGTTGGTGGGACCCCAAAACATTTCCTGTCAGTTTTTTTCAAAGTGTAAAAAGTCACATCCGACCTTTGTCATGATAGCAGATGGAAATTTGTCATCATGTTAGTAAACTAGAGTTATAAATATCTAGGCTGACAGTGGAGAACATGGCTGTGTAACTGTGTTTTTTGTTAGTTAATTCTAGGGTAAGTTCATTATTGAAACAGGTGGAAACGTCACTTAACTAAACCTTAAAAGGTCACTTTGAGACTGGGTATGGTTATAGCTTGTCATGCTTTCCTGCTCACATGTCTCAGTGCTAAATCATAGAGCTACAAAAGTCAAAAGAGTGGATGTAAATAGACATTGTGTTGATTACGCCATTTGAAAGACTTAGTAAAACATTTGTGTTGGGCGAGGATCCCTGCCTACAGTCCAAAAACAGTCTGATGTGCACTGCATCATACTGCATCTAAATATTCACAATACTTCTTGTTGGTCCAAACAGGTGAAACGTGAAGATGATTCAAAATCCAGGTGCTAAATGATCTACTAATCCAGAAAGGATTTGTGACTATCTACTCTATTGAGAACTAGCAGAGACTACACAGCCAGTACAAGGTTTCTACAAGTACCTGATCAGGAACTTACTCTTCTGGACTTAATGTGTGCTTAGGCCTGCTTTCATCTGAGATGGCAGTGATGACATTTCAAAGGGAGAAAGTTAAAACAGAGAGAAAAGAAAACAGGCTGCAGTACAGACCAACAACATGTTGTCATCCACAGGAACCTGCGGTGGTAAGCAACCCTGTAGTGACCTCTCACCTCTGCTTTTCTTGCAGCTGGCCTCAGACACACACATGGACAGTGAGGTATGGTCCATTTCCTCTCCTGTTTGGCTCTCCCAGTCGTCCGAAGGCCGACCCATTCCACCAGGGCCCTCCTGGGGCTCAGAGTCCTCAGGAGGGCTGCTGGTTCCCGTAGCAATTGCAGTTGTCACATCCTGAGTGGAGCTCCCTTCTGACATTGAGGCATCCATCGCTGCAGCGTAGCCCGCCATCAGAGCCAGCTCATCATCCTGAGACAATGGTGTCTGGAGAATCAAGAACACTATTATTTTGGACGTCAGGTTGGTGTAAAGAAAAATCTGCTTTTAACTTTGACAGTAGTTTCTTAGAAAGTATTTACACTTGCATTTGTAACCACAAGTCTGTAAAAATATTCTTCAATAAAAGTTTTATTCTTCTCTGTATCCAACACAGTTTTCTCTGAGATCTACTCACAGTCCTGGCATCTGGAAAAATAAAACCTGCACTGCTGGTGAATCCATTTATATTATTATTATCAGTGTTATTAAGCTCCCTCATCTCCCAGCACCATCTACTTCAAAGTAGATGAAGTAGAAAGAAGCCAGAAAAAAGACAGAGAAATGCAGCTACTCTCTCTACTAATAAGACTTCACTGTCCAAATTCTACTCAGAGTTGAATATCAAATTTGACACTTAGGCTACATGCTGACCTTCTGCCACTTTGTTTGTTTGTTTTTTGGTTTCTGATTCTTTTTTTTTATTGCTTTTTGCTTACCGTCTACTCTGTCATTAAAGGTTGGTAGAATTCATGCCATGAAACAGGGAAAAACCTGTCCAATCCTGAGCTTCTGTTTTCTAAACCTTCTATCGGGAGAGACCGGGTAAAAATAAAAATGTTTGACTAAAATCAAACAGTAATGTGCAGGAGTGACACGTTCCTTCAAGCTAACTGCTTACTTTTGCAATGCCAGAGATAATTATGGTGCTCTTCTTCACCGGGGACTTGAGCTTCTGTTTGGCAGACTGGTGCAGTTGTCTGATGGCAGCCTCAGCTACAGGGTCAGTGCCGTTGAGCATCAGCAGCTCAGTGTCAGAAGAGGACAGAGCCTTACTGACCGTTGGCCCCAAAACAGACGGCTGTTCAGACACTCGGCGGCCCGTCAGCTTGGGCTTGTTGGACACCACTTTTATAGCAGGATCTGTGAGATACAAAGTTATTTTGAAAACAGCTTCATGTGTTTTATAGACATTTAAAACATGAACCGGAACCACAGAAAAATAAGACATCGGCCTGGTATGCCAGTTTAGTGAGCCACAGGAAATACTGCCATACAGTTCATCTGCGTGACACAGAAATAACTTCACATCATCGTGCAGTTCCAACAGCTGGGTGACGACTTTTCCGTGAGACAGCCAAGATACCAGTCAGTATTATTTTTACAACTGAGTCATTGAGCGAGTGAACAGTTGCTTCTCTTGTGATGTTCGTCAAGAGGGGAAATGATCAAAAATACTTTAATTTCATCATGCACTTGGCTGGCATAAATGTACCTTACAGAAACAGTAATTTGCTTCATTCCCACTGTCGTTAGACTTGTCCAGCTACAGTGAGAACAACTGACTTTTAATTAATGTCCGCTGATGAACAGTGACAGTGGTATTAATTAGATAGTGGTACCCTGTTAGCACCATTGCTTACTTGTACCTTAAACAATATGTTCTCCATGACCTTTGCAGCTGGTTTAACCAAATTCTCACCGGCCAATCGGTGGTTTTCCTGTTTTTGCTATTAACAGTGCCACCCTGTATGATGCCTCTGCAGCCTTGGCATTTTTCCCAAGCGCATGCGCTGGTGAAGCTCACTGGACTCTTTGGACTTGAATGGTAGTTTTGCTGTTAAATCATTTGGTGCCCCTGAAGCACTTATCATCAGTGCTGCAGTTAAACCAGGTGTCACTTAATAACTTGCATCATGTGAGGACCTTTCTTTTAATGGACCCTGTCTGAAACCACCGATCCATGTTGTCCATTTAAACCACGTTCATCTGAGTTGTAATCTGGCTTATGGCCAGCAGAAATAGTTTGCTCATGGACCACCAGTGGTCTGGGGACCACTCTTTAAGCAAGGCTGATAAGACAGTTCTGCTGTCTCTCCAACATCAGCTATCCCTCTTCTGCCCCATCACTGACAGAAATATTATTTCAACCCAGATCATCTAAAAGAGGGGATTCATAACAAAAAACCCAAAAAATGGCTTTAAATGTTTCACTTTGTTTACCATCTGTAAAAAAAAAAAAAAAAAAAAAAAGAAACAGGGTAATACTTGAAGAGCAGCAGCTTTACATGCATGTCAACTAGATGATTAATAGTCAGCAGGTGAAGAGAAAATTGTCGTGGTTAGAGATTCATCTAACCATGGCCCAAAAGTACATTTTCAGTCTTTGGGTGACAGACTTTTGTCGCCGAAACAACACAGCCGAAAAAGGATTTGATGATGACACAAGCAAAAACCGCAGCATGCTCACGCTTGTGTGGATAAGGGTCGACATGTCTGCGGTATGGACATATTTCAATAGATCTGAGAAAGACCAGTGGATAGCCATCTGCATAGCATGTAATGCTGGAATTTCAACAGGCGCATCGTCGCATGTTGGGTTTAATTTATCACCTGAAATCCAAGAATCCTGATCTCCATTCTGAGTATGAGAAGAATGCGGCACAGAAAAAGAAAATTCCTCAGAGCGCACCCACTCCGTCTGCGGTGGATATTTTCCAGTGATGGTGCCAAGGCAAAGGGCATCACACAAAAAATGATGGACTCCATTGCCTGAGATGATCAGCTGTTTTCTATCATAAAGGATGTGGGATTTTGTGGACTGATCAAGTACATTGAGCCTCGTTAGGCCAAGCAGACGACATTTCCCAGATGTGCCTTTAATGTTGTTGCAACTCACATTGCAACCGAATAATTTAATATTAATTTAATATAAATTAATGCAATTGCAATGCCTTAATAACTGGCATAATAATTTCCTTGGTTAATATTGCCTTGGTTTCCTCATTTTCAGTTTGTGGTTTCAGCCAAGAAAACTCACCCTTAAAAAATAATATCAGCCTCTGCTGTTAAAACATTCTAATGTTAGCATCTCACTCACATTTCTGCTGTACCTGGACAGATCTCTTCATCTTCAGAGTCCTAATACAGTCAAAGCTCGTGTACGAGTACAATCTGGGTCATTATGGGTCAAGTCTGAGGCAAGATACAAGTCCTTAAAAATCAGGACTCGGGTCAGACCCAAGTCCAAGCCCTGGACTGGGGTACTATAACATGATGACGAGGTGAAAGGACGCTGACTGTGTTTATTAGTCAGTGAATCTTTACCGATGGTGAGTCCAGGAGGAAGGGGTCGACCTGGCTTGCTCTTCACTGCAGTGATGGTGGTGACCACTGTGCCACATGGCATGACTGTACGGTCCATCTCCACCCTTTTATTGGAGACTGGGGTCGGAGGGTGCCAGGACCTCACCTCACTGGGCTCCAGGTAGGTAAACTAAGAGATAAAAAGTAGTGAAAATGAGAATTTTTTGCAACCAATGATCTAATTTTGTGTCTAAAAAATCCCTGAGACTTTTTTTTTTGCAAAGACTTAATCAGAAACAGACCAATAAAACAGACCTTATGTAAGAGCCACTAGTCAGGTGTACTGCATTATTTCTGCTTCTCTCTTGGGTGATCTGTGATATAGCTGCTAGCTGTTATTATCTCTGACATTTTTAATAAGCTCATTTATTTCCTCTAAACTCCTCTCACTGCAGAACTTGAAGTAGTCTTGTATTCACCGAGCAGCCTCTGTCCTCAATGATCTTACTAGTTTTGATTTTTCTCTCTTTAACTGTTAGCAACTAGCTTCTCAGCTCCTCATCATAGCTTTGGCTTCACCATCTGTCTCTCTGTCACCTGCTTTCTGCTGTTCAGTGTGTCAGGTGTTTAGTAACACCTGTCCTCTTTTACAGATCACGGTAACTGTGATAAGTGTAGTTTACTCAAAGAACTGGGGGCCAGTGCTGAAACCTGTGAGCTAAAACAAACACCTAGAAAACCTGAAAGGATACGGCACTCCACTAAATCAACTGCAGCTAACTTACTCTGAAAAATAGTCTCAGTGATTACAGGAAAGCTGACTCGAACTTGACTCGAACTGCCTACTACTTCTCCTAATAGAGGAAAATAAAAATAATCCAGGTACTTTTCCAGCCCTGTGGCTGAGCTAACAGACAGTCAGAGCTCTACTCAGCCTTGTATCCCTCCAATCCTCAGCTGGGAGCCAGGATATAGAGTCCACCATAGCCCTGTAACTGCATGACTGAGGGGGACAAAGGACCTCCCGATGACTGTGGACAGTGCTCTTCTCTCAGTACTTGTTTTGTTAGATCTTATTGCTTCTTTGATACGACTGACCATCAGATCCTGTTACCGAGGCTTGAACAAATAGGTATTAAAGGAACTGCTTTAGCTTGGTTTAAATCTGATTTGTCAGATTGTAATCAGTTTGTTCATGGTTATGAAAATTCTTCAGTGCATACCAAGGTTATGGGGTTCCACAGGGTTCAGTACTAGGACCAATCCTTTTCACCCTATATATGCTTCCTCGGGGTAATATTATCAGGAAAAGGTCCATAAATTTTTACTGCTATGCAAGTGACACGCAGTTATACCTAACATTGAAGCCAGGAGAAACCAATAAATTAACTTCACTTGAAGCCTGTCTTAAAGACATAAAGACCTGGATGACCAGAAGCTTTTGATACTCGGTTCTCTTCAGCTGGTCCAACATTCTGCAGCCCAAGTACTGACCAGAACCAGGAGAAGAGAGCACATCTACCCTGTAATAGCTTCTCTACTCTGGCTTCATTAAAATTTAGGGCAGAATTTCAAATCCTTCCTCTGACCCACAAAGCCCTGAGCTGTCCTTCTCCCTCTATCAGTCTCTCCTCTGTCCATCTCTCTCTAAACTCAGCTCAGTTTCAGCAGATATGTGTCTAACATGAGTCTGGTTCTGCTGGAGGTTTCTGCCTGTTAGAGGAAGTTCTTCCTCTTCACTGTAACTTGATAAATGCTGTAAAGTGTTTCACTTATTCGGTTGAAGATGAAGATGGGAGTGGGTCTGATCTTACAGAATAGAGCTCAGTCTGATCCTGTCCTTATACTGAGTCTTTCTAAACAGAGTCTGGTCCAGAACAGCTTTTTGTTAAGTGTCTTTGGATAACACTTGTTTTAAACTGGTGCTTTATAAATAAAGAAACAGACTGATCGATAGATCCATGAAAAAAAAAAAGAAAAGCAAACATTTTAAAGGGTATATGTGTGATTACATCTCAGCCTTAAGGTGTCTTACCTCAGTAGTAAGTGATCCAGTCACTGTGTCTTTGGACAAGAGTGCAAATGTTTGCTGTCCTTTGGGCTGCTTTTTTACAAGATCAAAAGGCACTGACAGTTGACCAAGTAAGGAATCTGAAACAAGAAGTAACACAAAGTATGACATGACCATTTGACTACAGCTGGACCACTGAGCAAAATTCACCTATGTTCATGGCTGCCATCAGTGCCTTACTTTCTTCAGGTTGTCCATCATTGATCAGCTGAATGTTGAGCTCTTTTGAAAGTCCATTCAATTCACTGAAGAAAGAGAAAAGTAAAAGAGCATTTATATTTAATAAAATTGAGCGTATGGGTTATAGCCTGGACAATGATGAAAAAACAAACAAACATTTCTGTGGTTAAACTTACAAAATAAAGGGCTGGTCCCAGGCAGGATTGATTGTGTTCTTTAAAATGGAGGTGTTGAACTTCTGTGGAGGGTCATCCAACTTCAGTGTACACAGAGGATTTATGCTGCCTGTAACAAAGGAGAAAACAGAGAGCCAAATATGAATTTCAACTTTATCAATAGTCTAATTCACTGCTTCACTTATGCTCAGTCACTTTAACTGCTTTACTTCAATGTGTCATGAGGACAACAGCTCACGTACAATTTATGATTAATTATGTAATAAACTGTTTTCTTGAAGCTGACAGCTTTTCTTTAGAGGAGGTGCAGAGGGGAAACATGGTCTCATGGTGCACTGTACCTAGACTTTACTGGGTTACTGGAAAAAGACAGGTAGCAACTGCCAATTTGGCTGCAGCCCACAAGAGCAGAAATGCCTTCCTTCTTGTCACCAACCCACGTACGTGCGTACGCACGCACGCACGCACGTACACACGCACACACACGCACGCACGCACGCACACACACACACTCCTGCTGTTTCCTCAAGCTATTACCCATCATTGTTTTAGATCAAATGAAAATGAATGACTGCTTAATAGGATGTCGTATGTATTTAATACTAAATAGGTTATTTTGAGTTCTGATGATCTAGACAGACAGACAGACAGACAGACAGACAGACAGACAGACAGATAGACAGATAGATAGATAGATAGATAGGGGCAGTACAGTGGTTTGCACTGTCGCCTCACAGCAAGAAGGTCTTGGGTTCAAATCCAGGTCAGAATGTTTCTCTGTGGAGTTTGCATGTTCTCCCTGTGTCTACCCCGGTTTCTTCCCACATCCCAAAAACATGCAGAAGTGGAGTTACTTTCATTGATCACTTTCAAATTGCCCGTAGGTGACAATGCGAGTGCGAATGGTTGTTTGTCACTATACAGTATGTTAGCCCTGTGATGAACTGCCAACTTGTCCAGGGTGTCCCCTGCCTTCGCCCCAAGACGCTGGGATTGGCAGTTCATGACCTTCATAGAAAGAAACTTAGACAACCGTATTACCATCAGTTCTAAAACAAAAACTTCTTGCATCAAAGCTAAGATCGTGCATTCAGCCGCATTTTCTAGTGTTACCCTCTGCCATATCATGTCATTGCTGAACAAGATCAATAAAAAAAGCAGAGGTGGACAGTAATACAGTAGGTTTACTGAAGTACTGGACTTGATTACTTTTTTGAGTATTTGTGCTGTACTTTACTTGAGTAGTACTTTTTGGGGAAACATTTGACTGGGAAGATCTACACTTTGACTCAAATAAAGAAGTTTGGTATTTCGTCCACCGCTGTTCAAATGTTGAACTGTCGCTTCTCTGCTGATTCATTTCATTTTTTTCAGTTAGAATCTATGACATCATGCCTCACCTGTTTAATATCAATATCAAGTGATTAACTCTGTCATGTCCCTGCTTATCAATATTCAATGTGCTGCAGAATACTTTGGGCCCTGAGAAGATAAGATGAGACAATCACCTCAGACAGACTCAATCAAAAGAAAGTCACTGTGGACCTCATTGCTTGTCAGCATATTTAACAGATGGAATAGGAACTTCTTAACTGCTCATTAGTCTGTAATCAGCTCTGCCCAGTTTAGACTGGTTCTATTTTAACAGTATAGTGCAACACTACTGGAACTATTTCATTTGTTACAATCCAGCTCCAAGTCAAAAGCTGAGAGAGATCTGAAAGTGAGATCTTTTTGTTAGCTGTCATCTATGTGCATGCATTTCTCTGATCTGATATAAACTACATGGATTTATGTCTGTGGTGCAGCCATAAGCTCAGGCTGTTTTGGGGCAAAATAAAGCATTATTTACAGCCATTTTACAAGAATTAAGATGGGTCTTAATAGTTTCCAACCTGCAGCATCATCCTCCTGATTCAGTGTCACCCGGATGTTCTTTACCAGCAATTTCCAGTCATGAGCTCGAGGAGGTTTGGGGGGAGAAACCACATTGTTCCGCACTGCCTATCAAAAGAAAAAGAAAACCTTAAATTAAATGATCGAGCAAAAGCAATCATGCTTCATGCTACGATATATACAGAGGGCTGTAACAACTCATTCCTCTTCTTTTTCATGCGAAGATCTAAAATTTGATTCAAACCATCACTTACTGTATCACCAAACTCAAGAGACAATCTACACAAATGCACATTTCAGCTTATTTAATCCTTCGTTTGTTTCTTTCACTACTTCAAAATCACAAATCTTGCATTCCCTTTGTATGTGTAGCTGCTGACTGATTGTCCACAACCGTATTAAGGTCACAAAGAAGTCGTGACTTCCTCCTCTGTCACAAAGACTGTCAATTTCTCACACTTCTTAGCCAGGGGAAAATTTCAGTCCATAGTTTTAAGAGATAAACTTTGGATCAGATTACTTTAAAATCTGTATTTGTCAATATGTGACAAATATACTATACGGGATAGCTACAGTGAAAATAGTGGTTTGAAAAAGACTGGATGTAAGCATCAGATATTTCTTAGTCATAAAGGGATGGTCGTGGCCTAAACTCAGACATTATCGGAGGCTTATACCCACACACACATAAAAAAATGGTGTAAATGTTCTTTACTTTTAAAAGAGCTGACTACAGCTCATTAAACAGTTAACCTGATGACATAACAAACACATGACAGGGCATGATGGCTGAACAAAGGGCAGGTCAGTTCAAACATTTCTGAAAAAGCTTCACAGCATAAGAATAATAACATGACAAAATAATAAATATGGCAGAAAGGGAATAAAAGTAAATGGACTATTAAACCAACAGGCGAGTGAAATCAGGGATAAGACAGTAAAATTAAAATCAACTCAAAGAAGGAAGGTTTTTCCATAAAGGTTCATGTTGAGCAGTGAAGTAAAAGGAGAGCGACTCTGCAAGTCTGATCTTCTCTGGCAGGCTGTTCCAAAGTCTGGGTGCTCTGACATTAAGTTTTCAGTCTGGACCTTGGAACAGCCAGAGGATCTGGGACATGATTCAGTGGGAGACAAAAGCTCAGACATATAGAGAGGAGCATGTCTGTGTTGCACTTTAAATGTGAAATCCTAAAATTGATCCTCAAAACAACTGAGAGCCAGTGTTGGAACATTAAAACTAGGGTGACATGGGAACCCTTTTTGGTTCTGGTTACAAGCCTTTACACACAAATTAGACTTCAGCTGCAGGTAAGCAGGACTACATGCTCTAGTGACTAACCATTTTAATTAACATCTCCATATAGACAGAGAGAAGATTAGAGAAGATTAGTGTCCTAACCAGAGAAAAAGGTTCAACCTACAGTGACTGGTGAACAGAGTGCAGACATGTTGTTACTTTTAATGTTAAAATGGCCGGGATACAGCAAGGAGAGGTAGGGGGTCTTCAAGCTGTTTATTCCCTGAAAAAAATTAATTAATGATCCAAGACTAAGTGCTCCACTATTTTCACCAGCAGAGTAAGAAAAGCTGCTCAATTAATAAAAAAAAGACACCACAGAGGCAGTGTGGTTTAACCAGAATCAAACGAAAAGCAGTCATCTCTGTAAGGCTTTCGCACTGCAGGACAAACCATCCCTACTTTAAAGTTTCCAGTGTCATTTACAGGGAAACTGAGACTCACCACAAACAGATGAACAGTCAGCTAGAGTGAGGTCTGTATGTCTCTTGGAGGGCTTTCTACCTGCTCTCTTTCAAACTACCAGCAGGAGCGGAGTGAAATCAAATCAGTAGGTGGTGTCCTGATTACCTCCACTTGTCCCATTACGTCTGTGTTGTTACATTGTTGTGTTACTCAGAACTCAATAGGATATCTTTGTTGTCATTGCACCAGGTAAAATGAGACCAAGTCTCTTCTTTAGAGGAACATAAATGTGATGTGAAGCACAGACACCCTAATATCTGTCAGAGTTTCCTCCTTCTACAGACACTGAACCAACGTGAGAGATTTGTCCACACACATTTCTTTTACATGGTGTTCTTGTGTTGCAGCTGTGAAGATGTCATGTTCCCTCCACTCACCTGGACTTCTGAGGTCTGAGCAGGCCTACAGCCCAGCAGCACAGAGGGGCGGGTTGCACACAACAGCTGCTTCAGCTGCTCTTTTATTGCTGTTACACTGAGAAAATCTGCATTTCCCTGACAGAGAGAGCATATGAGACTAGATTAGATCAAACTTGTCAATGAACTCAAGTAAATGAAAATTCCAGCAACATCAGTATGTACAGAAAAAAACAAATGGTCAAATAAGTAAAAAATAAAAATGCAAAGATGTATATAGCATATGATTTCAGTGAAATCTAAAATCTCTGACAGCATCCTGATTGTTTCCTTCTTTTGTATCAGTAAGAACACAAACATTATTAGTGTATGATCAAATTATGCTCCTAAACTCAGATGTTTGACAGCTTTCTTCTTCACTAGTCTGATTAACTTTCAGTGACTCTTAATTTTAATATTAATGTTAATAATATTAATATTAAATATTTATTGTTTATTAATATTAAATGAATTTTAAATCTTAGCTGATTAAACCCTTTACCTGGGTGACATCAGGTGTAATTAGCAGCTCTCCTGTTTCCAGGTGATGCACTCCCCAGCTCACGGTGACCTCATCCTCAGTTTCTTTCATCTGCAGATCAAGCTGGTGAACACAGAGACAATAAATCAGACAAAACAGAGAGGAGGGAGCTGCTCTCCAATCATAATGCTTTTATGTCATTTGGACAGCCTAATAGACTCCAACAATGTTTATTAGAGAGTAGACTCATTTTAAACTAACCTTTTCTGCACATTTGAATGTGCCTCTATTCAATCATTCACTAGTATAATCTGATGTAAACGCTAATGAGGGATGAAGTTTAAGAGTAGAGGACTGTAGCCCTCCTTACATGACTGGTTCAAGCCACCATCATTATGCCACACTAATGTCTCATTTTCCCCATGAACAGCCTCTTACATACTGCTTGTTCTGCCATCATTAATGCCTTAGCTCTTACATACTGCACCCTGAAAAGCTGTACCAGTGTCCCAGTGTGTCATTACATATCACATGACATTGTTGTGGGAGAGCTACAGTCTCTTATGGTGGTGACAGAGTTATTCACTTGATATAATAACTGTCTATGACATCAAGACTGTGTAGTCAAAAAACTTAGGGCTGTAATGATTGAAAAAACATTGCCAATGTATTTCACATCATGACAAAAACAAAATTAGGTTACTTCAAAATGTATCATATTAATAAATATTCATATTTGTTCAGAAGTAACACAACACAGAGGCAGCATAAAAGCTAAATGTTCCTGTTCTAAGTCAAACATGAATGTTTAATGGACTCGTTCACAATTACAAGAACTAACAGAATACGTGCTACACTGAATGGCAAAGAAACAGCACATTAAATCAAGCCACTTTGAGATCTGGGGGTACACCTGGGGCTGGGGCACTCCCCAAATATATTCTGAATGGACCCTGGACACCCGCATCTTTTATCTTTTAGCAAAGACAGCTTCTTACAGTTTTATGCCTCTCTGAGTCTGATTTCTAGGAAATTTCTAGGACCTCAAATAAAACACCCTGCATGTTTATTGTTCAGTCATTTCAGGTGATCTTTGTGTGGATGACCACCTGTTCTGATATCAAACTCAAACTGAGAGCAGCAAACACCGAAGCAAAACTTTTACAGCTAACCACAGGTGGGCACTCTCCTGCAGCTTTTAGCACTGAAGCGTCAGCTTCATTCTTGAGGATCTGGGGTTGCTGCTTGATTGATCAACCCCAACTCCAGTGAAGTTGGGATGTTGTGTAAAACGTGAATAAACAGAAAAAACAGAAAACAATGATCTTTAAATTCTTTCCTACCAAAATTCAACTGAATCCACCACAACGATATTTAATATTCAAACTGATGGACTTGATTGCTCTCTTGCAAATATTCACTCATTTTGAATTTGATGCCACTTGCCTGATACATGTCCTGACTTCTTAAGAGTTGGAGTTTTGGCTCACAAAGTAACTTACAACATGACATTACCTACTGCCACCAGGAAGCTCTTTGGCTGGGATGAAATATTCTGCATGGTGTATTATTCATGAGGTTTTCATTGCCCAGGTCTCTTCCACCTGTAAACCTGCTTCTATGCAGATCAGATGAATGCTGTTACAATTAGGTCCTCGTACCTTCTCCATGTTCAGGCCCTAATAATGTGGAGTGAGCAGATGTTGTGAAAATTTAAGTCCAATTTCACTAAAGTGGAGCTCACCCTCTCAGGGTTATAGTTCAGCAAACCACACACTTACTGTGCTTTTTTCTTTATATGTCTGTCTTTTTTCACTTCCTGTATGCCAAATCTCTACAATGGCCAACAAGTAAAAATGAGTGATCTTCACTGAGAGAAACACACAGCAAACACAGACACGAAACAACTTTGAAAGCAAATGCAAAAGTCCAAAACAAACAATGCACACTGAAGTACTCCAGGCCTGTAGGGGCACTGTCAGACACAGCTCTACTTTTGGCAGGACAGAGAGGAAGAGCAGATGCTCCCTTTATCTGTTATTGACATTTATCTGTTATTGACAAAGACTGTTGACGAAAAACAACCTCAGAGTTCATGACCACGCCTTCATGTGTACTGTGCCTAAATACAACAGTATAAATATGTAAATAAAAACCCACTCAGCCTTGACAAAAAAGTCTGTGATGGACAGAAAGCTTGTCTACATTAACAACTCCTGCTTTGATCAGCTATGAATTCCAGTTAGCCATGCAGCTAGTGGTGCTATTAGCTTATTAGTCAGGCTCAACACCCTGGTGTCAAACAAGATCAGTGTGTGCTCTTCTACTTCGTCCTCAATCTCAGTCAGTGATAAAACTGTGGCACTCAGCACCTTCACAGGCCTGGAGTACTTCCCTTTAAAAGTCTCACTTGCTGCTTTATTTGCTTTTTATCATTTGAGCATGTGGAGCACTTCAAACTTTTGGCAACATGTTTTACCATTTGCAGTGTTATGATTGTCTTGTTTTGTTTTTCCATTTGCAGCCATTTACTCCTTTTAAAGATTGTTCAGGTCATTGCATCATTTGTCCTTGTCACTATAGTTTAATAAGACCTTGAAAACAGCTTCTGTTTTTCACCTAAAATAAGAAAATGAGCTGGGGCTGTGACTTTTACCTCCATATTTTGAAGTTATGCCTGGCTTATGCAATGCCTCTCTGCTTAGCCTGACAAACAGGACGAGGGTGAAGTGGAAAAGGTTACAAAGGTGTGTGTCAACACCTCACCCAGCTGAGAGAGAGAGAGTGTCAGGAAATGAGAGAAAGGCAGAAAACAAAGTGGGCCACCCTGTCCCTGCATGCCTGGAATCCAGCATTACACTGAACAGCCGCCTCTCTGATTCCAAACAAAGGCCCCAACATAGAGAAACGACAATGCTCAGATGGATCAGGAACAATATTACAGCCTTGATGGGAAGACACAAATGTGTGTATGGCAGAAACCCAAACTTGGCGGAGATTACATAGAGAGAAATACATGTCTGCTGGCGAAGTTGGATTAGAATCCAAACACCTTGCCACACACAGGTCTACCAATAAACTTTAAACTGACTAATGTGCTCACAGTAAGCCAGCTGCCACTCCATATTTTAACCACTTACAATCTACAGACTGCATCACAGCTCATACCTCACTTCACTGTTTAACCTGAGAGTATAAGAGAGGATCCATGACCAAACAAAGGGTTTGCATCCTCTCATATCTGAACTCAAGTCAGTAAAGCACCCTTCTCTCACAGACAGTATCCAAATACTTCACCCTACACGTTGATAACAGCGAGGCACCTAAGATAAAAATCTCTGCTCGCCAAATCAACTCAGTTTTTAACAAGGGATAACATGCTTCAGTCGTTATACAAAGTTAAACAGACTTAAAACAGGGTAAGGTTTTTTATCCCCCTAACATCAGTCACTGAGGCAGAGCTTGGAAGAAAAAGAGGGGGTAAGCAGATACATTTGATTTCATGAAATCAATCAAATAATCCTGAGTTTAGATAGTTCGACCACTGCTCTTTGTATTTGGTGTTCAAAAGTGCACTCCAATATAATATATTTATATTCATCATAGCTATCTTTAAGATATTGTTCACTGATGAAACTTCAAAAGTGTCACCCTTTCACATATAACTTAAAATGTAAAGTGTTTCACTCATGTGATGTGGTGTAATGAGCTGCTGTGAAAGCTGTAGCTTGGTGAACACAGGTGTGTCTGTGTGGATGAATGAGGGAGACTCTGTTGATGAAGTTTATACAGTTAATACCAATGTTTACATCAGATCGCTGCTCTGTGTGTGTGCCCATGTGTAACGTTGTGAAAGATCCTCGGTGTGTGAGCCTCTCTCCCTGTCGTGACTGATCATCACCAGTTAGTCGAAGCAGGACGTTTGTCCTGCTTGCTTGGTCATTTGAGTGGCTGGGGCAAAATAGTAGGCTACTTTCATTAACACTTGCCATGCTGTGCATGCAGCTTTTTGATGAGGCAGGCTGTAAATTGGTCTATTGTCCAACCGCTTGGGACTCTGCTACATCTCCTTTGTACTAATAGCCGGTGATAATAATAAATAATCAAAATAAATAATAAATAATAATACCCCCGCCTCGAGCCACCACCTTACCATGGTGGAGGGGTTTGTGTGTTCCAGTGATCCCAGTAGCAAAGTTGTCAGGGGTTCTATGCCTCTGTTAGGGTTACCCATGACAAACAGGTCCTGGGGGAGGGATCAGACTAAGGGTGGCTCAAATAGACCCCTTACACGGGTACAAGCGGCCAAAATTAGTTTGCTCCGCAGGGTGGCTGGGCTCTCCTTTAGAGATAGTGAGAGTGAGAAGTGAGAAGCTTAGTCATTTGGGAGGAGCTCAGGTTGAGATGCTGCTCCTCTGCATTGAGAGGTGTCGGATGAGGTGGCTTGGGCATCTAATCAGGTTTTCCTCCTGGACCCCTCGCTGGTGAGGTGTTCAGGGCATGTCCCACCAATAGGAGACTGCGGGGAAGACCCAGGACACACTGGGGAGACTATGGCCCAGTTTCACAGACAAGGTTTAAGCCTAGGCCGACTAAAATGCTGTTTGAGCTGGCTTAACTTTAAGTCACTTGCACAAATTTATCTTAAAATAGTCATAGATTCAGTGTGTTCTGGATTAAACAAAGCCAATTGTAAGAGGATGAATTAGAGCTACTCTAGAACTAGATTGAAGTTTATATTAATCCTGAATAGAGGCAGGTTTCACTTTAGGTTAGGGTTAGGGAAAGGAAGTACAGATGGTTTGGGAGCATGGAGTATTCATAATATCTAAATGACCAATATTTGCTACAGAGGCCAGCCAGACAAATACTTGTGGACAAGAGTAATCCATTGAATCAGTTTGATGAGATAATTTTCCAAGTACAAAGATGTACTGAAAACGATTACTTTGCTTGAGCCTCGACTTTGCTCCATGTCTCAAAGAGGAAGGCCTGTACCCAGTTCTCTCCCAGTTCTGATTCTTTGAGATTCTTGGCATCTGGAACCTTTGATTATGAAACTGGTGATTTGTGTGGTGCCAGTGAAGCAACAATATGTAGAATAGTTCACAATGTCTACAGTACCATTTATGAACTGAGATATCTGTACATCAAGTTCCTTGATGCTGCTGAGCAAGCCAACTATTAATTGCAATTCTACAAATCTAGGAACTTCCCAGGAGTGATGGGCTGTATAGATGGGTGTCATGTTAAAATCAAGTGTCCATCAACTCCTGATGCTGAGGAGTACAGGAGCGGTAAGAACTGGTTTTCCATCGATGTTCAGGCTGCATGCACTCCCAATTTAGAGTTTTCAAACATTGTTGCCCATTGGAAAGGAGCAACACATGATTCAAGGATTTGTCAAACTCTTCACTTTGTTCTCATTTTGTATTCTATTCTTTTTAAGTGTGGGAGAATGAAGAGGATAGCAACTGTGGAGCAGCCTCCAGACATCACAGTGTAAATAACAACAGGCTGAACTTGTTTTTTAACTGTTTAAAATGTAGAAATCTGTATGGCATACATATGAAATATAATAATGTTAATCCAGTAAGGTCAACATTTGTAATTATGCAGGGCTCCTTAGCAGCACTACACTACCACAGAGAACTTTATGTACTCCTCACAGTGTAAACACAAAGAGCTTCAGTTCTTTTATAAGGCCATTAGCCAAGACTATTCTGGCATGCATTTCAGTCCACTTGTACCGGTAGACAAATGTATAAAGACATTTTTAAAAGGCCCTCTGACCATTCTAGACCAAAGCTGAAACAATCAAGAGTAAAAACGAGACGAGAGGCTTCCTTTATGTTCCTGCAACAACAGATGATCCACAACCAAAACAAAACTGCCTGACCCTAATCCTGACTTTAGCTTCCCAGTCACTCACTGTAGGTTGTATTTATGGCACAGTGAGCTCAGAGAAGATGACAAGCACCTTATTGGCTTTAAAATAGCCATTAATACAATTGGGTTAGCCTGTATAGCTGCTTTTATCCACACACTGGTGAAGAATTAACACTAACCCAAGAACACAGCGAAAGCTTAGCACAGCTTAGAGCATACAACCCTTGATATGTACACAACACATCACCTTCAACGCTACTTTATTTGAGCACTGCTATATTTAACAAAGATGGGTGTTACACATACTCCATATGAGCCCTGTAACATTAAGGAACTATACACGAATTTAATAAGTGTTGTTAAGAGCGGGAAGCCATTAACAATTTCTGTCATAACTTCAGAGTTAAATCAATCATGGACAGCCCTCTGGACTGTATGACTGAATGCCAAGCGTAGTGAAAAAAGTTTTAACAGTAATTCAGGACTATTGCCAGGCACAGAAAGACATCCCAACCATTTAAATTTAGACGCTGAGCCTGCAGTGATCTAACGCTGGGCTGGGTTAGAAAAGTATCTCCTGACACCCAGGTACTGGAGGCATATTTACGGGAGGACAATGAGCAGTGGAGGGCAAGCTACTAGTCAAATGGAGTGAATTAAGCTACCAGTTACTCTCCTTAAGATTTAGCTTAACTACACCAGAACTACTCCCTCAGATGATGGCACACGCTAAACTAGAGCAACTCAGCAGACGTATATCACTACTTCAGAGCTAGTTTAACACTTTTTATCTATAATTTCATGGATTGTTTTTGCAGTTTTGCTGTCTTGTTGTAGTTGGGGCCAAATCACTGAGTAGGTGTGAGGACCTTGTTGTATTACTTGGAATATTATTAGGGCCTGAGCATCAAGTAGGTGAAAGGACCCAACTGTAATTACTAAGATAATTATTAGAATTAGAGCCCAGGCAATATCTTGTGTGAAAGGCCCGATAGATTTTTAGGATTAGCAGAGCCAGAGCACCAATGATATAAGGGCATAAATGGACTTTCCTCAGTTGACCATTCTGATTGTTATTCTGTGTCTTTTGTCACAATTTGGGGGCCTTAAAAGCTCTAAAACTCATTAAAAGTTCCACATGCGTCAAATCAGGTGAACATTTTGATATTTTATGGATCTGAACATGAGCAGGAAGAATTGGCTCAATAGCATCCTCAAAAAATTCTGACCACTTTCAAGTCAAAGGATGATTTTCCTTAAACAAAACCTGCTTCCAGAGACTTAAAAAGTCTTTACATTGTGATGAACCGTCGATAAGAAGTTCAATATTCTGAAAGAACTAGCAAAACTCTCCTGTCTTGGGGCCCTTCCTTGTGTACATCCCGTCCACTTAGTTCTTACTTTGCAATTAGAACAAATCTAAATAAGTAAAAATCCCAGGGCTCAGAATGGAATATCAACAGGTGTGGCTGTAACAAGCCCTCAAAGTTCCCTGTTTTGCCATTAGACAGGAAGTAGCTTTTATCTCAGCCTAGGGCTCGAGACTGCGACCATACGAGACCTTTATTTCAGCATGTGCAGGGAAGAATTTCATCTGGTCCCGTTTATGCCAGTGCATTTGATTTACTGCTTACTGTAACGCTGTATTAGACATTGTGGTTGAAAGTTGCCCTCCTTTTACTCTCTTAGTCAGTCTCCTCCATCTGCACTCTCTCCTGTTCTGAGAATAGAGCGCTGTTGCATACATACAGAACTTCTTGACAACAAGTGTTTCACTATTTCCAGAAATGAGCCAGTCTATATCACTGATTATTCAAAAAACAATATGAGGAGAAACAGGAGGAAGCTGGTGGTAAGCAGGCACATGCACACACAGGAGCCAAGGGGTGCTTGAGCACCTGCCTTTAGCGTGTGTGTGTGTGTGTGTGTGTGTGTGTGTGTGTGTGTGTGTGCGCGTGTGTGTTTTAACACAAGGGTTATCTACTGTACCTATTTTCTTGTAATACTGTGTTGTGTGTATGTTGCTCCTGCAACTTCTCTGTCTCCAGGCTTTGGTCTGCTGTCTCTCTCACAGAGCCTTGAGAGACAGAAACAGAAAGAGAGGAAGGAGAGAGAGAGAGAGAGAGATAGAGAGAGAGAGATAGAGAGAGAGAGAGAGAGAGAGAGAGAGAGAAGTGGCTGCTTCCTGGATTACTGATGAGATGTGACAGTGGAGCGACTTGAACTTCCATTGGGGCTAACACACCACCTTATTCAAGGTGTTAAAATACAGTATGAGTCATATTACAGAAAAGTGTACATGTGTGCTTGTAAAGCTAACTGTTTGTTAATAATAGTTAAGAACAGTCTCATATGACTGCTGTTTGTGTAGGTTGCTTATCCTGCCACAGTTCTTATTCTTCTTCCAGATTTTGAGTTGATTGTGACTTTGCTGTTCCAGCTCAGATTCACAGGAGCAGTCACAGTAGTCATTTCTTGGTTTTGTCACACTTTTAGATGTGTATTTCTAGATTGCTCTGGCCCTCCCATGATTTTTTTGTCATGCACACTGTGTTGATGAGTTTCCCTTTGAGGATTAATATAGTAATTGGTAATGTGCAACCTTGGAAAAAAATATCATACAGTATTAGCCTTAGCCTACCAATTTAGAAGTTATGACTCGGTTTTGAGAAGTTGGGAAAGTAGTCTAGCTCATGAGTGCATATCACTCACAGCTACATATGATACACTGCTAAGTAGTTAGCTTGCTGTACATACTTTGTTTATTACATTTACATTAATCTACACTGATGTCTTGCTGCATAACAGGAAGCTTCTCTTACTCACAAATACAGAGTATGGACTGTTTCAAACTTTACATCTATCATTAGAATCACTGGGTCTCATTCATGAACCATGAGTACATTTGTGTGCAAACATCATTGGTACTAAAAAAAAAGACTATAGATTCATGATAGTGGAATACAATCCTGATTTGGTCATAGGCACATGTATAAATTCATGACAGTTCATGAATGCCAATCGACCATTAAGAGACAGCACTCCTGCTAGCCAATAATCAGCATAACTCTCCACCCATTGATAGCCAATAAACACCATATAAGGCATACGAGCCAACAGTCCCGTTCTTCCCAGGACTGTCCTGTATTTCAGACCCATCCCCCACCCACCTCCCATATTGTCATGTCTCCCAGGAATCTCCTGTAGTTTGCATGGTCCACGTTCATTCATAAATTGTATCACTATATTAGTCCAAAGTTGCCAGGTTTCCAGACAACTAAAGATTGTCCTGCGTTTCCGCCATAGACTGTATACACTATGGACATCTTGGTTCCACCTTCTGCCAGTATACAGATTTGAGGCCAAAAAGCTCTCAGAAATTCTGTGATTTTTCTCCATTTCCTGAAACCAACATTGTGCAGTAGTGTTGTACGCACTCCACCACTTGTGCAGTAGCATTGTGCGCATTCGGCCGAGAGTCGCTGTGATGATGCTTGGCTCAAATAGCGTATCCCCTGGGTGAGCTATGCAATCTTCGTACACCCATAGGCTGTATCAAGTGTCAATCATAGAAAACATGAACCCCCTAATAACTTTTAAAAATGAAGCTGTACAGAAAAAAAGGGGACTTGAGCACAAACCAATCTTACAGTAACTACATGTCAGCATCGCAAGCAGGGGGGAGAAAAATTTATGTTCTGTGTGATAAATTTGTCCACAGCCCCATAAGTTTTGCTGACGGAGGCGGGATTTATGACCTATACTGCAGCCCGTTACCAGAGGGTGCTGTTGATACTTTTACTTTACAATAGGGATGGGAATTTATAAGATTTTTATTGTTATTGATGCCATTATCGATTCTGCTTATCGATTCAATTCTTTAACGATTTGCTTATCAATGCCTTTCTTTGATAAAGAAATTTTTACCGTTAACTTAAAATTTTATTGAGTCTCTGATAACAGAAAAAGATTGATAGTGCCCAACGTGCAGCAAAATTCTCCCGGATTTTATAACCCAAGTGTTGGCAGGTATGATCAAGCTTTTTAAACCTTTGGCACAAGACCAGCTTTGTCAACGGCAACTTGTCCTTAATGCAAACAAAACTAAACATTTGTTTCTTATACCTTCAAAAGCAGAGAAAACAGCCTCATTGAGGAAAATTGTTACCAAAGACGGTTGTAAAGTCAAGTTGGTATCTAATACTGAGTTATACCTGGAGAAACCTTTCAGGAAACTGAAAACATTGACATCTGAATAACCAAGATTTTTTGCTGCTCAACTTACACAAAACGGGGAATTTATTTTTGGCCCCAAACAAAGAAAGACATTTTTAATAAGCATAAATAATACGCAAAATAGATGCATAATAATGTGTGTGCCATAAATGGCATCAGTTTGGCATTTGACACCACTTATAGGAATCTGGGAGGTTATTTGATCAGGATCTGTGGTTCAACTCTACAAATTTGAAGGTCCACCATATCCACCTGTTTAACATCACAAAACTGGGGATAAATAAACTCTTGTTAATATTGTTATTATTGTTAATTATTATTATTATTATTATTATTATTATCATCATCATCACGCTGCCCCAGCAAGACTCCAAAGACTCGTCAGTTGGTCCAAAACACTGCAGCTTCAGTGCTGACTAGAACTAGGAAAAGACAGCACATCTCTCCCTCAGCTTCTCTAAAGACACTCTGCTGCCCTAAAAAGTGCCCCAGTCAAAGTCTGGGCTTCAATCTGATAGGGATGCTATGGCCTGACCTGAAACAGGCCATTCATGCTGGAAAACCCTCCAATACAGCTGAATGAAAAGAATTCAGGCAAGGAGTGGGCCAAACTCCTCCACAGCCAAAACAGAAACTCACTGACAGTTATCACAGACACTTTACAGCAGCTCCTTCAGTGACAGGCTGCTTCACCCACGGTGTGTGACAGAGAGATACCACAAGTCCTTCCTTCCTTCCTGCTGCAGTCAGACTGTTTAGCCAGGCCTGCTCCCAGTAGTTCAAGTTTTTTCGAGCACCACTGATGGACAACAACTCAATGTTACCTCAATGTGCAATATTGACAGGCTAGATATTTATTACAATTGCAAACACCTACATTTTTTGTCATGTATAATAACTCCAATCATGTGCATTAATAACATGTCCAATTCTTCTTGTTCACTGTGTAGAACTGTATTAGTTTTTGTTGTTGTTGCTTCTTCTCTTTTTACTTTGTATATAACATTTCTTGTATAGGTCTAAGTTAACTTTTTATAATTATCTGTTCACTGTGTGCATGATGAGTGGACTCATTCTCATTCTTTGTTTGCTATGCTGATGCTTTGCTGCTGTGACACTTCAAATCTCCCCACTGTGGAATAAATTAAGGTTTATCTTGTCTTGATTGCAGTTGTTGCTACTAGAGATGGAACAACCAGCTATCAGGTTAAGGAGGAGATGACTTTCACACAGGGCCAGGTTAGTTTGTATTGTTTCTCTCAATAATTAAATCAGCATTTAAAACGTGTTTTGTTTTTTGTATTCAGATTAGTTTGATGATCTGAAACATGTAAGTGAGACAAAAAAGCAGAAACAGAAGAAATCTGTGAGGGGAAAATACTGTTTCGCAGCAGTGTTATTGGCGTCATCACAAATGCTGCTTTTAGACCTGTTAACTTCAGATAAAATTACAGCTGCTCTCTTGTCATTCATTTCCTTTTTTGCTTAGAGCACATGTGCTTGTACCATTATGGCTGGCACCGCAACCATAAGTTTGTGCTGTTGTTGCTGTTATTCTTGTGTGTCTGCCTCTATCCTCTCTCTTTCTATCTCTTCCTCTATCCCCTTTCTAATCCCTACAGGGTCACGGCAGATGGCTGTTCAACATGAGCACTCTTCTTCTTCTCAAGGTTTCTGCCTGTTGGAGGGAGTAGAGAGTAGAGTTCTGCTCCTGGTGGATTAAGATGGGATAAGAATGGATCTTATCTTTCTATGATGTGATCAGTTTCACCTTGATGTCGGGTCCTTGTAAATAATGTAGAGTATGTTTTAGACCTTTTGTTCAGTAAAGCATCTTGCAGTACCACCTGTTATAAGTAAGGGGTATATAAATAGAGGTTATAAGTGTGTATGAAGGCTGCACGATATTGGAAAAAATACATTGCGATTTTTTCCAACCCTGCGATATATATTGCGATATTAAAAAATACAGGAATTTTCACCAGATGACCTGAATAGCATTTAATGCTATGCTGCACCGCTGACGTCTTGAGAACAGTTAACCTGCACTGATCTTACCTCTTTTTGTGAATGTTAGTAGAATGGTTTCTGTCTGTCTCAGAGATGTTTTTAGCTTTTATTGTTCTGGGACGTTATTGTGGTGACAGATGATCACAGAACACATGTTTTGGTCGACATCATCCATCTTGTAACAGAAATAATTCCAGAGAATTGACTTTCTTTTCTTTTTGGCAACAAATCTTCATCTTCTGTGGTTTTCTCTTGTTCGTTGCTCATTTTGCAATCGTTGTTGTTGTTACCGGTGTTGTGCCGAGAAACGCGTGCACCACGCAAAACGCGCACCGCTTATAGTAGAGTGGTCCACGGAAATATACATTTTAAAACCCATACAGTTCTTATTTGTTGGGCTTAACAGTCATTAGTAAAATTCCGAAAGTAATTTTCAGTGGACACCCGTTTCTTGGCTCAACACCAGCAGCCAGTGACTCACTCCATGTGCAGAACATGTGCAGGGGTTGGTTTCCTCCTCTCTGATTTTGATTGACACCTGGCAGGGTAGTCTGATTGGCAACTGAGAACTGAGTCTGATTGGCAACTGAGTAAAGGACGAAGGTGATTGGTGGATCGCTGCACAGCACATGCAGAGTCATGTGCAGTGTATCTCAGTCAGTTACCCCTGAAATTAACTGAGTTCATTCACCTCCGACATCACAGGCCATGTGATGTGATTATTGCACATACGTACATCGCGATGACGATGCTCAAACGATATATCGTGTAGCCCTAGTATGAATGTAACTCATGCTTGTGTGTTCGCATGATTGTCAGCTGCTGGACTGTCATAAGTTTAAGTAAAGGACATAGAGATAGATACAGTGTTGTCACAGTTACATGACAGCAGAAAGTGCTACAATTACACTTCCACATTCAGGCTGGCGTCACCTTCTGGTCCTCAGCGCTTTAAGACCAGAGGTGACCCAGCTGCATATATGCTTTACCCAACTTGTTTGTTTCTGAGAGCAGAACAGAGAGCCTGGTTGTGCCTACACTTTGTCAAGGGAGACTGTAGCTTTTTGTGGACCCTCCAAATGAACTACTGAACAGCTTTTTGTTTCCAAAGTCAGCAATACTCCCACCAAACTAGAAAGAAATATATTTGAGCTACTACCGTCTCTAACTGTACCGCTGTTACTGCCCATCACTGTTAATGACTGTTTAATTTCATTATAACAACCTTCATAGATGCCCCAGAAAAACCAACTGTAGAGCATTTACCTGCAGCTCCAGTGAAGATAAACACACTGTGTATTTATGAGGATCTGATAGAGACATGGATGTCGGTGCTGCGCTGACAGAGAACTGAAGCTCCTCCCCAACAACACTGCAGGAGGCGGCCTGTTAGGAAAACAAAGCAAGGCATTATTACTGGAGCCTGATCAATACTGGACTTCTGAGAGGAATATTCAGAGATTTCAGAGGGACCATTCACAGAATACAGATTTAGTGGCTGATGTGGAGCATCTACCAATTACAGTATAGAAGTATACAAGTATAGAAATAAAAATTTACTCTTTAAATTTTCAGCTTTTTCACCTACACTGTAAAAAACAAACAAACAAAAAAAAAACAACACAAATCCATTTCACATTCAACATACAGTTTTCTACTAACTATTTGGTGGACACACATGAACTGAGCGAGTCAGTGACAGTAATCATATCAAATCCATGCACAGTTCAGAGTAAACCGCTGTTAGAAAAGCTGTAATCATGTGGAGGGGGGTTTCACCACATGGGTTTCAGGAGGGCACCTGGTTCGGGCCTTCCTCAAGGTCTGTGAATGTGAATCTGCAGAGCCCCTAAAATGAGGGAATCATCTTTTATGATAGTACTCTGTTTTTAAGTCTGTGCTTTTCTTCCATCTTTCTTTTGTGGGCACATTTCTTGTGCAACCAAAATGAAAATGATCACCTAATGGGATTTCTGCAACAGCGCCATATGAGTCACGAAACAGACTGAGTAATGGTTACAGAACATCTGCTGAGAACACTGTAGACTATGATGTAGACTATTTTTGTGTTGTGATTGTCTGCTCAACATGGCTTTGCTTAACCATGTCCTCAATTTCTCTTCTAACATTACTGCATTAATTAAATGAGGTCAAGAGTGCACAGATTGGTCAGGTTACCAAGAGAGCACCTTCTGCTGAATCATACAGACAGCTACTTTAGGCGGCCTGATGCTCTGGATAACTGCTGAGAGTTCGAGCAGCTTATTGCAGTTCAAATAAGAGCTTTTCCCCTAGAGTTTAAATGATAGTTCTAATTAGTAATGAAAAAGAACAGCTCGAATATGTGTGATCACAAACCTCCAAATCTCTCGCCCTAGCTTTGGAGAATATTTCCCGCTAGCCTCCTAGTTTGATTTCAGGGCACGTCCAGGTGAGCTCTCAGACAAGAACACAGCAGAAAATCCTCCAAAGAAGTCTCAGCTAGCTACCAGGAAGGAGATGATGATGTTTCTACCATGCAGCAGGAGTCCTGGCTAGTTTAGGTAGTTGGTTGAATAGTAGCCTGGCTGGGCCATCCAGTTGCGTGAATCACTTGCCGTTCCTTCCCACAACAGTCTGGACTTCGGCAAATTGGGAGCGTGTATTAGAAATCAGAAAATAACTGGGCCAATCAGTGACTGTTTCCACTGTTCCCCGGACAACAGTAAAAGGCAGTTGTGGGAAGGAACGGCAAGTGATTCACGCAACTGGATGGCCCAGCCAGGCTAGTTGAATAGTGCTACTGTTAGCACTATTTATCCTTGTATCAGGTATCAGTCAGACCCAAAAAGCCAGACAGGGAATTAGTGACAAGGGGCCTATCCCAAGGCAATCCTTGGGGCAGACCTACAATCCTCAGTGTTTACAATCTGCCCAGCAGGTCTGTGCATTTTTTTAAGTTGTACTTTTAGGTCGTCTTGCAGTATGTATCCAGGTATCGGGACTCAAAAAGCTGGATCAGTGCATTTTCGAGTTTTGAGGTCATTAACAGGTTTGAGTGCACTGTCTGGATAAGGTCAGTATTTGTTGGTCCACTGTTCTGAAACTTTAACTGATGATTTTCGGAGAGGTATATCCCAGTACACTAATATCTCTTATCGAATACTTCTGAATCACTCCATATTGCACCACGGCTCCCTCCATCTGCATGAATCCACAGATTCATGTGCACACGCTGATTGACTGATGTCGCAGAACCGCTTCGTAAAGCATCTCATAAGAAGCATTATTTGGTCAGACACTGGTGGTACATGTCCAAACACAGCTATGTAAAAGGAGGAACTGGTGAAACTTCATCAGTATGTAAAATGTTTCAATTATACAAATGTTATTATGTGTACAGTCACCAGTCACATGAGCTCGAAACACTGACAAACATTTGCCTGAGGAACTCACTGAACGAAAATGTGGAGGGGAAAATATGTGCACCACCTCACAAAGGCATTCTCGCGCATTTCTCACATTCAATCATCTGCAAGCACAACACGCCACCTTCACTGTAGAAGAATGCTGGTCTCGCTACTTCACCTTGCTGGATGGGTCTGAAACCTTTCAGTTCATTTCATTTTTCCAGAAGGGATCAGAAACAGTCTCATGTAGGAGGACGTGTTTTTTGTGTTGATTTTTGAAAGTGATTGTTCAGACCCAAACCAATCAGACACAGCAGAAATGTACACAGCCAGCAGCATACGGAGGAAAGAAACACATTTTCTCACCAATGGACACTCCACGTTCAGTTGTTGTTTTTTCTTGTTTTAATGAAAAAGCATCATCCACTTTTAAAGTCTAAAATGAATTTAACACGGTTGGTTTTTCAATAAAGGCTGAAGTGGCGCTCCTGTGTCGTCATCTTAAAGAGCCCACCCCATTTTAAATTAGTGACTGTGACTGGGTTAGCAAATCTGACAAGGAGGGGGAACAGCTTGGACACCTAGCTGTACATGAAAGGTAATAAGAGCTGGCTGATTTGTCTGACAATACAAGACTAACTGAAGTAAGGTAAAAAGAGAAAAAGTCCCACCCAGTGCTTGAGTGTCTGTGAGCAGAAATATATTTCTTCTCTACATTCACTGGAGCAGAGTCACTGAGGGTGTTTGTGTCTCTCTGGGCACTGCTGGGTATTGGATGTCTGGGAAAACCTTCACGTAAACATGGGTGTTGTCTGCCTGCTCCTTCTCAGGTGCTGAGCTTGACAGCTATGTAAGCCTTTAAAGTACACATACACGCATTCACAGCACAAGGTAAAAGGCCTCAGTTCATTTAACTCCCTGCTTTGGATAGCTGAGCACCTGGTATTTTGGTCCATATCATGATGATCACAAAGAAAGGGCTGAGCGTGCAATAGGGGACACTGCATAGCCAACAGTGAGCAATTTATCCTCTCTGACCCCGCTGAAACAAATAAAAGCCCTCTGATGCCAGCTCGCTTTACAAACCTGCAGCATGTTTGCATACAACCAGCAGGACTGTTAAAGAAGCAACACCTGAGAGGACCAGGTGTGCTTTTCTTCTTAACAAAAGCTCAACAAATGACAAATAAAAATTGGTCAAGTTATTACATTCAGAAAAAGTCTGTATCGTTAGACTGTTGATAAGTCTGTTTGTACACTGCAGGATAAATGCAGCACTAGGTGTAAGAAATTTCCTCTGCAGTTAAACAGGAGAGGAGAGATCTATTTGTCAAAGATTTGTTGATCAGGAATAAAAGTGAAGAAATCCCAGATCTAGAGGTTTCTGCCAACAATATCCAGATGAATGCAGAAACTGGCTGGTAGAACAATTACAATATATAAGATAATTAGAATTTTATTTATCCCTGAGGGAAATTTTTTATTTTCTGGGTTCTCGTGTCTTAATTTTTATGACATATATACAGTATATACACTGTACATATTAATATATAAATATAGATAGATCACTATGGAAAGAGTCATTCCCATTACCAGGCTCAGCGAGAGCTGTTTGAGGGGAGGGGCCACGCCTTCACTCTGCTATGAGGAAGAGGAGGAGAGCGTCCATCATTCACAGTATGGGACTTAGGCGGGATAACACAATTATTGTTCAGTCTTGATTACCATCTTTTATACTCATAGGCAGCTGTAATCATGAGTGTTATTCAAATCAGATTAATTTCCCAACTTAACAATGAACATCTTGTTAACATGTAACAAGAATCCATGCTCAGTGTGCAAACATTTAACCATTTAATATAGAAACTACACACCAGCCACTTCAGGGTCAATGTTTTCAGTTTGACATTAATGCCAGCGTTTTCAGGCTTAATGGACGAAAAGGAAGAGAAGAGCAAAGAAAGGAGGTTCATGACACTTATTTAGAAAGGAGAGCATTTCTGCTTCTGGATGTTGGACAGAAATAAACCTCCATGTATTCATGTATGACATTACAGTTAGTGTACCTTGTTCTTGGCAGACTTCTGAAAGCTGGACACTTTGCTGACCACGAGCTCTGATGCTTCGACATCACCTTCGTCAAATGTCAACAGAACAGGACCCTGACAAAGAGGAAGACAGAAACAAACAGGTAAAAGGAAGAACAAAACAGTCAAATGAAAAAAAGATCTAGACACTTCAGATGTGGTGCAAGAATGTCTTTTTTTGAGTGAAAGAACTTCTCATGTGTGAAACTTCTCACTGTAAGATGTGGGACTGTCCCACATTCACACCTTGGACTGAAGCAGCTTCTTTCCTCTACCATTTGTTTTCAGTGACAGCAGCAGTGGGACTGTCACAGTGCTGATATTGAACATTTTGTCAAGCTTTATTGTCACTTTTTAGTATTAGCTAGGCTGAGTGCTGCAGTGAATTGTAAACTCCTCCCTCCTTTACCTCCCTCCTTGTTTATACCAGAGGTGAGAAATCACATTTTATGTACCATATATACTGTACCATATGGTATTATACCTAAAATACTGTTGTCCAGGCTGAATTCCCTTTACATGAGCTTGGGTTGGCTGGTAATCAACCACTTAAGTTCAACAGTTTAAATCAATTATACTTGTTTTGTTCTGATACATAAGTATAGGGACCAGTGGCAACGAGGTGACTCGAATAGAGAGCCCTGCATAATTTCTTTATTGGACTATCAATGTAACCTGTACAATTAATGTGAGATTGACAGCTGGGTTCACATAGCTGGATTAATGTTTAGTCCCAACCCTTGCACTTTTATTTCGCACTTGGTTTGCTGTCTGTCTCTTGCAGGTAAATATGTATCTGTATTTGTTTAAAAAAAAATCTGAATAAAACTTTGTTCACATAAAGGGTGCTCGTTTCAAGGATTAGAATATGACTAATGTCAGAGACACTGGGTCTACAAGAGCTGATGTCCCTTCTGTGAGGGATCAGGTGAGGTGATCCTCTCAGTTAACGTCTTCTGACCAGGTGCACTGTCTTTATTGGAGTCACCTGCCTGCCACAGGGCAGTGCAGTCACTGTGATCATGAGACTTACCCCTCGTTTCCTGGATTCGTCATTTAAAGCTCTGCACCAGGCTCCTCTCCACTGACTTCTCCAGCTTTTCAGTGACAGCGCCCATCCCAGCAAAGAGGCGGCTTCCTCCTGCGCCACATTGTCCCCTCCTGCTCTCTGCTTGTTTCCTACATCCCTTTGCTGGAAATACTGTACGAAATACAGTAGTAAAGTGACGAGGGATGCGATGAAAAGTGTAACCATGCACAGCCACTGCGGATCCTCCAAACCAAAATCTAAGCTGGAACTTTCTAAGTCGGACATTCTTCGCAGATAACGATGATCACAGCTTTGCACACCTCCTCTGAGAAATGACCTGGCTCATAGTATGTACTAGTCCAGGCCACGACTGCATCAAAAACAGAAATGTACCGCAATTGGGATTTGCTCAGATCTCATCCTTCAATGCAAACTATGTTCAGACAATCCATAATGCAGTCCTCCTTCCATGTAGACAAATCATGTTATAGAAGTGAGTAAGACATGCCTTAAACACTGTCAGAGAGCTAAAGGTAAACTCCTGCTTCACATTAACCTGCAGAAAGGGGCAGTCTCCTCCCCTCATTGAATATGCCTGTTAGCTTAGTGAGCTAATCTTCGCCTCGGTCCGCTTAACTGGCCATTCCTCAACAGCCGCAGAGCCGCCAAAGTTTCCCAAACGTGATATTTCCAACGGCTGGGGTCAAACTTCGTCAAATGATCTCCAGTACGTTGAATATGATTCCCGGGAACACATCCTGAAACTCCACGGTGCAGTCATTGCCCCCGCTGGACTTGCTCGCAGCGGCTCACTCTAAACTGTACAAAGTTGCCTTCTGGAAACGGATATGTGGCACAAACTGTATCTCCCACAATGCAACGCGACAAAGGCGATATTTTCTCGACGTTTGTCGCGCAAATCAAACAGACGAAATGGAACTCACACTCAATCAACTGTTGTAAACGGAACTTTATATCTGAAAGTCTTTTGTTGTTGTTGGACCGATAACTTAATGTCCTCAAAATACGCAGTTAGGAAACATTACCCGCAATCACTAGTTTGTGCTCTACGACCTGCCGTAGAAAGTGTACTTTCTATCCCGCAGCCTTCATGTGAGGTGAAAATTGTCGGAAAAACAAGCTCCCCATATTAAAGCCCGCCGATAACAATAGCATGCCAACAACAAGGTGAAATGAAGAGGATTTGCCAACTGAGTTTGAAACTTCATATACTTGTGTGATACAGAGGTTAAAGTGGTGAAAGGATATGTAGATCAGGAGGCAAAAAAAGTCCTGTAATGTTGTGGAATTACGTATATTCGTACGGCACCTTAATAAAGCAGACGTAGTAGCAAAGTGCTTTTAATAATACTTATGATAAAAAAAATCAAATTAAAGCAAAAATATGTCATGCACACATTTTTTAAAAGCACAGCGAGAAAGATTTTAAAAAGTTTTAAATTAACAGGTGTTTGACTGCTCTCAAAATGATAGTTCTCAGCTAACAAAGCTTACACATGACAGGAGGTTGTCATCGTCAGCTCCAGCACGCATAGCGATATCCTATCAGTTCGACACTATAAAATGGGTCACATACACGGGCATCTCTAACTTATTAAACCTACAATAACAGCAAAGAGGAGAGTAACTTTCAAATGTTGAAAATCCGAGCAAACGAGAAGCCCCTCAACACAGCGTCAGGGCTCCGTAGGCTGATTTATTATTGTTATTGTGTATATCCCTCAATCTTTTTGGATGGTTAATTTTGATGTTATTCATACTTGCCGATTACTTTTGATTTTCACCGTACAAACTCTTTTTTTTCCGGGGGTATTTTGTCATTGTTTTATGAGATGGCATATTTACAACAGTTGTTCCCACAGTAATCCAAGGTGATTAAAATAAATACTTCAGCGTACCTGCACTGGTTTTATTAATCCTACAATTAGGGTTGCGGTTAATGCGAAGGAGTTGTATTATTCAGGGGCAAACTTACCAAAAAAGACATTGTACAACCATTCAGTCTATGGGTACAACGCTCGTGAAAGGTATTTTGACCTCAGAGGCTTGCCGTAGATTGTTCCTTGTCAGCGCGACTACACTTTCCTGTCCTCTGTAAAACAAAAACTGAGCTTGCTTGCGTGTAAAACAATGCCTCTGGACTCATCCCGTACAGTTTACACAGGAAAGCAAAATCGCCTTTGTGCTCTTGATCGACTTTGTTCATTTTAATGCTTCGTAACGCGGGGTGTGAGGTCCCACCTTCGCAGAGGTAAACAAACGACAGATCGTCAACTAACGTGACGGCTGGCCTTAGGTGGCCATCTTGCCCTCGCTCGTGTCGCGCTTGTAAATGTAAATTATTATTACTATTAGTAGTTCGCCATGAATTGTCGCTCTGAAGTGCTGGAGGTGACAGTGGAGGCTCGGCAGGTTGAGGAATCGATGCTGGCTCTGCTACACACCATTTTGCTACACCGAAGCACGGGCAAGTTTCACTACAAGAAGGAGGGTACCTACTCCATCGGCACCGTTGGGACCTTGGACATCGATTGCGACTTCATCGATTTCACCTTCGTCAGAGTGTCATCAGAGGAACTGGACAGGGTGATCCGGAGAGCCGTGTCTGAATTTAAGGTAGCTGTTGTTATCAGCTCCTAATTGTTGACTGTAATGTCGGTACAGGCTGTTAAATTATATGTCAGCCCACATAGACCTCTCACTATAAGGATGCTGTTATAACGCCACCTCAGTGAACTGGGTGGTGCAGTGTTGCCAAGCTGCTTACAGAATATACGAGTTCATTTATATAAGACTGCATTCATTTATCGGTGAGTACTGGTATTGGCTGCCTGTCCTATTGACAGATATCGACAAAAAAGCTCGATATCATTTTGGCTGAATATTGGGGTCACGAAATAGCTCAGTTCTTATCGTAGGGTCCTCTTTTTTTTATCCTGGTTTAGATCTCTACACTAGAGCAGCGCCACAGGGGCCTGCACTTTTTACCGGCGCCACATACTGGTGCATTGGAGTGTCTGCCGCTCTCCGCTTTGTTCTCCTTTAACCTGGGAGAGTGATTGTGACATGTATCACCATTTTCTGGGTCTCACCTCGACACGGTGGAATAACTGTGTCTGTGACGTCATCAGGTTGTTTGTGAAGCGGTTGCCTTCTTCTTGGTGATGCTGATCCAACTAACCAGTCAGTCCACATACTAGAAGTGGGCTTTTATGTTGTATTCACAGCAAGTGCGGATAAAATCGTGTTCTCTGTTCTCGTGTTTACACAGGAGAACCCAAACACAGGTGATATTGCGAGAGAGTAGCGAGAGAGAGGAGGGGTTCCTACGTGTAAGGTCAGTCGGTTTACATAGACTATGGCAGAGGTTGATCACACTGGCCCTCATTTATCAAGCTTCCACAGATCTGAGTGCAGGATTCATCGTACGATAGGACACACGTGAGATTTATGAAAGGGTTCGTATCTGACCAATTCCAGCGTACGTATGATCGGGTTTTGATAAATGCAGCGGCTGAAATCGATCGTCATTACCAGTTTACGCCCTTAAATATTTGTGGTTCAGAAGCCTCGCCCACTGAGGTCAAACATGAAAGAGGAGAAATATTACAAAGATGTGAAACTTTTCTGAGCTGAAAGTGGATATCCTCACATCTGTGTTGGAAACTAACACAGATTTTCTCTTTGGAAGCATCAAAACTGGTATAAAACCTGTTCAGAAAACTCCTGTCTGGAGCAGGATTATGGTGGTGGTGAACAGCGCTGTTGCGCAATAGTGGACAGTGACTGAAGTTTGAATAAATCATTAGTCAGTAAGTTGCTCATGATGATAAATTAATATCTCATACATGCCTCATATTTGTTTATTGCCATTAAATAAGGTACGTTGCTCCTATTATTGAAAGTATTTAGTTTTAATTTGTTGCATCTTTGTAATGTAGAGCAGACTGGAGAGTCTGACAGAGGCTGAACAAAAATAATTATTAATGTCACTAAACGGTGTGTTGCTGCCCCTGAGGCACATTTTTATGGATTTCTATTTGATTTTTATCACTGAATAAATAGCAAGAGCACTTTCTGAACTTATACTTTACATGTCAGAATCCATCGATAAGGTCCTGTCCCCTCTGTACAGCACCTTTGTGGAGTCTCTCCTTGTTATTGTTCTCTGGGCATCAGGTCCTCAAGTTGCACCAGCACAGCCAACGGCACTCCATTTGCCAGTGCAACATTGTGCTAAACTGTTTTATTTACGTCTTAATCTTTAATGAAATCTAGCTGATTGTGCTTGGTGACAGGTTGGAGGTGTGTTTATCAATTATTTTGAGACAGACATTTGCTGCACCGCAGATCCACACTGACTCAAACTTGCGTACACGATGTCAGACCTGTCGTGAGATTTGGTCATAGCGTACGCTCACATGCAGATTGATAAATGCCGATCCTCACGTCAAAATTGTCGTACGCAAGGTGTACGCAAGTTTTCTGCCATACGCCAGCTTGATAAATGAGAGCCACTGTGAGGATGAGTTTAAATAACTTGACAGATAATCAGACCTCCTCACTATTTCTGTTTCAATATAAACATTTTTTTGTTTATTTTGGTATTAATATAGGCCATCGCCTCGCAAAACAACCTCATGACTGAGATGCCTTCTCAAGACCCACATTACAGACATCACAATTTTTCTATTATATTTTAAATGCCAGAATATCAAATATAAATCAGAATATAGCTACGTGGGGGAATTGCTTACTCTACACAAGCCTCCCCCTTATTTCGGCATCAGCGCCCCTAAATTGACCCAAAAGAGACACTCTTTGGGGGGTATTCCACAAAGCTGGCTTAGCTCAAAGCCTGGCTTATGTCGGTTTGTCTCGCTAACTTTAGTGAGAGTCAGGTTCTACAAACGAGGCTTAGGACTAGCGTGGCTTGGTAACCATGGTAACTCAGCCAGCGCGACAAGCCTGGTCCCAGGCAGGCTTATGGTCAAGCTTAGTTTAGCTGCGTCTACGAGAATGTCCGACGGGTTCCGAAAGACACTTTGTGAAACTCGTGTCTCACATTAAATTCATCTTTATCTGTAATGAATGATGTTCTTGTGTGGAAACATAAATTGAGACCCTTTTTAAACACAGGAATAACTGTAAACCTAGACATGTCAAATATTGCACCAACCCCATGGATTACAGAGAAGTCAATGGGTCAGTGGGCAGAGTGCAGGGCAAAGAAGTGCCATTGACCTGTACCATTCATCGCGCCGTGGGTTTGATCCCACCATCGGTTACTGTTTCGAAATATCTCATTTTCTTTCTTTTATTCTGTCACCCTCAAAGTACAGTCAACACATAACAGAGTAAAGGTACAAATTGTCTTATCAAAAAATTAGAAGGCGACAACAGCCACAATTCTCTATAAAACTACTTTCCTTTTACCAGCAGTCCATTCTGATCATGATGATAATCTAAAGGCGATGTCAAATGATGACATAACTACTTGATTTGTGTGCAAGCTCATTTGTGTCTTCTCCCTTATTTAAATGTAGGGCACTGAACCACTATCATCCCTGATAAAAAAAAAAGGCACCTCATCTATACATGTTTTTTTTGTACTGTTTTATTCAGTGTTTGATGCAACATTGCCACATGAAGAAGCACATTTTTTCTAAGTTTGCCTACTTTGGTTTTAGGTGTTACCTATGTAGCTGCTACAGTCATCTATTATGGATATATTTTGTCAAATCAAGAACATGAATTAGGCCTACACGTGAAATACTGAATACCACCATTACATTACACAAAAACTCTAAAACAAATAAACTATGCTTTTCCATCCATGCTCAAAAAAAAAAAAAAAAAAAAGATCAACTTCATCAACAAGTTTTGAACAGCTTTAATTTCATCAGGACCTTAATGATCTCCTCTGGGCTCTGGACCACAGTAGTATGAGGAGTTTCAGGGTGAGAAAAAAAAGGTCATCAAACACAGTAGAAACTCAATAAGTGCAGATTTGACACAGGTCTATATAAGCAGGGTATTCTTGCACCACCACCTTTTCCACAACAATGACATGCCCGTTCATTGATGAGTAACCTGTTAAAATGCATCAAAAAACAAAGACGTCAAGACTATTTTACCCATTAAAACATTACAAATCAAATAGACAACCATTGCAGTTATGGGTTATTCCTATGCAATGTTCAAAAGCATTCCCTCTGAGAATCTAAACTTTCAGATAGTGTGCGTGTGTACGCATAGGCTAAGTGATTAATTGAAAAAAGAAAACAATTACTTACGCATTTAAACGTCAGCAATGCTTTGCCAGACAGCGTCTCTGGCTTTGTTAACTGCAACCATGCTGCCCTTTTTTTGTGATAGTCACTCTGTAGTCCTCATTTCACTCCATGAGGAGTTTTTGCTCAGCTGAGAAAAAGGATTCCGCTCTTTATTTTGACATGATTTCGTAATTTCGACAATCGACACGTCGGGGCTTTTTGTGAGCCGCAGTCGCGCGCTGAGCCGCAGCTTGGATCAGCCTGGCTTGAATGAGCGTCTCTGAAATACAGCTGAGCCTCGTTAGTGGAACGAGTTGCAGCTCAGATTGAAGTGGCCGCTTATTCAAGACACGCTTACCAGCGATAGCCCAGCCTTCTTCAGCCAGTTTCGTGGAATACCCCCCTGGCAGAGTTACTTAGGTTTTTTTAGTTTAGTTTGTTTAGTTTCTAATCTTAAAAAAAAACAGCAAATCAAAATCACTATGTTTGGTGCAGCCTTACAATACAAGCACTATGCCTGTGTGTCATCCCCAATCAACCAGCCTTTGAATTCAGGGTTTGAATCCCACTTCTCTGTGTTTTTGAGTGTACAATTAAGACTGAGACACGATGAGCTTGCTAGCTAAATGTTAGCTTATGTAGCGAAGAGGAACACAGTGGATAAGGGGAGTTACTGAGGCAGTGTGAGACAAATGCAGGGATTCATTTTAGTGTGATGGTAAGTTAAAAAAAAAAGTACATTTACAGAGCGATACATACTTTCACTTAAGTCTCCAAAATATTCAAAAAGTCTACAACAACACCACAAAAACTCACTTGATTTGTCACGAGTTACATTTGACAAAAAAGTTACCAATAGGTGTTGGAAAGTCGCCAGACCGAGCAAGAAAGTCACCAAGTTGGCAACACTGGTCAAGTAAGGCGTACTCCTCTTTTGCTGATCCTTTTACTTAAATTACTTCAAAACTAACGCATTACTAAATATATCTACTTCCTATACATTAGGTGCACAGGAAGACTGGGCTCAGACCAAAGCAGTTTTTCACTCAGGGAATGGCAGTTTTTAGCACTGGCATCGGCTTCATTACTCAAGACCGAAGGATGCTGCTTGGTCCAATCTCTCTATATAACCAGGCTTTCTGATGCCTGGACCTCTGAAAATAATCAGCTTTTGTCTCTGATTAGGGTCCTTCACATGTGTGAATGTTATATAGGAGGACTCCAGTTGCTCGGTCACGTTGTGCTTTCTATGGATGTAACCGACACTACGGCTGAAAAAGGGAATTTAAATTCTTTTATCTGTGAAATCAACAGTGAGATCTGTGCCGTTTTCCTTCCTAATTTTGGTCATCTTCAGCCTGAAATAGTTGACTGAAATAGTCATGTGATTACTAAAAGTTGGGAGAAATATGGACCTTCCTACAGAAAGCTCAGAGATTTCTTTTTAAAATTAGTCATGGTGTTATCCAATGAAATCCTGATCAAGAGATATCCATGTGAGTTGTTCCTTATGTAAATACCTTTAAGTCTGTTGTTTCTCTGTCTTGATATGTGTCAGTTCAATTTGGATGGTGTTATTTGTAATTTTTAACTTCCTCTTTATAATATTCTTTTTGGTCACTCAACTTCAATGAGAAACACGCCTTTGAATTATAAAATTTACCTTATTTTTAGCAAGTACTGTAGTCATAAAAGCCCACTTTCTTACTTTTCAGAGAGAAGCTTAATTAAATATTAAAATAATACTAAAAGCTATTTGCCCATGAATTTATGTTTCCATTTGAAGGTTTTTATTTCAAATATCTTCTCAATGTAAACTTCTGTTCCTGTTCTATTTCATACTTTCTAACTGCCAGAGGCAGTGTATAAACACTTGTGGATAACATCGCGCGCATGCGCAGAGGTCTAATGCTAACGTGAAAATGTTCTCCGCTTGTTGAAGTTAGTATTGGATGTGGTTTTCTTTACCCTGCTCGGGATGGAGTGAAAGCATATGGTAAGTAAACGGCTAGTGATAGCCAACCGCTAGCATTGAAAGTGTTTTACGCATAGACTGTATATACTATGGACAACCTGGTTCCGCCTACCGCCTGTATACAGATTTGAAACCAAAAAGCTCTCAGTAATTCCGGGATTTTTCTTCATTTCCTGAAACCAGCGCTGTGCAGTAGCAGTTGTGCGCATTCAGCCGTGCAGTCACAGAGAGTCACCGTGATGACGCTCGGCTCAAACAGCGTATCCCCCGGGAGAGCTACTCAATCCCTGAACGCCCATAGGCTGTATCAGGTGTCAATCATAGCAAACATGAACCCCCTAATAACTTTTAAAAATGGTGCTTCACAGGACTTGAGCACAAACCAGTCTTACAATAACTACATGTCAACATCGCAAGCAGGGGGGAGAAAAATTTATGTTCTGTGTAATAAATTTCTAAAGTTGGTCCACAGCCCCATAAGCTTTGCTGGCGGAGGCAGGATTTATGACCTATACTGCAGCCCATCAACAGAGGGTGCTGTTCTCGGAGTGGCTTCACCCCGTGAGGAGGCAGACGGCGTCCACTCCATATACAGTGTATGGTTTTACGCTTCGTTCAGCTAGAATTGTATAATGTCGTGACCCACGTTGGCCCGGTCTGGCGTTCATCAGCGTCAATAGCATTTTCCGCTACATAGCTGTGGTGAACCCTGCATGGCAGTAGTGTACTGCTGTGAGTTGGTGAGTTGTTTGTTAACTGAACGGGCGTGGGTCTGCAACTAGCATTAGAGAGAGCGTTGTCCGCTCCGTAATTTAACGTTGACCATTGTTTGCTGCTGGTTACAGCATCTGAAGCTCCTTTTCGGGTGCCACCTTCTAGCGCTTTCATCGCAGAATTACATTCGTGTTGGTCCGATCCCAAATTGGATCGGCACCTGTCACAAGACTGCAGGACCATGGGAGCCATGGCGGATGCTGCGCAGTTTGGGTTGGATCGTATGCCAGCAGTAGAGAATCCGGTTGCTTCCTTGGTGGTGTCACCTGATGAGGCCCTCAGTCAGAACCCTCGGTGCCCACTAGTGCAATGCAGGCTTACTGATGAATATATCACTCATGCCTATGAGTCGGCAGCACGGAGCGGCTCGCGTGGGCAATTCACTTTCCAACCTTATTCTGGCCCTGGATAGATCTATTGCGGATGCAGGGGCTGACCACGCTAGGCAGATCCTGAGTTCACTCACCCATGGCCTCGAGGCTGCCTTCTATACGCCTTTCCTCCATTTCCATTAATCATGCTTACGCTTCACAGAATAGCCACGGGTGGTCATACGGTGTTGCTGGTGGCTCCTCACTGGCCGGGGAGGGTCTGGTTTCCCATGATCCGGCAGCTTCTCAACGGAACGCCCTGGGGCTTCCCGCGGAGACAAGACCTCCTTTCACAAGTGGCAGGACGCGTTTTGCATCCCCAGCCAGGCCGCCTTCAGCTTCATGTATGGCCCCTGAGGGGCCGGGTTCACTATTAGAGTCCTGTGATCAGGCAGTTGTCCAAGTCCTGCTTAATGCCCGTGCACCCTCCACTATGGCGCTTTATGCCAACAGATGGAGGCTATTCTGTACTTGGTGTGAGGCCCAGCACGTGGACCCAGTCACGTGCTCGGTGCCAGTTCTCCTACGGTATATCCACATGTTGAGGGATAAGGGACTCTCTGCCTCTACATTGAAGGTGTATATTGCCGCCATTTCAGCTCGACATGTCCTGGTGGACGGTCGAACGGTGGGAGCTCATCCTTTGGTGAGCCGCTATCGGAGGGTAGTGCTCAGATTGCATCCTCCATACGTTACCAGAGTTCCCTCGTGGGATTTGCCTATTGTCCTGGAAGCCTTATGTTCTGCTCCACTTGAGCCACTGGAGCGGGCTGATCTAAGGTGGCTGTCAGTTAAAACTGCCTTTCTCCTTGCAATCAAATCTGTTCCGAGTGGGGGAACTACATGCCCTTTCTGTAGCTAGGGACTGCGTAAGGTGGGCCTCAGATGGCTCTCGCGTCACTTTGTGGCCAAACCCCTCCTTCCTTCCAAAAAGGATTTCAGCCTTCCATGTTAACCAGCCTATCACACTGTCAGCTTATACCTCGCACCCAGGATCGAGTCCCGAGGGGCGATTGTGTCCAATTTGTGCCTTGAGGCAGTATATTGATGGCATGGCGGAGCTTCAGAAGTCGGACGCTCTTTTTCTCTGCTATGGGGGGCATAGAAAAGGTCACGCTCTATCTTAGCAACGTCTTGCTCACTGGATTGTGGAGGCCATTTCGCAGGCTTATGTACGCAAGGGACTCCACCAGGGCATTAAAGGGGGTTCCGCTGACCGACATCTGTGCAGCACCTACATGGGCGTCCTCCTGTACGTTCGCCCACTTCTATCGGATGAATGTTGCCGCTCCTCAACTGGTCCAGACGGCCATGTTATCGGCCTCTTCAACCTGCAACTGACGGTTGGTGAGTGTAGGTTCTTCGTGACCATGTTGGTATACGTTATCCACCAGTGTTTATACACTATCTCTGGCGGTTAGAAGGCATGAAATAGAATGAGAGTTATGCATATAACTAAGGTTCTATGAATACCGGATAACCGCTAGAGTTATCCGTGACTCGAAACCTCGGCGAAAAGATTTTCACGAGGAAGATCCTTGTGCACGTCATACCCATATAGACTACGTACGCGGGCACGTACGTGCGCACAGGGTCACATGTGACAATGTTGACATTAGATTTCGACCTCTACGCATGCGCGATGTTATCCACCAGTGTTTTTACACTGCCTCTGGCGGTTATCCGGTATTCATAGAACCTTAGTTATATGCATAACTCTCGTTCTCTGTTGTCCCTCAGCTGCTTTGCTTATGTTTGTGTTGTTTACAAGGGTTGGGGGGAGGGGAGCAGAGAAGAAAGCAAATGTCAAAAAATAAAATGAACCAAAAACCTTCAACAACAAAAGTTAAAACCCCTTAAATAGGAAAAACACAAAGACTTTATCAACCTTCCACCTTTATAGTTTTAGATCTTTAATTTTCTCTATAAGGTAGAAATCATTGACATTATTAATCTGTCTTTATATAGCGCCAATTCACAGCCAATATGACGTCATGACACTTATTAAAACGGCTGATCCAGAACAGACTCTATTTATAAAGACCCTGATGTAAAGATGGGATCAGACTGAGCCCCATCCTACAAGATCAGACTTAATCCCATCCCACCATAAACCACATGAGTGAAAGACTTTACAGCATTTATCAAGCTACAGTGGAGAGGAAGAACTTCCTTGAACAGGCAGAAACCTCGAGCAGTCTGGTTCTGCTCGAGGTTTCTGCCTGTTTTTTTCCCCCAATTTCTTTATTGAGTTTCTGCAGACAGTACAGAAATGTTCAACAGTTAAACATTACGCCAGAGTGTCTATATTAGGGTGATTCTGAGGCTTTTAATATCTCTGTGGGTGACCAAATTCGAGCCGATGTGTTGGTGCAGATATACACTAAAAGGCACGAGTTGATCATATTTGGAGTATACTGCTGCTAAAGAAGAGGATGGGGGACAGCGACAGTGCTAGAAAAGTCCACCACCAAGAGGGCCAACCACAGGGCTTGTGGTCTGCATTGTTTTGATGCATAGTTAGGTTTTTCAGGAGGGGCATGGCAGGTCCTGTGTGTGGGCTTCTGCACAGGTACAGAGCTACACAGCTCTATGGTGGCTCTTGTTTTTAAGATTTTGACTGCAAATCACCTCTAAATCCTTCTTCTGTTGAGCACAACAACCACTCTAGCTGCTGTAGAAAAATGACGGCACAGGTTAGCTATGTCTGTGTAAAGGGGGGCAGCTCCTTTTATTAAATATAAAAAACTAATTTAAAGTGGGCAAAACACACCCATTTTTATATTCAGGTGATAATACACATGTTAATGAATATTCAATTTCTAGTAAGTCTGTTCTGCAATACCACACAGCACCTGTAAACGGTTACTGAAAAAATGGGGGAAATACTGTCAGGCATGATTTCCAATCAATGTTTTAATATAAAGCCGGCTCGATGCCTCTACAATAAAACCACAAATAAGTCATAACATGTGTTCACAGCTCTGCAGATATTCGGACAGCTGTCTTCCTCCAAACTCCTTTGTTGTATATTTCATTTTAGATCACGACTTTTATTGTCTGATTGTATTTGTTCTGTGAAAGGTACCATTTTACACCTGTGGCATAATTATATCACAACATTTGATTGATATTGCAGGATGCTTTAAGCAACTCTGGCAGCGATGGTATGGGTCAGATCTCCCTGGAGTTCTACCAGAAGAAGAAGTCTCGCTGGCCCTTCTCTGACGAGTGTATCCCTTGGGAAGTGTGGAGCATCAAGGTCAACGTGGTGAACTTGGCCAATGAGCAGGAGCGACAGATCTGCAGAGAGAAAGTAGGCGAGAAGCTGGGTGAGAAAGTCATCAACGTGGTTGAGGTGATAAACCGGCATGAATACCTGCCAAAGATGCCCACTCAGTCTGAAGTGGACAATGTGTTTGACACCAGTCTCAAAGATGTCCAGCCATATCTCTACAAAATCACCTTCCAGATCACTGACTCTCTGGGCACTTCTGTGAGCACAACCATGAGAAGGCTGATCAAGGACACTCTGGCACTGTGAGAATGCTTGAGGACAGACAAGAAAGAACTATCCTGATGATTCAGAACTGCACTTCAGTCATGGAGTCTCTTTTTGGGCTCAGAAACGTAAAATACAGCAGGGACTAACTACTCTGCTGCTTCTGAGATGTCTGTGTTGTGCTTTTGCTCTGGCTTGTACCTTCACAGTCTTGAAAATGTAAAATTGATTTTTAAATATTTGTTTTTTTTTTTTTTTTTTGCTACTTATTCTTGATTTTTTTCCTTTAATCACCAGAGAATGCAACTTTAAGAAAGACACAGATCACACGTAATATCAGATAAATGCCTGGTAGCTAACAGGACCATGTAAGACTAATAAATGACATTTCTGGTCACCTGGATGAGTTGGAAAGCACATTCCTCACCTTCCTCTTTGCTCACACATTTGCAGTGAAAAAGTAACCTTACACCCCACAGGACAGGATTTCCTCTTTTACAAATTAAAGCTAACTCTTGAGGGGCTCGCTCTTGAGTTTCCAGCCAGAATCCGCCACTCTGGCCCCTAGCCTAAACACAGCCCCTCACCAGCTCAGGGTTTTGAGTCAAACAAAATGACTTGTAAATCCATTTTCAGGTAATCCAGCTCTGCAGATAAATAAACCAGCCAGTAACTATTTCAAACACCACTTACTTTGATTATTTCACCCAGCCCTCACTCATGTAAAGGAAAGATAAGGCACTGCTTCAAGATGTTAAGTCGCTGAATTCTCCCAACTATCTGAATGAGGCCACACTGTGAAAGAACACAGCAACTTCATCTAAACATGACATGTCCTCCGTGGAACATTTGGGAGAGGAGTGTAGTCCGACACTGTCATTAATCCTATCAAACCACCTTTACTGCTAATGTGCAATTTATCAGATTAATTTATCCTGTGGAAGTCTCCAGTCCTGAAGGAAGTTCATGGTCAGAGCTCTTCAGGTAAGTTTCTAGAAATGAGATCCTGTCATTCAGCTGGAACAAAATGGTCATTTAACAGGCACTTAAATCCACTTATCTTGTTTTTTTTAAGCCATAATGACCAATGCCTTTGATAAATGATTGCTATTGGGCAGTGCAGCCAAAATGTTTTATCACTTAACAACTATTTAGCTTGGCAGTGATACCAAAAATTTTCCATGACAGCCTAGCACATAAACATGATATGCAGTGTATATGGGAACAAGTATAGGGTTGGACTATTACGACTGATACTAAAATCAAAACATCCTGATTATACTAACTGGTTTTAGACCAACCTGAAAGGTAACCAACTCTAGCCTGGCTGGGCCATCCAGTTGCGTGAATCACTTGCCATTCCTTCCCCTTCCTTCCCTTCTTGTTGGAAGGAACGGCAAGTGATTCACGCAACTGGATGGCCCAGCCAGGCTACACCAACACTACACCTGATTGACTTAATATCACAGCAATTAATGATTAAATTTCAAAATAGAAGCCGTCCTTAATGCAAAAACCAACAATTATGATTTTTTTAAGTAAGAGACTAAAAATAATTGTTTCCACAAACTTTGTGAAGTCCAAGCTGATTGAAGGCCACCCTCCAATACTGTCCACTTAATGACCGGGTGGTCTGATGTTTAAGATCAGAATAAAGACAACTTAAATATATATGTAATGCAGTTCAAGTATTGATCAGAAATACAGTAAATCTCTTTTTCTGCAATGTGACCTAGGTAATAATAGGAAAATATGTTGTAGGATTTTAAAAAAAGAAACAGTCAATTATTTAAAAAAAAGCTTTTTTTAATAATAGGCTAGACTGTTGAATGGCTGTTTTTTGTATCAGTCTTGATGTAGTCCAACCCAGTACTTATTCTCAAGCTCTATAAACGCTTTAATTTTGAAGTTGTAGATTAGAGTATCCAGTCATTGCTGCACAGGTTATATGTAATTCTTTTCTCTGTATAATTTTTGAGTAATCTCCTATTACTAACAAATATATTAACAAATTTCCCTTTGGGGATCATCAAAGTTCTTGTATTATTGAAATTATTATTTCATACAAATCCATCTCTTCCTCTTACTCTATTAATTATCTGTTGTCAAATCCCAAATGTGGCTCGAAACAGTTTTTCCCTCTACTTGATCCCTCCTAGAAAAAAATCTGTTTTCTTTGTTGTCAATAGTATAAATGTATTTGGACCGCGGTCTTTATACAGTACTTGAACTTACTCACTTTTATTGATTTAATTGAAGTGGCAGAGTGATTAAACAAATGATCTAAACAGTCCCCTTCTTCTAATTGGGCACTCAGTGACCCAGCTGTTTGTGAATGACTCTGCACATGGAGCACCTAATGATGCTAATGATGAGGATATGGATGATGATGATAATGGAGATGAGGATTGTGATGATGAAAGATGATACTGATAAAGATGATGTAGAGGAGGATGAAGATGAAGAGGATGATAGTGATGATGACTGATGATGATGGCCATAATGATGAGGGTGATGATGATGATGATGATGATGATGATGATGAAAACCGTGTCACTGACTTTACATGGTTAGTGATTCACTGTAGGTTGTTGGTGTAATTCATTACTTTGGAAGAAAAGAAAAGAAAAAAAATGCATTGTCCTATATATTGTAAGTCAGTGCTCTGCCCTAACTCATGTTGTTTCCTTTCATCTAGATCTTTGCTTGTTTTGTATATGATCTCAAAAGTACATCTCTTTGGGGGAAAGCCTCTGCTTAATGACACTGTAACATTGTAAATAGAGTGAAGAGTGATTGAAGATAATTATTAGTATAATAATGTCTTAAATACAACGGAGTTTGAGGGCCACGTTAAGAAAAAAAAAACGTTTTTAAATCTTAGACAATAAAGTTATTATTTAGGAGAATAAAGTCAATAATATATAAGAATAAAGTTACCTGTTGTGGAGGAGAATTGCTAAAATCAACACTGAGGAGCATTTAGATGAATTGTACTTTAGTATAGGTTTCACAAACATGGAGATACTTAATCCTTTGGTACATCAGCATTACACTGTCAGAACTTTTAAAAGATTGTATGAGAAATGCTGCTTTTGTGGCGGGGAAAATGGCTGGAAATGGCTGTACAGAGGCTAAATCCGTCAATACAGCTGTTAATAGCAATAGCATAGGGCTTTAGTTTATCATATGAGTTTATCTCCCATGAGGTGTTGAGGTCTCTGCATGTGTAGGTTACTGACTTACTGTAATCATCGGGTCTTTTTCGTCCTTATAAAAACCTGCTCTATTTCGGCGAGTGTCTTCTTCTGTAGTCAAACCGCAAGATATCAAAATCTACCCGGATACAGCAATGCTGCTTTTTGATTGGCTGTTCAGTAGATATACTTTATTTGATTGGCTTGCGCGTGTCACGCAGCTTCTGAACTCTCGGAGGAACGCAGTTGATTCCTACCTGTTCCATAGTTAAAGAGGCGCAACTTGGTGGACATCACCATGTTCATATAAATGCGTGAGAAATATAATGTGTGGCGTGTGAGCGTGTGAATGCGTGTGTTACACGCTGAATACGTGAGACTTGAGAGCCGTGCAGAGCAGTAAACGCGAGACGCCCGCTTTCGCTATTTTAGATGTCTCAAAACCATTACGTTTTAATGAATCAATGAATAACATCAGCGGCGAAAAGGAGTTTTAAAAAGACCTGGGTTCACATGTTTTTATTTTGTCACAAAAGGCTTCAAGCATGGGCCAAAGCATAGGACAACAAGTTCTAGAACCTGAATGAAGTCATTAAAGGCACACGCTTTTGGATTATTTCGCCTTGTTATGTACTTTCAACCGCGCTCTCGTCAGGGGGGCATTCTACGTCAGGGGTGCATTCTACGGTACAACACCGGCGTGGATAAGTCCTGCTTCTCGTTCTCGCAGCTTTGCAATGCTACCACAGGCTCTCCAAGCACTCCAAGTACACGCGAAGAGTGTGCGCATGATTGGAATAATGGAACGCAGTTTGGCCTGTGATGGAGCGAAGGAGCCAGGAGGGTTTGCTGACCGTCCAAGTGTCATTTAAAGGGCCGATTTCTGAAGTGCTCAGTTTACGTATTAAGTCTGTAACTGCCTGTAACTTACTTTGAAAGAATTTGTTCATATTGGAGTAATGCTACTGACTTGACATAGCATGACTTAAAAGTACTCCAAAATTCTGTGCAAAAGTCGACTAGATATAATTATCAGAATACTTTATTTATGCTCGGGGGGAAATTTAGTCATTGCAGTATAAATGGAACCCATGACGAGTAAAGTTATTTGTTTCAAACCGACTTTGAATATGTGGGGAGAAAAAAGATCAACTATATTAACTTTATTGTTAACACTTAATTCCTAAAAATAGATGCTGTTGTTGGCCCATGGCTGTATCTTCACACTTATCTATTTGTTTAAAAGAATGTAATTTATTATTTCAGAGTCTTCTCTCTGCCTCCACATCATACCACACCCAATTTTAGAGTAAGACTCAATGTTTTTGTTTCAAAAGAGGAGTTTTACATATAGATATATATTTTTATCAAACTTCACCTCAGGGATTCATAAAGTTCTTCATATCATTTTATATTTCTATAACCAATTTTTTTATGATCCCTGAGTCAATAAAAGTATTGTGAGTCAACACAATAATTCTTCTTATGCCACCAGCTAACATGAGTTGTGACATGTTATGTTGTAGCGTCCTTATGTTCATCAGGAGAGTTTGGAGCGGCACGAATTACAGTGAGAGTACTGATCATCTTTACCATCAAACTGCCACAGCTGAAAGTAAAACACTCAATTCAACATGATAACTTCAGGTCTGGATGCAGAGGAAAATCTAATTTAAATAAAGAGTGGACAGCAGCAGACCCTGATAATACAGAGGGAAGAGACACAATTAGTGAGATCACATTCAGCTGTTTTAGATTGAAACATGAGAAATATGACTTCATGTTATTTATATGTAGAATAAAACAGGAGATTAAACTCGAAAAGTATCAGTCATATGAAAACAGAAGGTGCATACTATCTGCAACCAAGGGATATCAGCAGGGTCCCAACGGTCACTAGGAGAAATGAAGGACTGGACAGAAACACAGAGGATGTGTAATCTCTGCGATGGAGTGCAGTTCAGGTTTTGTTTAAAGGTAAGAATGTGAGCCTTCTGAGGGACAGGAGAGAAATTGAGAATTATTCAAATCAAACATTCATGTTTGAATGAATTTTGTTATTTTTCAACGGGGGCTTTTTTTTTTTTTTTTTTTTTAAAGAACGTGCTTGCATTGTTGAAGTAATATCTGTTGGCTAACAGCCCTGCTGTGTGCCATCACCACATTAACATTGTATATTCTTTTCGTGTTCCATACCATATGATCAGGGTCTGAGCCATGCTTAAGGTGGGGTAGAATATCATTCAATAGCTATTAGTTATTGATGACATTTGGTGATATACGATATCGCTGTGTTCTGTTATGTATGTGTAGTCAACATTTTAAAATTTCAGTGCTCCACTCTTTCTGACTGTAAACAAAGCCATTCCCCGCCTCCCCCATCCTGGTTGGTTGTGAGGCGGACACTGCGCCTTAGTGCAGATTGGTTGTGAGGCAGACACTGCTCCCCCGTGTCGTTCACAAGCCCAAACAAAGTTAGTGTGCTACTACATCAGACAGTAGAAACCAACCAGAAAGTACAGAAAATTGTCTGAATCCTCCTTTAGCCACAACTGCCAACACAAGCAAGAAAACAAAGTAAATACCGGAGACTCTGGCGGAATAACGGATGCTTAAAAAGAAGGTAGACCACCCGGACAAGAGCTAAAAAAGCTGGGTCAACAATGATGGGGGACGCTTCAGGATCTTACGGACCCTGTAACCTTTCTGCTGGACAGGTAAACCACTTTAACAAAGTAAGCCAAGTGTCTGTAACAGAAGTGTTTCTTGTCAAACGGGACCTGCTGCGTGTTGTTGCACTGCTAAACTGTTTACCTTGGGTCCTGGAGTATGTCACATTATCCTAGTTGTAGAAGTCCTGCAAACATTGTGTTTTCTGGTAGTCTGTTGGCATCTACAGTAGCACCAATGCTATTTACTTTCACGTTGACTGGGCCCCATTTGTAATTATCTTTAGTATTTATTCGCATTATATCTGAATTTAACTTAAACGATAAGAGCGAGCAGGAAAACTGGCGCTTCCTCAGATCCTGCCTACCCCACCTTTACATAAATGTAATGAAAGATGGTCCTGAATCTGCGGCCTCTGGATTGCAGACACACGCCACTAGAGGGACATTTACACCTGTAGTCCAGGCTGTACCAGGGTAGTTGTTGGTACTCGGTATGAACCGCTTCGAGGTCTAAGTCAAACAAAGCTAAATAAAGTGTAAGATTTGAGTGTCTGTCATATTTTCCTGCTAAAAATCATGGAAATACCGGTTGTATATGTACTCCATTGTTACCCTTTATTACAGAAATTAAGCACAAAAAACTGTAGAAAAACTTTAACACAAAACAGCTGCAAGTCTTTAAAAGCAACAAGGAAAGCAACCAATGCTGATACAAATATTCATTATTGCAGTGAGAGCACAGAATGCTAAAAAGATAAAACTCTTGTTTTCTAACAAAATTGGTACAAAATTGAAGATACAAACACACTTCCAAGTAAACATTTCTAATCATTTCTGTTAAAATTTCAGGAAGTTTTTATCACAAGAAGTAAAGAGCACTATCATCAACACAGAACTTCTCCACTGAATTAAATTGCAGCTCCTGTTGCTCATTTAGAGGAAACACAAATTCCCAGTTTAGGTTGAGCACTCTTTGAATGCAACATCTCCCAAATACATAGCAATGTAATAACTTATGACATAATTCTTATCCATCTAGCCAAAGCAGAAGTATATATTTGTACAAGAATACAACTGTGAAACGGCTGGAATACAATCAAAACACATTCTTTATAAGAAACCACTCTCTAAGAAGCAAGACCACTCTGCTCACTGGTAAAGAAGAGACTGTCTTCCTCACTGACGACACTATGATGAAAGCCTGAGTCATAAGTCATCTGGAAAACTTGTGCTTTTTCAGTGAAATCATAGAGACTAACTATTTCCAAAGTTGCATAAGGCCATTGAAGCACTGTAAAACTTGGTTCATCACATAATTTGTTGAAATGCACAGATTTATCAGTATATAAATGAGTGCATATAACACTGATTTCATACTGGATTGGCTGAATATAGCGACTGATAGATTTGAACAATTCTGACTGTACAGAAAGGAAAGCTCCTGTGAGGCGTGTGTTTTAGCTTGTTCTGAAAGTAACACTGTGGCCTTTACAAAAGCAGAAGAAAATATCAGCAAGATGACAGGTTATTTCCATGAAGTTGTTTTTGAAGTCTGCAAGTGCTACTGTAAGGAAGGTGTTAGATAGCATCCTGCCAAGACACTCTTACTGTTTTACATTTTCCACCACAAATGTGCACAGCGAGTAAAATGTCTGTGAAATAACAAAAGAATGAGGTTTGGTCAGAGAAGCACTCCTTATGTACACATATCAGTCCAGAGATCAAAGATACCTCTTTGTTTATCCAGGTCACCAAAATCACCACAAACCAAGAGCTCCTCACTGGAGCTTTACTAAATTCATGTTGACTTATCCACTACACCACTATCTGCTTCCACACAGCTAAAAACACTTTTTCCTGAAAGTTAGCAGTTTTTATTTGCTGTAATGAGTCCAATTTTGCACTGTAGATGATATCTGATCAACTCAATCTAAAATTTTTTACGGACAATTTTCCCAAATTTGCTGGTTACAAGAAAATATATATTGTTAGCAATTTTTACCTGCACTAGAAAACACCCCTATGATAAAGAATGATTCGGTGGTATAGTAATAAAGGATAAATGGCCTTTTAACATCTGAGTGAAGCAATGTAAAAGGGCTTAAAATGAAATGTTTGAGATGTGTGATATTACTTTAGAATTAAACTGAAGATCTGAATCAACTACCCAATTCGACAAGGTGACAAACACCAGATGCATAAGAAAGGTTTTTTTTTTTTTTTTTTTACAAAAACTTGGGCAGTTTGTAATGTCTACTTCTGCAAACAAACATTTTCAACTTTTCCCCTTGTAACAGGATCAAACACAAAGTGCATATTGCATACATTGTTGAGGCCACCAATATTATCATAAGTGTTGTCACTCATCACAGGAGATAAAGCAGGTACAAAAGCAAAAGTACTACTTACTGATTCACCTGTAACCTCTAAAAATGTAAAGCACTTGACCCACACCTGGAGAAAACAGTGTACAAAGCTGCACCATTTTTTCATTGCACCTTTCCTTCAAACCCAGAGATGTTCCAATACCAGCTGTCGGTTGACTTCTACTGCCCGGTACAGAGTTTTGGATCAGCCAAGACAAGACCTGACCCGAAAATTTGATATTTTGTAAAACCACACAAATGTACAAAATTTACATATTTCCAAACTGTCACTTTTGAGAAAATATAAGGGCTCATTAAAATGATTACAATTGGTAAACTGATTTTTGATCTCTCTCTGCAGTGCACCAGGACTTGGTATTGACAGGACTTTACATTCAAAAACAGTCTTGGTGGCAGTTTTGAAGGACTAACAGAAATGTTTTGTGATTCTCAGATCCTGAGCTTTTTTATATTTAATCAACAGGAAATCATGAATTATACATTTTTATCTTTATGACTGCCTCACCTTTTTGACATTTTAATTATTATAAGAAAAAAAAAAAAGTTTTTGAAATGTCAAATGAATGAGACCAGTTTTACTGGAGTTAAGGTTTGTGTCTCTTTCAATAGATATTTTCAGATAAACAGGTGAAAACAGTGATACAGGAGTTTATTACATATATTACGTCTTTTTTTTTTTTTCTTCAGATTTTGAACCATGGGTGTGAGATTTGTGTTAATTTATGAGCTCACTCTTCATAGATAGCATTACTGTCTGAATCAGTTTTTCCACAACTTTGAGGTTTGGAAAACATCTTGGGATAACAACCTTTGTGATTTGGTGCTATATAAATAAAAAATGATTGATTGATAAAAATAGTTTTGTAAATCAAAATTTCTATTTCTATATAAAAGACAATTATTAATATTATCATCATCATTATTATTATTACTCTTGTCCATGTCAGGCTGTAGTTTACCCTCCAATCTTGCATTGTGGTTCATCCCTCAGTCTACAAGTGTTAGAAACAGTCAGCAAAATAGCTTTTTGTAATGTCTGATGCAAAAGGCTCCTTTTAGAGTCTTAGATTAATTGTTTATCTCAAGAACTGTCATCTATACAGCACTAAAGAGTTTCTGAAAAGTTCGAAGAAAGGGGTCTTGAGGTATTCGTACCGGCTAAAACAACTGACAAACAGTAAAATATCCCATTTCATGTGTCTAAATTACCTGCTGCTCCAACTAAGTAACTGCCAGTGACCCACAAAACACAACCAGGCCCAGAACAGTGCAACTTACTGTGCAGGTAACCAAGCAGCTAAGAGGGATCGACCTCTGATTAAACAAGTACATTTTCTTTTAGGTCTGAACTGTATTGACTCACCAAATACTGCCATTTAGACTGCATTTAAGGCACTTTGAATGCTTGTACAGGTTTAAGGATCAGTGTATGTTTTGTATTGTATACTATTACTATCTGTATTGGAACAACTCTAGTATAAAGTGGTACATTTGAAAAAGTACAATCTACAAGTCCTTGTTTTCTCAAAAGCACCTACATATGTAAGTACAGGCAGACGACAAAACGAAGTTTAAACAAGATCAATGGTTATATTTTCGAGTAAAATAAATTATTTATGATTTCATCTCACAGAAAAATCAAGCACTTGATTGCACATTCACACTTTTTCACACCTCTAATGAACATGGCCACTTCATTAAATGACATTGGAGGCAAGCAAATGCGCTATACATTCAGAGTCTTCTTTTTGTAGGCTGAGGTGTGTTAAGTCTAAAGTTTCTCCTCAATAGTAACTGCAGCTTTCCTACTGCTCACATGTGGTTGTGACTCTGCTCGTGGCTCCAGAGACTGAACGCAGTCTTAAAGGTCCTGTGGCAGAGTTTGCACATGTACTGCCTCTTGAACGTCAGGGCAGAGAGGGATGGTGCATGGTAAAAGAGCGTGTCTGATTCCTGAGGGCCTGGATTCTCCATGCTGTTGGACCTTGACAGAGGGCTGTGGCTGCTGGGTTGATGTTCCAGTTCGGGCCTCTTTGTCTGATTGACTGAAGAGCTACAGGGCTCAGGGCTGCTGGACTCTTCAGCCACTGCTCCAGCTGCTGTTTGTGTGGACCTGAGCACGGGGGCCTGTGGGGAGCGACGTTCAGAGTTCTGCGGGGTTGTGGGAGGGGATGGAGACGAGGGCGAGGAATGTCTGTCAACGTCTTTGGCTCCAGGTTCGTTAGCGGTTGACATGTGGGACTGGAAGTGGCTCCAAAGGCGGAAGTTAGTCCTGAAGGCTTTGTTGCAGATGTGACATATGAATGGTTTGATGTGACAGAGCAGCTCCTGGTGCCGCTCCAGATCTTTGCGAGAACTGAAAAGGTTCCCGCATTTCTCACATGGCCACACGCCAGGTTCTTCAGGTCCAGTTTTTGAAGCCTCTGTGTTCTCCCTCTCACTCACAGCCTCTTCTAAGGGCTCTTCTTTTACAACCAGCTTGCCATGGTGGCCCATGCTCAGGTCCTCAGGCACAAAGGATGAGGAGTCTTCTGAGTCATACATTGGTGGACCTGCAGAGTCACTGTAGCTGGCTGTCTTTCTTAAATCCCTGGTTGCCAAAGGCTCTTCTTGGTAATCATCCTCAGTGAGCATTTTAGAGGACTCCTCATCGTTTCCTAGTTGCTGCAGGTGAATCTGGTCTTTAACAGTCATCATGTTTTGGTTGTGGACCTCCACCTGGTGACGCCATATACTGAAGGATGACTTGAAGGTCCGCATGCATTCCAAGCATGTCAGTTTCTTGTACTTACAATGTGTCTCGTGGTCTTTTTTGACTGTTGGGCAGGAGAAGCGGAGGCCGCAGTAGGGACATACAGTTGCATGTCGACAGCCCCTCTCATGGTCGCCCTGTTCAAAGATTGAAGACAGCTTCATGTTACAAAGCCTGCAGGAGTACACACCAGCGTCTGTGTTCTTCTGTTGACTGAACTCATGTTCCTGTTCCTGGTAGATGATGCTCCTGTCCGCTGTGTCCTGGTCGGCTTTCTCAGGAGGATGTGTCCTTAAATGCTGCCTGTACTGAGACTGGAATACAAAGACTTTCCCACAGTAAGGACAAATAGAGCTGGGCCTGGACCTCTTTTTGGAAAGTGCAGGAGACTGTAAACCCTGCTTGTTCCTCTTTAACTTCCAGAGCAAAGCTTTCTTTATCTCCCGCTCTCTTACGATGTCTATCAGTTTCTTCTGAAATTTCTCATCCAGTACAGAGGAGCTGGAGGATGAGGCCGGGTTTTGTACCACACCATGCTGAGTTTGGCAGTGAGTCCACACTTTGAAGTTGGTATGGAAGCGCTTGTGGCAGATGTCACAAGCGTACGGCTTTTCGGGGTTGTGATACATATTTACGTGCCGATGTAATCCAGCGCTGGACCTAAAAACCTTTAAACAGTTCCAGCATTTGAAGACTTTGTTCTGAGGTGGCGCTACACTGTTCTTGTTTACGTCGCTGCTGGCACTTTGAGCTACTGGCAAGTTCTCATCAAGCATCAGGGGATGCTCTTTAAACATTTTGCTCTTCTTGAACGGGTATCTCCTGTTGTCTGGCCGGTCCCTCCTTTTACCATAAGAATTGACATCTGGCCTTAAACCTTGGTCATAATTTGCCTGCAGGTCTTTCAGATTGACGGGCAGCGCATCTCCAACTGTGATTCGGATAATGTCCATGGGGTCTGCAAGTGGACTGCTGGGCTCAGCTTTCACACTGACCTTTCTTTCTACCTGAGTTTCTCTATCATACCTGCTGGAGTACTTAGACCTGAGAACCAGGGGAGATGTTCGTTTTGAATTACCGTTGTGAGTGGGTGTATCTAGTCCACATGCTGTGGATGCCATTTTAACAACAGATTGTTCACGGTTTTGCAAATCTTTGAGCTCTAATGTGGGCGAGAACACTGGAACAGGGCTGTCCATGGATAGAGACCTTCGCAGGAGGCTTTTTATGAGCGGTCCACTTCGGTCAATGGCCGGGCATGGCTCACTGGCTCGACTTTGAAAGGACCCTTTGGTGTGATAGTGGTGCTCTTGCTCCTCTTCTTCCTCTTTGGTGTTCTGGTCAATGCCAGACTGCGGCCTGATGTGCTGCACTTCTGCATCACTGAAAGACACAGAGGAAGTCAGCTGGGGCCGGACAGATATAATGTGTGATGAATTTCCTTTTAAAATGGAGGCATAAGGGTAAGTGGACTTCCTGTCAGCCGCCTCACTGTGTTCTGATGATTTCCTGCTGATGGATTCGGGGTTTCCAGCTGATTCATAGGAGATGGGAGACTCTGAAGGAGACTGCGTTGATTCTCGAGTACAGTGGGGAGGCGAGGCTCTCTCTGATGTCTTTCTATGATAATTTGAGGATGGGGGATGGGCTGTGTCATTCCGGACCCGACACACAATAACGCTTCTTGTCTGTACATCATTCTCTTCCCCCTCTGAGAACGAAAGCCTTTTTCTGGACACACAGTAGGATGCATGTGGCCTTGTTGACACAATGTTGGTGAGGAAAGGGATTCCAAGACTGTAGCCCAGCTCCTGAATGGCTGCAAGACTGCTTTTGTCCACAAACAGTGAAGAGGAGTAAATGTAATTCAGAACAATCTCAAAGGCGTCTGGCTCACAGAAGTCCAGGTTTACAACTTTCAGGGTCTCAGAATCCCTCCGGGCAAACAAGGACTGGAAATACTCACTGCTGGCAGCCAGGACACTTTTTTGAGCCTGGTACTTCTGTTCACCCACAACCAGGACTACATCACACATCTGACCACGCAGGCGCTGCTCATTGAGGACCCCCAACACTGAGAGGGCATGGGAGGGGTTGCTGTAATGCACAAGGCTCTCCATGGCTGAAAGAAAAAAAGAATTAATCATAATTAGGAATATAAACGAACATTGGATGTTAATAAAAAAAAAAAGGAAGAAAGATGCTGATCCATTTATAGCTGCTCTTTAATGCAGATAAACACTTAATTCTTACAATCACATCCAGAATGCTGCAGCTCCACAACCTGTCCCCTGTCCTTGTACAGTATACCTGTGTCTATCAGCCTTATCATTTCAGCACCAGTACACATTCTGTAAACTTCTGTAACCATCTACTTTTTACCTTCACACACCTTGGCGCATGATGCGTGTCTGGGTCTGTCAAATGTAAGCCTTTGGAAAAGCTAGGGAAGCCGTATTTCTAAGCTAAGGGAGGAATTTTAGAAAAATGTGGACGTGGCTAATTGCGTAATTTGGGGTGTGCCATTTTAGGCACCTCACAATTTGATTTAATAGTTTTTTGGGGTTTTTTGTTTTTTTGGTGGGGGCTGAACAGGCCCTCACACCTTCATGCACATTGGAGAGTGAAGCATGACTGGGTTGGGAAAATGTGGAGCTATGAAGCAGCCACAGAGTGTATTCCTGCTATCGTGATTTTATAAAACCATGAGCAAGTGGGAGCGGGACTTTAAGATTTCATGACGTGAGTTTAATCAAGATCAAATACGCCACACTGTGCCATCCACGCCCTCTGGCAAAAACTCAGTTTTTGGCACACATGTAGACCAACATCTCAGGTAAGGATTGGAACTAAAAAGATTTTAATGATATCAATGCCATTATATTTTGCGTATTGATCTGATTCTTCTTTGATTCCTGGGTTGAAAAATAAAGAAGACCTATTCAGATTTTTCTGTGTTAACACAATTTGTATTTCAAATCTCTGCACACACTGTACAAATTTGAAAAAAACGGCTTTGTAGATTTACATTAAATCTTTCATTAGTACAAAATAAGCAGCTCTTTGGGAGGATCCTGGTTCTCTCTGGGCTTATTGTGCCTCCAGCTGAAGAACACCCTCTCAAATGGATGGCAGGATGCTTGAAGACAAAAATATGTTTGTGAAAGAGCTGATAGCAGGGGCAGTGTGTCCCTTTTCTCCAGCCACCAGAATGCAGGGTGAGTGGATACTGAGGCCCGAACTACATGAATGCGGATGTATTTCAAACCGCACATATCAATGTCCGATTAGGCCTCCCTACCACACCAAAACGGGAGTTTGGAGCACCCAAACCGGATAAATCTGAATCCGAAAAAACAAGTGGAGAAATAAAAAAATATCCGTATCCCGTATCCGTAGTGGATTCGTGTGGTTGGACTTTTACGGATCGATGACGTCAAACCGCAGCTCGCGCATGCGAATTAAAAAGAAAAACAACAACAACAGCGATGGCGGACAGACAGGGTATTTTTTACGTTTGTTTTGCCCTTTTGGGGCTACTTTCAGCCTTGCAAGTGAACCTTGTTTTATACAATTACATCCATTAGTCAGCCCGCTCACAGAAGCGTCTGCTGCGCCCAATACTTTTATTGGTCACATGGTCCGTCACATGGACCCGACGCACTAGCGTAGCTTCCGCAAACAATGCATGACGCATCGTGCTGTTACAATTCATCCGCCAATCAGATAGCTTTGTTCCTGAATTTTTTTAAGCGGCACCAGATAGGATTGAGTTTGACGGCTACATGTGGACGCAGATATTTCTGAGAACTAAGACATGTGGACAGATACATTTATTTAGACGGGAGTACAAAAATATCCTGATAAATAAATATCTACATACGTGTAGTTCAGGCCTGAGATTAGAGGTAGGCATCTGGACAACTGGACCTAGCTCACTTTTTCGCTGAGGGACTGGCTGGTCTGATACTGCTGCAACACCATCTGCTGCAGCTGGTGTTGCTCTGTGCTTTTGTTAACATGGGACAAACATAACTACTGTCCCTGCTATGCTGAGAAACACTCTGTTGGCACACAGCTTCAAACACACTTGATATTTAATGCCATGCTGCGTCGACAAATGTTTAAGCACATTGCAGGTATTTTCACCCAGAGTTGAAATCGCACATATCTGTATTATTATAATGTCTACACTTTCCCGCCATGATGACCTCCTCCACTTCTCTGTGTAAGCACTAAAAGCTTCTCTCAAGGTGTGACATTGTTTTACAAAATCATGCAACTTTGGCATTGATATGGAAACCGTTGAGCAGACAGGCAAATATCGTTGATGTCTCAAGTTATTGGGATCCAATTGTGAAGAGAACCGGTTTGATTCCCATCCCTAATCTCAAGGTTATCCTGGGGAAATATCACGCTGATTTATTTCAAGACCTTGGAGTTACAACTTTTAGAGTTTAGCATGACATCTCTCTGTGCCACTGGGGGGCGTAACAACCAGGATGAAACATTACCATAGGAATGTGTTCAGGCCTGGATGTGTGGTACATTTGACTAAGATTGGAGCATGCATGGCTGAGATAAAATGCACTTTTTTCATGAAGAAACACCCATCTTTAACGGATCACCACGTCCACATGTGACTAAAAGCTCTGAGAAGCTTTTAAAGGGATAGTCCTTTAATTAAGGGTCAAACACACCCTACCACCGAGTTACACACCCCCACTGGAGATGAATGTTGCAGACCACTTGCTTCTCTAGTTATACCAACTTTAGTAACGACCACAGGATAGCAATACACAGCTGGCTGAGGAGCCATAAACAAACCTCAAACAAGATGTCACTCTATAGCCACAAATAATGCTCAGAACAGCACCTAATATTATCAACCATATATGGGGTCCTAGCCATAGTACTAGCCACCAAACATCTTTTTAACTTTGCCTTATTTCTTTAGCAAAGAGACCAAACACAACTCACATACTCTCTTCCAGCAAACGTTTGTTTGTAGCGAGAACTCAGGCCAGTCCATTACGAACTACAGTGGGGTGATGCAGCTCAAGGAAGAACATTTATGATGATTTCTTTATCATTTCCTTGAAGTAATAATCATCATATTTATCATTTTGCACTGCAGACGCAGTAGTTCTTCTGCCTTAGTATCTTGGTCTGATTGTATTTCCATGAAGAAATTATCATAAATATTCTTCCTTGAGCTGCATCACCCCACTGCGGTCAAAGGTGGACTGGTCTGAGGTCTCACTACAAACAAGCGGCTGCTGGAAGAGAGTAGGTGAGTTGTGTTTAGTCTCTTTGCTTAAGAAATTAGGCAGAGTTAAAAAGATGTTTAGTGGCTAGGCTGGGACCCTATGCTGTTGATGAAGTTAGGTGGTGTTCTGAGAATTGTTTGTGACTATAGAGTGGCATCTTGTCTGAGGTTTGTTTATGGCTCCTCAGACTGCTGTGTATTGCAATCATCCGGTCATTACTTAAGTTTGCATAACTAGAGAATCAAGCAGTTGGCAACATTCCTCTCTCGAGGGAGTGTCTAACTCAGTGTTATGGTGTGATTGACCCTAAATTAATTTTACACCGGGATATCCTTTTCACCTTTAGCTCATAACACACTGTGCAAATTTCCATGCGATTTAACTATAGAGCTCTAATCTATCCACAGGAGATGAGCTACCTACTGAGGCCGAGGCTTTTGACTCCTCTGACCCTCCACACACAGCAGGAACTGCCGTTATGACACCATATACAGTTCAGACTGTTAGAGCTCCAACAGTGATCTAAGGGAGAGAGTCACTCCACCACTCAGAGAAAAAAATAAAATCTCTCTTTATTAATTCCACTTAACCCAAAATAACTGTTTTCCTCATCTGAAAGTTTTTTTTTCCTTTCTCCTTCTCTCCCTTCTTTCTGTCATTGGTCCACAGGAAGCACATGTCCACACCTCCTTATAAAGTGTTCATCATCTATTCATGGGCATGTGCATGTAAAACATAAATTTTGGGGGGGGGGGGGGGACTTAAAGCTCAACAGTGGAGGTGAACTGAAATGACTGAGTGTCTGTAATCCAAAACAACAGAATGTTTAAACAGCCAATGATTGATAAGAGTATAAGGATCATGGTAATTGTAATGGGATTTTTATGACATCATATATATTATCATTATGTCATGTGTTCATGTCATGAGAAGCACTCAGGGGTTTCCTTTGATTTGTGCTCTAGAAGTAGGATTTGAGTTGTTGATTGATTCTAAGAAACAATGTAAATGTTGACATATTTTTTCCCCTTTCTTTGAATCTATTTCATTACTCGGGTGATGTGAGAGTGCTGCCGTCACTGGAGAGTCTGCTTCTGCTTGTCAGACATCTTCTGACACACAGTTAACCTGCCCCAGAGCAGACCTGTTCAGTGGTATAGTTACCATAGTTACTGAGCAGGGACTCAAACGAGCCACACTGATGCAACAGAACTCTCACTTAAATCAAGCAGACCTATTGAAATGAGACAGGCTTTTCATGTAATACCCCCTGCTCCTTTTGCAACAAGATCTTATGAGATGACATTTTGTTTTGGATTGGCACTAAATACTATACTGACTCAGATATGAGACTGTTTTTCTTAAATATGTGACCATCTTATATTGGTGGTTTAGCAGTCATACCCTTGAGGGTAGACGCTGTTACATGACACAGCATTGTTGTGTTTTTATCATCAACCCAAAACATACACACTACAATGTACAAACTTCCTGTAAAATCCACAGACTTGAGCAGAAGCAGCTTTGGGACCTGGAATGCTGTGTGTTTTTGCTACATCCAAAGACTTTTCTATCCCATATCCCTATAGAGGATCAGCAAAATTTCAGAGACCGTTGAATCCAGTACCTCGAAAACAAAAATAATCTGAGAAGATTTATGCCAGACAGTGGCTGCCATTGTTTTGGTCACAGCCCGCTCTAAATATAGAAATAAGAAAAATGGAAGTATATTGACTGGGGTCAACTATTGAATTGATGTATCAGTGCTCATTATTCATGTGGGTGCTGCACACAAACATGCTCGTTTTTTATTTCACTTCACCAACAACTTCATCAAAAGATATTAAAAATAATATTTGGTAAAAGATTTTTAACGCCAGCTTGCCCTGTTTTGTTAAATGAGACCATTTGATCATATTGTACAAACTTCCTGTTGAAAAAACGGAGTAACTTTCTGTTTGAAAAAAAACGGTTTTGGTCTTTTTGTTTTCACTTATTGTGCGCGCGCGCGCGAGAGTGTGTGTGTGTGTGTGTGTGTGTGTGTGTGTGTGATGAAGATCCACTGATGTAAACACGGCGCCCCGGGCGTTTATTTTGAAAGTTATGACCGGAAACATGCTAAGATGTGGATGTGTTGAACACTTGTTACTTAGTAAGTGTGGGTCATTGTGCAGAAGCTTCATTCATTTCTACTAAACTAAAGAGCGTGTTGTTGCCCCCTCGACAAAACTCATGAATGTCATTCCCAGAACAGTAAGGGATATTGAGTCGAGTCTGTTTTCAATGAGGAAGTCGACTGAGGCTTTCGACGCTAGATCATCCGTAAGACGTGGCTTTTCCCATGACAGACAACTTCTGGTGAGGAGACGATGCTTTGACTCAGGACATCAGTCACCAGATTCTTTCTTCGTGTCCCTAAAGCCGACCCGTACCCCTCAACCGTTAACTGAGGAAAGTTGCGGACCTTTCAATGGGCTCCGCCGCGGTAATCCCGGAGTAAAAACACTGTCGATATAAACAGGCAGGCTGCTGGAGCGTGGAGGACTCAATTACCCCACCGTTAGCCCCGAATAATGTGGTCTTTGGGGTTGTTTAATCATTTTCTTTATAAAACCGATTAACCCAGCCTGGCATGGCATGGTTTCTGGCCGCAAAACAGGTTGTAGCAGGTCAGGTTTTACAGCAGCACAATCCCCCTCTTCGAGTTACGTCAGCGAGGAAAAGGAAAAGCTTCTCCTCAACAGCACTCTGCATGCTCTCCCTAACCCTTCCTGATTGTTATTTTGATCGATAACTTTAGTGTTATGTCTACACTTACCCTGCCCGTCGTCTGTTTGTTCTCTCCTTCACACAGCCGGGACTTTTTCACTGTTGTGTAGAATTCTGCGCGCTGGTCGTGATTCCATCCATCTTGAATTTGACGTCATCCCACACCAGGGATGAGGTCATCGCAAAGAACGCTCGTCACGTGCACTGCGCACCGATAGGCTAATAATGGACCAGGGGCGGGACCAACGGAAGAACTGACACTGGTGTTAATTTAAAGGGACATGTCATATTTTTGCATCTCAATTATTAATTTCATGTCACACAGCGCCAATTTACAACAAATATCATCCCAGGACACAAACAGAGAATCTTACTCATATTATTTATAAAGATCCAACATCTGCCATCTTCCTTTCAACCTACAGCAAGGCTGAGTCTAATCTCATTTTCATCCACCATGAGCTGGGCACTTAGTAGCATTTGGCAAGTTAAAGGAGAGAGGAAATTTCCTGGGGCATAACCAGACAAATGCAGAAGAGCCCTGTATGCTGAGACAGTTTGGGGATTGGAAAGGGCATAGAGTAAAATGTAGAAAGGGAGAGATAGATTAAGAGAAACAACAGCAAAAAAGCTGATGTTGATTGAGGGTTATGTGCTAAAAGTATGTGTGCTATATACAGGAACTGCAAATTAATTATAACAGGCTCATTTTTTTATTAGTTAAAGTCAACAGGTCTCATATCAGCAGTGACTGTATAATAATGATGTAAATAAAAAGGACAGGATTGAAATGAAATAATCGATTAATTGAGTTTGACTTGAACTATTTCAAATTGAATATGAGCTAAATAACAATGGTGATGATGGTGATAATAACAGCTGTAGCAGCTGCAGTCTGGCAGGTCCACACTAGCAGGTTGTCTACAGCATGGATCCAAAGACAGAAGAGCTCATGGGCTCACCGAAAGATCTGTAGTTTATGTAAAATCTGACTATGAAAATTCAAAATGAAAGGTTGTGGCATGCAGGCAGAGAGTGGAGAGAGGTAAAGACTGGGGCTCAGTATGACATCTTTCAAATTAAAATAAAAAGGCATTAGTACATACCCAAGGCAGTAATAGATTAATTTACTGAATAAATAAATAAACATGTGCAGATAATTGAAGTAATACTGAAAATGAAAATACGATTAGCAACTTCAGGGGCTTGGACTTTTCTTCTAAACTGTATTACTGAACAACAATAAGAAGAAGCTTTTGTGTTTACTTTAATTTATGCACTTTTTTTTTTAGATTACAACAATATTCACCCAAATTGTTTATTTTTATACTCACACTAAGCCCTTAAGAAGCCATATAACTCTTATCAGAAATCCTCAGTGTATACTTTGAGAAAAAAAAAAAAGGCAAACTGTGGTTTGGTACAATAGCTTTACAACACATATAATTGTTAGTTTATAAAACAAATCACTGGATGGGTACATTCAGTTTAAGGTCTCATCTCATTTACAAGTGTCTTTTACTCAGTTTGTTAAATATGAACAAGAATCTATGACATTATCTTTCTAATAATGTAATAGATTAGTAAGATTAGGTTTATGCAGAGTTTCTAAGGATATGTAGACTGCTTGAAAATCCCCACCATAGTGCATTAAATTCCCACCATGGTGAACAGAAGCTTCATGGTGGCAAATGACACATGTTGTCATGATAATGTCTTGTTGGTTTAGTTTGTTCCTTGTTTTGTGATTTACTTTTATTTTCTGTGTATTTTCCCGTTGTTCCTGTTCCCCTGTGTTAACTATTATGTTTCTGTTGTTCTTGTTGTTCACTGTTTAGTTTTAGTTCAGTTTTCAGAGTTTCCTGTTCTATTTTGTAGTAGTCAGTCTTGTGTATCAAGTCTACTTTTACTTCCTTAGTTCCCCTCCTTTGTTGATTACTCGAGTCTCACCTCACATGTTGCTTATTTCCCAGTGTGTATATACCATAGACTGTATATACTATGGTAAACTTGGTTCCGCCTACTGCCTGTTATACGGATTTGAAGCCAAATAGCTCTCAGTATTTCCGGGATTTTTCTTCATTTCCTGAAACCAGCACTGCGCAATAGCAATGCGCGCATTCGGGCGTGCAGTCGCCAAGAGTCGCTGTGATGAGGCTTGGCTCAAACAGCGTATCCCCTGGGAGAGCTACGCAATCCCTGAACGCCAATAGGCTGTATCAGGTGTCAATTATAGAAAACATGAACCCCCTAATAACTTTTAAAAACTAAGCTTCACAGAAAAAAGAGGACTTGAGCACAAACCAGTCTTACAATAACTACATGTCAACATCACAAGCAGGGGGGGAGAAAAATGTATGTTCTGTGAAATAAATTTCTAAAGTTCGTCCACAGCTCCATAAGGATTTATGACCTATACTGCAGCCCATCAACAGAGGGTGCTGTTCTCAAAGTGGCTTCACCCAGCAAGGAGGCAGACGCTGTCCATTCTTTATACAGTCTATGGTATATACTCCCTGTCTTCCCCTCTTTTTTTATTGTTTCATTGTCCATGCTCTCCTTATCTGTCAATGTCTTGTTAATTCCCAGTGCTCCAGTGCATTTCCCTGCTTCTGTTGATTTTGATTTTGCAGGTTTTTGTTGAACTTTCAAAGTAAGTTGTTTTTTATTTCAAGTTGAGTCTTTTGTTAAATAAACCTTTTCAGTTCTTCACGTGGGTCCTCCCTTTTGTTTTTGTTTAAATGTGGATTTCTCAACATAGGTCATATCAACTTGAGCAGTCACAAACAATTCACTTCACTATCTAGGTCTCTAAAGTAATATTCTCATTGGACCATTACACATAGAATATACATTATACAAGAATTATAAATGGAAGACTACAATCAATAGACATCTGTAGTAAAATACCACAGAAGTTCTATCAGTCTGTGGTGTTTACAGTGTTCTGTTCTACACTGCAGTCTGCTGGGGAGGCAGTATAAAACACAAAGATGTAAGACATCTGAACAAACTGGTGAAATAGGCTGGCTCTGTGGTTGGATTTGAGTTGGACTCACTGGAGGATGTGGTTTGGGAACTGGGGAGAAACAAACTAGTATTTTAAAACTTTGTTACCCACCTAGCCCCTAGTAAGGCGTGTAAAAGCATAGCAGTGAAAACATTTGTACTGATGAAGTTAAAATTGGTAATAGGGTGGTAATGCTGATGTATAGTCAATATAATCAGGTCTAATATGTTCTTATATATTGTCATTAGCTTTGTCATAGTGACAATCATGGTAGGAATTTTTGTTGTTATGAAACATTGGCTTTGCAACAGTAAAGATTATAGTGAACGTGATTCTGATAAATAAGCATAAGCTGTGTAACATTTAAAACAATGAACTACGAGCTCTCTAAGAAATGACCATGAAGAGCTTTGTAGGTCAGAAGAAGGATTTTAAATTCTGCCCCAAATGTAATGAAGCCAGAATAGAGAAGCTGATACAGAGGAGATGTGCTCTCTTCTCCTGGTTCTGGTCAGTACTTGGGCTGCACCTTTTTGACCAGCTGAAGAATCTTTCAGGACTTGTTGGGGGATCTTTTAAAAGGGAATTACAGTAATCCAACCTAGAGATGACAAATGCATGGGCTAATTTTTCTGTGTGGTTGTAAGTCAGGATGTGTCTGATTAAAATCTTTAGAGGAAACTTTTACACACACACATACACACAGTGTGTGTGTATGTATGTGTGTGAATAGATTTTTTTAGTACAGTTTTGATACATTAAAACATTGAAACATGCTCTGGGTATAGTGGGTTCTAAATCAGGAGTTAAAGATATACAGTGTGTGTAAGTGTATCTCCCCTTGGGCCCAATAAAACTAATTACATTGGAGACTGAGTAAAGTCAGGCAGCTGAAGGTTTGTGTCATTACTGGTATCCATCGGGGACTTGTTGCTAGGCTGATTTTGCCTGGCCTCTTACGATTATACCCTGTCAGCTACATTGTCTGTGCTATAAATAAGGCTTTGCACTTGTTGTTAGGGTAATATTAAAGACATATTTGATAGAGCTGATTATTTTTCCTTTTCAACATTGCTCTATTTCAGTTACCTTAGTTGACTCAGCCCATTGCCCCGTTCCTCCCTTGATCTGCATGGTTCAGTGTGTAAGCAGCCATTATCACTTAATGACTGGCTAAAGTGTCATCAAGCACATTTTCACACCTCATTACTAAAAGGGGACTCCGTTATATTAAGCATCGCTGTTATGTTTGCAAAAAAAAAAAAAAAGGGGGGCAAAAAGAGTGGAAAGGTTTCAAAATACTGGAGAGTTTCTTTTGCCGGGAAGGAATTCATATTCACATTCAAAATGTCAACCGGGTGACAGACTCTTGGTGTTATCTTTTTTTAGTCCAAGACTGTGGCAGCCTCAGCTCCCTGGTGTTCCTTCTTATAATAAATATGAAGACATATGGGAAAATCACAGGGAAGTTCTCACTTCTCCTTTTTGACACTAATGGCGGACCCAGGCTGCTGAGGCTGACAGCATAGAGAGCACTGCTATGGTTACCTGTATGGAAACCAAGTCATTAGGGACATGGGCTCCTCCCAGCCCACATCTCCTTGCCTGTAGCATCATAAACATGTTTACTTACCCTGACACCACCACAGATTAAAATACAAGTGATTTCTTTAGTGGAAATAAGAGCCTGAGCTTTGTTTATGAAAGTCGTGGAATAAAGGTTTTTTTTTCTTTTTTTTCCTTTTCATGATACACTGACTCATAAGCCTGTCATGCCTACACATATCATCAAAAACAAGATATTTTTATTAATTTTCTGAAAAATAAAGGTTCCTTAGTAAGCTCACTCATCTGAACACTCACATATCACATGGATTAAGCATAAAAATTACCAGCTAGCTGCCACATTTTTCTGGTCCATGAGGGGCTGATGTTGCTATGAGGGGAGGAGATAGACAGAGCCACAGAGGATTTGGTCTTTGAGAGCACACACTCTGAACAGTGAGTGAGCTTCATTTCAAAGAGAAACATGCTCCTACAATGTGGTGGATTTTGATCTGTGAAAAATGAGTTGGATGCTCTCCATGTGGGTGGCCGCGGCCCTGCTGGTGCTATGTATGGGAGAAAGCTCTGTGCTTGAAGGTAGGCCTTTACACAGATGATGGATTAGCATGAAAATTGTCAGAGAAAAAGCTATGGGGAAAAATGTCCTGATTTGAATGCTGTTAGTTACGTAACCTTTATTTATTTGCTAATGACTAATTCAGAGAGAAAAATCTGATGCTGAAATGTAGCCAGAGACTTACCACCAATAAAACCTAGCCAGCAGTGACATTTACTTCATCTATTTTCTCTTATTTCAGGAATGAACCCGTCTGAGTCCGGTTACCATATGTGCATTCACAATGAGACAAGGTTAGTTAGTTTCCTGGCGATACACAAGGTCCCCTACACTGTGACAAAGCCGTGTGGAGACTGGCTCCTGTTCAAGACATGTACAGTCACTCTTTCCAGGATGGTCCATCAGATTGAGTACAGGACAGTGACAGAGGAGGTAACCCGGTGCTGTGATGGCTATGAACAAGTCGGCCGATACTGTGCCCCACGTGAGTTCGCTGCTTATTATTATTATTATTATTATTATTAATATTTGTTATTATTACTATTATTATTACTATTTTTCATTGATATTTATTTGAAAATATAATCCAAAAAAAGCTAATACTTTTTATCTCAAGTGTAAAGTGTCTGCATAACAATGGAACAGCATCACACACCCTGACAAGCACATTATCAGCTTGACCTTTCAGTGTGTGATGCTGTGTGTGAGACACCAGATGGAAGCACAGCAAACGTCCTGCTGCAAACATCTCGCTGATAATAAATCATCTCAAACGTGTTATCTCTTCAAACAAAGCTGTAAACAGGATCAGGGAGTTAACCGCCAAGCCAGGATCCTGTCCAACTGCAGATGGATCGAGTCCTGGATCTGAGGCCTGTGAGTGGGACATGGACTGCCCAGGCTGGCAGAAATGTTGCCACAGACTGAATGGTTCTTTCTGCAGTAACCCTGCAAGTTAGTATTTTTTATTCCTATTATTAATATTAGGAGGATTATGTCATCACCTCATACTTAAAGACTTTTTCACCCCACAACCAAGATTAACTCTGTATACACTACTGCAGGTTTAGGAGGTAAAACACTTTGTCATCTGCAAAACTCCGAAAATTACATCGTTCATCAGAATGATTATAGCATAAATTAGCATATATGATCAATAACTCTAAAATCTTGCAAAATGGTGGACAATAGAATGAGTATTACACTAAAGCTACTTAGCCTCCTGGTACATCCACTGCAGCTGAAGTTGTCAGTTCAACTCCTCTCCTTGTCAGGTTGACCGTGTATACTATAATAATATACAAGGCTCTGGTGTTGTTGCCACAAATCAATAAGCTGGTTTCTTTATTCATCTCTATCTTTGCTTTGTGTTTGCTATCACTGCCATGGCTGCATATGTTGTGCTTCCTTCTTTAGTCTGCTTGCTTACAGGTTAGCAGTCATTTCATTCCGCTTTACCACACACAACACATGCTTGGCTGTCCTGCTTGGGATTCCTCTATACAGCAGGATCTCTGATATTAAATTGAACATGTTCATGATTTTGAATAACAATTTTGTTGTGACCACTAGCTTAAAATCCGAGCCACAAGCTCAGGCTAAATGTAGTTAACCTTGTGATACACATGAAAGAAGAACATGAGAAAAAACATCCATTCCTTTATTCACATCACTATGTTGAATGAATATTGTTAATTAAGACAAAAAATGTGCAGTGGCATAACACCGCAGGGCTCTGAGGTATCCTCCAAACTACTAGCACATGATGGCATGGCCACTTGATCAAAGGAGACAATCGACATCTCATCCTGGCGTGTGTGCAGAAACGTTTTGCCGATTAGATATTCCACAGATCGCCTGAAAGACTCTACAGTGCTCAATTCAAGTTTTTGCGTCTTGGTAAGTAAGTTAATAATTCATTTGTAAAACTGTTTTTCTGCTGGACTGTAATCTATTCTAACGGCAGCCCTTCTATTTGTAAGGAAGAGGATTAGGGCCACTGAAAAAAAAAGGGGTCAGATATTTTTTTTATCATTATTCGGAGAAAAAAAGGTCTGAATTATCCGATTAAAGTCAGGATTCTGACTTTTATCTCAGAATTTATCTCACAGTGGACAAAAGCTTTATTCTCTCAGAAGCCATTCCCTGCATCCACAATGGAGAGTCCATATCCTACCTGTTTTGCAAATGGACGACTGACACACTAGCTAAACTGGAACATGACACCCGTCTCATGTGACAAATCCAAAACTTCAGACACATAAAGGGTGAATATTTAACTACAAATGTTACACTATTCCTTCCATTGAAATATCAAATACTAGTCAGTTGTCCACTCCTATGTTGTGAAACTGGTAAGACATGGACTCTCCATTGTGGATGCGGCGGATGACCTGAGAGGATCATGCTTATTTCCACAGTTTTTATCTTTGGAGAAAAAGCCAGAATTCTGACTTTAATCTCAGAATAATAAAAACAAAATCTATGTAGGACCTTTTTTTTTTCCAGTGGCCCTACTCCTCTTCCGTACATTTGGGACAGGCTGTATCTGTGCGCTGATTTGATTCAAACTGCTCTGTGACCGCTCCTCAAGCGTTCAGGTTCTGATGGCAAACATAACTGACAAAATTTGAGTAAGGGGCTCAGTTCTACTGAGTGTTTGGATTGACAGCATAAGTTGAACTCGTAAGTGGCTGATAAAACGTTTAATAGAAGCTAAGTTAAGGTCATGGGCTACAGTCACTTTGCTCTCTTGCCTTCTTCAAATTTTATATTTCTGCATGGTTTTACTCTGAGACAGACGCTTATACTATACTATATACTGAGCATCAGAGTAATCAAGTTTAAAACTAGGCAGGGAAGATGAGACAGAGGAGGATAACAGGGATAGTGAGCTAGCAGTGGATAGCTAACTATCCGGTGGAGCCAGTACAAATTTGGTTTTGAAAAACACTTTGAAACAACTAAAAGATTGGCATCAAAGAATTTTTTTGCTGAAGAAATAATTTGAATAAAATAGACACTTAAAATTATGTTATTTCATTACTAATTGATTTTACAAAAGGTGTAAGTGAGCTATCTTATCACCTCCCCCTGTATGCAAAAGGTGTCGCAGAAAGACAGACTGAAAACCACTGTCTACCATTATAGATTAATGATGATCTGTATCATCATAGAAAATACTTTAATGAAAAAAGTTCTGATAAATATTTACAGATTGTCATGAATGCACAGTTAATTAGAAAGAAAATGATATAATTTTCTGTGTCTAAAATTCAGCTAAATTTTTCAAAACCAAATTTTAATTTTCTCTCCCAAATACAAAATTCAAGTTACTGTGAATTCAGTCTTTAGCTCAGTCTGTAAATATGTGCTGGAAAACACATCACTCAGAGAGTTCACATAAAGCATTGATGTAATTTCTCCTCTTGATGGAAAAAGGCATTGGCCTTTTAAAGTCCTTTTTTATTTACTCATTTAATTTTTGCAGGTTCTTCTCATTTGATGTTTTGTGATGTGCAACAGGACCAAACCCACATACATTTTGGTGAGTGTCTTTAATAAATAGATCATTTACAGGTATTTTTCAAACACATGCTGTAGATTTGCTGATAAATATACTGCAGGGCTCAACATTATAACAGGTCGAATGGCCTAGATGCATGGTTGACAAAGCCCTTATCAACAGAGGGGTAATAATGATTGTGTTGTTGAAGCACCCAATATGTGCTATATTTAAAATAAATGCAAAATATAAAAAATAAAAAGTCTCTTCCTAATATACATGAAAAACCATAATATATATTGAAGAAAGAACAAATAATTTCAGAATAATGTGCAACCCTGAATCACTATGCAGTAATACCATGAAACTGTGACACTAATGTCATCATACCATCAGAATCAGATACCAGCCAAGGCCTCGAGGAGCCACTGCTGTTACTTTTGCTGGCTAAAGGCTGGTTGAGGCTCAGGTGGAGGAAGTTTGATCACTCAGCCAATCACTTTGTGCCTTCTTTGATTGAATGCTTCATGTGATTGGTCCACCACCTCAGCAGTTTGTGGAGAGGTGATGTTAAGGTTTAAAGTGCACTTCGAGATAATTCTCTGTAATGCAGTTTTGTACCGTTTAACAGATATTTTGATAATTGAACACCTTAAACACTGTTGATATGTGTTCCCATTTAAATCAGAAGAGCAGAACAGCATTTAAAGCTTAATAATTCATTCATTTACAGAAAAAGTGTCCAAGATAATACATGCTAGAAATTTAGCAGCCTCCTGAAACTGCTAGGGCTGCTCTTGCTCTTGCCCTATTTAGCCATGAAATTATCGCCTTCTTTTGCAAACGTTATGTTTGTTTACACTGGTGTGTGTGGGAACTGGGGAGTGCTCTCACAGACCAGGGGAGTCTACGGTGGCCTGGAGGCGCGAGACATAATAGGGAAGAAAATCAATTTGACAATTTAAATTTTTTTAACATTGTCATAATCAAATAACTTATTACAATTTAAAATTGATTAATCATGTAGCCCTAATAACTACGTGTCATGTTTTGAAAAAGCAAACCAAGCGTGGTTATGAATTTCACCCAGAGTGTTCTTATTGACATACCTAACAGAAAAGTGTGTCAAATAAAATTCTTCAGGCCAGAGTATATACAGATGTATTAATTTAAAAGGAATCATGATTAATTTTTGTCTCACAGTATCCAACTTGAATTATCTGCCCGATAATAATGAAGGAAAAGGGACTTTTTAGTTCTCTATTGTAGAAATCATATTCAGATCTTGTTAATGAGGTGTGCTAAACCAAATTACAACCATTGAAATGCTCCATACATGCCCTATCATGACCACCGCGCTAGTGTGAAACATTTCACCTCTGAGCTGGACTTTATTGGAGCTTTTTTCTATCTGTATCTGATGCCTTTCAACAGGTTTGAATAATATAGTGTGCACTGTTTTCACCTCTTTCCTTTTATTATACCTATTTTTGTGGATTTCAATGAGGTCATTTTCATTAGTTCCCTCTAAGACGACAATGACAGCACTGAGAACGGCAACCACATGAAACCAGTCTCACCTTTACCAGATCTGGCATGAAACGCACAGTCAAGAGGTGTGGTCATTACATGTACTGTGTGAGGTGTTCAGACTTGGGGCTCTATTTTCGTGTACGCCGGGGACGCGGCGGAGGGCGGCAGACCCCGTGCAGTGGTATTTTTGTCTGGCGGAGCCCGGCGTACAGCCACTTTGGTATTTTCGTGGACTAAGGCGCACCGAGGTCCGCCAAGCTGGGCATGGTGGCGTGGCAGAGGGAGGTGTCGTCAGAATCAGCTGGCGCAGTGACATTTTCTTGCTTGCTGGTGGCGTATAAAGTGCGCTGAAAGCTCGCCGATTCAAAACTGGTCAGCTTTCAGCACAGGTGGAGTGCAGCTGGTCTAATAGTATTTTGGTAGACCAGAGGCGTATCAGCATGCGTCACCGATGCCTCACCGGCAGGTTTCCACAGTGTCAGGCCCATTTCAGTGAAATAAATAATCATCAACAACTAATAATCTGAGTCAGCACATACATTTAGATCTATGTAGATATATTCTGATCTATATCTGATCTGATGAGCACGTTTGGCACATGTTTGGACACTCAACCTGACCGAATCAACACATCTGAAACCGCATTAAATTAAATTAAATATCTAGAAAATAGACTCACATGATGAAGTGAACAAGATATGGAATTCGTCTCCCTCCTTTTCTTTCTTCCTCTTATTTCTCGCGCAGCTTGACCTGGACATGTCTCCATGTCCTCTCCCCGTCCTGCTGCTGCTGCTGCAGAGGCTGACCAGATGATTTGTTTCAGATCAGATCAGATGAGTTATTTACTTTAAGCCTACATATGAATATTATAAAATTCAGTTTTGTGAGCCAACTTTATTTCACATGCCAACATTGATGAAAGAAAGAGCCAGGCCACGGAGCGCAATGCGTCATTTACGCACAGATGGTTCCGAATTTAATGCCATTATTAAAATTTATGTTGTGATCTGTGCGCACAACCCACCTTTGTCACGTGAGATTTAAATATATGTAACTTTATGTGAGTGTCTTTATTTGAGGAAAAGGGTGTTTGTCTTACCAGTGGGTCCAACATTACACACACCAAATCCATCTGTGCTCATATGAGAGAGTGTGGAGGACGCCCTCTGCAGCGTTTACAGTGACACTTGTTTAGGGGCTGCCTTCTGTTGCCATCGTGTGGCATTACTGTCTTCAGACATCACTTGATCTCTTTGACAACTCCACGAAAATTGTAATACGCCTCGCCGGTGGCAGATTTAAAGGTGAGGAGAGGAGCTGATGTTATTGGTCAATACAGGTCTCGGCTGTGTTAAACCCACTCCACGCCCTCTCTCCTCCCTCCCTATGATTTATGCTGCTGGGAGGGGCTGAGTTAGGGAGGGGGGATACTTATGCTGGGCCGCGCCGCTCACCAAAATACCAAAATGTGCTTGGGAACGCCTTTTCAGCGTGGCGGACCTGACTTGCGCCCCTGAAGCACGAAAATAGAGCCCTTGTAGTCTAGAGAGAGACCGATTTATCAGTCAGCAGGATGATGTCAATTAGGCTGATGAATAGTTTTTTACAAATAATCTGTATCATGTCTGCCTCGGTGCTCACAGTCCTGATATAAAATTTTTCTTATTCCCAATGACAGCATATTAAATCTCAAAGGGTTTCGTGTTTAATAAAAATTTTGCTTTAATGTGAAATTTAATAACCTAAACAAACAAACAAAAGACATGTAACATTTGTATGATAGTATGTCGGCCCACTTTCTCTCTTAATGTCGGGATCGGCACTGGCTGTTCTGTTTAGTCAACATAAGTGGAAGGGAATTCAACGTGGTCCACTATCTGCCAGCGCTTAGGTAGCCTAATAGCTTAATTAATGTAAAAGCCTCCTTGGGTTTAAAGGAAAAAGTACCTGAATATCATCTGAATACAGATGACATAACTCTTTAATCTGTCCGAAGGGCAGTAGATAAATAGAGATTAATAGAGGCCATGAGACTGAGCTCTGCAGTACACCAAATATCAGTGGAGAAGACTGGCACATAAAACCAATGTCCCTTTCTGGACCTTGAGTTTGATGACTTACCATGCTTGACACTTGCATGTGATCAGAGGGAAGGTCAGAGGTCCTTCAGCATGTCCCTCCTGCTGATACAGTGAAGTGCAGAGTCTTGTGTTAAATGTGACCCTCCTGATGAAAAGTTAGAGGTTAAGTTGGAGGTCAGTTTCTGCCAAAACCATTTTGCACTGTCTCAGTTTGGGGTTGTTGTGACATATGACATCATGAACAAGTTTTGCATGTATGTGAAGCAGCTGCTGTAATGTGTTATATTGAGTGAATTTATAAGGATAAGAAAGCCAGGTGTGGTGTGTGGACAGGGGGAGATGGGGATAACTGAATTGAAATTAATAAATGACCATGTGATACAAGTAGTGTGATGTACTGATGTATTTTCACCTTCTTTTCTCTCTTCTTCCTCTTAGAACAGTATCGTAAGTTGCAGTAATGTTCTCTTCATGTCTGCAGAGAGGATCTTGCCTTTCCACCGTGAACACCTGATCGAGAAGTCTTCAGTCTTCAAACAGAAATGACAACACCTGTCCGGAGCTCCAGTTTCCTGAACGTGGCACCATGTAGAGACTCAGTGCCACCTGTCTTTAATCAACTCAGGACCCAGTGACTTGGACACCAGTCCTTGGGCTCTATTTTCGTGCCTCCCCAGAGACGTTTCGCAGGCGCGGCGTAAGTCAGGTCTGCCGCACTGACAAGGCATCCCCAAGCACAATTTGTTATTTTGGTGAGCGGCAAGCCCGGCGTAAGTATCTCCCCTCCCTTACTCAGCTCCTCCCAGCGTAAGTCGTATTGAGTGAGGAGAGAAGGCGTGGAGTGGATTTAACACAGCCGAGACCTGCATTGACCAATAACATCAGCTCCTCTCCTCACCTTTAAATCCGCCACCGGTGAGGCGTGCTACAATTTTCGTGAAGTAGTCAGAGAGATCAAGAGATGTCTTAAGACAGTGATGCCTCACGATGGCGACAGAAGGCAGCCCCTTGTTAACAGAGTTACCGTCAACTTCTTCAGCAGCACTAAGCCAGAAAACAATAAAGCGAATAAAGGAGACCGAGACTTGTGCGTCGTGTTCACTCATTCAACTGATCCAAGTTTGTTTTGAATAGCAAATATATACAGGTGTAGGTAACAGGCACTTCCGGTCCAGTGCTCCACAATTAGAGTGAACACAATACAATACAATTGAGGTCATATCTCAACACCCCTAAGTTTGTTTTAATGAATGGCAAATATATACAGGTGTAGGTAACAGGCACAGAACCATCTGTGCCTAATGACGCATCGCGTTCTGTGGCCTGGCTCTTTCTGTTGGCATATAAAATACATTTGGCTCACAAAACTGAATATTATAATATTCCTATGTAGGCATAAAGTAAATAACTCATCTGATCACTGAAACAAATCATCTGTTCAGCCGCCGCAGCAGCAGCTGCAGCAGGACGGGGAGGGGACACGGAGACATGTCCAGGTTGAGCTGTGCAAGAAATAAGAGGAAGAGGAAGAAAGAAAAGGAGGGAGACGAATTACATATCTTGTTAACTTCATCATGTGTGTCTATTTACTAGGTATTTAATTTAATTTAATGCGGTTACAGCTGTGTTGATTCCAGTGGCGGCTGCTGGTCTTTCAATGAGGGGAAGCTCATTTTTCTGGCCTACATCATAATTGTGTTTGTTTATTTGTATGTAACAGAACGGAGTCGCCAAACACAACAGCAGTCGTTTCTAACAAAGACAAAAGTCGCTGAGGATCAGTAAAGTCTCCGGAGCAGTTAAGAACAACGGAATGAATACTTGGAAAATGCTCTGGTAGATGTTTTATTCTTCAAGATCGCTGATTCGCTTGTTCAGCTGTCAATCAAAAAAGGATTTCGCCTCAGACAGCTCATCCAATCATGGATGCAGAAGCTCAGCGTCCGCTAGAAAGTTGGGACCGCCCTCTCGTCATAGAACTCCAGAGACGCTGAGCGTCCGATGGGCGGGACAAAGCCCAGCATTTATCCAATGAGCGTCTAGTTTTGCTGCTGGAACAACCCACTTTGAGCTTCCACATTGAAGTCAGCAGACGCTGAGCGTCCGGCTGTTTAAAGCGCTGAGGCCCTGCGAGGATGAATGAGAGCGAAGTTGTGCCGGTTACCTGTGATTATCAGCTTCTTACCACAGTGTGATAAGATGCTGATTCTGAACAAAAGATGAAGGCTTTCTAGCACGTATTTAGTTACGTAGCAGTACGTATTTCACCACTTTTTCTTTTTTTTGGGGGGTGACATTTTAAGGGAAGCTGAGCCTCCCTTGCAGTCTTAGAGCAATCACCACTGGTTGATTCGGTCAGGTTGTGTGTCCAAAAGCATGCCAAATGCACTCATCAGATCAGATATAGATCAGAATATATTGATATAGATCTAAATGTATGTGCTGACTCAGATTATTAGTTGTTGATGATTATTTATTGCACTGAAATGTGCCTGACACTGTGGAAACCTGCCGGTGAGGCATCGGTGACGTATGCTGATATGCCGCAGGTCTACCAAAATACCACTAGACCAGCTGCGCTCCGCCTGCGCTGAAAGCTGACCAGGTTTGAATTGGCGAGCTTTCAGCGCACTTCAAACGCCACCGGGAAGCAAGAAAATGTCACTGCGCCAGCTGATTCTGTCAACACCTCCCTCTGCCACCACTCCGCGGGGTCCGCCACCCTCCGCCACCTCACCGGCAGACACGAAAATAGAGCCCCTTATGATTAAAGAATATTAGAATAGAATAGAATTAGAATATTCCTTTATTGATCCCCCATGGGGGAAATTTTTTTGTCACAGCAGCATCACAGACAAGACAGAAAGTGCAAAATGCAGTTATAACAATAAGGGTCCTAATATTAAGAACTTAATAAATGTAATAATTAAGAAAAAAAAAAATTGAAAAGAGAAAAGGGAGAAGAAAAAATAAAGCTTTCTGCAATATACACAATTTAAATGCCATAAAAAAAGTGGTGGTGTAAATCCAGTTTTGTTACTGTTCATTGTAAAGTCTTATTGCAGAGGGGAGGAATGATCTGCGGTAGCGCTCCGTCCTGCAGGGTGGTTAAATTGTATTTATTTGTATTTTTCACCTGACATTCTGCCAGTTTTAAGCGACTGCTTAAACTATGTTCCAGATGGTTTCTATAGCTAACAGGATCATATTAAATTGACAGAGGGCTTTTTGTTTGCCCCTGCTCAGGCCTCATGCTTAAACTTTTGTCTATGTTTGTGGCTGCAGAGGGGATCATGCCTGTCCACAGTGAACATCTGGTGGACAACATGTGAGACCTGAAGACCAGCAATAATCTTCACTCTTTTTTTTTAATGTGTCTGTGAATCACCATCCTGTGTTGAGCACCCGCTTCAGTCATGACCACACTCAGAGAGTGATAACTCCTCTGAGGCCAGGCTAGTTGGCTTCTGGTTTTTGACAGAGGATGAGTGAGGGCTGAAACACTTTTTATTGTTTTATCGAAAGCAGTGGTGATTTTGGTCTGGAAATTCTGGTGGGGCCATGCAGGAAAATCTCATAATGCAATTCAGAAATACCAGATATTATTCTCATACCCTCAAAACAAAAAGACAGCAACAAGCGAGAAAGGGGACCACGGCACCTTTGACGACAAAACTGCAGCTAAATAATGCCATCACACAAACAATGTCAATCTAGCGACATTATCATACCAATAGCGCCACCAAATGGCAATGTTCAAGACCTCACAATATCAAATAGGCCTATTTGAGATTGAAACAACGTGATAATAATAGAAACACAAAGCTGTGAACAGCCACACCCAATATACAATCAATATACAAAGCCACCACACACAATATACCACGGCCAAACAGCCATTTCAGCAAACAAAGATAGGTGAAGAGCTCCCTTAGGGAGCCAGGTTGTGTCCACCGCATACACCCACACACGTATCACCAGTTACGCATTACATAAATTCCACTTTACTACATCATAAATTCCATGTAGAATAATAGATTCACCGATGTGGATCACATTTTGAAGAGGAGTGACACTCTGTGGTCCTTCATGTGGGCAAATTTCTCTGTGACCTTGCTGTTAAAATCCAACAGTCCATGGATGAGTTCACTTTGCTATGCTGCGTTACTATGACAGCCGAGCTAGCAAGACCTGTGCAGTTCCCGCTCTTTTTTCTAATCAGCCAATGAAAAGCGCCCTGGGGCCCTGAACTTAAAGGACAATTTTTCCTCTGCTTGCTACATAAAGCAATTAACCAGGTGATTGATAATGTAGAAGAAGCGTGATCCAAATGAATAATTATTACTTTGCACTTTCATGACTGAGCGCCCTGAGAGTGGCAGCAAGTCACAGCAGCTCTTCACAGAGTTTACATTTTTGCCTTCTTATTGTTGTTTTTTGCACCTTATTTGTCTTTCTTTTTATTAAGCAGTGTTGTGTTTTGCATATTCTAACCATGGATGTGTATTTCATGACTCTGGCACTTTGTTTTCTTTTACTTTTTGGAGTTTTTAAGTCTGCGTCTGGTGACCCGTTCAGCGGCTCCATTGTTTACAGCCGCGAACAGCTGTTGGCGCTGCGACAAGCCCGGCCACCTTCGTGGGAGAGACCGGACATCCCTGCCAAACTCCGTAGGAGGAGGAGAGGATGCAGAGCCGGAGTTCAGCATTGGGCAAAGCAGAGACATTTTAAGCCAACTGCTGTCCCGTCCATCATCATGGGAAACGTTGAGGGGTCTTCCCATCAAGATGGAAGAGCTCACTGCACTGACTCAGCTGCAGTGGGAGTACCGGGAGTGCAGCCTCATGATGTTCACAGAGTCATGGCTGAACGAACTCAATCCGGACCCGCTCGTAACTTTGGACAGATTTCACCTCGTCAGAGTGAACCGGAGTGTGAGGGAGAGTGGTAAAGAAAGGAGGCGGGATAGCGGTGTATGTGAATGAGAGATGGCGTAATGCTGGGCACGTCAGTGTTAAAGAGCAGCACTGCTCTAAGGACATTGAGCTGCTGGCTGTGAGTTTGTGGCCATATTACCTGCTGAGGGAGTTTCGCACGTCAACACGTTAACTGTTTACATCCCCCCTCGGCTGATGCTGCTGCAGCCTGTGAACTCCTCCATAGTGAAGTGTCCAAGCTACAAACATCACACCCTCAGTCTCTGATCATCATCTTTGGAGACTTTAATCATGCATCGCTGTCCTCCACTCTCCCTACCTTCAGCCAGTGTGTAAACTGCCCAACGAGAGACAATAAAACTTTGGACTTACTGTATGCAAACACCAAGGATGTATACACCTCCTCCCCCCTTCCCCCGCTGGGCCGCTCAGATCACAACCTGGTGAGACTGCAGCCCATTCACATACCTATGGTGAAGAAACAACCCCCCACCATCAGGTATGTTAAGAGGTGGTCTGAGGAGGCCACTGAGGTGCTGCAGGACTGGGATGTACTGTGCGGCTCACATGGTGAAGACATCGACACCATGACAGATCACGTCACGGACTATATAAACTTCTGTGTAGAGAACACCGTACCCACCAGGAAAGTACAGTGTTTCTCCAACAGCAAACCCTGGGTGACCCCTGAACTTAAAATCCTCCTGAAGGAGAAGAGGAGGGTCTTTAAATTTGGGGACAGGGAGGAGCTGAGGAGGGTGCAGAAGGAGCTGAAGAAGAAGATCAGAGAGGGGAAGGCCAGCTACAAGACCAAGATGGAAAACCTTCTGCAACAAAAAAACGCGAGGGAGGTCTGGAGAGGCCTGAAATCCATCTCAGGTCATAGCAGGGGCCATGAGAGGGGACCTGAAGCAGGAGACAGGGAGTGGGCCAACGAGCTGAATCTGTTCTTCAATAGATTTGACTCTGCTCCCACTCCTCCCCCAACTCATCAAACAACTGCTGCTTCTTCTTCACACCACCTCAGTTCTCTGGCACCGGCATCATCACCCCTGGGAATACAGGACTGTCATCACTGACTTTGTCAACTGGTGTGGCACAAACCACCTCCAGCTCAACGCCAGTAAGACAAAGGAGATTCATGGGTGTCCACCTCAACAATAAACTGGACTGGTCAACCAACACAGACGTCCTGTACAAGAAGGGCCAAAGTCATCTCCACCTGCTGAGGAGACTGAGGATCTTTGGAGTGTGCAGGACTCTGCTCAGGACTTTCTATGACTCTGTGGTAGCATCTGCACTTTTCTATGCAGTGGCCTGCTGGGGGGCAGGGAGCACCGAGAGGGACAGGAAGAGACTGAACAGACTGGTCAGAAGGGCCAGTTCTGTCCTGGACTTCTCCTTGGACTCCCTGGAGGAGGTGGGTGAGAGGAGGATGTTAACAAAGCTTGTATCCATCATGAACAATCCCTCTCACCCACTGCACCAGACTGTGGGGGCTTTAAGCAGCTCCTTCAGCAGCAGACTTAGACTCCCACCTTGCAAGACGGAGCGCTACTGCAGGTCATTCCTCCCTTTTGCAACTAGACTTTACAACGAACTGTAATAAAACTGGACTCACACCACCACTTTTTTTCTGGTACTTAAATTGTGTATATTGTATATAGTTTTATTTTTTCTTCTCCCCTTTTCCTTTTCTATTTTTTTTTTCTTAATTAGAACATTTATTTAAGTTCTTAAGGTACGATCTTTATTTTTATAACTGCATTTTTGAACTTTGTCTGTGATGCTGCTGTGGCAAAAAAAATTTCCCGTATGGGGGATCAATAAAGGAATATTCTATTCTATTCTATTCTATTACATTACATTACATTTTATTCAAAATATTTTAGTAGTCATGGGTTAACTTTTTGTAGCCATTTGTTTCAAAAATATCATCTGTGGCCATCTGAGGTGATATATGAGCTGTATTAAGGCTAAACCAGATCAGTCATTGATTCTTCAAAGTTGGTTTTGTTGTATCTGGTCTGTCCGCGATGTGTAGATGCAGAGGGAGGCTTTGAGACACTGGCTTGCTTGTATAAGAGGAGTTTATTATAAAGACAACACCAGTATCAATACAGCACTGCAGTTGCTGGAAGAGGACTGCCAATGATGTCCAGCTCTCCCAAACCAGAGTTTGTGACCCTGTTATATATGGTGAGGGATGTAGGCCCTCCTACATCCTCTCTTTGTCCCCAAGCTATCTTTCGTTACCATCTGGTTTTTACCTAGCCTTGAAATGTGACCTGTGACCTGCAAAACCCCAGAATGTCTGGACCAGGTACCATAAAAGTGACACAAGCCCACATTCCATGTTGGTGCAGTACTCCAGATACCACAGTTTTGACTTCATATTAGCATACTAAAATTTGTATGTGGCACATAAATGTGGACGCTTGCTATGGTTGACAGTTGCTGACTAAAAGCCCTTGGAAATTCGTCGTAGTTCCTCACATATTATACTGTATGTGGTATGTTAGATTCTTGTCTGTCACAGCTGCTGGTAATTGACTGTATATTTGAGCCTGGTGAAATAAAATATTCTTTGTTATCACACAGTTGTACACTGTTTATTACTGATGTGGACTGTAAAAATGTAAACAGTACGGCTAATTTTTTTAAAATTAGATTTTCTCATTTGTCAATGTAGGAAATGTATGTAATTGACGGTATTTTTCAGCACATTGTACTGAATAGGTTTTACATAAAAATGACTTATTATCAGTATAATATTGTGAAGGAATTTACAAACCTGTTTTTTTAAGTCATGCAATTTCTTTAAAACATTTTTTTATAGTGGAATTAATGGTATTCAAAACAGTAGATCGTAATGACTTAAATATTGTTACTATATTTTTTATGTTAAATTTCTGCCAGCCATGGTTGTGGTAATTTAACATAAAATATACAATTATTTTACAAACTGTCGGAAGAATCTGTCTTCTCTTTGTAACTCCCTTTGCAACTCTTCATCATTGAACTTTCAGGTCCATCTAATTATTCCAGTAACGGAGGATGGCGTTTTAATGCAACAGTGACGGTGAAGGCGGATTACCAGCAGTTGATGACCAAGACAGGAGGACATCTGAATCACCTCAGATTACTACAGGGAATGGTAAAACTACTGCCTCTACAGATTCACATGACCGTTTTCCTCAAATCAAATGTCATGCTCCGGTTGAGAGTTCAGGTGCTGTTATGTGTCTCTGATTTACTCTAGGATACAAACTGATGACCTATTCACTCACCAGCTAATGCTTTTTTCTAGCAATTGCTAGCCAACATTACCTAAAGAGGAGGTACGAACAGGTGATTGGTTTCAGATTCCATCCTTGTCAGCAGGTGGATTTATCCTGCAAAACTACAAGGTGGTACATTTGTTCCTGGCTGGAATAAGACTGGACCAGTCAGCGTGATTAGAGGAGATAAAGGCTGACAGAGACCAAGCATGTTTTGGTTGTGGTGTCTTTAGAGGAGGAATCTCTTCAGCCTGACGGTTCCATCTAGTTAAATTTTAAGGGGTTGGTGATAAAGACTTTGGGCTCTATTTTCGTGCTTCGCCGGAGACGTGCTGCAGGCGCGGTGTAAGTCAGATCCGCCGCGTTGACAAGGCGTTCCCAAGCACAATTTGGTATTTTGGTGAACGCCGCAGCCCGGCATAAGTATCCCCCCTCCCTAACTCAGCTCCTCCCGGTGCCTTTAGTTGTAGCGAGGGAGGAGAGAGGGCATGGAGTGAGTTTAACACAGCCGAGACCTGTATTGACCAATAACATTGGCTCCTCTCCTCGCCTTTAAATCCGCCACCGAGGCGTATTACAATTTTCGTGAGGTAGTCAAAGAGATCAAGAGATGTCGGAAGACAGTAATGCTTCACAATGGTGACAGAAGGCAGCTTCTCAACAAGTGTCACTGTAAGCGCTGCAGAGGGCGTCTTTCACACTCTCTCATATGAGCACAGACGGATTGGGTGTGTGTAATGTTGGACGCACTAGTAAGACAAACACCCTTTCCACAAATAAAGACACTCACATAAAGTTGCACATATTCATGTATATATATATATATGTATATATATATATATATATATATATATATATGTATATATATATATATAAATAATATATATGTATATATATATATACTGTATATATATATGTATATATAAATTTGAAATGAATTCTTGGGCGCTGGGCCCATAACCTGTTAACAGAGTTACCGTCAACTTCTTCAGCAGCGCTAGGCCAGGAAACAATACAGCGAATAAAGGAGACCGAGACTTGTGTGTCAGGTTCACTCATTCAACTGATCTAAGTTTGTTTTAATGAATGGCAAATATATACAGGTTTAGGTAACAGGCACTTCCGGTCCAGTGCTTCACAATTAGAGTGAACACAATACAATACAACTGAGGTCATATCTCAACACCCCTCAACAAGTGGAGCTGTAAACGCTGCAGAGGGTGTTCTTTACACTCTCTCATATGAGCACAGATGGATTTGGTGTGTGTAATGTTGGACGCACTAGTAAGACAAACACCCTTTCCACAAATAAAGACACTCACATAAAGTTGCATATATTCAAACCTCACGTGACAAAGGTGGGTTGTGCGCACAGATCACAACATGAATTCCAATAATGGCTTTAAAATCGGAACCATCTGTGTGTAATGACACATCGCGCCCTGTGACCTAGCTCTTTCTTTTATAGATGTTGGCATACAAGATAAATTTGGCTCCCAAACTGAATATTATAATATTCATATGTAGGCTTAAAGTAAATAACTCATCTGATCACTGAAACAAATCATCTGTTCAGCTTTGCTGCTGCAGCAGCTGCAGCAGGACGGGGAGAGGAGACGGACACATGTCCAGGTCCAGCTGCGCGAGAAATAAAAGGGAGAGGAAGAAAGAAAAGGAGGGAGATGAATTACATATCTTGTTCACTTTATCATGTGTGTCTATTTACTAGATATTTAATTTAATTTAATGCGGTTTCAACTGTTGATTCGGTCAGGTTGAGTGTCCAAACACGCTCATCAGATCAGACATAGATCAGTATATATCTATAGATCTAAATGTATGTGCTGGCTCAGATTATAAGTTGTTGATGATTATTTATTTCACTGAAATGTGCCTGACACTGTGGAAACCTGCAGGTGAGGCATCAGTGACGTATGCCAATACACCGCAGGTCTACCAAAATACCACGAGGCCAGCTGCGCTTCGCCTGAAAGCTGACCATGTTTGAATCGGCAAGCTTTCAGCGCACTTTATACCCCACCAGCGAGTGCGAAAATGTCACTGCGGCAGTTGATTCTGTCGACACCTTCCTCTGCCACGCCACCACGCCCAGCATGGCGGACCTCGGTGCGCCTCAGTCCACGAAAATACCAAACTGGCTGTATGCCAGGCTCTGCCAGACGAAAATACCAATGCGCGGGGTCCGCCACCCTCCGCCGCCTCACCGGCGGACAAGAAAATTGAGCCCATTGTTTTCCGGGCCCTATCATGCTTAATTTTGGTTAAGAAACCAAAATTAGCCTATAATTTTTTTCATCACATAATATTTTTTAGACAGCAACCAAAAAAGGAGTAGGCTGAAGCCCAGTGGCATATTTTTGCCTATCCTGTACTATCATAAGATTGACCGAATAATTCAGAAAACAACATCAACGCGAATACATCAGTACCAAATACTTGATATTTTAAATTGAAAATCAAATTAAATCAAGTTTCAATTCATATGGCAACCTTTGATCAAGTCTTCTTGAAAACCAACATAAAATTACACATCTTCAGTTCACCATTTAGTCTATTCCATAACTTCACTCCCAAAACTGACACACATCTGTACTTGAGATTGGTTTTCATTTTCTCAATTTCAAACATCAGCAACTCCCTTAAATTATAAATCCCCTGTCTTAGTTTTTTTTTTCTAACACAAACAGGAATGCTCTCATTCACCACTGGAAACATAATGTCTAATGTTCTTAAATATATAATGTCAAGAAATTTTAACCTGGATGATCTTGTAAAGGGCTGATTGGTAGAATCACAGTATGCTTTCTTTGATTTTGAAAAATTTACCCTGTTCCAGTGGATAAATAAGAAACACGTTATTCTAGTATTTAACTCTCCCTCATAATAATATTCACAAGTCATATTAACATTTTGATAGAAGTGAATGTCTGAATCAATGCCATTTTCAAACTCATAAAATTTGTGATGGTCAGTTTTGTTTGTTCACACATTGTCATCCATACGTATTAATTCCCACATGCATCACATCAATTACATTACACACAAACAAACAAAAAAGACTGACATTTCTCTGCTAATACATCATTTTTCATTTATATCTCTCAAGATCTGTGATATCTCTGACAGCGATTACTTTTGCTTGTTCTGGTGCACCACTGAGTCTTTATGAATATCTACAGTTCCTTGTCCAGGTGTCTTGAATGTGTCTTTCCTTCTTCTGGAGTCTTGCTTGTCACTCAAGTTCAGCATTTCTCTTTGTGAGATGCTTGTTTACATATACTCCTGGTCCCTTTAGCAAGCTTTAACACCTCAATTTTATGTTTTCTGTTCACAAATCAGACTATGATGGTTGGCCTCTTGTTTTGTTTTTGTGGGATAGGGTGACATGCAGCTACATTTTTACTATCCAAGGGAATGTTTTTATCATTGAAAAACTTAATGGGCTCTATTTTTGTGTCCGCCGGTGAGGCGGCGGAGGGTGGCGGACACCGCACAGTGGTATTTTCGTCTGGCGGAGCCCGGCGTACAGCCAGTTTGGTATTTTCGTGGACTGAGGTGCACTGAGGTCCGTGGTGGCGAGGCAGGGGGAGGTGTCGTCAGAATCAGCAGCCGCAGTGACATTTTCGCGCTCGCTGGTGGGGTATAAAGTGCGCTGAAAGCTCGCCGATTCAAACATGGTCAGCTTTCAGGCGAAGCGCAGCTAGTGGTATTTTGGTAGACCTGCGGCATATCAGCATACGTCACCGATGCCTCACCGGCAGGTTTCCACAGTGTCAGGCACATTTCAGTGCAATAAATAATCATCAACAACTAATAATCTGAGTCAGCACATACATTTAGATCTATATAGATATATTCTGATCTATATCTGATCTGATGAGCGCGTTTGGACACACAACCTGACCGAATCAACCGCATCAAATCAAATTAAATATCTAGTAAATAAACACACATGATGAAGTGAACAAGATATGTAATTTGTCTCCCTCCTTTTCTTCCTCTTCCTCTTATTTCTCGCGCAGCTCGACCTGGACATGTCTCCGTCACCTCTCCCCGTCCTGCTGCAGCGGCTGAACAGATGATTTGTTTCAGTGATCAGATGAGTTATTTACTTTAAGCCTACATATGAATATTATAATATTCAGTTTTGTGAGCCAAATTTATTTCACATGCCAACATCTATGAAAGAAAGAGCCAGGCCACGGAGCGCAATGCGTCATTTACGCACAGATGGTTCCGAATTTAATGCCATTATTGGAGTTTATTTTGTGATCTCTGCACACAACCCACCTTTGTCACGTGAGGTTTGAACGTATGCAACTTTATGTGAGTGTCTTTATTTGTAGAAAAGGGTGTTTGTCTTACTAGTGGGTCCAACATTACACACACCAAATCCATCTGTGCTCATATGAGAGAGTGCGAAGGACGCCCTCTGCAGCGCTTACAGTGACACTTGTTGAGGGGCTGCCTTCTGTCGCCCTCGTGTGGCATTACTGTCTTCAGACATCTCTTGGTCTCTTTGACTACTTCACTAACGAGCTGAGTTAGGGAGGGGGGATACTTACGCCGGGCTGCGCCGCTCACCAAAACACCAAATTGTGCTCTGGAATGCCTTGTCAGCACGGCAGACCTGAATTATGCCGCACCTGCGGCAAGTCTCCGGCGAGGCACGAAAATAGAGCCCTATCACTTGCTGCTTAAGTAAAAGGTTTTCACCTCTTGGTGCATCCTCCCCCTCCTTGTCACCAGCTGTGATCCATGCATTGGTGTAGTGGTTCATCTCAAGCCCAGATACCACCACATCTTCCATTCCTCTTCTATAGTACTCCAGGTCTTCTACTCTTTTCCCCAGCTCTTCAACTTCTTCTCTTTTTCTTTATTCATAGCCTTCAGTTGTCTATCTTCATCAATGACTAAACTGCACCACAGTTTATATCTCCCACCACTTCTAATTCCTCTGACATAAAATAAAGGGACTTTTTAACCTCTATCTTCTGATCATGACTTAGTTCAGAAGAAAAAAACACTTTGGGGCTCCAGTCAATCCAGTGATGTTGGCTGTAGAGTATGTGTCATAAAAATCACCCAAAACTTAAAAATAGCAGAAAATAACCCCTACAAACTAAAGCACAACTTTTGTGTAGAGTTAAGAAACGCAACTAATCTCTCGGATATTAAGCCCTTTTTATTTGATAGATTGCTAAAGCTGACCAGCAGAGTTTCTAACTTGCAGCCATTGAAACAGCCAAGCAGCAGAATAACAGCAGAAATGAATGTGTTTACAGCCTGGCTCCATAAATGATTCTAGTACCAATTGCTCATTTCTCTATTAGTACACTGGATGGGGATTGAATTTTATATAAATCATTTCCTCGGTAAGTAATGAAGTTAGATGTTTTGTACAATTGGGGGTATGGCTGACTTGACTGATGGGTGGTCACACTGGAGCTGGAGGTGAAGAGTACAGAGGCTGGCCTCAACTCCACCTCTGTACTTTTCGTCTGGCGGAGCCCGGTGTAAGGCGAGTTTGGTATTTTCGTGGACTGAGTCGCACGGAGGACATTGCTGAGGCTACATTTATGCTCTCTACATGGTAAACACTTAAATTGCCTGGTAGTTGATGGAAGCCAATGTTTGCCATCGTCTGACTGTAGCTGCTAACTGTGCTGTATGTTGTTAAATCTTAAATATTGACATCTGAATTTTCCCTGTTTCACTGTTTATTTGGAGGCAGAAAATAGAAAACAATTGCCAGAAACCCTTAGAATATTCCACAGTGTCAGGCAGATTTCAGTGCAATAAATAATGATCAAAAACTATTAATCTGAGTCAGCACATACATTTAGATCTATATCGATATATTCTGATCTATATCTGATCTGATGAGCGCGTTTTGCTGCTATGATGTATCTATTCCTTTCAGCTGAAACTGCATCAAATTAAATTAAATATCTAGTAAATAAACACACATGATGAAGTTAACAAGATATGTAATGTGTCTCCCTCCTTTTATTTTCCACTCAAAGGTGGCAGGGGCCATGCAGGCAGATGTTACGGTTCGTCACCTCAGCTCGTGGCCTCTTCACCTCCTGCTGCTGCAGCAGCTGAACAGATGATTTGTTTCAGTGCTCAGATGCGTTATCTACTTTAAGCCGACATACGGATATTATAATATTCAGTTTTGTGGGCCAAATTAAGGTGACACGCCTGTCCTTGTCTCTCAGTGAAACTGCTCACTGTCACCTTTGGAGACGTGACTTTCTTCTGTGGTTTCCTGAGTGGTTCATGTGTTCAGGTGAAAATGACTAAACTGCACCACAGTTTATATCTCCCACCACTTCTAATCTGATTGACGGTAATCTGTGGGATGTTTCCTGCTGCAGTGGAAAAAACACTACAGAGAACATGTGCACCAACACACAATCCCACACACACTGATATTTATCACGAGTCAGTCATATGGCTCCCTTTATTCAAAGAAAAAAAAAAAAAACTCCTCAGTCATGCACACATTCAAACACAGGACAAATGATCAATCAAAATCTGCTTGTCAGTGTAGATTCTTCGATAATGCCAACCTATTTGATCTGTAAACCAGAGTGTATACAATTATATTATGCTAACCAAATACACAGTAAGTACATCTGTAGCAGGGGAGCCAGCAGAGAAAGCCTGGTCTTTACTGCCGGGCTGCGCGGCTCACCAAAATACCAAAATGTGCTTGGGAACGCCTTGTCAGCGCGGCGGATCTGATTGACTCTGCGCTTGCGACACGTCTCCGGCGAGGCACCAAAATAGAGCCCTTGGTGTTGTAACCTATTGTATAACCTCAGCTCTAAATAATCACCTCTTTATATTTGTGTATGTTCAATTTCAGATGTAAATGAATGCGCATTGCCTGCTCTACGGCAGTGCTCCTCACAGGCGAACTGTACCAACACAGAGGGGTCCTACTACTGTACCTGTCCACCAGGATACAGCGATGTTGACCCCAGCAACCCTGGAGCCCATTGTAAAGGTCAGACTGTGTGTATTATCATGTTTGACTAAAATACATCATTACAATCCTCTTGTGTAAAAAGCAGAGACAAATGACATGAGTTAAACTTACTCAACAAATTGCCAATGGACAATAGACAAGACAGACAAGACCCAAGTTTATATTTACCTTGATCTCAGACAGGGGCCACCAACTAAAACTCCCAGAGATCTGGTGAGAAAGGGTAACCCCCCAAATTCCACCGTATACGGAGCGGCGGTGAAAAGGCTGTCAAGCTGATCGCCATTGATTGTTTCCATTCAAGTTAACAGGCTCTATTTTCGTGCCCGCTGGCAGTGGAGCGGTATCTTTGCCTGGCTCAGCCCGGCGCAAAGCCAGTTTGGTATTTTCGTTGACAGAGGCGCACTAAGGTGTGCCAAGCTGGGCGTGGATGCGCAATAGGAGGAGGTGTGGACAGAATCAGCTGGCACAGTGATATTTTCGAGCTCAGCGGCGTATAAAGTGCCCTGAAAGCTCACCCCTGAAAGCACACCGAAGATATGTAATTTGTCCCCCCACTTTTTCTCTCTCTCTTCCTCCTTTTTCTCCAGCAGCTCAACTTGGACATGTCTCCTCTCCCCGTCCTGATGCTGTGGCAGCAAGGCTAAACAGATAATTTATTTTAGTGATTAGATGAGTTTTTTACTTCAAAATTTGAACAAAAAATAAAAGAAACTTTCAATCAAAATAACCTGTTTTTCTAATGTCCTCACATCCTTAAAAATTCTGTGAATATTCAATCCAGGGTTAGGCTTACATACAAATATTATAATATTCAGTTGTGTGAGCTAAAATCATCTTATATGCCAACATCAATGAAAGAGAGAGCCAGGTCACGGCGCGTGATGCGTCCTTTGCACACAGATGGTTCCGATTTTATTGCCATTATTGGAATTTGTTTATGTTGTGATCTGTGCGCACAACCCACCTTTGTCATTAATCATTTAAACATATGCTACTTGTTGTGAGTGTCTTTATTTGTGGAAAAGGGTGTTTGTCTTACCAGTGGGTACAACCTTACACACACCAAATCCCTCTGTGATTATTTAAGAGACTGTGGAGGAAGCCCTCCGCAGCATATACAGCAACACTTGTTGCCTTCTGTCGCCGTGTGGCATTGCTGTCTTCAAACATCTCTTGATCTCTTCGACTACTTCACAAAAATTGTAATACGCCTCGCCAGTGGCAGATTTAAATGTGAGGAGAGGAGCTGATGTGATTGGTGAAAACAGGTCTTGGCTGTGTTAAACTCACTCCACACCTTCTCCCCTCCCTCTCTACTACTTACGCTGCTGGGAGGAGCTGAGTTAGGGAAGGGGGATAATTACGCCGGGCTGCACCCCTCACCAAAATACCAAATTGTGCTTGGGCTTGCCTTGTCAGCGTGGCGGACCCGACTTACACTGCACCTGTGCCACGCCGCTGGCGGGGAACGAGATAGAGCCCAATGTGTAAATTTCCACCGGCTTCTTTCCAGTCTACTGCAGTTAAGTGGGCTTCGTAGCCAAACGCTAGGGTTTTATTTTTCTGGATACTGCAGCATGCCTCATCAATTCAGCGCAGATTAGCCCGTGCTGGAAACGAAGTTGGGGACGGACACAAAATAAAACATCCGGCTTCTTTTCAAAATAAAACACTACGTGTTTCAGGCATCATATTTCACACCTTGCAAACATGGGCAGGGATGAACATGTCAAAGGTTAATATGGTTATGTGGCTGTCTTTATAGAAACAACTCGCGTGATTGCATGTAAATCCACGGATTCTTGTGAGTCCTCGTGATTCCCACTGTCCGAAATTTGCCTCACAAATGTGTCGGGTAGGCTTTGGTGGACGGCAAAAATCGCTGCCATTCCGCAGCAGTGCCGTTCCACATGTGGTGGAATTTGGGGGTTAGGGTCAAAATGATGTTATATGGAGTAAAGTACCAAGATGTATTACTACTAAGTGACAGCACTTAAACTTCCAATACTGGGCACAAACAGAAAAAGGGCCAACATGCTCAAAGTCAAAACCCTTTACACATGAACTTTCTGTTTGGTGTTTAAATTTCTGAGGTCCAGTCTCACCTGAATCAGAATCAGGTTTATTGTCAAAGAGGTTTACACAGCTGAGGAATTAGTCTTGGCATTTTGGTACTAAAACAACAAACACAAAATCACAATAGAAATGAAAACAGAAATATGCTAATATAGATATGTTTTACAGCAGTTCTCAGACTGTAAACTCAAGTAAGAATAAACACACGTCTTGAAATACAAAAGCAGAGCAGCGTACTACACAGTGATTAAGGGGGTCAGGATAGACTCAGTGATGGAGGTTAAGAGTGGCACCATCAAAATGAGACCAGTGAGACCCCACTACTGACAATGTCAACATGTATAAAAGGTCTAATTTATATACAATGAGAACTTTTGAATGATCAAAGTGCCTTCACTTTCATGGCATAGTCACTTAGCAAGTGTCAGCCTTTGATTTTTCTCACATATATGAGAACTACATTTTAATGTTGTTGGCTGAATATTCCTCTCCATTGGGGCTAACTTGTAAAGCTAATGTGGTGCAGCTGGACCCTGAAACAGTACTTATAAAACCTTTTGTCTATAATTGCAATATTGCTTTTTTTTCTTTTTCAAGTTGTTGTCAGTGAGTCAGCTGTCACAGAGCCACAGCAAACCCACCTTCCACCTATGAAGACAACCTACACCTCAGCCTCCACCTCTACAGAGGAGCCTCTGGAGAAAATTACTGTGGGATTTTCAGTCATTACAGATCTGAGAAACATGAGCTCTGTTCCTTCTACCACGTTACATGATCCACAGTGGGCAAGCCCTGAACCTCTCACCACCATGATATCAACTGTGGAGTCGACCCCACCAACAACTACATGCTGTAAGAAAAAAATGGTCTCAAGCTTTAAATCCCCACAGAGGCTTTCAAGGGTGAAGCAGTGTTTTATGTAAGAGGTATCTACAGAGCAGCAGAGAAACAATGTCAAAGATGCTGATGATGGCTGAAGGACAGTAAACATCTCCAGTCCTAGCCCTCATCCAGTTCATTTCAGTGTCTTTAAAGGATTGTATATTAATGAATGCACCATCTTCCTTCAGCTGGGACTTAAATGAGAGGATTAAATAAGCAAGAATATTATCTCAAAGTAAATCATTAACACACCTGTGTGCTGTCCCCACCCTTACCCTTCTTTCACTGCCCACCACCTTCCAGCTCCTCCAAGCATCACCGGCCTATGGTCAGCCAACGTCACTGGAGTCTCCTTCTCTGTGTCCTGGACCAGCCAGTCTCAGACTAACCAGACTTACCAAGTCATAGTACAGAGGGGATCAAAGGTCATTCACTTTCTTGGAACCAGTGAGACGGTAATGGAGGTGCAGAGACTCCAGCCTGGGGCGGTCTACCGCGTAACCGTAACACCCTGTGCCTGTGGAAGCCAAGGGGGAACTTCTTTTATATTGGTGAAAACTGGTAAGAACCACCAGGAACATAACATTAAACACATTGTTCTGGTACTTTGTACCCTTTTTCCAGATAAATAAAATACTGTCATCCAGCTACAATCCTTGCCCTGAACATGTGTATGGTCTGATATCGTAACAGGAGTCAAGGCTTTCCTCATACTCAGGGAGTAAGTAATCCAGGCATCAGCATTTGGCATTTGGTAACCAATGATGTCTAAATCTCACAATATGATATTGCTGCGATAACAGTTTTACAAAAGGATAAGATAGGACTTGGATAAATCCCTTTTTTTAGTATCTGGTGAAATCCACCCCTCAGTGGTAAGTGAAATTAGGCTCTGTCTAACTTTCACCTTTTGTCTCTGTGGAGCACATTTGAGGAGGTCATATGGGTTGCAGCTTCATTTGTCAGATGTATTGTATTGTTGCTTTAACACTCAGATTTCTCCCTGAACAGTTGTATTATTCAAGTGTTTTGCCAAAACGCACATTTTATTCCCTTATTGTAACATTTCATACTCATCATAACAGCGTTTTCTTTTTTTAACCAGTATTAACTTGAACACATCAAAATGTAACCATTCGCGCTTTGTCCATTTAGCTAGCTGGCTGTTTTTCTGCCTATTTTAATACAGATGTAAACATGTGATTATTATTTTAATGCCTGGAACTTGCTATAAAGTTTGGGTGTGACTATTTCACCTACTTTTGAGAGGAGGAGAAGCAGCCAAAGTTTGACAGACTTTTTCAACCCGGTGATAGTCAAAGGTTTTAGGCAAACTGAAGACTTGTTGGCTGGAAAGGTAATGTAATTAGACACTTAATATAAACAGTTACCAGTGGCAGAAAAGTCAAATAATCCATTTTTATCATGAGATAACTATAACTACTACATATGAAGAATTTGGAATTATTAAATTGTCCTGCGGGGATCGATAAAGTTCGTCTTATCTTATCTTCTTATATAAAGCAGACATTTACCCGTAAGGAGCGGCCTTGATTTGTGCTATAATTACCTTATTTATTGTAAGATCCAAAAAACAACCAAAAACAGTAATTTTCCAGTAAAATATATTTATTCAACCATACTTTTAATGAACTTGACATGCTTCCACTGAAATATACACACCTCCTCTGAAATATGAATTGTAATTAAAGTAATCCAATTTGTTTAATTTAATCAGAAGTTTGTATTCTGTTGCTCTGGGATCCAAAGACTTATCAATATCACTTGATTTTGGCTAGAATCATATCAAAATTCTAAGTTTAGATATAGTGGCAATACTGAGTGGCTTCCTGATTTATATTTTTATTTATTTTTTATTTTTTTTATAGTTTAGAGTCATCTTTTTGTCAGTCACTCCTCCAAACATCACAGATTTACTGTCAGCATGTGTTCCATTTGGGTTCCTAAAGTCCTCGGCTGCTTATTTTTAAATGGCCCTTGTGTGTCCCACCGAGCTTCCTTTCTTATGCACTGAAACTCTGAAACCTTCTGCCTCTTGATGTTGGAGCAGCAAGCTCTCCCAGTGTTCATGAAATGATACCAAAGACCCATATTCTTAATCTGGCTTTAACTTCAAACACTTGGGGTAATGCGCCTTTTTATAAAAATGATTCTGGAACATAAGAAAACCATGTGGACTGAAAAGCCTAAGTTAGCCTGAATACCTTCTCGTGATACTGAGACACACTCTTGTTACCTGCTTCCCGGGCTGCCAGTTCACTGTGAAAGTTGTGATTATTGTACCAAATGAGCTTCTTTTTTATTTGTCTCAGATGCTCAGACTCTTGATGCCACGGCACGGCTAACAAACATCGAGTTCTCTGCTGATCTGCTTGACACCAGCAGCCAGGCCTACAGAAACCTTACAGAAAGTTTAACAGAGGAGGTATATGTGCTACAGGGATCACCAGAGTCATATTACACACTGTAAACCTCACTATTACAAAGGCTTGACCGATAAGACTGTGTCATACATTTAATGATTATTATTTTGAATGTTTTTCTTTGTCATCCATAGCTATACCAGTCTCTGCCTGCAGAGGTCAAGGCTATGGTCAATTCTGGCCAAGTGATTATCGAGATCAGAGGTTTCTCCCCGGGGAGTGTGATGGTGAACTTAACCCTCATATTCACCACCAGCCAGAAGCAGGACATCATGAATGTGTCCACAGATGTGATGAACTCTCTGTTGAAGAGCGTAAAATATAAAGTGGATATAAACAACACAAGCATCACTGGTTAGTCTCTTTCTCAAACTCTCTCACATGTATGAATGTTTTCTTTTATGAAACCAGGAACAGAGTATAAAAGGATCTTTAGATTATCTGACAAATGAATGGAAATTCTCTGAAAAAAATTCCTGAGTCTAGAAAAAGAAATCTTGATGACATTTTTTGGGGTTTGCTGCATTGCTCTCTCTCTTTTGTTCACTGAAGCAGCAGGTGAAAACTAAGACTTTGAATATATCACAGCACCCTGTTAAAAGCTTTGGTACTTTTGAATACCAAATAATGTAAAAAAAGAAACAACAACCTCAGTCCATAAGCCATGAGAGATGGATATACAAACAACTTTTGGTACTTTTGATCAGTGTTTCTGACATTTCATGACGTTTTAGGAGTGGTTATGGAAAAGAGGCTCAGGACTGATTCAATCAATGTGCTTTTTTTTAATAGATTTCGATGAATGTGCTTCAGGGGAAAATGACTGTTCCCAATGGGCTACATGTACAAACACATGGGCCTCCTACAAGTGTGCCTGCCCCAGTGGATTCGAAGACAGGGACACAGAGAGGCCAGGAAGAGCATGCCAAGGTACGGCCTCACAATATGGCGGTAGATTGATTATACCTGCACTTTTGTCACTGAAAATTGTGTTTTGTCTTGTACAGCAATCCCTAAAATGGCATCGATAACAACATCTATAACACCAGCAACCTCCTCCACTGCCAGTACCGCCCCTTTCTCCCCGACAACCCAAACCAGTGAACCAGCTATGATCAGTGCAACCACAACTCCAGAAACAGCCACTGTCGTTCCACCAACAATTAAAGTAGTAACATTAGGCACACTAGTTTTAACTGACCCAGACATGTCAACAGTTGTTCCAATAATGATACCTACACAAGCTAGCACTACCGCTATTGCAACCACCACTACTGTACATGCAACAGCTGCTGGGGTAGCAGAAGTGAGCATTAATCCCTCTACCACTTCTGCACCTAGAACAAGTATGTTTGTCCCTACAATGAACACTTTAGCTCCTGCATCTACAAGCACCTCTTTACCTGCACCCACCACTCCTGTACATGGACCCACCAGGCCTGCACCTGCACCCACCACTCTTGCATCTACAACCACCTCTGCACCTACCACTCCTGCATCTATAACCACCTCTGCACATACCACTCCTGCATCTATAACCACCTCTGCACATACCACTCCTGCATCTATAACTACCTCTGCACCTACTACTCCTGCATCAACAACCACCTCTGCACCTACCACTCCTGCATCTATAACCACCTCTGCACATACCACTCCTGCATCTACAACCACCTCTGCACCTACCACTCCTGCATCTATAACCACCTCTGCACATACCACTCCTGCATCTATAACCACCTCTGCACCTACTACTCCTGCATCAACAACCACCTCTGCACCTACCACTCCTGCATCTATAACCACCTCTGCACCTACTACTCCTGCATCAACAACCACCTCTGCATCTTCCACTCCTGCATCTACAACCACCTCTGCACCTTCCACTCCTACATCAGCAACCACCTCTGCATCTGCATCCACCACTCTAGAACCAACAACCACAACCCTTTATACAACCACTACTTCAGCATCAATAACCACCAATTTAACACCAGTAAAAACTTCCCTTGTAACAACAATGCCTATTCCAACACCAACAACCACCTCTGCAGCAGATGTGCTGACCACTGTTGCATTTACAACCACCATCCCTGTACCAACCACTGCCTCTTCTGCAACTTCAACCTCGGCTCCTGCACTTAAAACCTCAGCTCCTACACCAACACCCATTACTTCTGCTCTAGCTCCCACCACCCCTGCATGGACTGCCACAATTCCTGTTCTTCTAAACACCACTTCTGCCCTGAAAACCTCTGAAGTGGCCACAACCACCACACTAAAATCAAACACTACTACTCTTAATAAAATAACCACTAGTGCCCCTACACCTGCACCTTCAACCACCAGTGATGCACAAATAAGAACAACAACCTCTTTAATCACCCCATTCCCAGTGACCAGAACCACAAAGTTTCTGAAAACAACTTCCACTAAACCTAAAACTTCTAAGGCTTCCCCTGTCAGAAATGGCCCTCAAACTACTATGTCTGTATTACCACCTATCCCCTCTTTCCCTACCACCACCCATTCTACCAGCACTACAGCTCCTACAACCCACACTACAGTCCTGGGGACAGCCACCTATAAATCCATGCTTGGGGCAATTTCGGTTCAGTGCAGAGTTGCTGCCATCACTGTGGCTGTTGCCAGGGATTTCCTCCTGAGAGCCAACATCGATGAAGCTACTCTTTACTTAGGACATCCAGAATGTCGCTTCAGTGGTGGCAATGACACCCATGCAGAGCTGACTGTGGGTTGGAATGAGTGTGTCACCCGGCTTGTGCATGTGAGTTTTTCCTTGCAACTGGTAAACTTTTGCATTCTCTACACACTCTGTTATGCTTTGTTAACCATATACTTGTTGCTATTTTGTGTCAAGAAATAGTGCAATTCCTCAGAGTACAACCAAAACTGCTCTAAAAATTTGATATTGTAGAATGAAACCTTCTACACGGCATCTGTGACTCTGTTCAACTCCATTGATCCAGCGATCGGAGAAGAAAAGATGCCTAAAATACGACTGGAGGTCCCCATCATGTGTACCTTCATGAAGAGCATGCTAATCTCTGCTGACTTTGGCCCCATGGGGTAAGATTCATTTGATTTCCGGATCTCTGAGTGCTTTGACATTTTTAAGATGACAAGGGAGAAGTTGGAGCAGTTGAGATGTAATCAAACAACACATAGGCCTGTCAAGTGTTAAACTGTTTCATTGATCATTTATATAAAAGCGTTTTTAGGATAAAAACTACACTGCAGATGATACAGGTTGCATTTTCGACACTGTCTCTGAAATCCTTATTTATGAAAAGATCCTGAGTAATGCATTGGGCATCAAGCATAAGGGTCAAACACGTGTGAGTAGTTAACCTGTGACTTGTAGATTCCATGATCTTGAATACTTGCTTGCACAATTAAGCGATCAATTGGGCTTTTATTCCGAAGATTTTAACCTGTCACTTCTGCCTGCCATCTGACCATCCTATAACTGTCTGCCATAAATGGGAAATGATGAAATGAATATGAAAAATCTTAATTGATACGCCTGTTTCCCACTTTGCCTCAGGAAACAGAAAAACAAGTTGGCCATGTGACCTTGGTTTTTAATATTCGTATCAAAAGACCATGCGACTTTGTTTTTAGTTTGATACTGTTTTTTTAGGGATTATCCGACGTAAATTTAAGCCATGGTCAGACACACCAAAACAAGGAGAGAAATGAATTCTGCTGACCGCTAGCTTTTCTAGTTATACCAACTTCAGCAAAGACTGCACGATAGCAATACACAGTGGTCTACGTCTCCACACGCAAACCACGACCAAAAAGCCACTCTATAGCCACAAATAATGCTCAGAACAGCACCTAATTTCATCAACAGTACATATAGGATCCCAGCCATAGTACTAGCCACCAAACATCTTCTTAGCTTTGCCTGATTTCTTTTGCAAAGAGACCAAACACAACTCACCCACTCTCCTCCAGCAGCTGCTTGTTTGTGGGGGAGCCCTGACGAGTTGATCACTGAGTGCAGCAGAGTTTCACAGCTCAAGAAAGAACATTTATGATTATTACTTAATGGAAATGCGATCAGACCAAGACGCTAAGGCAAAAGAACTACCGCGTCTGCAGTGCACGTACAAGATACACAAGAACTCTGATCTCTGAATAACACATGCAGTTGTGCAGCTCTATAATAGTCCTCTAAACCAAGTGGAGGCAGCCCCCTTTATTCTTGGGAAGTTGTAATGTTCAACCACTGTGTCCTTGTCATTTATTATTTTATTCTTCTCCAGGTATGACATGATTAAAGATGTTATTGTGGGCTCAGGATCGTTCCAGGTGACAGTGCAACTTATGAACGGCACGATACCTCTACCCCACAACTACAGTTTGTCGCCCAAGGAGGATTTGGTGGTGGAGGTCAGCCTCAACACCTCCTCAGAGCAGATTAAAGTAGTCATCAACAAATGCTGGGCCACACCTACCAAAAATCCCCGGGACACCTACAGCCACACTTTCCTGGAGAAGAGGTTGGCCACTAACTTCAGCTTTACCACTTTTTATGATGAGGCTTGGGAACAAATCAGTACTTTTGAACTCTTCTCTGTTTTGTCCAGTGCACGTTCAAGTAATGTTTTCTGAAAAAGAGATCCAAAGATCCTGTCATCTTTGAAACATATGAACAAGTCTGAATATTTGCCATAAAAAATGTCAAAACAGGCTGTTTGTCAGCAAGCTGTAAATCAATGGGTCCTGCATCACCTACAGGCAATGGAAGTTACTGCCCTCACATAACCATTGTCAAATCCTATCTAGGTCACTAAATTCCCCTGAAAATTGGGGAATCCTAATGTCTTCCCCCAACCCCCCTAAAACCACACAAGTGGAGCCTAGTGGAGCAATGACACATTTGATAAAGGAACAGTCGGTGGGCATGGCCTAAATGGTGCAACTAGAATTTCTAAAAATCAGTGTGTTTTGTCTATTAAGATTTGCTTTGCCTGGCTTATACGTCCTAATTAGACCTCCAAAAGTGTCTGGGACCCACATTCTTACTCAAACAGCAAAAAACTGGTCATTTCCCCATGGCTCCTACTAGGATTAAATGCCCCTGACGGAATGACCTAATCCATCTTATCTTTGGTTTACAGGCACAAGACACCTCAACAGTGACAAATTCAATTCAAGTTTCATTCAAGTTATTACATTATAAGCTGATATTATAGTTAAGTTGTTACATTATGAACTTTTATTACTTTCAAGTGATTACATTATGAGCTGTTATAACATTATGAGCTTTTATTACGTTTAAGTTATTACATCAAAATCTTATAGTGCATTATAATCTTTTATTACATGTAAGTTATTACATTATGAGCTGTTATTATATTGAAACTATAACATTACAAGCTGTTATTACATCATGAACTTTGGTTATATTTAAGTCATTACATTCTGAGCTGTTGTTACATTTAAGTTTTCTACACCATGAGCTGTTATTACATTCTGAGCTTTTATTACATTTAAGTTAGTACATCATGAGCTGGTATCACATTTAAATTGTTACATTATGAACTTTTATTACATTTAAGTTTATACAATATGAGCTGTTAAGACATTCTGAACCTTTAATTCATTTATTTAAGTTGTTACATTTAAGTCACCATTACATTTTGAAATTTTATCACATTTAAGTAATTAGAATATGAGTTGCTACAGAAGTCTGAACTGCTTCAAGTTTAACATTTTCATTTAGAATCACTATCTGACATTCTAACAACCTGACATGCATCACATCCTAGTGTGCATAAAGGAGCTCAGTGCTGCCTGCAGCTTTAATGTTTGAGATTGTTTTGTTATTTTTCATTTGTCAGTTTTAATACATTCACAACCAAATCAGAAGAAAGAGCTCAGTATTCAGTTACTTGTTCTCTGTCTCCTCAGCTGCTCCCTGAATACATTTACCAAAGTGTTAGTCAATGGGAACTCCAGCACATCACGTGTTTCTGTGAAGATTTTCTCCATCGTCAACCTGAGCATGATCTATCTGCACTGCCAGGTCCAGATCTGTGTGCAGATTGGATCAGACACCTGTGTGCCTGTAAGTATGAGCTGGAAAGTAATGTATTTGAGAACTCAGATGATTCTTGTACAGGTCTCAGTGTTATTGCTATCCTTTCCTGTCCTGGGATCAGCTGTACAAAGTGTCTGTGATCATTTCACATACTCTACAATAATAATTAGCCTTATTTTAAAACAGCATAAAGTCAATGCAAGCTTCCACACCGGCGGCGATTTTTCCGCGAGGCGAAAAGCCGGTTTTATTTTTTCGCTCCTGTGTCGAATTTTTCGGATATTCGCAGGCGAATATCTGGACCTGCTAGACCTCTGGCCAATCAAAAGTCATGTTGTTGATGACATCACAGACCCATACGGCTGGAGGAGAGGGAGAAGTTTGAGATTATGAAAACGCAGAGAAAGACAGCTGAGGTGCATCCAAAACTCTTTCTAATTACTAATGAAGTAGTTTTGTCACAAGATGACACTCTGTTGTCTTCCTTAGGAGACAGATGTCATGCACACTTCACAGGGTGACCGCCTCATCATGCCTGATTCTCCCTCTTGGCTGTTTGACATACCGATGATCTGCAGCTACAGGGCCAACAGAATGACCAGACAACTTGAAGGATCACTGCTCAGCCCTCGCCTCTCCTGGCTGCTGCGGCGTCTCTCACAGCTTTTCCTCCTCTTTCTCCCTCGCTCATAATGCTAGACATGTCAATCAGCAGCAGTTCACACGACACACACCACCTATGACTCCCCCCAAGCATGTTCAGACGCAAATGTTTCTTTAACGGGTTTAATGAAGTCTTCTCCTCTTCATAATCATCCACAGACCTCCACAAACCGTGAAACTAGCAATACACAGTATTGGAATAACAGTTAGCACACTTACTATGCACATGTACAAATATTCATAACGAAAATAAAGACAAACAAATACCTCGGCTTGGCTGCATACTATGAAAGGGAATCTGTAGGCTTCTTATCTTCCAGCTTTGAAGTATTAGTTTGACTTTACCGTAAGTTTTAGCAATCTTAACATAGCTTGACTTGACAGCTAAAGGGTCAGAGCTGTGCACACGACCTCTGCTTGCTTGCATCTGACGTTACCCAGAACGCTACTGGCCTAGCAGCTCAACGTAAGTGCCAAAATAAAAGTACCCTTACACTTCAATATAAAATGCAAATAAAATACAGAAATAACCTGGTAATTCTCAAAGTGGGTTTCTCATACAAAATAAACAAAAAATATTCTGCAATATGGAAAATAAAATAGCAACAGTTACACTCCCACCAAATCTCACCAATCTTAAATGTGGGATTTCTCTACACTTAAAGACTGTTGCGAATCACCTCTTAAACATTGAAAGAACTTTACCACTCAACAAGGAATGATGAAAACATTAAGCATCAATCTGCTTCAATCAGTGTGACAAGCTTGTGTATAGGCCTATCAAGATACACTGTTTTGGTTGTGGGTTTACCCTTTGCATCAAATGTGGTGTCACTAACTAGCAACCTGACCTTTCTCACTCTATCATCTGACCCTGGATAGACTTCTGCTATTCTGGCCAACTTCCATTCGTTCCGTGGCGCCTGATCATCCTGCAGAAGCACAATGTCATTTGCCTTCAGGTTTCTTCTGTTCTTCTGCCACTTTTGTCTTGGCTGCAAACTCAGCAGATACTCTTTTTTCCAGCGAATCCAAAATTCATTGGCCAAGTACTGAACTCTGCGCCACCGCTTTTGAAGATACAGGTCTTCCTTGACAAACTGTCCAGGCGGAGGAAGGATTATGGTGGACTTCATCGTGAGAATGTGGTTCGGAGTCAATGGTTCAGGTGCGGATGGATCATTCAAATGTTCAGCGGTAAGTGGTCGGCTATTGACGATTGCCATCACCTCGTATAGGAAAGTTCTCAGAGATGAGCTGTCCAATCTTTGCGCTGACTTGTCGAGAATGGCTGTCAGAACACTCCTGATGGTCCTGATTTGCCTCTCCCAGACGCCGCCCATATGACTTGCTGCTGGGGGATTCATTAGAAATTCACATCCTAGAGCCTTGACTCTCTCTCCGTCCATTCCTTTCATGAGCTCTGCGAACTCCCTTCTTGCGCCAACGAAGTTGGTTCCTTGATCACTTCGAAGCTGACGAACATTTCCTCTTATAGCAATGAACACTCTTAGCGCATTGATGAACGCGTCCGTGGTCATGTCGTCAAGCATTTCCACATGTATGGCTCTTGAACATAGACAGGTAAGTAAAAGTCCATATCTTTTAACCTCTTTTCTTCCTTCTTTGACATAGATGGGTCCGAAACAGTCTATGCCTGTGTAGGTGAACGGAGAGGAGTTGTTTCCATTCGATCTTGAGGTAAGTCACCCATTCTTTGTTCTTCGGTGTATCTCCTGTACTTTCGACATTTGACACATTTGAAGATGTGTGACGATACTGCGCTGCTACTTCCCAGGATCCACCATCCGTTAGCTCGCAGTTCGTTCAACGTCATTCCACGTCCCTGATGATGAACTCTCTCATGGAAGTGCTTGATCAGTAGAGCTGATATATGACAGTTCTTCGGAAGTATAGCTGGATGCTTGATGTGTGGATGCAACGCAGCTTTACTTAAGCGTCCTCCGACTCTCAAGACTCCTTCTTCATCCAAAACTGGACTTAACTTGTTCAGCTTGCTGTACTTGGTCTTAGCTATAACTCCCTTTGCTTTTAAGCTCTTCAACTCATCTAGGAACGCTTCCTCTTGAACTAGCTTAATGATCACAGTTTCTGCTTCTTTCCTTTCTTCTAGACTTGTACTCTCATTGGTTGGTCGTTTCTCACCTTTGTGTTCCTTGACACGTCGTTTCAATCTGGCAACTGCTTGAACTACCCTTAACCAAACAGAGAACTTCTCAAGACGGTCGAGCAACGATCTGTCCTTTGCCTTCGTGTTAAACACAACAGCCTTACGGAGCTCAGGATCATCTTCCTTAACTTCTCCCACCTTGCATTCTCGGACAGGTAATTCTTTTTGCCAAAGAAACTTCGGTCCAGAAAACCAATTGGATGTCTCTAGTTGCTCTGCAGTCAACCCTCGAGAGGCATGATCTGCCGGATTGTCCTCAGATGCAACATAGGCCCATTGTTCAGGCTTTGTGCTTGACTTGATTCTTTGTATGCGATTGGCTACGAACACTTGAAATCTTCTGGCGTCATTGTTTATGTAGCCTAGAACGACTGTTGAATCCGTCCAGAAGTATTCCTTCAGGTCTTGGATTTCCAGTTCGTTTCGGAGCATATCGCTGGCTCTAACTGCAACTACTGCCGCAGACAGTTCCAGTCTTGGTATCGTCAACACTTTGGTTGGTGAAACTCTTGACTTTCCCATCACTAAACTGCAATGGACTTCATTGGATTCATTGACAACGCGCAGGTAAGTACAAACACCATACCCTGAGGTACTTGCATCACAGAAGTGGTGAAGTTCATAGCCTTTGATGTGGCCGAACCCTGAAGGTAGGTAACATCTTCTAACTTCCATTTCAGATAGATTAGGTAGGTCTCTAATCCAAGACTCCCACTGAGGTCTTAAGCTCTCTGGAAGCTCATCGTCCCAGCCGATCTTATCTCTGCACATCTGCTGGAGAATTTGCTTTCCATGGAGAACGAACGGTGCCATGAATCCTAGCGGATCATAGACTGAGGCTACGGTAGAGAGTACACCTCTTCTTGTCGATGGATTGGACTTGACTTGAACTCTGAATCTGAATGAGTCAGACGAGACGCACCACTACTCCAAGCGCTCTCTCCATGTGAGGTAAACTCAAAGCCATGTCTTGATCTTTGCTTGTGGCACGTTCCTCTTCTGGAATGGATGCCATGACATTCTCATTGTTGGAAACAAACTTGTGAAGTCTTAACTTGCCGGTAGAACAAAGTTCTCTTGACTCTTTGACGAGCTGAATGGCTTCCTTCTCAGTAGGAACACTCAGGAGCCCATCATCTACGTAGAAATTCCTCTGTATGAAGCGCACAGTGTCTTTGCCAAACTGACCTTGCCCTTGAGCTGCCAGGTGTTTTAGGCCAAAGTTGGCGCAGCCAGGGGACGAAGCCGCTCCAAACAAGTGGACTTTCATTCTGTAGGTGGATGGCGTGTCTTCCAAGTTACCATTCTCCCACCATAAGAACCGTAAGTAATCTTGGTCTTCAGTTTTCACATGAAACTGGTGAAACATTCTTTCGATGTCGCACATCACTGCAACTGAGCCCTTTCGAAATCTGCACAGGACACCCACCAGGGTATTCGTCAGGTCAGGTCCAGTGAGCAGATGGTCATTGAGAGATGTTTCCTGAAACTTGGCCGAACAGTCAAATACCACACGTATTTTCCCCGGTTTCTGCGGATGATATACTCCATGGTGTGGAATATACCATGCCGGGCTGTTCTCAATTTCTTCCTTGGGGACCTTCTCGGCGTCACCGCGGGAAATTATGTCGCTCATGAAGTTCACATAGTCTTTGTAGTAAGTTTTATTCTTCTTTAGCTTCCTTTCAAGACAGTTTAAACGATGCACTGCACATATTCTGTTGTTAGGCAACACTGGTCTATCCTCTTTAAACGGCAATGGCATCTCAAAGTGACCATTGTCTTTCTGAGTTATGTTTTCTCTCATCTTGGACAGGAACTTGAGATCATCTTGAGACACAGGATCCTCTTCTCTAGCTCTTTCTGAGAAGTCTAATTCAAGAATCTTCAAGATGTCTGAAGAAGTCACTTCCTTGACTTTGGATCTGTTCACATAATGAACCTCTGTTTTCAGATTGACAGTAGAGTCAACTCTTGGCGTCACTTGCCTGACTACTATGCGATGACTGATTCCGATAGCGTCTCCATATGCTAAACAGGGATTGCCATGGCCGACAATACTCCATCCCAGGTCAGTACGTTGTGCATAAGGCTGATTCTCTTGGCCCGACACGATTTCTCTTGGGAGAAGGGCTTGCGAGCAGTTGTAGCCGATGAGCAGGCCTACCTCACAATCCTGCAGAGGTGCTACATCATCTTGGAGGTGCTCTAAGTGAGACCAAGCCTTTGCAGTTTCGCCCGTTGGTATGTGAGTTTTGTTGACTGGAATAAAGTCACGCGTGTAGATTGGTGGTAAGCTGATTCTTTTGCTTGAATAAAAGCCTCGAACTTGTAGGTTCTTCACTCGTTGTGACTTTACAACTGTAGTTCTTGAAGTCATAGTAGAGAGCTTCAACTTGACTTCCTCTTTGTCCGCCTCCAGAGCGTCAGCTACTTCACTTAGCACAAAAGTAGTGTCACTTTGGGAATCTAAGAGTGCATAGACAAGCACCTCTTGTGCTGACTGAGTGGAAGACGAAAGCCAGACAGGAATTATTGCCGCTGTCTGCACAGTAGCTTCATCCTGAATAACTCTCAGAGTAGTAGAAGCTGTGGCTGTTTCTTTAGGTTGCACTGCTTGAGGCTTTGCTTTGTTCTTTTCGTTTTGATTACTTGATTTCTCTGAAGCTTGGCCTTGTTTAACTTGCGATGCCTTTTGCTCTTCTTTGTCTCTCTCTTCATGCAGGCAGGTAGGATGCTTCTTTTTGCATGTGTCACAAACACTCCTACTGTTGCAGCTCTTTGAGACATGACCTGGCTTAAGGCACCCAAAGCATAGCTTTTCAGCCTGAACAAACTTGACTCTGTCAGGCACTTCCTTTTCTGCAAACTTTCTGCATACATGTAAAGTATGGCCGTTCTTTTTACAAAAGAGGCATGTTTTAGCAGTCTCTTCATTAGAACTGGTGGTCAGTGTCTTAGCTTTAACATTTTGTTGTTTTTGCTGCTTCGGCTTTTCAGTTTCACCTTGCTTCAGTGATTGCAACGATGTAACTGGGTTACAAGCAATTTTCACTTCTCTGGTCAGAAATCTCACAAACTGACTGAAGGAAGGGAACTGGCCACTCTGTTCTTCCATTTCCATGACTTTCCGGTTCCATCTTGCGGTTAGCCAATCTGGAAGCTTTGCGAGAAGCTGTCTGTTCTCATTACAGTCATTCAAAATCTCCAGTGCCTTGATATGGACCATAGCTGCTTCGCAGCTACGCAGAAAATCAACAAACTCTTGAAGTCCAGAGCTATCTTTAGGTCCAATCTTGGCCCATGTTTGAAGTTTGTCTCTATATGCCTTCGCAACGGTGAATGGGTTTCCATACCTCTCTTCCAAAATCTCCCATGCTGCAGCATAAGCAGACTCTGTTCCAAGAAGGAAATAGCCATCCACTGCATTCTTAGCTTGACCGCTAACATATTTACGGAGATAATATATCTTCTCTCTGTCTTGAATATTCTTCTGGTCAATCAAAGTTTGAAACGACAGTTTCCAATCACTGTACTTCAACGGATCCCCGCTGAATATTGAAGGTTCAGGAACTGGAATTCTGTTGGCACTTAGAGCATCAGCGAGTACCTTAATGAGCTCTGCTGTGCTTTGATTCGAGGAGGTGATCACAGGTTGTGGGGCAGAAGGTGCAGACAGAGGCAGACGGCTTGAAGGACATGGCGGCTTGATGTCTGCTACCATCTCATGGCTTAGAATGTCTTTCGGTTCTTCTTTAATGTCCAACCCCTGATTATACACCTGCATTCTTGCCTGTGCTGCACTAAGCTCCTTCACCGTTTCCAAATTCTTTATTTTTCTTCTTTTTTCCTCTAAAGTCATCTGTAGAGCTGTGTGTTCTTCCTCTAGTTGAGCTTTAATCTTTGCTTCCTCTTCTTCTCTCTCTAAGCGACGCCTTATAACCGCTGCCTCTTCAGCCGCTATCTTCCTCTTAGCTTCCGCTTCTAGACGCTGTAGTTCCGACTGCTCTCTTTCTTGTTCTTGTAACACTTTCAGAACAGCTTGGCTTGCTGCAGCGTCCGCAGCAGCTTCTTGATGCTTGATGGAAGATGTTCTTGTTTGCTCTGAGGCATTCTTCAGAATAGAGGTAACTGAACCAAATTCACTCTTGCTTGCGTCCCAAAGAGAGCCTGCTTCTGGCCATTCTGGGTCTCCTTCTGGAACTTTTCCATCCAGGTGGCTAGAGGCTATAGCAACGATGAAGCCTGAAACCTCAACACACAGGTCTACTCTTCGCCGCACATCTTGGTCTGGAGTTGAGACTTGCCGCAATTCTTCATAAACATGCTGAACGTCTGCGGAAAGGCCTCTAACATCTCCAAGGATATCATTAAGCATGCCTTCTGATAAAGACTCAGATGACTGAGATAATGACTGCTTGCAGAATTTAACATGTGTTCTCCATTTTCTGTAGATGTAGTAAAATCTACGCAGAAGTGCTTTAATTTTCTCGTCTTGCATTGCTTTACCCTTCTCTGTTAGAGTACGGGTTCGCTCACCACGTCTGAGCTGCTGTGCTTCGTCCAGCTGAGGCTCAGCATCACCGACTTCATCTTCTGGAGGGCCTTGTAGATTTTCACTTTCCCTAACACTATCTCTTACCTGAGTAGTGGACTCACTTAACTCTGCCATAATTGAATGTTAAACTTAAACTGGCAAGAAATGTCTATTTCAATAATGAAAAATGTAAATAAAGTCTGTATTCACTAAAACTCTTGTGTTGCGTGTAAATGTCTCTTAAATGTCCTTGTGTTTAAATGTCACACACTATACTTGGCAATGTACTCAAACCAAAATTACAATATGCTGTACTTATCACAAGCAATATGCTTAAGTAGCTCAAAAATGTACTTACAAACTGAAAAAGTTGTTTAAATAAACCTTAGTTCTCTTAGAACCGTTCAGAAAATTCAAATATCAAAATTGCAAATAGCTTTCACTTTACATTACCAAAATACACTTTAAATTGTGAAAATGAAATAATTCACCTTTAACTTCCAAGCATTTAAATTATATCCTTTAGCTTTAAACCTTAAACTTACATGCACTTAATACCAAGCTTAAATTCAAAGTTGACTGGATAAATGCATAGCCATTAACACATTAGTTCAAATCAGACATCCTTTCCATGAACCTTTAAACCAACTCTTATTAGTTAGCCGACTCTTATTGTCCACGTGCTTAATGACTGTCAACTACGTGTTAAATATGCACTCATCTGCCGGTCCTTTGACGACTGTAGCCACGAAGTTGCGATTAGCTCGTCGTTGGGCTTGCTTCTCACTGGCGTCGGTGAGCACGCCGACCTTCACTCGCATCGTCGAGCAGTCCGAGTTTCACTATGACTCCCCCCAAGCATGTTCAGACGCAAATGTTTCTTTAACGGGTTTAATGAAGTCTTCTCCTCTTCATAATCATCCACAGACCTCCACAAACCGTGAAACTAGCAATACACAGTATTGGAATAACAGTTAGCACACTTACTATGCACATGTACAAATATTCATAACGAAAATAAAGACAAACAAATACCTCGTTGGCTGCATACTATGGAAGGGAATCTGTAGGCTTCTTATCTTCCAGCTTTGAAGTATTAGTTTGACTTTACCGTAAGTTTTAGCAATCTTAACATAGCTTGACTTGACAGCTAAAGGGTCAGAGCTGTGCACACGACCTCTGCTTGCTTGCATCTGACGTTACCCAGAACGCTACTGGCCTAGCAGCTCAACGTAAGTGCCAAAATAAAAGTACCCTTACACTTCAATATAAAATGCAAATAAAATACAGAAATAACCTGGTAATTCTCAAAGTGGGTTTCTCATACAAAATAAACAAAAAATATTCTGCAATATGGAAAATAAAATAGCAACAGTTACACCACCACTGCCACCAAGAGCAACGATGGGAGAGAGGCTGGTAATTGCGGTACAGGACCACCCCGCATCTCCTCTCCTCCATGCCGCAAAGCGACTTTATTAATTCGCTTTGCAAAAAATATACGCATATTCGCTTCGAGCCCGGTGTGTATAGGCGAAAGCGATTTTTCGGACCAGCGAATATTCGCAATTTTCGTCTCGCTTTTTCGCTTCGCTCCGCAAATTCGCCGGTGTGTAAGGACCTTGACTCTTTGATTCTGGTGCTGCTGTAACTGTTTCTTACCTCTGTGTTTTTGGCTGTTTTGCTGCGTAAATAAACTGGCTCAAACCTTCCTCAAAGCTTAAAGCAGTTGGATCTCAGATGAACAGTTCCCCCCTCCATCTGAGATCCTCAGGGTGATGTTCAAAAGTTAATTTCCATCCTCATCTTTTTTTCTTTCTTCTTTTTTGTTTTTGTTTTGTTTTCTGTTAGGACTGTCTCCAGAGAACCGCTCAGTCATTAAACACAATAGGAACAGCGTTTGGCTCTTCTGGACCTGTACTAAGGTCTGATGAAGGTGAGTACACAAAATAACACTATCTAATACAAAACTTTAGACTTCCCTGGGGTGTGCACGTCTTTTAAGATATAAGATCCTTGATTCCAAAAATTACAGCAGCATAGATACAAATACAAAAGAGAAATTAAAGGATAAAGAAAGCTATTTACAAGAATATACATATAATTGTGATTTATTGCACACTGAGGTTTCTGTTGTGGAGTCTGACAGCTGCAGGAAAAAATGACCTGAAATACCTCTCTGTCACACACTTCGGGTGGAGCATCCTGTCCCTTAACAAGCTCCTTAGTGCAGTGAGTGTGTGTTGGAGGGGGTGAGAGTCTCTGTCCTGCATGGAGGACAGCTTGGCTGTGATCCTCCTCTCCCCAACCTTCTCCACAATAGTATTTATTAGCGCTTTTGTGATGTGACATGAGCTATGAAGTTTATTTTAACACATGTTAATTGCTTCTGGCAAAGCAATAAGATAATGTTAAGAGTTGTTCTACCTAATCAATTTTTTGGGGGGTGCCGCCACAAGCAGGCCTATCCCATGTAGCAAAAAACTAATACAACTAAACTAAAACAAATCATTTTTTGAAAATAAAAACTAAAACCCCAGCCTTAAAATAATGATTTAAAACTAAACTGGAATCAAAAACAAAAAGTTGAAAAGAAAACAAAAACCTTTTGAACATTGTCTGGGATGCTTCTGCTGTGGTGCTGAGTTGGTAGTGCTGCAGAGAATGAGCAGCATTTGCAGAGAAGCTTGTTTATTTTGTTTCCCTCCAGCAGAGTCCATGCCCTCACTGGGTTACCCAATCCTAACCAAGCTGCCTACTCCTCTGTGCATAAATGAACATATTTATGTAATTATTTCAGTGACTCTAAGGCATAACCCCAGCCCTAATTATGGTGTACTGGGTGATACAAAGGTCAGTGTAAATGTAGTGATTTCGTACTGTTTCTTCCTGACTGCTTTGTTGCAGGGTCTGTGGAGGAGGAGTTTAACACCTTTTACGTAGTTGGACTCGCCTGTCTTGGGATCGGTGTCTCTCTATTTTTCATCATCGGTTTCATCTGCCTCTTTTATTACCAGAGGAACCGAATTGGACATTACAATTTCAGTGTCAAACCCAAACAGGAGAACTTCACCTACCTGGTCTTCAACACCTAGAGGAGCTGCATCACTCAGTCACATTCATATTTCATTCATATCTGGGTGGCAGCAGTTCAGTTTGGTTGGCTGATACTGTAGCGTCACCATGAGTGACGCTATTGCTCCATTTACAATTTAACTACTAGCAAATACATGCAGAGCTTTGCACATAAAACAGTTCATTTGGTATAGATTATATTTCTATTTCACATTTTATTCCCCACAGTGATTTGTAATATTAAAGTAATAGGAGTACTTGTACACCAAAATGTCAAATGACGAAAAATATTTCCAAAATATGTAAGCTCAGATTAATATTTATGATCTGTTAAACATTTATCAGCTCAGTGCGTTATACAGCAGCTGTAAGGCTAAATGACACATAAACACATAAACACATAAACAACGCTGTCAGGTAAAGTCAAAACATTTGCAAACATTATAGGTGTGCCAGATGGTGTAATGCAGCTCAGATAACTAATAGATGCTCATAACTATTTTCAAATTTGAGGTTGTCTTGTGGGGCTTACGTGTCTTGTTAAATAACAGTTGTACTATGCAGAGGAAAGCATAACCATCATGGGTCACTTTGTGTGTGAGTCAGGTGGAGAGGATAGTAATGCATGCATACTAACAATCTGCTGCCTCCTGCCAAAAAAGAGGTAATTATGAGAAAAAGAAGGAGACAGTAAATGATAACACAGTAATTTATTATTGAAATATACAAAAACAATCAAGTGTGTTCATATCTTTCTATGATTAGGTCAAACTAAGAAATGTTGACAAACCAGTAAAAACTGTTTTCAGCTGCTGCAGCAGTTAAACTCTTTATACCTCCCTTAACACATACATGCACACTAAAAAAAGAGGGTTTTTATTATCATGTGTTACCACCAACAGAGGGCACTGTAGATGTCTTAATTAAAAGTCTGACAGCAGGAAAAAGAAGCACTGTACACAACTGTACCTTCAATGACAGAGAAACATATATTGACTGAAGATTGTTTTACTTCATATTTAACATAAGATTATGTTATGAAATGAGTTTGCACTGAGTTTGCTTGTTTTGCATATCTTTGCATTATTAGTGATGTGAATATGGTCAGAAACGGTCCTATGATACAATCTGTAGTTCAAGCACAGTCATCACTTTAATCTCTTTAAGCTGCTATTTTTCAAAAAATATATTTTTTATTTGATGCATGTATAACATTTCCTGTTCTTGTAAAATCTTTTTGGGTGTGCTGTAAGATCTGTGGAACAAAGTAAATGTCCTGTATGAGTTCTGACACACGAGGGCGCTGCTGGCATATTTGTTCCTTATATAACAGCAAGGCAAAAAGGCCTCCTGCACGCATTATGATGTCATTTGTACAGTGTATCAAAATACGGGTTGACATGTTTTACTTATCTCAGGTGTGATCAGAGGTGTGTGTGTGTGTGTGTGTGTGTGTGTGTGTGTGTGTGTGTGTGTGTGTGTGTGTGTGTGTGTGTGTGTGTGTGTGTGTGTGTGTGCACACGTGTGGGTTGTTAGCGATAAAGCTGTTATAAACAAAAGAGGGTCCAGGGTCCAGTCTACACCTTTTCCTCACCTCTTTTCCTCAAATGCCTTGAGATAAAGGAAAGGAAGATATATTAATATGAGTGATATTTTAACCTCCAGGAGCAGAGGTCACAAAGTGCTTTAAAAACCTGATCAAATACTGGGCATACAAAGACAACAAAGACGAAAGACAAGACAGTATAGGCGATGCAGGCAACAACACACAACAGGTAAACCTCAGGTAAATGTGAAAATGGGTTTCAAGCTGCTTTAGAAAGGTTCAGAGTGTCTGCTGTCATAAAACCAATGTCAGAGAGTTCTTAGGTACAGCTGCAGGTGCACTCTCCTTTGGTCTTCAGTCTGGATCACAGAACTGCTGTAGATTTTTGTGTCAATAAAACCCCCAACAAGACTAATTTCAGTATCAAACCAAAAAGATTTGGAGGGCATATAAATCAAAGTGAAGCAGAAAAAGGCATCTGAAAAGTCAAAATGATGGTTTTCAAGCTAATTATTCCTTGTATAATGTGAAATATTGTTTTTTGTGTTTTTGATTACACTCTTTTTGTTAACAGTTTTACATGCTGTAGAAAGGCTGCTGTTAATCAATGCAAGGAGATCAAATCTACCTTCATGTCTGGTCATTTTTCAGACTTACAGAAGAGGTTTTTAGCTGTGATAACAGCAGTGCTCCAACTTCCAACCATACCTGCTCTCATGGAGCTCTGCTGTGTCTGCGGCCAAATCCCTCTCGGATCAGGAACGGTTGGAGAATTTGAGACCAGCCCAGGCCTTCTCACTTTCTTAGAGAAAGTAACTTCATGTAACCATGGTTTAATTAGATTACATAGAACTTTATTGATCCTTTTGAGAAGGTTTCCTCTGGGAAATTAAGTTTCTATAAACAACCATGGATCTGTCTCACAAAAATCCCTCTGCAGAAATATTCACCATTTTACTTGGTAGTGGGTCTATTTGTATGACAAATTATTATTTTTGGTCAGATTTTTTTTTCCAACTGAAACCCTTTATTATCAAAAAAATCTGCAGTTTTACAGACAGTTAAAGGATTGATTAGATCCTGAAAACACCTTAAGTCCTTTGATATTTTTCATCTTTACAATTATAGCAATTATTCTGGACACCTGTTTTAGAGTGTAACTCTGATTTTTGCTGCGCTTCCAGGGATTTTGTCAGGAATCTGGTCTCTCCAAATATCAGTCAGATTTATGTCCATAGTTTACTGTTTAAACCTTAGCTGTTTGAAGCTTGTCAGTGTCACAGCCCATAGAGTGGTCCTTTGCTGGGTTTATGGTTCAGCTAAAATTTCCCCCAATAATATAACATCCTGGTAGATGTAAGGAGAAGACCTTCAAAAAATGTAGGCTTGTCCTTGTTTGGTCCATACACACTGACTAGATTCAACCTATAAGAGAAAGAACAGCCCCATGAGCAATAACATGTACATGCTGGCAGGATCTTGGATTATCTTCCTTGTCTGGAATGGTATTATTTTATGAATGAGTGTAAGTACACTTTAAGCACAGTTATTAAATGTGGCATGTCTTTTTTGACTAGACCATCATTTCTGTATGAAGTTAATACCTGAGGGTGTGAGGTGCACTTCTTGAAGGAAAACTATCTTTTATTTAAGCTGTTATTCCCCCAACTTTCCAGCTTTCACTTTTTGTTCTGAAAAATTCACAGTTTTTGTTGGTACCACAAGTAGTTCATGTCAATCATACAAGAAACAGAAAGTACAGATGCCATGTTGAGTGTACTCTCCAAAATCCAACACACATGACGAAAAAAGAAAAACCCTTACATGAAAAAAACACCTCTGAACTCTTGAACTTCCCCTATCTTACTGAAAAAACAAATTGTGGGTGGGTCTTATGCTGATCCCCTCAATGGAGGAGCAGCTAAACTGTGCAAACACAATTCCAAAGACTGCAGGTCCGTCAAACCTTCTCCTTAACTGTTATTAAAACAGAAACCCTTCACCCATTTAGTGTGGAACTGAGATCAAAGTATGAAGTGACCTTTGTAATTGTGTTTCCTGTTATCAGTGTTCAGATATGCAAAGTCCTCCCTCAACACAGTTAGAGTAAAATGTTCATAGTTTGTAGAATGAGACTCCATTATAACTTGTACCAGTCAGACAGTCAGTGGCAGCCTGATCTCATGGATACAGAAATAAACGTCTCTCACCACTGTCTTGGTCAAACCATCCACGTATGTCCTATGGGGAAATATTACCTTCCTTTGGTGTTGAAAACAGGTTTTTGGGTTACTCTAACTCAGAGGTTGGTTTTCTTCAGTACCCCCTCAAACACACCAAACATCTGCGTGATGTCTCAGGTGTGATCAGAGTGACCTCCAACAAATATAATTCCCCAAATCTCAATTTTTTGACTTGAAGTTGGTGATTGGTGTCATGACTTTGGTAAGTTTTTGTTCCGCTGTTAACATTATTCTGTTTTCAGCTTCTTTGTCTGTGTGGTATTAGAGGTCACATTTCTTCCCCTCTGACATGTTTCTTTCCAAAGAAGTAACCTTTTTATCAGGCGGTCCTGGATGCTGTCAAGTTTGGTTCCAAATCCTTCATACCCTGTGTGGAGCAACTTTAATTCAGTTAACAGTAAGGCCACTGTTCATTTATTAGCATCAGTATTTCTATTTCTATCATTTCTATGAAGCTAATGTTAATTTATTAGCATCAGTACTTCTATTTCTATCATTGTTATTAATTTAATATTTATTAATTAGCATTAGTACTTTATTTATATCCTTGTTATATTGATTTAATGTTAATTAATTAGCATCAGTACTTCTTTTTCTATCATTGTTATGAAGCTGATGTTAAGTTTAGAACTCCCAACGTTTCCCCTGCATGTTCGTTAAAAGTCAGTGGTAGAGCCTTCAGCATATGAGACTTACAGTTTTTTATCAGTAAAGTTGCTGCCCTCAGACCAGCTCACACAGGTGCCAGGCCCTCTGTAGACATTTTTCCTTCTCTTCGCTCTGCTACCTTTGACCAGTTTGTGCCTTTGTCTCTCTCCCAACTCTCTGACTTAGTTCAGCACCTGCAACCTACACACTGCCCCTCAGACACCATCCCCCCTCCTCTCCTCAGAGAAGTTTTTGATTCAGTTGGAGCTTGTGTTCTGTTGTTGATCAACACTAGTCTCAGCTCTGGCTGTGTCCCCACAGCTCTCAAGCATGCTGTTGTCAAACCTTTAATCAAAAAGAAAAATCTTGATCCCTCCAACTTCTCAAACTTCAGACCTACAGTATACCGCAGCTCCCCTTTTTATCAAAGGTTTTAGAGAGAGCGAGTATGACCAGCCTGACCACCAGTCTGGTTTTAGACCCAGGCACAGCACAGAAACTGCACTGCTAAAAGTTTTTAATGATTTGCTCTTAGCTGTTAATTCTGGTAGCTTTTATTCTTTTACTGTCTGCATTTTATTTTACTGTTTTTAATTTTATTTTTATTGTTATCCATCTACTTATTTACTTCTTTTATTTATCCCATGTACAGCACTTTGCTGGACTGCTGTCTCTTAAATGTGCTTTAAAGGTGCTTTATAAATAAACATTGACTTGACTTGACTTGGATTGATTCAGATCTGAGGTGGTGACTGAGTGGAATCTCAAATGTATGAGGATAACAACAAGAAGATCACTGTTTCCACACCTCTGCCCCTGTACTTACTCTTCTACTCATTTTGTTGGGGTGCCAAATACTGTACCTGCTGATTTAAAGACCAAAAGTTTCTGATGTGTCATAAGATGATCACGTTTGTCACGGTGAAAGTGCTGTATGGAGTCTAAATCTTGTAAAGGTTGAATTTGATCATCTACTATACTGTGGATCACAGTGGAAATGCTTGAACTGATCAGTTTAAGATGGCCAAGGTCTATCAGACACAAAGATATAGTCTCTACACAGTTTTATACCTATGTGTTACTGCTCAAGCTTTGTCTGACAAAGAGCTGGTGTAAAATAAGAGATAGGCTACAGGTCCCTTTAGTGTCTTTTTATATTGAATCACTGTCAAGCATCATTGGTTAATATTAAACTGGGGTTAACTGAACATTTTCATCTTATAAGGCAGGCGTCATGAGACTTCCTGTCATGAAAGTGTCTGCGGAAACCCAGAGCAGTTGATGTCATGGAAGGTCTCTCAGCAGCAGAGTACAAAAAGATGGGTCGGCATGAGGAAATGAGACACAGTGTGAGTATGAGAGTCAGAGATGAAACTAAAGCTGCAGCTCAACATCTTCATGGTGCTTTCACACGGTGAGTCCTACACTCCAGTACTTATCTTGAAAAAAGCCAGTAAGCTACATGTGGTTGTTTCAGCTAATGTACAGATGTACTAAGAAAGAACTCTTTTATGGTAGTCTGTGGAACTTTGAGACATTATGGTGGTGTGGGAAAATCACTTAAAATTAACTAATTATGATCCTCTTATTTTATCTAAAAGTTTCATATAATTTGTTTGAGTGATTCGATTTTTTTATTTGAATATAAGTGTACTTTATTTACTAATCAGAGTCTCAATAAAATTAAGTTCAAGTCCATGATTTTATCTCTCCCATCATATTTGGTCACAGTTTTACAGCTTGCATATTGAATTAGCATTGGGATGGATTTAAAGGGATATTCCAGCGTGAGTTTAAGCCATATTCAAACACATCATAACACCGAGTTAGACACCCCCCTTCGAGAGATGAATGTTGCTCACTGCTTGCTTCTCTAGTTATACCAACTTTAGTGATGACCGCACGGCAGCAATACACAGCAGTGTATGTCTCCACACGCAAACCGCAACTAGAAAGCCACTCGTAGCCACAAATAATGCTGAGAACAGCCCCTAACTTTATCAACTGTACACACAGGGTTTCAGCCATAGTACTAGCCATCAAACATCTTTTTAGCTCTGTCTGGTTTCTTTTGCAAAGAGACTAAACACAGCTCACCCACTCTCCTCCAGCAGCCGCTTGTTTGTGGGGGAGCCCTGACGAGTTGATAACTGAGTGCAGTTTTGAGTTTTGAAGTTCAAGGAAGAACATTTATCATTATTACTTCATGGAAATGCAATCAGAGTGTATCTTGTATGTGCGCTGCAGACGCAGTCGTCCTTCTGCCTTAGCGTCTCAGTCTGATAGCATTTCCATGAAGTAATTATCCTAAATTTTCTCTGCCGTTTCGAACATGTAGTCTGCTGTGTACCACTATCGTGCGGTCGTAACTAAAGTTGGTGTAACTCGAGAAGCAAACAGTTGGCAAAATTAATCTCTCAAGGGGGTGTTTAACTCTGTGTTATGGTGTGTTTGACCATGGCTTAAATTTACGCCTGAATATCCCTTTAAGTTTGTGAATTCAATAATCCAAGCCGAGAAAGAAATCCCTCAAACAACAAAAAAAAGTTAACCTTGTTAATTTCCTGGGTTTTAATATATGTTTGCAACAGCTTTATGTTAAATTATGAAGACATGTTTGAAAATTAGCCCCTAAAGCCCTTTTGACTTACAGTATGTGTGACCTTTAAAGCCCATGTTCTCACTGCAGAAGTCAGTCTGGAAAACCCAGTCCGTCATCACGACCCTCATAGGAAAGAAAAAGCACCTTAAAACCCTGCCAACAACCCACACAGTATTTATATCCACTGTTACTTTCACTTCAACTTGAAAGGACTGACCACACGGCTTCCTGTAACAAACTGCAGAAATGAATCTATCGTGTGGGGGGCTGCTTCAGCGCAGTAAACAACCCTTTCTTTCCTTTCTACAACACCTCTCACACACTCACACACTCACACACTCAACCTACTGTATGGTCAAAGGGCTCTGACAGAAAAAGGTAGGTCAATGTTGAGGCTCTAAACTCCAGGCCCCTCAAATGGTAAATCTAACAGCTCCTGATGTTACTTCTCATCAAACCAACAGTAGGTTACTCATCTGTTTGTCAGGGGCTGCCTTTTAGAGTCCATATTAATCCATGTAAAGTCATTTGTATGATTTATTGCATGGTGATGATTGGTGGACTCACTGTTATTCTTGTTTCTTTGATTATAGTTTCACTTGCTGTGTGGCAGCGTGTGACAGTGAAAAAAGGTCAGACAGTCAACTTAAGCTGCCCAATTACTGAAGCTCAGTGGACCAATGTGGAGTGGAGGAACCCTGACGGATATATCATGTTCTTTAGTGAACAAAAAGGTAAAAAAAAAAAAATCATGTTAGCAAACCCACGAGCAGAAACTCAAATTATCTGCCAAGGTTTTGCTCCTGTGTCACCTTGAAATGAGGAAAATCAAGCCTCTTTTTGTTTCCTTTCAATCCCCAGCTTTAAAGGACCATCGATACACCATCAACAAACTCTCTGAATCAGAATTCTCTGTCAGCATTTCGAATGCCACCTTCAAAGATGGAGGCAACTACACCTGCTCCGTGCACGGCCTCCGCACAATCGAGAAAAAAGTGGAGGTCACAGTTTTAGGTGAGTATCGACCAAACTAACAAACCGACAGAAGTTAACCAGCAGCCATTACTGCTTGAAAAGCGCCCACAGTTCAATAAAAATTGTTCAGTGAAGTCAAAATATATACATACTAATATTAAATGAAAGCTTACTCACGATTAAGATGAAGGATTTGCTCATTGTACTGGGAAAACACTCAGGAGCTTCGCACTGAACACTCAGGCATAAATGGACTCACTTAATCAGGGTGCTGTGGGGAAAATGGGTCCAGTGAAAAGACATGGGGAAGCCTTTTCACATGTGACATCTGATATAACCTGCAGAGTTTCAGCTGCTTTATCAACAGTGAAAAACTTCAATTTGTTCACTTTGCCTTAACTAATCATCAATAGATTTAACCATCACTGACTGACCCATTGCTTACAATTTTCAGTTAATCAGGGATCAATGAAAGTCTCATATGTATTCCTCTTTAGCATTGTGGTCCAGCCTCTGCGTGTAATTTTACCACCCAGCTGTGGTAGCAAATAAATGACAGAAAATTTTACATTTATCCAGTGTCGCATTGGAGAGGCAGCAGCCTAAGCATGGAAGCCCAGACTTTCCTCAACCCTGTCCAGCTCTTTCAGGGGCACCCTGAGGTGTTCTCAGGTCAGCTAAGAGACAAAGTCTCTCCAGCGTGTCGCTGTGATCTCCTTCCAGTGGGACGTGCCCTGGATGCCTCACCAACAGTGCATCCAAGGGGCATCCTGATCAAATGCCCAAGCCACCTCATCTGACTCCTCTCAATGCAGAGGAGAAGTGGCTCTTCTCTAAGCCCCTCTTGGATGACTAAGCTTCTTACCCTATCTCTAAAGGAAAGCCCAGACACCCTGCAGAGGAAACTCATTTCAGCCGCTTATACCCACAATCTTGTTCTTTCAGTCACTACCCACCGCTTGTGACCATCACTGCTGAAGCTGCACCAGTCAGTCTGTTGATCTCTGGCTCCATTCTTTCCTAATTCATGAGCAAGACCCTGAGATACATGAACTCCCCCACTTTGGGCAGAATCTCATCCCCTACCCAGAGAGGGCACTCCACCTTTTTATGGCCGATGGACTCAGATTTGGAGGTGCTGATTCTCATCAAGGTCGCAACACACTTAGTTACATATTGACCCAGTGAGAGCTGAAGGTCACGACCTGATGAAGCAAACAGGACCAAGTCATCTGCAAAATCAGTGACCCAAACCTGAGACCACTAAATTGGACCCCCTCAGCCCAGGCTGCGCCTAGATATTCTGTCCATATCCATGCCCTGGTGGAGTCCACCCCTCTGACTTACTACCGGCTATGTGGACCAAGCTCTGGCACTAGTCTCCTCTCACTGAGCTACCACCTTATTGTGGTGGAAGGATTTGTGCGTCCCAATGATCCCAGGATCTCAGTTGTTAGGGGCTTGGTGGCCTGATCCTCAGCTATAGAAGCTAGCTTTAACATTGTATAAAAACAGAAAATCTTCATTTATGCACACATACACTCATAATTTTCTTTAACCCTATTAAAGGTTTTCCTGAAATGGAGGTAGAAGAGCATGAAGGAAAGTCGGTCATTAAGTGCACTGCTGAGGGGAACAACAATCCTCCGCAGATCTACTGGAAATTTAATAATGGGCCAGAATTTCATGGTAAGAATGTGCCAACTTGTATTAATAATGAATATCAGACTAAAATTAATTAAGAAGTGTTTGTATTTTTGTTTAATTATGTTTCATATAAGTATGTAGTTATGCTCATGAATGAAAACATTATCTGTGTATGGTTTGACACTGGTCTGTTTTAAAACAATCTTTTTTTACGTTCCTTAATCCATGATAATTAAGGGTTAACCTTTAACTAAGATTTTCTTACAAATAAAGTTTTCCTGATGTTTATGATATTTTCTATCAACATTTTGGCACCTTTATAAAGGTGCTTGCTCTCTGTTTATTATGAAGTGCTTTGTTAACTAAAATAAAGATACCAATGACTTTCTCCACAGCTCAGGCCAAGGTTTTTCACAGTGGTAGAAGCTACATTTCTACAGATAAACTGAACTTTAACTCTATAAAGAAGAGGGTCACAGTGAAATGCCTTGTACGACATCCAGCTTTGTATTCACGTCCGCTGATTAACTTTGTGAAAATCGGACGAGATGGTGAGTATTTATTTGCTCTGTGTATTATTCACTTCTGTTTGTTTTTCTTATTGACTCAAAGCTCAAATCTGAATCACTTTAATCATCAAAAAGGGGAAAAAGTCTGTGAGCACATGGTCAGTTTTAATACGGTGCAAACATACTGACGTTTCACCAGCAAGTTCTCCTCTGTATGACAACTTCAAGTGGTTTCTGTCTCTCTTCCTCTAGTTTCTTCTGACTTTTAAATGCTCTTTCACCCATTATGCTGTATCATTTGTTGTGTTTTGTATATTGTGGTATTACAAGTTATAAGAATGAATGAATGATGTATCTAATATGCCCCACTGATGAGAGACTGCCAATCAGCCAACATAGGTGAACTATTATTGTTCTGTTTACTTGAGGACACCTGTGCTGTCCAAACTACAGTTTCTGTAGTTTGGACGGCACAAATGATGTCTGTCAAATCGTTTTTGCTTCATTAGTCTATTTATTCTCTGTGTCAGCAGCACAGCTCCATTTCTCAACCACCACCAGCCCTTCCACGACTCAAACTTCAGGGTCTACTAGGGCGCTGAGAACAACCAGCATCTCAAGAACATCAGTTAATCCTACAACCACAGATGTGAGAGGGCTTTCATCAGAGGACTCTTTAAAGCTATCAACTTGGGGGACAGTACCCACTGCATTTCCTCTGACGCCCGTAACATCCAAAAACTCTCCACTTGTAACTACAGGTGAGTCAAAGTGTTTTCATATGATATAAAACAAACAGTATATCTGGGATAAGTCACTTGTAGGTGAAAGTTTCACCTTCCTTTAGCTTCCTAGGTATTAAGGTATTTGTCTGCTAATCTTTATGCAGTTTTTTTTAAAGTTTACTTTTTTAACTTGTATTTTATCTTCTGATAATCTAAATGAAGCGTTTTTAAAAATATATATATGTATATGTCTTCATTGATTGTAGAAGACTTAAAACAACTGACACCAACCCAGTCAACCAGCGGGAGGAATGACTCAACAAGTAATGCAACAAGCACAAAAGGTATGTGTACACTGCCATCTAGTGTTTGGAAAAATTTACTGAGTTTCCCCAGTCAACAACACAATTGTCACAGTTGAAAAGCAAACAGAGGAGATCCAGACAAAAAAGAATATGTCAATTTATCCAATCACAAGCACCAAAAGAAAAAAAAAATTCTCTGCTATCAACAAAGATGACACAATAGTCTTTAACTACCAAGTAAACAGAAATAGTCCTCTCTTAGAATTCAGGTTTTTCCTGAACCAATAACCTGAATGCCGTTCATTCCAGGGAGTTTTGTCAACCCTGAGATGCAAAGTGGAGCTGTAGGAAGTTCGTCATTACTGATCCTCCTGGTGACGTGCCTCATAGTCTGTCTTGTCGTGGTTGTGATTTTTTTTGCCATCAAACTGAGAAGAGCACATCTGGTCTGGAAGAGAGGTGAGCAGATGATGTTATTCTTTCTGTAGGTAAAAAATGTACTAGTCACTATCTATCTATCTATCTATCTATCTATCTATCTATCTATCTATCTATCTATCTATCTATCAATCTATCTATCTATCTATCTATCTATCTATCTATCTATCTGTCTGTCTGTCTGTCTGTCTGTCTACAGTATACACACACACACACACACGCATATATATATATATATATATATATATAGTATGTAGTATATAAAAGGCAGTTTTTGTTGTTACAGAAAATGAAGAGACTAATACATCTGAAGAAAGTAGCAAATCAAAATCAAGCCATGAAGACAGAAGCACTAAGCAGCACAGGTGTAGAGGTAAGCACATCAATTCAGTCTGTCCTCTATGGATTTTGTAGGAGGGAAGATGGTAAAACATTTAACCATGGCATAGTTATGCAACAGCGTAGGTGTGTTTTTACCTTACTACCAGGTAAGGTTGGTTGGTCATTTTTCATGTTGATTATGAATGTGTTAGTGGTGATGTGATCATTCCATAGACTGTATTTGGTTCATTCTCAATGTAGGTTAATAAATAAAACTTGAGACTTTAGGGACATAATGATGTTTCATTCTACCATTCTATGTAACTTTCCCTGCATTCGCAATGCTTCTCTGCTTATGGAAAGGCCTGATTGTTATCAACTGTGACACTGCCGTGACACCACCCAACAAATTCGGTTTGCCTCTCAGTACTGTCATTGACAATTAGAAGAAAACATCTGACCCTGTCAACAGTGTCTGCTCACTGTAGGCTGTGAAAATGCCCAAGCTTTTCTCTGTTCATGGAGGATCAGAGGTTCAAAATTAAACAGATTTTTTATGTTGTTTATGATTAGAGTATTTTCACATTTTCCAACTGTCAATTAAATTAAGAGTAGTTTAGGAACTTCGATTATTGAAGTTTTTCTTTCCCCAACAATACTGGAATTGTGAGGTTCTTAGATAATTCATTAAATTTCAAAGCAGGCTATCTTTGTTGAGCTCCTTTATCATGTTTCCCCCTACCTTTGTTTTACAGTTAATATCAGCCTGTCAGATTTCTATATATTCAGCCAATGCTTCCATCTTCCTACAAAAATCAGGCAACTGTTGAGGTAACGTGAACAGTATTTGATGGAGAACATCTCTCTTTGTCCCACAGGCTTCTTCAACACAGAAGTCAGGCAGTATGTTGTGGATGAGCCAAGGGCAGTCACCTCAGTGGTCCATGTAGATGAGCAACCTCAAACAGCGGGACAAACTTCTGCCAAATGTGACATAAAGGAGACAGAGCTGTAATAATGAGTCAGATATTGATGGCAAGAATATCAACAGCACGCTCATGGACTCCACTGTTTCTGTATTTTACCACATCATGACATGTTTACACTGAAAAGAATATATGCCCAAAAACTTGTTTTAACTGTGCTTACTGTTTTATTTCATATTTTTTTTTGTAAAATACTGTGTAAATAATGTATAGATTTGCTTTTGAAATGTAAAATAAAATATATTTTTGCATCAACATAATGTGATTATCAAGAAAATAGATATGCACTTAAAATCAGTCCTAGTATTCTTGCTTCTGGTACAATGGTCAGATAAGATAATTCAAAAAGGCTTTAGAGGACTCGCACACAGAAAGATGGAAAAGACAAATGTCTTGAAAAGTTGGATCCATTTTATTGCTAAAATGAAACAAATAAGCCGCAAATATTTTAGTCTCAGTCAACTATTATCAGTGCAATAGTTAGAGGTATGTGTGAGTTTGTCTTTGAGTTCTTCTCAGTCAGGTTGGAGAGCTTAATTGGACACACCTGGAGCCCCTTATATAGAGCAGGTAATTGAGCCGCGGCCCAGGATGCATCGTCACACATAACATCATAGCAATACAAAACAAATCCATGTGACTCACCATGGACCCTGAGTCTGAAATAAAGAATATGCTATTCTATTTGCATACATACGCAATGGACCTACAAGTAATTATTTACATTAATTGACATTTATGGACTGAAAATGAGCTAGTGCAAACAGACACACTCACAAAAATGAAGCCATTTCTAATTCTTCATTTAAACCACAGGGATGAAGTGTTTTAAGATAATAAATGTATTTACATTCACATTGTAAAAGTGTTTGATCAATATATCCACCACGATGTTTCGGGAATATCATATCAATGCCACAGAATGCTGGGTCAGATAGAGAGTGGCTGTCATCTGAAAAGTGCCTGACCACAGCTGACTTGGGGTCAACCCAGCTAAGAGAACTTTTATGTTCATTAATGCAAAGTCTCAGTTGTCTCGGACCTCTCCTACCTGACTGACAAGAACTCAAAGACAAACTCACACAGACCTCTCACTAGTGCACTGATAATTGTTGACTGAGACTAAAATATTTGCGGCTTATTCGTTTCATCTTAGTAATAAAATGGATCCAACTTTTCAAGACATTTGTCTTTTCCATCTTTCTGTGTGTGAGTCCTCTACAGCCTTTTTGCATCTACATAATGCCAGAAGTTTTGCTCTTCCAGACTTTAAGGGATTTTTAAGAGGACAGTCACTATTCTCCTTTTTCTCTATTTCATAGACTTTTTCCAATAAATTGTTTCTAAATGATTACAAATATTTGGGCATATTATCTTGCTGTTTGGGGTTACTTCAGATGTTTACTTCTTGACAATTTGGAATCATGTAGCACCAACAGGGCTGAGTAGTATAGTATAGCAAAATCACGCGGTGATGTTTATTTATCTTTATTTCTTGTTTAAGTTTTCACCTAATTGAAACTAAAGCCCGGACAGAAACGTCACCCTTGTTAGTTCATCGTCTTATACAAGCTCTACAAGGAACTGTCGAAAGGAGTAGAGCTCCCTCGGAAGAAGGAAATACTGCATTAAATGGAAACTGCTAGATCAACAGCCCAGTCGAAGGTCGCCAAGGAACCCGTACCATGCGGTCCTTCTAAGCGATTACAGACTGCAGATGATTAAACTGACGATAAAAACGTCATCAAGAAAAAACACAGTCATTGGTGGTTCTCTGCGGACAGGCTTCAGGGTCTCGACGTTTGATTGGCTGCCTTGCCGGTCATATATAACACCCAGGACCCAACGGTCTTCCTTTTCATTTTCTAACGGCAAGGACAAGACCTCACCACCGCCATCCATTCCAGCCTTGCACCCAAAATCACCCTTAATCCGGTAAGTTATACTTGGATAGCGAAGTAATCAAAAACGGGATAAAGTTCGCTTTGTTATCCCAAAGGATCGGTCTCCATAGTTACGTTATTTCAAGTAATTGTCATTCTCTCAATAAAGGGGTGTTCTTTGTTAAAAATGGTTGTACAGAATGTCACTGTTTCTGTAGAAACTGTTAAAGTGAACTAAAGCTAATTGGAGGTATTAGATTGTGTTTGGGGTAACTGACGGCCAGTAATCGTGTAGAGAGGCGGAAGAAACGCTGAGGGGATCCAGAATGTTCTCGAACAATGGTCAAGCGCCCCCCACTGATCCATTTCCGGTTGGTTGTTTTCACAATAAAATGTCGTAACCATGCGGTTGGATGTGACACGTTTACTTTGAAATTCAAATTAATTCAGCGTATTTCCAATTAGTCGTATCAGGACCGTATCATCGTTGATGTATATTATAACGGTTTATGTTTTTTTTAAACTACTCTCTCGTGCTTTGCTTGATCCCGGCATGATGTCACCCCGCCGGTTTTGACAGTGCCTTTCTGCTGAAGGCCTCGGCTTGGATCAAACTAGTTCAGAGCGGTTTTGGTTCAAACCTCCTCTTGTCGGGCTATATATAGTAAACCACATAAATTCCGACAAAATGGTCTGTGAAATGTCAGAACTGTGGTACGAAGTTGCTCCGTAGTCCACGTTCGTGTAACGTGATTTCAAAAATAAAGCGGTGTCTGCACTTCCCGAAAGAAGCTACTTTCATATCCCCTCCCCCGCCCATCTATTTCACACATTTCCTTTAGAAGGGAGGGGTGGGGGGTTGTAACCATTTTGAATAATGATTACAGAAAATTTATGGTCTAGTGTCATTTTCCCTAAAAGCATTTCCCCTAATAAATTCAATTATTGACTGTAGTCATTTATGGAATAAATTATGTGTTCTTAAGTAGATCTTTAGAATTTTTCCTTTGTTTTCCTGGATAGTTTTTTTGGGCTGCATTGTACAAAGCCATCAGTCAGACTGATGTATTTGCTTTTAGAAAGGAAGAAAAGCATGTTTTTTAGAATGCTGTAGCAGCTTTCCACATGCAGACATTCAGACTTAAGCTTTACGGGAGGACAGTTGGACCTCATCGCATGTTTATCTATCTTCAGATGCCTGTGTATCAGTGCGTCTTAATCTGGCTTGTATCATAGGTTGGCAATTAATGCGTATGCATGTGCAGCATGAATTTTATTTTAAAGGTGGCTCCTGCCAGGTGGTGTTGGTGACCCATGAGACTAAATATAAGCAGTAATATGCTGGAGCAGTACTGATTTTGGAGTTTTGGTCATGCAGAACACTGTATTCAACAGAGCTGGGCTTTGATCCCTATTCCCTGATGCCTATTGTAGTTTTTTTTTCCACCTTCACTAATATCTGGATACTTTCTATTGTTAACCTGTAGGTCCTCCACAGGTTAAAAAAACGATAATACATTTTTAAAAAATCCACCGGAGCATCTACATTGTCGATCTTTTTCTATTTACTAACACCAGTGTGTGTCATTCTAGATTTTCAGCTGAGGCTGTGAGGAAAATGAGAAATGTTTAGGACAGTGGTCTCTTAAATCTGTTCCAATGCACCCGACATAAGACTACACTTTATGACTTGGTTGCAACGCTCAGATATTGACTATATTTTACATGCCCATACACCATCATGCTAAACTTTGGAAACCGATCTTGTCTTTTTTTTCCTCAGGAAACATGTCGAAGGGACCAGCAGTTGGCATTGACCTTGGGACCACCTACTCCTGTGTTGGTGTTTTCCAGCATGGCAAAGTTGAAATCATTGCCAACGACCAGGGTAACCGGACCACACCCAGCTATGTGGCCTTCACAGACAGCGAGAGACTGATCGGCGATGCAGCCAAGAACCAGGTTGCAATGAATCCCACCAACACAGTCTTTGGTAAGGATAACTAGCATTAGTTATTTATGTGTTGTGGTCCTGTGACCTTGTTTGTTTCTTGTTGGAACTGTTACTAGACTTTTATTATCTATTTTTTTGTTTTTGTAGATGCCAAACGTTTGATTGGCCGCAGGTTTGATGACACAGTTGTACAGTCAGATATGAAACACTGGCCATTTAATGTCATCAATGACAACACTCGCCCTAAGGTCCAAGTTGAATACAAGGGTGAAAGTAAGTCCTTCTACCCAGAAGAAATTTCATCAATGGTGCTGACCAAAATGAAGGAAATTGCTGAAGCTTACCTCGGAAAAGTAAGTCATCTGACCTTTTCCTGACCAAAATACAGAAAGAGAAGCTTTGATTTTAGCATATGCTAATATTTCGTCTTATTTCTTTCAGACTGTCAACAATGCTGTGATCACGGTGCCTGCTTACTTCAATGACTCCCAGCGCCAGGCCACAAAGGATGCTGGCACAATCTCTGGCCTCAATGTTTTGCGAATCATCAATGAACCAACTGCAGCTGCGATTGCCTATGGACTGGACAAGAAGGTGATTGGGCTGGGCCTCTTATGAGTGATATCCAGTGTAATCTAACTAATGTATGATTTAATAAAAACTATACAACTATTTCTTATCATAGGTTGGCTCAGAAAGGAATGTTCTCATTTTTGACCTTGGTGGTGGCACCTTCGATGTTTCCATCCTGACCATTGAGGATGGTATCTTTGAGGTGAAATCCACTGCTGGAGACACTCATCTCGGTGGGGAAGATTTTGACAACCGCATGGTCAACCACTTTATTGCAGAGTTCAAGCGCAAGTACAAAAAGGACATCAGTGACAACAAAAGAGCTGTCCGTCGTCTGCGCACTGCCTGTGAGAGGGCAAAGCGTACCCTGTCTTCCAGCACACAGGCCAGCATTGAAATCGACTCTTTGTATGAGGGAGTCGACTTCTACACCTCCATCACCAGGGCTCGCTTTGAGGAGCTGAATGCCGATCTCTTCCGTGGCACCTTGGACCCTGTAGAGAAGTCTCTCCGTGATGCCAAGATGGATAAAGGACAAATCCACGACATTGTGTTGGTCGGTGGCTCCACCCGTATACCCAAGATCCAGAAGCTGCTTCAGGATTTCTTTAATGGAAAAGAGCTCAATAAGAGCATTAATCCAGATGAGGCAGTGGCTTATGGAGCTGGTAGGTAGAAAGATGAAGCACAAGTTAAATTCTATGAACTGTGAGAGCAGCACTGTCTTTTTTATAAGCTTGACTTCTTTCCCCAAATGCTTCTGTGTTTTAACCATGGCGTATCTTTCCAGCGGTCCAGGCTGCCATCCTGTCTGGAGATAAGTCTGAGAATGTGCAGGATTTGCTGCTCCTCGATGTCACCCCTCTGTCTCTGGGTATTGAAACTGCTGGCGGTGTCATGACTGTCCTCATCAAACGCAACACCACCATACCTACTAAGCAGACACAGACCTTCACCACTTATTCTGACAACCAGCCTGGTGTGCTCATTCAGGTAACTGTTTGTAGCTCACATCAGAGACCCAAGATTGCTTTGATCCATAAGATGTAATGTGCTGTACACCATGGGCTACCAGCAAACATGCAGAAAGATGTTTTATCTGGTTTCTGGGTGTCTTTCAAATATTAGTTGAACCAAGTGGCAATCTTTAGTGACTTAAAGCTGATGCAAAAGTACTAAAAACTGCAGTTCCTTGAGTATCTGTTAGTTTTTTATTTTTTTTTTTCACATACAGATGAGAGTCGAACTTGTTAACAAACTCTCCATTCTGTTCTTTCCAACAGGTTTATGAGGGCGAGCGTGCTATGACCAAGGACAACAACCTGCTGGGCAAGTTTGAGCTGACTGGCATCCCTCCTGCCCCTCGTGGTGTTCCCCAGATTGAGGTGACATTTGATATCGATGCCAACGGTATCATGAATGTGTCTGCTATAGATAAGAGCACTGGCAAGGAGAACAAGATCACCATCACCAATGACAAGGGTGAGTTCGGAACTAGATTTAGGACCAATTTAAAAGTATTGTCAGAACTTCTTCTGATGCATTCAAATTTGGTTTTCCCAGGTCGCCTCAGCAAGGAGGACATTGAGCGCATGGTTCAGGAAGCTGAGAAGTACAAGGCAGAGGACGATGTACAGCGTGACAAAGTGTCTGCTAAAAACGGCTTGGAGTCATATGCTTTCAACATGAAGTCTACTGTGGAAGATGAGAAGCTTGCTGGCAAGATCAGTGATGACGACAAGCAGAAGATTTTGGACAAGTGCAACGAGGTCATCAGTTGGCTGGACAAGAACCAGGTACATGATATTGTTCAAATGTTGCTGATTTTATTTGTTTTGGGAAAAAGAATTCACCTCAAGACTAACCACTCTTGTATTTCAGACTGCAGAGAAAGATGAGTATGAGCATCAGCAGAAAGAGCTGGAGAAGGTGTGCAACCCCATCATCACCAAGCTGTACCAGAGTGCTGGGGGAATGCCTGGTGGTATGCCAGAAGGCATGCCAGGTGGCTTCCCTGGAGCTGGTGGTGCAGCTCCTGGCGGTGGATCCTCTGGACCAACCATTGAGGAGGTCGACTAAGCCATTCCATCAGTTCATTCGAAGATTTTCTAAGAAAGTAACCCTCAAAGCATCAGCCATGCTATTGAGTGCATAAAACTTGGGAAAAAAAATGGGGTTTAGGGATCACTTATTGTATCATTTGAAGCACAATGGGTAACAACTTGAAGGAGTTTAGTATGCTGAAATGTTACTTCAAATAAATGAAACCTTTTAACCCAATACTGAGTGTGTCTGTTGTACCAATGAAGTCATGGTATGTAGAATTAAAGTAAAGCACTGTCCTGCTTTACTGCAGTGTCCCACAAATTTCTGTTTGACAAATTATGTTCTGTAAATGTTAAATGTGAAGAAACATCTAAATGCGTCATGGGTTTGTACTGATGGTTTCTTGTTTCCAGAAGTTGATTGAAAGTGCATTGACACAGGGAAAACATGAATGCACCATACTCATTGTATCAGTAAACGATGCTAGGGACTTAATGTTACTGGGTTTATTTATAAAGTACCTTTTCAAGAGCAGCAAGGTCACAGTGTTTTACAAAGATGTAATTTAAAAAAGGTATAAAACGACACAGGCAATGATGGGAGGAAACACTAGGAGAACAACATGGTACACAATGACTGTTCAAGAAAAGGCCAGACTAAGCAAGTATGTTTTTTGTTTTAAAAGAAACGAACTGTATTTATTGATCTGAAACCCAATGAGTTTCAGAGAGTTGGAATAATAACTATGAATGCACAGTCTCCTTTGGTTGTAAGACTGGAGTGTGGACCAGTCAGCAGACCCTGATATGAGGACCCAAGAGTCCTCCTGGGATTGTAAGGTCTTCACAGTTCTGAAATTGGTGCCTGGCCATGCATGGCTTTAAAAGTAAAAACAAGAATCTTAAATTGTATTCTGTAATGTATGGGATGTCAGTGGAGAGAATAATACAGGATTGGAGTAATCTCTGCATAACAGTGAAAGGATATGCCTTTAAAACTGCTGATTGGGTGGTTGAGTGGAAGCAGTTTAAAATAAAATAAAATGGGGTCAATGACTGAACTTTGGGGTTATAGAAATAAAATCATACATACTAGTATGTTAAAAAAAACACGTAATTAGGCTGATAAAAATCTGTAAACTTTCCATCGATGTAAAGTTTGTCAGAAAGAAACTGTAGCCAACCTGGTGTTACGAAAATTTTAATCACTAAATCTCTGAAGGCGAGATTGTCCATTGACGTGATCCTCTTGGTTTTTACGAGGAGCAGTTGAAGGCATCATCTGTGCGTCTGCGTTGCCATGGTTACATTGTTTCGAAGCGCATTAGCAGAAGAAAGCAGGTGAGTCTAAAGGACGTCTATGTTTCTTTTTAATTGTTTCCTTATTTCGCTGTTGTTCTCTAGAATAGAGGAGGGAAAGTATGTCTTTTTTTCCACGTTTTAATATAATAAACTACAGCTTCGGGGTTGGCAGAAGCCGTTAAAGTTAATGCGTCTCAGTGCTCAGCTACGCCATAGAGGAAATGACACTAACTCATTTAGGCTACTAAGATTGTGTAGCGCTACATTATGTCAAAGTAGGCCTACTATGTACCGAAAGGAAGTGTAAGATCTCCATTCCAGTGATAAACCTTAATTACCAACCAAATGACTTCAGTAAAGTTAACATTTCTTCAGAGATTCAGCCCTCTTAGGTCGACAGCACATCAACGGTGCACTGCTTTTAGGGGAAAATGGTAACCTCGCCCACCTCTTGTCGTAGGCTACACCCCCGACTGCGGGCTACATCCTGATTTTCATAAGTAAGAGCCGACCTCAGTACAACTTTGGCCCCTGTAAACATCTGCGGAGGTGCGACACCAGGGAGGGCGCTGCAGATATTCACTGAGCTCACCAGGAAGTGTAATGCCATGGAAACGTCTCCACGCAATAATGTTCAGTTACAGCCAACTTCCCTGTAACATATGAAGAATATGGTTCTGACGACAAGTCTTTTTCTTTTGGAACGATTGAAAAGTTCTTATGTCAGCCAACCCAGAATTTAGAGAAACCACAGTCCACAACATGGCTCTGCAAAAAAGCTGCTCCTGGCAGAACTGCTGCAACCTTTGGTTTGAAAATCAAGAGATCATGTGATGGCTCATGTGACTGAGATCATGTGACTGATCATGTACTGTGCTGTGGTCATGTGGTGCTGTACACTGGCCTGGTGAATTAGATATAATATGTGCTATATTGGAGCCCTGTTGTGTGCTACCATTATCTGTAACATTAAACTATACTCGTCATTCCAGCTTAATATAAAAATGTAGGGTCACCTAAGTCCAAGTAATATAGTAAAGCACTAGAATGATAAACAAATCTAAGCACAATAAAGTTAATTCAAAAAACCAAAGAAAGAAAGAAACCAGAAGACAACTATACAACAATACAGCTAAGGTAAATTTAGTTAAATTAACATGTACAACATGAGACATATGATACAGTATTTCTTTGTATATCACAATGACAATCATGTGGCCAAAAAACTTTCAGAGGAAGGTCAAAACTACAACTTAATCTTCAAATATCTTACCATTGACAAGTAGCTCATAGACTACATGGATTCCTTTAAGTCTCAAGTGCCAGCGTCAGCAATATGCTTTTAGATCCACATGTGTAAGTACAGCCTTGAGTGATGAGGGATCACACTCCAGTATTCTTTCATAGTAAAAGACTAAATCAGGTTAGTTCCTAGGTATCTTGATATATCTGTCTCAGCTTTATTGACCAAGTATGTTACAGAGTCAAGGAAATTGACTCTAGTAGACTCTCTCTGTGTACTAATATGAAATAATACACAAATATGAACAAGCTTAGACATTTAACGTCTATATACAGACTGTTTTAGACAGTAGTGTTATGGTGAGGAGTGTAGAGGAATGTAGAGTGATAGAGGATTATATATTCATATATCATTTTATAACAGGTGGGTTTTGTACTTGGGGTAGACATACTTTTGCATACAGTATCAACATAAGATATTAAATAACGGTGTGCAGAGGTACATGTCAGATGAGAGGATGATGTCTGCAGACAGAATATGGCGGTGTCATGACTGTTGTTATAAATGACAGTAATTATAAAGGTTTTACAGATAAACAGTAATTCACCGTCACAGTGAGTGTTAGAGGTTATTGCTCAGTGGTCTTTCTATGTCTTTGTGAGTTCATCAGACCAACAGCCCGGGGGAAGAAATTGTCTTTGTGTCGGCTTGTTTTGGTCTACAGTGATCTACCTGAGGGGAGGAGTTTTATCAGTCTGTGTCCTGGGTATGAGGGGTCTGCAGTGATGTTACCTGCCTGGTTCCTGACCCTGGACTGGTATAAGTCCTGGGGCGAGGGCAGGTTGTCCCTGATGATTTTTTCTGCAGTCCTGATAGTCCATTGTTGTCTGTTTCTGTGGCAGACCCAAACCAAACAGTGATGGAAGTGCAGGGGATAGACTGCATGATGGTGATGTAGAAGTGGATCAGCAGCTTGAGCTATGGTTTTTTGTGGCTGCTCATTCACAGGGAGCTGTGAAAGGACTACAATTAGTTGTCAATCAATCAATCTTAAGTCACGTAGTGACAATTCACAACAAGTGCTATCACAGGACACTTAACAAAAAGCTAGTCTAGACTAGACTCTGTTTAGAAAGACCCAATGTAAAGATGGGATCAGACTGAGCCCCATCCTGTAAGATCAGACCCACTCCCATCCCATCTTTAACCATAAGGAGGAAACACTTAGCATTTATTGAGTTACAGTGGAGGGGAAGAACTTCCTCTAATAGGCAGAAATCTCAAGTAGAACTAGACTGATGTTAGACAGTCATCTGCTGAAACTGAGCTGAGTTTAGAGAGAGATGGACAGAGAAGAGACTGAGAGGGGTGATGGACAGCTCAAGGACTTCCAGAAAAGACTGTGTTAGTGACTCTAATGAGACATGATTTATATTTAATGACACAGACAGAAAGAGGATGGAGAACGAGGGGAAGGTGCTCAATGTGCCAGTACCCCCGTCAGTCTGAACTAAAGCAGCATAACTAAGAACTGGTCCAGACCTGAACCAGATCTAACTATAAGCTTTATCAAAGAGCGATGTTTTAAGTCTACTCTTATAGGTAGAAAAGGTGTCTGACCCCTTGACCTGGACTGGTAGATGATTCCAAAGGAGTGAAGCCTGATCACTGAAAGCTCTACCGCCCAGACCACTTCTAGAGACTTTGGATATTGATGAGCAGGCCTGCATATTGGGACCTCAGTGTTCTGGAAGTGTAACAGGGAACTACAAGCTCTCTAAGAAATGATGAGGTCTGACCATGAAGAGCTTTATAGGTCAGAAGAAGGATTTGAAATTCTGCCCGAAATGTAATGAAGCCAGAGTAGTGAAGCTATTACAGGCTAGATGTGCTGTCTTCTCTTGGTTCTGGTCAGTACTCAGGCTGCAGCATTTTGGACCAGCTTTCAAGACTTGTTCAGAGGTCTGATTAAAGGAAACCACAGTAATCCAACCTTGACATGACAAATACGTGGACTAATTTTCCTGTGTGTTTCTGAGACAGTAAGCCAGGACTACAAGTTAGCTAGTAGTTTTGTTCGTAACAACTTTCTTTACCACCTTTATTTAATTCATGGTATTGGAATGCAGGGCCCAACAGTGGTGCTGGGGTTAGCACTGTTGTTGAGTGGTTGTCTATCTCCATATGTCAGCCCTGTGACGGACTGGTGAACTCTACAGGGTGTGTCCTGCCTCTTGCCCAATCACAGCTGAGATAGGCTAAAAATGTCTCAATACAGTCACAAGTAAAATATGGAAGGCCATGGTGGGCTTCTGGGCTGTTCGGCACCATTTGTGGCTGTCATTATCATTGCTGCAGCAGGAGGATAGGGCCTGTCTGTCATGGCTGCATACAGAGCCGTCAGCCATGTTTGGACCAGACACTACATTATAGGTTTAAGATAGGGTGACCAGATGTCCCCCATTACCAGGGACAGTCCTCATTTTGGATGACCTGTCCCCAGCTGAAGCTGTCCCCAGGAATGTCGCAGATTTTAGTGTTTCATGAGTTAGAAAAAAAAATTGCATGTGGACGAGAACAATGGTTGTTACTGTAGACATGAAACTGTCTGTCTGCCCAGGTGCATAGCTTGTAAGCCATCTTGCAAAGACGTGGGAACCCCAAGCCCCCTTGCCTGTAAGTAGGAAGCACGAGTGAGCATGTAGCATGCAGTCTTGAATAATGGTTCAGCTCCCCACTGTCTGAATCGATTACTGACCACCGTAAAGATAGGTGTCCCCCACTCCCCCTTCATGTCCCTGAATTTAATTTCAGAAATCTGGTCACCTTAGTCTAGGAGGCCTGTTGCTGTGCCCATGATGCGGCCCTAGCCACAGCAGCCTATAAGTTACCACAGCCAACCTGGGCTCAGGAAGATGAGGAGCAGTCACCGTAACACCTCAGTGATGGTCTCCAGGAAGCTTTCCTTAGCCCTTAAGTGGTGGAAGACCTCAGTTAATGTCTCGCAGGGGAGCAGTCTGGTCTGGTCCATCATCGCAAAGTGGTCTCAGCAGATGTGTCCCTGAAAGGGTGGGGTGCTGTCCACAATGACAAGGTTGTTGATGGGAGCAGGAGTGCCCCCTGGGAAGGCCTGCATATCAATGTTCTTGAGATGAGGGCTGTTTACATGGCTGTCTTGCACTTCTCGCCGAGGCTGCAGGGCCATCATTTGCTGGGGAGCACAGACAGCATTGCTGCAACAGCAAACATCAACAGGCAAGGGGGCTTGGGGTTCCTACGTCTTTGCAAGATGGCCTACAAGCTATGCACCTGGGCAGACTCACTGCCCAGGGGAGGTCCGAGTGCAGGAGAGTAGACGCTGCACCTGAAAGTGGTTAATCTGGCTTCAGTTCGGCAGAGCAGTAGCCAACCTCTGCATCCACGAAAATGCTTATTGTCCACTGTACTTCTCTTTGCATCATGGTGTAGGACTAACAAGGTGGATGAATTGTTTTCAGCAGACCCTGAGGTGCTCAGATATCTGCAGAGACTGTTGGAGGTGAGTAGAGAGTCCTCCACTCTTTGGATAGAAAAGATGTCTAAAAGGGAAAGGGTAAGAACATTAAAGGAGGAAGGATGTCTATAGGTAGAAGGATGCTGTACTTATGAGCCTCAGGAAGTGGATGAGTTTTTGGCTAAATGGCAATGCCTCTTCTTTATGAATGGATCAGCATTTCCGCTTACTAAAGTTAAAGGTTAACAATCAGTTCTGATTCTGGAAATCTTACCCAGACACTTGCTCTGTATTCTTAAATGGTACTGCCAGTATTTGGCAGTTAATAATATTGGTGGTGCAGTTGCTGAGCACAGACGATGACAACAGACATCTGCAGTAGAATAAAACACTACTTTGGTTAGTTTGATTAGAACTGGACCTGATGTTTTGTGGGTCAGGTGCACTGTACAAAGGAGGTTTATATGTTGCTGAAACAACTTGACTGATCATGGGATTAGCAGTGTAGTTTTTAACAACATTATTCCTGTCAAGTAACACAATAAACTACACCACAGATTTAGTGAACTCTGTCAGGATTTGATCATCATTCATCTGTGCTTCTCTCTGTGATTGGAGAACGCTGTCCTTGTCTAGTTTGCCTAATGCACCAGACTGCCGCTTTTACTGTCTGTAACAAATTCATTACAATAAGGCAGGTAAATGTTCTGCTTAGATGAAACATAAGCACATCAAATGCAGCAATCAAACCTTTTACCTTTTAAAAACACAAAGATGATAATAAACAAATGGCCTGCATTCATCATCCCACAATGCAACTGTGTCGGTCATTTAATGAGCTGCAAGCTAACCCCTGCTTTATTTCACAGGGACTAATTTAGGGGATGTTGAATTGAGAGAAATTGTTTTGTTTCAGTGGATCACAGTAAGTGGTCACTCATGGTCCATTACCAGAGAGTATTGTGGACAAAAAGGAGACATCTCTCCTTTTTGATGGTGCAGAGGAAGGCTTCTATAGTGAGGACAATACCACATCTGTTTGTGCACTTTTGTGGACTCGAGCTGTTGTGTTCCTGTGTCTGTTCCTTCAGATGTTTCCTGATAATCATCTCTGTCCAAAATAGAGAGGGCCATTCTGCTCCTCCTGTCATTAACCTCTGAGATTGATGCCCTGAGTGTCAATTTCCATGTTTTTCCACAAAGTACTTTGTTTCAGAGGAAAATGACTGTGACACATTATTACAAAAGGCTTCATTTCACAGAGCTCAGGGAGTAGACACAGTCCCATTCATACCCTCATGTTCTCATTATCCTCTCTACTCAAAGCGGACGAGTCACACAGAGCCACTGCATAGTTTACAAACCCAATAGGCATCCCTTGTTCAGGTAAAAAATTCCTATTTAAGCAACTCTATTCATCTGTCTTTATTGCATGTCACACCTATCTCCCTCCAAATATTGTAAAAGAGGTTTTGAGTTTGGTCTGTATTACAAGGATTTCCTTTTTCATTTTTCTGTTCATTGTTTGTCTCAATATTTTGTTAGTTTGTTTGTCGGTGTCTTTGAAAAGGAATAATAGGCTGAGGTGTTTCTGCCACAGAACACAGAGACATCATAGGGAACTTGTTAGAGTCTGAATGATTATTAGAGAACATCTGTGACCCTTTTGGCCTCATCAAAGTGAAGGACCCTAATCCTAGGCAGCCCCTCAATGAACTACATTGCGATAGGAGAATTAGGCTCCTCTTACCTTAAGCATGACAAAGAGGCTCTCTGCTCGGTATTTTAATGAGATCTTTTCATCACCATTAGAGAGAGCATTTTAGCCTGCAATTTCCAAGCTAATTCATGAGCTGAAAATTGCCATTTGTGAACCATTCCCCTGCTCGTAGCGCTTATATACACTCTTATTTGTGAACAGGGAGGTGAAAATACAATCATCATGTGTAAATTCAGACTCACCACTCCCCTCATCAGCTGAGATTTCAGGCCTTATTCTTTTTGTTGAACACACCATTATCTTAATCATTAGCTAATGCCTCTTATCCCTTTGACCTCTTGCTACAGTTCTGTGCATCCAGGTGTCTGTGAAACTTTATTTTGCTATGTCATTTTAAAAGCTGCTCACCAAAAGCTAAATCAGTGAAATGAATATGAACCGCCCTTAGGACCAGCTACGCCACGAGCTCATAAAAAACCATCACACGTCACTGACCAGAAAAAAAGAATCACAAAACTAACACCAACATATTTCATGAAGTGCAAAAAAATTACCTTGAAAAAAATATAGGAAATATTCACAAAGCAAAAACATTGGATCACAACAGGGCATATTTTTAGTGAATCAGTGCTTCTTTGATTTTGGAGGAACAAAATATACAGAAATATATTTTTGAGGCTTGTTACCTTGACTTCAGGTAATGAGTACATAAGTTAACGTATGTCTCTTGACAATAACTTCATACATTAATTCATATGCGACCAAATTAGTTGGATGGAACAGGTTTTCGAGGACAATACACTCCATCAGCTTCTCAGAGTAATAATACGACTAACGCAGGGTATATTTTTGAGTTTATTTCTAATTACCAATGAAAGGAGTGAGGTTTTATAACTCTTAACCATACAGTTTCAATTGCATTCACATTCTTTAGTCATTTCATTATAATTCCCTGATATCATATGATTTTCTCATTGTAAATCACTGTAAACTCTAAGTCATGGATGAAACACTCTCTCATCTGAGCACAGATGGATTTGGTGTGCGTACTGTTGGACCCACTGGTAAGACAAACACCCTTTTCCACAAAAAAGACACTCACATAAAGTTGCTCATATTCAAACCTCACGTGACAAAGGTGGGTTTAGCGCACAGATCACAACATAAACTCCAAAAATGGCATTAAAATCGGAACCATCTGTGCGTAAATGACGCATCGCGCTCCGTGGCCTGGCTCTTTCTTTCATAGATGTTGGCATATAAAATAAATTTGGCCCACAAAACTGAATATTATAATATCCGTGTGTCGGCTTAAAGTAGATAACGCATCTGAGCACTGAAACAAATCATCTGTTCAGCTGCAGCAGCAGCAAGACGGACAGAGGACACGGAGACGTGTCCAGGTCGAGCTGTGCGAGAAATAAGAGGAAGAAAGAAAAGGAGGGAGACACATTACATATCTTGTTAACTTCATCATGTGTGTTTATTTACTAGATATTTAATTTAATTTGATGCAGTTTCAGCTGTATTGATTCGGTCAGGTTGTGTGCCCAAACGCGTGCCAAACGCGTGCCAAACGCGCTCATCAGATCAGATATAGATCAGAATATATCGATAAAGATCTAAATGTATGTGCTGACTCAGATTAATAGTTGTTGATGATTATTTATTGCACTGAAATCTGCCTGACACCGTGGAAACCTGCTGGTGAGGCATCAGTGACGTATGTTGATACGCCGCCGGTCTACCAAAATACTACTGGACCAGCTGCGTTCCGCCTTGCGCTGAAAGCTGACCAGGTTTGAATCGGCGAGCTTTCAGCGCACGTTACACGCCGGTGGCGAGCACGAAAATGTCACTGCGCCAGCTGATTCTGTCAACACCTCCCCCTGCCACGCCACCACGCCCAGCTTGGCGGATCTCGGCTCGCCTCCATGCGACTCAGTCCACGAAAATACCAAACTCGCCTTACGCCGGGCTCCGCCAGACGAAAATACAACTGCGCGGGGCTCGCCGCCCTCCGCCGCCTCACCGGCGCGAACGAAAATAGAGCCCAAGGTCTTAATTTTGAATCCTTGATTCAGCCGTGTGGTACTCACAGCATACCTACAACATGACTACTGTTTCTCAATGATTATGTAATATCCACTAAATGAAAATATGTTCTGAACTATGCTTTTAAAACTGAAACCCCTAAACTTATCCCTTTTCGAAAGACGGACGGAAACTTTACAACAAACCCCTAGACAGTTTCCATGTATTTGTGAAGGTTTAAAATTACTTCAAAATAGGGAGTCAAACTAGTGCAGTAAGAAAGCCCCCTGATCACAGTCAGATAATAGTTATCTTGTTTTACCTGCCCACTGTTAGGGGCAGAAAAATAAATCTATCACTACACAGTGCTGTATACTGTCAAGACCAGGAACAAAACGACTGGTCACATACATTCATACATATTATAATTTTAATCCTTTTGTCTAGAACTTCAATGAAAACAAAGCAACTATGATACTCAGTAATGTACATGATGTTTCCGCTGAGTCTCTGTATTTGGTTTTTGTAAATACCCTCTCAATGGAGTGAGGGTCAACAGAGCTCATCCTGTGATTCACAAAGAAATGGATGTACCCAGCATATGCAGGTACACCCATGTACGCCTGTCACTCATCACTTAAAAATATTGACCCACCACTAACATGTCTCCTGATGATTCCATGTCCCCCTGGTGTATCAGTCTGTGCCATACAGTAAAAAGACAATTCTCAAAGATGGAAACATGTCAGAGTTAAAAACAGGCAAACCATCATCATTTCATGATCATAATGAACATTACATACCACTTTTTAATGACCTGTACATTTTGGTGTCTGGAATAACCTTAAAGCTAACCGAGTCAAAGTATGAGGACCAGGGGAGTCTTCTCAACATTAGTTTTCTGTTCAAACAGGTATCAAATGGTAAACAGATGATTTGTAGCATGAAGACAAACAAAAATAATACTAATCAACAAAGAAATCTATTGGAATGACTGAAATTGATGTGTGAAGTCTTCAATTTAACAAAGGAACAGAAATAACTTCAACACATACTTAGTAGGTACTCACTGAAGAAATCTGGGCCAGCATGGCATCAGGTCAACATGCTGCAGCAGACTGAAGGGAAAAGACTGAGCGTGGCTGCTGCAGGCCTCCTCTTGATTTAGGTGTGGCCTGATAGGTTGAAGAAAGAGGCTGTGAAAGGGAGGAAAGGTTGGAATGGCAACATCACCCTTTAATGAAAATAACCAGTTTGTAGACCCCATCATATTGTCAGACTTTATGACATTGTCAACTGTGACAGTATAGTGAAAGGATATTTTTAAGCTTGAAAATCGCAAATACAGTACGTACGGTTTTCAAAGTCTGGGCAATAATAAAACAGTCATTAAACGCTGTTCTGCTTATTTTGACAACCCTATCCTGTACTTCGCCTTTTTGCTGCAACCTCAACCCCTGTGGAAATGTGTAACAGAGGGGTACACAAAGAACATGTGGAATAATGAGTTAAATATACTGACTGAAGAAGCTCCACACTCCAAGACTGTTGGCAGTCTTTCTTTTCACACCACTATGGAGACAGATTATTACCCTTTCACAACATTAAGCTAACTTTAGAGATATTAACGAGAAATACAGATTTATGACTAGCAGGGCCATCCTGTGGCATGGGCAGTATAGGCATATAGTGGGGGCACTGGCTGTCCATGGGGGAGGCTCCAAATGAGTGAGGAAGAAAAATGGAAGAAAAACAAGCAGGAAAAGAGGGAAGGATGTTGATTGATTTCTGAATATTATTTTATCTAATATAATCTTTTTGGAAACTTTTACTTACTAATAAAAAAGAAGCCAAGAAAGCATCAACTCCTCTGAAAGGCCCTGACCTCTTGCTCCCTGCACACCCCGACCCCGAGCTCGGCTGCAGCTCTGTTCGTTACCTGCTCACTGAGGAAGAGAAGGGCAGGCGAGACACAGACCTAATGGATCAGCAGCTTTATAACCAGCCATTATGTTTAAAAACCCCAAAGCCCTCAGGAGCCCAGGAACAAAAAAGAGAGGAGTAGGGGAGGAAAATCTTGACAGACAGGGGCTTGCTGTGCTGGAGAAGTCCATCTGTGGTCCGCTGCAGGTCTGTCTGCTTGTTGTAGATAGAGAGTATTTCAGTTCACGTTCCTCTTCATAGGCTACATTTGATTCAGTATGTTGTTAAATTCTTGTGTACTTTCTTAAACTCCCCTGTCGACTCAGTGTTTATTATCCATCATCTGTTTTAAATGATAGCTTTAAGCACTTGATTGTTTGAATATTTCTGTATTTAGCATTGTCAGTCCTTTCTGATCAGATTGATGTGGGTGCAGATCATGAGCTGAGAAATGATGATACAGTTTCTGAACTGCTCTGAGGAAAAAAAACAAAAAAAAAAAAACAGTGTTGTTTCTGAAATGGATCTTTTGAAGGTGGTGAGTGTCCGAACACTTATTTTTGATTCTGTGGTGCTTGTTTTTACAGCTACACATACACCTGTTGGTTTGCAGTGAAGTTAGCATCACATTTATGACACAAATTATGTATGAGGAGTGAATAAATGTTTAAGTAATGATGAACTTCATCATTATGAAATTTTATACTGCTGTAAATAAAACAAGAATACAAACCAGAAACAATAAAACCGAAATTTTCAACACCCCTCCTGTTCTCAGTGATTAAGAAATAATGCTGTTTAGTTTAAAAAGGATTAAATTTGCCATGTATAGTGAACTAACAATCCTGAATTAATGAAACCTGTTCTCATTGGCTGTAGTCATGGTAACCTGATCATTAGTTCACGGGGAGCTTCAGGAATTAATGATGCAGCCAACACAAGTTCAGACAGAAATCCATCATGAGTTAATCATTATGCTAAAATTATGAAAGCATTAATTCCCTGAAATTCGAAGCCTGAGTGTGAAGGGTGTTTTGTGAACTGATTTTGACCATGAAATGAAATTATATATATATATATATATATATATATATATATATATATATATATATATATATGTATGTTTATATTTAAAATTTCATTTCATGGATCATTCCTGTTCTGTAACATTTGAATGATTGACTTTTATAAAAGGAATTTTTTTTTAATGATTTTTTTCAAGTCATATTTTTCCATTTCCCATTATTTTTCCATTCCACTAATTATAATTATTATTTTATTTATTTTATCTAATTGTGTGAAATTGTGTTTGATGTAATCATGTTTGTTCTTTTCTAAAATGTTTTTTTGCATTTTGTGAATTTGTGTTTAGTGAAATGTATTTTCAGGTCATATTTTTATTGTTCCTGTTTTTTTTAATATCTTTGTATATCTTTGTGCCTTTTATTTCAGATGTGGTGAAATGTCTTTTTTTTAATCTCTCAAGACACAATTTCTGTATTGTGAAAAATTGTTATTTTGATTTTGTATGATGTTCTGCATTCACTTACTGTAATTTTTTATGTTTTGTACGATCTTGCTTTGTGTTTTTATGTGATGGATTAAAAATGTTTTAGCTTTGAGTGTTAGCTCTAGGATTTGTTTAAATTATCTGTACAGTTGACCCTCTGTAGAAAAACCCTGTAAATGTAGGTGGATGTAGTTTTAATCTCCAGTACAGCTGTGAATTACTCAGTCAAATAATAACCTCAGGCCTGTTTTCACAGACATGTTGTGTTTTTTATTCTTGCAGCCAGCTACTGTCTGATGATGGAGATTCTGACCTGTGCTGTGATCTGAACTGGAGGAGTGACCTGAAGTCAGCCGACAACTTCGAGGGGAGCAGACAGCTGACTGCTGTGGAACATAACCCCATCCTAAAAATATGTGCCTCCATGTCCAGCATGTGCTCACAGGCAGAAGTTGTTCTGAAAGGAGGATACAGACTCATTTCTGACACACTTCCAAGTGTTGAGATGACTTCTCCTATGACTCCTCTTGTGGAATCTGACCAGCCATACCATCTACACCCACTAGACTCTGAGACTGGCTCAGTAATTTATCCTAACAGTAAAGACTACACTATACAGCCCAGATCAGAGGAGGCAGGCCTTTCAAGTCCATTAAGCAGCTTCACTGAGGATGAAGAGGATAAACATGCTATGCATGTCCAACAATGTAAGATCTACAACCAGCAAGAACTCAGTGACACTGAAGCTAAGACCAACACAACACAACAAACAAGTCCAAAGGTTTTGTCACAAAGAGAGCTGGAAGGACTAACAAAGGACTTCATAAAACTTAACCAGGTAACAGGCAGGAGAAATAAAGCTGGACCCAACTCCTACATGATGGTGCATGCTTTGAAAAAAGAGGCGCTGAAGAAGGAAAAGGTGACCGAGGTGGGTATAATGGTGTGAAAGAAACTTTCTCAATTATTAGCAAATAGTCATGGACTAAAACCTACAAGGACAATGTGAATCCCTTTTGTCTGGTGAGCTGTCCCCTGGTCAGGTGCTCTTACAGAAAGAGCCACTAGGTGCTGCTCTAACATTGATAATGTCTCATGAGCAGGGTGAGGTGGAGGATAGTCTAAGAAAAACACTGTGCAAATTTAGGCTATCATCATTTTTGGAGTAAGAAATTAATAAATATGAATGTGAGTGGACAGAGAAGTTCAAGTATTGAATCTAAAGGATATCTTAGCTACAGAACTAAACAGGTTCTGTTTCTGTTTAATGTGAGGTTAAACCTTGAAAGCTGCTGCCATGTTGGTATTCTTGTGTACTCTAAGCTGGCTTTTGTTGTACTGACCGACAACAGTTTGAGTGATCATATTAAGCAGTGATACTCAGTTGAAATGACTGAGGTCACTCAGGTCTGTATGTGAGCAGACTTATTCTAATGTAGCAGAAGTTTTAACCATGAGGCTGAATGAAGTCAAAGTATTATTCACCTCTGTGCTCGTCCTGTCTGCTCCATAACTTTAGCATTATCTCAGTAATAGTTTTAGTGTGAGTATCATAACACTGATGCCTTGTATTTTTATCTCACACGACATCTCAGCCACCCCCCCACCCCACCCCAATCTTGTTATTTGCCTGAGCCTAGTCTGTAAATTAATTTGGTAGAGGAGCATGACTGTTTTCATCCCTGCAGCCTATGAAAGAGGCTGGCTATGCCGTGCTTGTTTGAGTTTATGTATACAAGAAGAAGATCAGAGATGCATGGTTACCAATGAGCTCTCAAACATCCCTGCACCTGGCATAGTGGCATAATTGGTAAGGATGGCTTACATTCCCCATTTGTTTGGCCACAGGACTGTTTGCTAGCTATAATACCCCCAACCTTATTCACCCATCTGAGCCCCAGCCCTACACAATGCCTCATATCATCACCATTTACATAGTCAAGAGTCGTTAGCTTTGTGCAATTGTAAACAGAGCCAGAGCCTTTCCCTCCCCTGAACCCTTGTGTTTTGTCGTTTGTCCTCTGAATTTGCCTATTAGTTTTCCATTGGCCTGTCTCCCCAAAGACATCATCTCTCACTTAAAGGGGGGACACAGGGCTTAAGGACAAGAGGGCTCTCATTTGCATGCAGCCTTTTTTTTTTGGGGGGGGGGGGGGGGATAAATCCATCTCCGATGTGCAGTACCAATTAAGAATTATCAGAACTAGCATGAAGCAAAGAGGTATATGAGGGAAAAACTTTCAGCTCTTTGGATCAGTGTGTTTACAGAGACGTTCATTCCTGAAATGGGATCATCAGAAAAGATTTGCGTGATCTTTGTTGTATGAATTCCTTCTTGATTCACAGACGTCAGGATGGACAGACTGGCTCTCTTGAACATCATACAATACTGTCCAAGCCTTTGTCTGGTGTAGTATTGGCCAGTATTGTAAAAGATCTGTGAGGAAGCTTTGGTCTGTGTTGACATTGGCTCCTCCTATCTACTCTGATTTTGCCCTTAATATGAATTCCTTTGTTGTAACAACCTACACACATTATCCTGCATGTTACATGCTGAATATAATGTTATGGTTTACATTTGATCATACATCTTCTGTTACGTCTTCTCTCAGAATAAACTCACTCAGCTGATATTATTGTGATGTGGTTACAGAGTCAGTGATCAGAGCTGTCAGCTTGTCATCTTCAGTCTGCTTCTTCAGTCTTAAACAACAGACTCAAAGTTGTCTGCTCTTAAAGATAAATTAATATTATAAGTGGCCCATGAGTGATTTACCTAAACAGATGCCAGGAGCAAATAGAATTGATGTAGAGGCTCTGATTGTACCTGTTAGAGCTTTGTTCTTCTGTTTTGACTGGTCAGAATCAAGTTTTGAACACCAGGATGCACTCTTTTGGTGTGTAAATAACTTAAGAAAATTCAGGATTCTGGGACTGTTGGATGTCCCAGATTAAAGCTGAAAAATAGACTGTTTTAGGGTTAATCTGTCTGATAAGAATGTATGATGAAAGGGCTACTCTTTGAAGGGCTCATGCCATTATTCCAGGTGACAGATAGAGGATCTTTAAAAATCACTTAAGATAATGAGAGAGATCCTTTTGCCCGTAATACTACTTTACAATTCACGGGTTTCCATCTGCCTCCATCTGTTCATTTGATTGTGCTGATCTTGTAAAACAAAGATACAGACATTTATAATGCCAGAGTCAGAGAGCACCTCATGATTTCATGGTGCAGTATCTCCAAATATTAATGACAGCTGGAGAGTCCAAAATTAGGTTCTTGGTTGGACATACCGCAATCCCCTCCTATGTGACTCAGTAAAAATGGCAAGAGTAAAAGTTGATTTTTTAACCAGATTCAGAGATATTCTTTTGACTCTACCATTGTAGTTGTTTTTTCAATCATGTGCTTTTGTTCTCTTGTTTTGGGAAAGGGCTGTTTATTATTATTACACTTGGCATGAAATACTAGAAATAGAAAGAATAAGATACAAAAACTTCATAATCTTCCACCTCCTAACCAGGGTTAGATTTTTGGAAATACTGTCACAAAAGACATTAAAAGAGTCATTTGTGATTGGGTGAGCTCACATGATTGTTCCACCTCCACTTACTGTTGCCTGCAGCTACACGCTACATTAAAATCCGTTTTTACAAATCCATGAGAGCCCAGACAAACCCGTTGTTGCTCTGCCATTCCCCACTTGCTCTTTTGAAGAGATGGGCCATCTGAAAGCAACTTGTGATAATTAGACATGTTATTAAACGTACACAATTTCCTGATGCAGCAAATGTTTAGCCCAGCCAAGTGGCAGAGTGGCAGCAGCAATGATTGGCTTGGGCCTCCTTTGATAAAGACAGAAGTAGCAGATCAATCTTCTGCTATTGCACTCACCCCTTAGGGACCCCTTTCTTCTCTGAGGCTCTCACTTCAAAGCCAGGGGAACATAATGTACAATCTTTTAATAGCTTTGGTCCAAAGCTCTGGGGAGCTCTCTGCCACTGTATACCCTGCCTCAGTCTAAACACCTAATCAAGATTACCTGGGCAGGCCACAATAGCAGCTAAATGCAATTCAAGATCCACAGCCCCTTTGAAGTCTTCATTGGGAAAAGCAGATGTTTCCCGGGTTCAGGGGGTATTATAGCAAGCTGCATTTGCCAGACTTTGTTGTGGCATCAGCTTGCTGAGAAGCAATTACGGGCCTCCCAATTTAGTAGAAAAAGATAACACAGAGCTTACCGTGCTTAAATGCAATGCAGGCTAGACCATTTGCGCCATCTGATTGGGATGTTGATAATAGGTGACAAAAGGCAATAGCAGGGGTAATGGGTAAAGGTGAGCTCAAAGTGTGTGTGTGTGTGTGTGTGTGTTTGTGTGTGTGCTGGACCTACAGTTGGCGACACCTGTGCCTAATCCTCGAACAAGTGCTCTGGCTGCATTGATCCACTTCAACTCCAGCTCCATGTTCAAAAGGCTCCAAAACATTCCTTTGGGTGGTCCGGCTGAACCTTAAAAGTGATGCTGGAGACACACGACCACATCTCACCACATACATTAAGATCAAGTACGACTGGTTTGTCCAAAAGCCACCGGAATTTTTTTTTTCTCTGCATGATAGATCTCAGCCCATTAGATGCAATCAAAAAACATGTATTGATCGATGGATTCACCCATTTCTTCTGACCTTCACCCATTCAGGCACAAGGAATTAGCAGCATTCAGTGAAAATGTCCCCAGCCTATCAATATCATTGATCCACTCAGATAGTCTTTGTCCCTGAGGGGAGTCCTGAAGTTAACAAAATGATTTTTGTTATGGCATTAGTGGAACAAATTGCAGAGTAACTGAGAGTACATTAAGAAACACTGGAATTGTAATATGAAAGGGATGATAGGGTGCAGTATTGATAATCCTGAGCAGTTGTGTAGTTTTTACTACGAGTGTATGTATGAAGGATAAACGTGTTCAAACCATTAACTCAATGAAATTATTCAAGCAGATTCAGAAGAGGTCTAAAGGGTTAGTGTTACCCATCAGGAGGTCAAGAAGACAGTTCAAATAATGAGCTTAAACAGATACAGACAACCCAGCAGCTAAGGGTAAGACTCCCTGGCTTATTAACGCAGTCTACAGGTCAGTTTGTCTGAAAAAGGTCAAATCTGTGTTTGAGAACAAATGACTGTAAAAGAAACACCTGATTCACAAAATTCATGTCAGGTTTTTTTTTATATATATACATAAGCTTGGCAATAAAGTGTATTAACCCAACACACATTTTCTGCCCAATATTCATGAATTTACTTTTAATTTGTTCATGAGGATACACTAAAATGCCCCCTCTGACGGCAAAGGGAACAGGAAGAAGAAACTCTGATGTACTTACTCTTTGTCTGAGTCACTGAGTTTTGTAGGTCCCCGGTGCAAAATCAATGAGTACAGGAGTTTTTACACAGACATAGTTCACATCCAGTTGAAATGTAACATTTGTCAAGGGGGAAAAAAGAGACAGAGAGAAAACTTGGTTGAGTCAGTCTGGAACGTGCTGCTCTGTTTCACGCTGTGACAGCATTTTCATTTGTTTTCTCTTGTAACTCTGCACAATAACTGAGATAAAATCAAATTAAGCTGGATGACTGCAGCTTTCATGAGTTTTGGTCCAGTTCATGTTTAACCTTATGTAACATAGCCATGATTTTTACTGTTTAGATTGGATGTATCTTTATGCGGTTTCTAAGAGAACGTATGGTCGACTGTCACTTCAACAAATTAGATTTCTTCCACTATTTTGAAGTTTGTCCTATTAACTAATAATCTGGTCGGCATATTCTGACTTTTATTACCTAAAATTATATATTTTGTTGTACTTATATTTTGGGCAAGTTTCTTAATGTTGAACCATCATTTTACTTCATTCATTTCCTCGAAAACTTTTCTGATCAGTGTGTTTACGTTTAAGTTATACCCAGAGCAGTAAACAGTTATATCATCTGCAAAAATAATAATTATAATGATGATAATAATAAGAATTAAGAATCTTTGATGGTCATTTAAAAAAGTATGAAGAGTTTGGGTCTAAATATAGATCCTTGTGCCACCTGATATTTTAAAGTTGTAGTAGATTTGTAGTAGGCTAGCTGTTCATTCTGTATTTTGCTGCTGAGATAACTTTTTAGCCAGTGGTAGGATATTCCTCTATGCCATTTCCATTTTGGAAAGTCAGCTGTCATAGAAAAGCACAGTGATGTTGTTTCCTTTCCTTGTTGTTGTTGTCATATTTGCGGCTTGGCTACAGTGTGACAATAAGAACTAAAAGGCAAAAAAACTAAGATCTCACATATTTCCAACTTTAATCTAAATGCAATTAATATTTTTATGCCAACAGCCTTAGATATTATAGCTACAAAAGATAACCCAAAGATCTAATCAAGGCCACTGTAAGAATATACTCTACTTTTGAAGGCAACCAACAATGGCAATTTAAAAAGACTTTTAAATTGGTCTGGTTTAGAGAGATGGACCAGCTGTTCCTGGTTGAACTGCATGCTTTTGTTAAAAAAGTGCATGTCCTACCATATTCTTTTTTCCTAACAGTGTTTATTTTTCCTGTCAAGCACTATTAGATTACTTGACTCATCTTTAAAACAATCAGTTACGGAAAATTAATAAGCTTCGCTCTTTGTAAGACAGGAACCATGTAGCAGCAGTTTTATCCTATGTCCTCTTTATCCTCGTTGCCAGTTTTATCCTTCAAACCTCTGCACTTAAAACAGGTTCTTCAAAAAATTCTGTCTATATCAGAACCTTTTTACTACATCAGAGTAAATATATGAATCTCAAACTGCTGGTCTCCGCTTATCCTAGATAACCCAGACCTGCAAAGGGAAGAGAGTTCAGCAGAAGGAAAGATCCAGCCCTCCTCGGCAGCAGCAGCCTCCTTCCTTGGGGATCAGAGCAGAACAGAGAAACAGTCTTAACAATGCTTTAGCAAGACCAACCGATTTCCTGCAACCAAACAACAACCAGGACACTCATCTCCCTCCATTCCAGCAGAAGGGTCAGGCCATCAACCCAGCATCTGGGTGTCCTCATTGGATTTCTGCATCTGAGGCTGAACTTAGACTCTCCCCTCCATGTCTTCTAAAGAATCAGACAGAGGTCACACAGTCGTCCCAGAAAGGTGCAGACCTGCAGCTTCAAACCCTAAACCTGGATGGTACTCCCAAAACATTTCAAAGGTACATAAATTTACTGCTCTTAATGATCAAAGATGGGTGTTATATTTTGATCATCTGATTAGGAAAACTTGACCTCTGCAGCACTCCTTGACATTCACTAAGTAACAAAATACAGAGACACCAGTGTCACTGTGTCAGCGGCAAAGTCATAGCCGTGGCTCAGTGCTGCTGGTCTTTCCATCAGTGTGGTTGGTGGTTCAAATCCAGCTCCAGACACTGAATCTGAATCACTCCTGGTGACAAAGTCAGGAATGTGGGATCGTATAAATGAATGATTTCCAGCATCTTCTGCTATCAGCAGTAGAGTGGGTCGCCTCCCATTCAGAAAGTTGGGGGTCCAATCTGACTCTTGACAATACTTATGATTGAATATTGAGATCAACTATGAGGATGCACTGAATTAAAGCCTTCACTCTTTGGATACTGTTTATGTGTCAACAGTCTTGGACTCAGCACTCATCTGTAGCACTGATCTGATCCTTAGTTCCAAGGTAACACTTTCAAAAAAGTATTTATGCCGTGGAGTAATAAGTGAATGACTGTTTTTATGGAGCTATTTTGCAGTATGTGTCTGCAAGAAGTAATTCAACATTTGATCTGACAAGTATGCATATTATAGTGAAATTCTAGGGCTGCCAAATTTGAGATTCACCTGAATAATAAAACTTCTTTGCATTCCAGAAGACTCCGTGTTCGGGCCGTAACCAACAGCACCGAGGACATGTGAAAATGAGGTCAAAATATGTATCTGTTATTGCTGGAAAATTATTCTGTATTTCAGAACAACAGCATGGAAATGGTTTCTATCTTGTGAGAGGGTCAGCGAGAGGAAGAGTCCAAATGAGGTTCACTTTCATGAAACTCCACACCACCTCAGGACACCCAGCACCACATCACTGCCAGGCTCAAGCCCCTACACAGTCCTGCCCCCTATTAGAAAGCCACTGATAGAAAGAGAGGCTGAGATGGTCCCTGATCAGAGTGTGAACACGACTGACATCCTCCAGAGAAGCAGCTCTGACAGCTACCTGGTTCAGATGGAGAGACAGAAGGTGAGTGGCACAAGGTTGGTCTGTCTGTGGACCTAAAAGAGGACTGCTGCATGTTCATACAAGTACAATCAAGAGTTTTCAAGAGTTAAAAAAATTCAAATATACAGAGCATCCCAAGTAAAAATGATAAGGAGGATCAACCTTTAGCTGGTTTACATGGCTTACATCACTGTTAACAAACATGCTATAGCAGTCCCTTCCAAACATTCTCAGTCAAGATTTATCAACTGCAAACCACTTACATGATGTATTGTACTTGTTGTGTTCCTGTGGCAAACCAAATGTCCCTTTGGCTATTTTGTAATTGCTAGGCGTTATATAGAACAATACATGGGTCACCCTTTGTCAGAAAAATTAAACTGCATCTGACTTGCAACCAGCTGAGAAGAATGACAGAGATAGTGTACTTTTTTTTTTATATCTTTTACTTGCAAGGAGTCAGCAGTTTACAACAAAGGCAGCTTCCTCTGACTGAGGAATTCAGATTTTTACACATCCTTTATGCAGTCAAGAAACAGAAACCCCCGCCCACTAACATCACCTCACAAGTGGCATGACATTACAACAGTATCCAAATAGGGCACAGGTTGCAGCTGTGGTCTGTACTGGGAGAACAAAGACAGCTTAGTTCATCATCAAGTTCCTCAGTTCAATGTCACACTGTTGGGAAAACAACCTGTGAGTGAAATTGTAGCATTCATCTAGCTGCATGGCTTCAGCGGAAAAGTATCAGTCTCAACTCCAAGGCCATACTTCTCCCTGAGCTGAAGAGTCTTGAGGTTGTTAAATCTACAGGACATGACTGTATGCTATAGACAATGTTGACCAAAGCTCAGAACCGACATACTAGATAAGGGTTTGGCTGACCCTCATCTTAATCCCAATCCTAATCCTCACCCTTACCCTCTAACTCTAACCCACTAATTCTAACACAAGGGTTGGTGGCTTTTCATTCTGTAATGTGTAATGTGTTTCATTCTGTGACGAGTCAATCACAGAGTGCAGCGGATCGTTTCCTTAATTTTTGTACTGCAGATACGGTAGTTCTTCTGCCTTAGCGTCTCGGTCTGGTATATCACTTTGATACTTAGTGTGTTATTCTCATGCAAAATAACCAAAAGATATATGAGTAGAAAAGACATGCAATAAGGATGTGTGCCAGTGAGACAGTTAGGTGATAATTGTGTTTCACAGCTGTTGTTCAGTTAAAGTTTGTTTGATATTCACAAACGTAGCTCAACTCATGAGAACTCATTGTGCAGCTTCACACAATTTAAGTGACTCACAAAGTCTTCAACTTAGTGGCTCCTTCTTTAATACTCTTACACACCGCAGGATTCACAATAAAATGTTCATTTGAAATCCCATATAATCTCCTCAGATGCCTTCATGCTGAGACTGCTTAATCCAGCTGGAGTGATCAGGTGATCAGGGGCTCAAAATTCAGGTTTAATTGTCAGGTTCCTCCAAGATTTACCTCATCGTACTAGGATCATCGTCTTATAAAGCACAGAGCTGAAGGCCCTGAAAAGCCATTTGAAGATGTGTTAGAGGTGATTAGAGGCATGAGAGTCAGGGCCACTAGGCCTCTAAAGATGCTCATTTGCATGTAATGTTTTTTCTGTTGTCTGTGTTCTCTCATTGCTGTGGGATGTGGGCCCTGAGTACAGAGTAGCTTCATTATCCTTTTCATTTAATCCAGTTTCATAGAAAATCTGACATATTAGGGTTTTGGATTTCAGAAACACATGAGTAACCAGAACATTTCTGTATCTGTGTTCTAAGTACACAGAGACACCAGCACTGCCTATTGTCACACTGATATTGATCACTTTTACTTATTTTCCCTTTTTTTGTTCCCTTGATATTAGTGCAATAATGAAAGACCTCATGCTGTTTATTGGTATGTCAGTAAAAATCTTCTTATCTTTTCTTATCTTATCTTATCTTATCTTATCTTATCTTATCTTATCTTATCTTATCTACAAAGTAAATACATTTATGAGCAACGGTTGAAGGAACTGTATTCTTGCCATTCCAGTAAACAATCAAGTTGAGCTGATCCAACGGAGACTGGATTGTATCGTGCTTAGAGTAATATTCATACTGAGGCCTAAACTGGGGCCTCTTGGGGTGCCCTCAACCCCCTACCCCCTCACCATCTTTCCCATGTTAGCCATCATGTCTGACAAGATTACAGGCTCACCGTATAAAGCAGTGTAGCCACACTGCCTGGACATGAGAGTAGATAAGCGTGACTGAAGGGTTACCAGGGGTTCTTAAAAAGAAAGGTACGCTTTTGTGTTTGATGGCTTAAGCAAAGTGAAATCTCCCTTTTAGAAAGCAGCCATCTGAAATGATGAACTCTCTTTGGTCTAGAACAGCTTGTGGATTTCATGGGCCCATGATCTTTGAGTTTCTCTCATTTTCACTTTAAAATCAATTCAAACTATTGAGCTTTACTGCCTGATCCATGCTAATGTTGCCAATGTTTTAACATATTTAAAGATGTGATCTTATTAACAACACGTTAAGATCCCCTGAGCAATGCCCATACAGGTCGTAGTGGTCCAACTCTTCGATTAAAGGGTTGAAGTTCTTAGTCCAGCTGTGGTTTAACAGTCTGATATCTAATATCAGCCAAATATCAGTCTAATATCTGATATCTATCGATCATCAGTCTAATATCTAATACCTATCTTATTTTAGTCCAATATCTAACATACATCTGATATCAGTCTAATATCTAATACCTATCTTATATAAGTCTATAATTAAATATTAGTCTAATAATCCTAACATATCTAATATCAGTCTTATATCAGTCTCATATTTAATATCAGTCCAATATCTATCCATTATCAGTCTTAATCAGTAATTCAGTAATAGCATTTGTCTTATATCTAGTATTATTCTAATATCTCTCTAATATCTTCTATCTGTCTCATATCTGTCTTAATCTGTAATCTGTCTATAAGAGTCTAATGTTTTATATCAGTCTAATAGTCTGTTAATATCAGTCTCATATCTGTTTAATATTACTTAAATATCACTGTAATATCTAATATATATCTAATATCAGTCTCATATCGATGTGATAGTGTTCTAAAATTGCTCCTCCCTGCCTTTGCTCAGCTGTCTCCACTTATGTTCCTTTTGTTCTGCCTTACCTGCTCATCATATAGAAACCTTAAAAATCATTTGGTCTCAGTCAGTTCAGAGACTTAGCACTGTGGGTTAGCTTGGTGGGTTTGTAGCTTCTCTGAGGACCGAGGAGACAGAATTTTAGAGACTTGTGACACATTATTAATCTGGTGTGTTAAAGCATGAGGGACAGTTGGGATGTCTCCTTTATACCAACTCAGTATTTATATTTAGATAAACCACTAGTCTTTAGTTGTCAACAAAGAAAGATTATGCGAGTACGGTTGATTTAACATATTGTGTGAAGTTGAAACCATTAATAAGAAATAATCAGTGTCAACAGTGAGCAGTGTTTGATGCTCTTTTCTGTCAAATGGATAATTAGCTGCTGTGTTAGCATGCTGGTGTACCTGAGCAAGCTGTTTAACCCTTTCACGTATAACGATCACTACAGTGGACAAATCTTCAAAGGTCATTTTCTATTATAAAAATAGAGGTTTGATGTTACAAATGCATGTTAGCCACTACAGTAGACCCTGGAAAATGAGTCCAACACTGGTGCCATCTGGCCATGTGTTGCAACTGCAGAAAAAACACGTCAACATTCAAGATGGCTGCCTCTGCTGAGAACAGACCCTCCACCTCTGGGATTTCCACTGCTTCCTTTTATAAAAGCAGAGCCCTGCAGGTAAAAAAAATATTTTGGGATAAAGTAACATCTAATAATTACTATAGTTGCAAAAAATTCCATGCATTGCTTTTATGTTCTGAGGAAATTGGAATTTTCCATTTGTCCACTACGGTGGACAGCATGCATGACTTATACTATTTCTACTACAATACATGCAAATGGTGTAACTCCTTATCTCTGCAAAATGCTTGATTTCAAGCTTACCTTTTCAGTTAAAACCAACCATTTTATGTTATTAAAAGGTAACCTGTATTGTATGTATCAAAAAATTAATGTTGTGCATGTATTTTATATTTTGTGCATGCATAGTATATATTGTATTTTGTGCAGCCTTTGTGCAAGTTTTGCAATGTTTGTAAAACATTTTTTGCAAAAATATATTTTGTGCACGCATTGTAACACACACACACACACATACACACACACACACACACACACACACACACACACACACACACATACACACACACACACACACACACACACTACAAACAGTGCATGCACAAAATATTATAAAAACAATGGAAAAAATATATATACATATATAAGATAAATAGAAAGAAAGATTGATTGGTTGTGCAATATTTTTCACATTATGTTATTTATTATATGCAGGGTTCACACACAGAGAGGGACCAGAGGAAGTACAGAAATGTAGAGGAACTGCCATCGTCCAGCGATGCAATATCACTGTGTGCCTTCTTTTCAAATGTGAACTAATGTAGTACAGGGCATCGACAACTGAATGTGTTTGGATAGTCACTAAGTCACTATTTCTTTTGTTTATTATTGTAATTATTATTTTCATGAATGATCCAATCTATGGCATTTGTTTTTGCTTTGAGTGTGCTGGCTGAAGTTGTAGCACCTGGCCTGAAGCCTAATTAGGCTCATGGTTTCAGTTCGTTTGACACAGATGACAGTTGTTGTTGCTGTTGTTTGACACAAGCCATGTTTTGTAATGTGCATTTAAACAGAATTTAAATGTTTTAAAATGTGAATCTAATTGTTTTGACTCCTTTTTGGGGTGGGGTTCTATTATTTGTATTAATACAATTCATTTTCTGTAATGTCGACCAAATGCATGTTGTCCGCTGTAGTGGACATGTCACTAAAAACTTAGCAGAAACAGGTAAAAAAAAAATTCCAACTGCAATATTATTTATATGCCTTATATTGAATAAAAACACATAGTAAGAATTTTTTAACTCAATATATCATAATTCATGCATGAAAGGGTTAAATCCTTTTTGAGTGTTGGTGATCAGAGGGAAGCTTGTCTTTGTTGTCCTGGTTCAGTTGGCTGTTCGTAGTGTAGCTCTGTCTCCACCTCCTGATGGGTTCAGCTGAGTGCAGTCAGTCCCCTTGAAGCCAGGTCTAATTGTGGTGTCCCTCTTGACGGTGAGTTCTGTTAAAAGTTAAAGATTACCTCAGTTTTAGATCAGTTGCAGTCTCTGTGTGATCTTGATCTAAGCTCTTCTTACTTTTCTTAGGTCACGCTCAGCCTTGTTAAAGTTGCCTATGGTGCTGATGTTTGGGCTGAGGACAGTGTAGTTTTTTGTGTGAAGTTAATGTCAACTGTATTGTTCCATATCAAAGTTTATTAGTGATAAAATAAGTGTTTCATACCATACCTGAAAAAAAAATAGGGCAGCACCTCCTCTTTAGAAGGAATTAAACAACGGGATTTACATGAACTAAATCAATATAACCAACAAAGTCATTGAATCCTGCAGGGTTTGTTCAACTCTTGGAAAACTACACAAACAAAATTATTTTCTTTTTTTTCTCTAATATTTAACACAAATAGATAATAAAAGAACAGGTGAATAAATTAACTGAGATAATCACTGCAGTAACTGTGATAAAGGGTTAATACCTGAAGTAACGAAATCAACAGCTGACGTTAAATGACTGCAGCAAAAAAGTGATAATGAGATTCTTTGAGATTGTAAAAGAGCAGTTCTGTGCTGTACAGTGGGGATTAAAATGAAATGAATAATTATCAGAGGTATTAGAGTGGTATTAGACATCCACCTATGATTACAACAGCAGAGAGAGACCTCCTTCCTTTGGAGACAGAAAGCTTCCTCTGTTGGGTCCATGAGGCTTCTGCTTCAGGCCTTTAGCATCATTTCAGACTCTTCAATAACAGCATGTCAGGCCTATAGTTCAGTTATGGAGGAGGCCATGATATCAAAATGTAATTTAGTAGACGCTGTTTTCCAAAGTGATGTCCATTCAAGAGCATGCAACACAAGCAAAGATCTGGACAAGAAGAAAAAAGTCAGTAAGAACCACAAAAAAAAAAAAAAAAAAAAACTCAAGTCCATTTGGACGCAGGTACAGCCAAGTAGTATTGAAAGCAATGCACACAATGTATAAATCATTTCTTTGTTTACCTTTTTTTGATAAACATCAACACTCGAGCAAGCACTAATCAATTTAAGACTTATTATCATCACCATCAATTATTTTATGTCATGTCATTTCATTTTTATTATTTCATTTTAATTTGTATTTATTTTATTTTATTTTTTGTATATTTATTTATTTTATTTAATTCATGAATGTTTCATGCTGACAGAAAAAAAGCCCCAAAGAGGGAAAATTACAAAGAAAGAATTTTTCGTTACAAACACGAAAGAAAAAAGTGACAGACATGCGAACAAAAGTCTAACAGAGGGAGACAAAAGACAGAAGACTTTGTTTCCTGATGTGATGTGACGCAAACTGGTTAGATTTTTTTAGACAAAGAGGGAATTTTATCTAACATTTTTGCCACCTTACTATGATACTGTGGTTTATAAAGTACCTTGGAGACTGAGCTGTACATTACAGAGAAACACCTGTATGACATATAAATTGGTTAAAATGTTGATTAAATGCAAAAAAAAAAAAAAAACATTGCGCATGATATAATATGACAGTAAAGTGAATTACCATGTATAAACAATCTGAGGAGCAAAAGGGAATAATCTTATCAAACAAAAGCGCATTATCCTTCACTGAGTGTGAACCAAAGGCAAACAGTCATAAGAATGACTTTATAGAGGACTCTACAGTTTATCTACAGTAGATATGTTCTGTTGTTATTCTGCCGGCCACAGAGGCTGAAAAAGAGGCTCACTCAGCTCCTTTCTGAGCGGGTAGGTCGCTCTGTTTGATCAGGTCACTGTACCAGAAGTGGTTTGTGTCATAAGAAGAAAATTTGCAATTTATTGTCTAGAGGCAAACGACTGCCTTGGTGGGCTCAGGAAAACTCTAGAAAAATGGTGGCAGCAGCAGCATCTGTCACAAACACACCATGCAGACTGGCTTACTGACAAAAAACATCAATAAACTAGACCCACCTCCAATTTAATCACATCTGTGATAAAGGGATAAAGGGAGGGTTATCATCATCTTGTAGAATAGTATCTTGACATTTGTAAGGGACAATTCCCAAATGCATAGTAATGTAACAGACAGCATTACTATTTAGTGCTGATTTAAACATAACTACTGGACCACGATGGTTCTCGCACGTGGGAGTCTATTAAAGACCCTGCAACATACAAGGAATGGTTCATATGAAAGAGCTGTCACTCTTTCATTTTGGGTTTGCACTCTGCCTTTATTCTTGCAGGCTCTCTCTCCTTCCTTCTCTCTGGGCAGAAGAATCAAAGCGTGTGTTGTAGACGTGAAGCCTATTTCTTAAAATTAAACTGTTAACACAAGGAAAATCCCTAAAGGATGTGTACCACCAGAATATCCAAGGCCAATTAAAAAGTGGTCTCCAGCCAAAGTAATTCAGTTGTTGAAGCAGTAAACATTATTCTCTGTCCCTCTGTTTCTCTGTCTGTCTGTTTCTCCGTCTGTTTCTCTATCTGTCTGTTTCGCTGTCTACTTCTGTATCTGTCTGTTTCTCCGTCTGTTTCTCTATCTGTCTGTTTCGCTGTCTACTTCTGTATCTGTCTGTTTCTCTGTCTGTTTCTCTATCCATGTGTTTCGCCTTCTATTTCTCTGTCTGTCTGTTTCTCTGTCTGTCTCTGTGTCTGTTAGGTCTTCAGCCTCAAAGCCTACGAGCAGCTGAAGACAAATGTAACCCTGAAAGGTCTGGATCCATCCAAGAAAGTCATAGAAAACACAGTAAGTATTGATCTTACACCACAGTATATAAAGCACGGGTAAGTCTTAGAGACAGCAGTTGTTAGCCTCTGCTCTTGTTTCAGGAAATTTCAACAATCCCTATCTTCTTTTTAAACAACTGATTTAATTCTTAAACCAATCCACCCGTAGTGTCTGTGAAAAATGTCTTAGTTTTTATGTAGACATGTTTCCAAAGTTAGGGCCCATATCTCAACCCCTCAGTAGCTGCCTCCTGCTCGGTTTTCTACAGTACTTTATCCTCCACAAAAATAGTACTGCATTACAAAAATAGTAATGCAGCTCAAATGCTGTCCTATGGATGTTGTTCCAGCTCACTCCTGCAGTGCAGCCTGTAACACTATTGGGCCAAACTTTTAAAACCTCATAAACTGTAGTTGTGGTTCAAGTGCTCTGCCTAAGTACCTTAAACAAGCAGGTGTGAAGTTCTTTATTGAAAAATCTAATTTGGATTTCTCTGATTTATCGAATTTCAGCCCCCAAATGACAGGCAATACAGTTCTACAACTACATTGTGTTTTTCAACCAGCACAGAATTCTTGAGAATTTTCATTCTGGTTTTAAAGCCTTTCACAGTACAGAATTTGCACTTAAATACATTATAGACGACTGAGTCTTGTCATTCTGCCATCTTGATGCTTTTAGATTCACTCCAGCCTCTGGTACAGTCGACCACCATGCTCTCATCTCTGGCCCTGAGCTTGGTGTGGGTTTGAAAATCAAACCTTAGAGTAGTTTGAGTCTGATCTGATACAGAGACGTTTTTCAGTAAGACTTGGAAATACTGTCTCATCATCTGCCCCTATGCTGCTGGAGTCACCCAAGGCTCTATTCTTGGTCCAATACTCTTTTCCCTCTATCTCTTACCTTTAAGATGGAGTTCTAACAAAAACAGTGTCTGTTCACCCCTTATGCAGATGATACACAAACTTACCTGCCCTTAATAATGACAAAAGCTTGCTGGAACCTTGAACCGTTTCAAAACCCCAAAGCCTGGATGTCCTTGAACTGATAAAACAGAAGTCATGGTGTTTGGACACAGTGCCGCCAGTGATGCCTTTTCTTCAGTTCCCTTCAACCTCAAGTGAAACCCAGGGTTACCTTGGTCTTGCTTTAGCTTAGACTTGTTGTACTGAAATGCACTTTATGTTGGTGTTAAATCAGCTTTCTCTGCATATCCATGGTTAGTCTAAAATTCTGCAGCCCATCTTTTCACTTGAGGAGCAAATTACGTCCATCCTCACCCCCCCATACACTTTTGTTAGTAGATAAGTCTGTAAATGGTGTAGCTCCTAAGAACATCTTGGACCTTCGGTGAGTCTATGTCCCCTCGAGGTCTTTGAAATCCACTAATCAGAAACATTAAGACCAGCCTGAAAACCAGATGTGACTCCGTACTGTGGAACGAGCTGCCCCCTCCCACGAGAACATCCCACCTTGTTTTTCTCAGCTTTTAATCCAGCTGGAGAATAGTATGGACTCTGTTTTTTATTTTTTTGCTTTTATACTATTTTAAAATTCTCTTACTCTTTTAAATGTCTTTTGTGTGTTTTAACTTATTTCATTTCATTGTAAAGCACTTTGTTGTTTTTACTGTGTTAAGCAACATGACCTATCCGGAGTAACTTACCCAGAAAAATCTGTGGTATAAGAAATAGTTCAGACTACTTCTTCTTCGACTCGATCCACACTGTTGATTAATTCATCTGCTGTTGTGAAGATTTCTGTGTTTGTGCAAACAGGAGAGCAGGAGTGAAGTCATCTTTGTGTTTACTACAGTTGTTTATCACCAGTTGCAAAAGTGAGCATGTTGGGCCAGTTAAGTTCAGATGGAGCCCTGTGGGTCTCCAGGGCTATTACTGAATGATATGTGTAAATGTTGATGGGCTCACAGTGTTTGGGTTTTTTATGGGCTGTGTTGAGAGGCTCTGCCGAGGGAATACACAAAGAGAAGGGCCTTAAGGGATAAATGGCCCAGTTAATTAAACCCCTTTCATAATCTCTGTTTCTCTCTCTCTCTCTCTCCCTGTCCCTCTTTCACAATCATCATGCTGAGAAATTGAAGCGGCAGAAGCTTTATTCAAATGTGATCCACGAGCAAAACAAAAAGATAAGTAGGATTCCCTTTCTACTGGCCAAGGACCCACAAGGCGATAACAAGAAGGTTCCCAGGATAAAGGTGAGGGTGTCTGCCTGTTTGTGAAACCTGACACAGCTTTCTTTCTGATAGGCATGTATGCCTGAGGAAGATCTGAATCAAGGTTTGACTGAACCAAATGATGGCTGATGTGTTAGTAACAAAGCTTCAACTTGAAACCAATAAATCCTGTGGAATAAACTAAGAATGGTATCATAAAAAAATCAACACATCTGCTGCTTTGCGAGTCGGTAGATGACTTAAGTCTTTCTCCATTTACTGCTGCTCAGAGCCAAGTGGTATCAAAGTATCTTTGTGGTCCACCATCGTTCATCTTCTCTCTCTCTCTTTATGTCCATCGCTCTATCTCTCTTATTATGCTTCAAATTAGGCATTGGAGTATGCCAGGACTGTAGCCAAACGTTCTCTACAGTCTCAACCCAAACAAAGACAGAGGAGTCCGTCTGGAGGCTCCACTGGGCGTTCTCCGTACATGGAGGGCTTGGATGTGCTCCAGCCAGCTGCACTGGATGTCCTTAAAAAACGCCATGAAGAAGAAAAGCAAGCGGTGGCTCTCTTCAAGAAAGTTCATGCTGTGTGAGACAGGCTGCTGTTTGTGTGAATAGTCCATGGAGCTTGGAGAAGAAAAAAAACCTACATGCCTCCTCTGTAACATAAACATTGGACATTCAACTGTATCAAAAAGACAGCAGTCTGTGTTATTTATCCTCACTGTGAAAGGTGCTGTTATCAGGAGGGTTAAGAGTGGCCTTGGTTTGTTTTGTAGGACACAAAGATTGAAAATGAGCCTGTGGTGTTGCAACCATATACTAAATGAGCAGCTGGTTGAAATGCCTGGTGGCTTACCTATATTGAAATGTGTTTTTTTTGTCGTTGTTTCGTTTTTCTTCTCTGGAGATCATTCTCTAATGTCATTCGTTACTCAAGACAACAATCTGTCAGCTAGCTATCAGAAAGCATTTCCATTGGCTAGATACTACAGCAGCCATTACTCAGGGCATCAGACAGTTAACTGAGCTGATCCTAGAAAAGAGGTTTTGAATTGTTCAAGTTTAAAAACAGTGTAATTCTGCTTAAATATGATACAGACTGATTTTAGAGATCAATTCATTTTCCATCGTGAAGTTATTATTCCGACTGTTGCCTGATCCGTTTTCATGATATGATGATTATATGTGTAGGGTGATATACTGTATGTTTATAGAGACATTATGTACTGTTCTCTTGTACTAGTCTTGGATACTGTACTTAGTACTTTGATGCCTACACAGAGTTACAGTCAGGATTTCTTATGTCCCCCTAGCTGCAGTTAGCAGCATGAATATACCAACAGAAGAAACAATCATCCTTTCCCCTGCTGTCTTGTGTCACTCCTTAACCCTGGTGATAACTGTGCAGATATTCATGCACACTCGGTTGTGTTTGAGCAGGAAAGTCAAGGCTGCCAAATGTTGTCCTGGCCAGCTGTCTGCTCTCCTTGGCTGGTTGTGTTGGACTCAGAGGTGAGGAGCCACAGTTGTGAGTGCTAAATTATGGCATAAATAATACAAGTATTGTAGGGATCATTTTCTGTTGTAGTATTCAGACCGATCGATGTATACAAAGCTTTAGACAAAAGCCTCTGCTGAATAAAACTGTAATATTGTAACATTAAGTACACATGTGAAAAAGGCTCAAAGCTGGTGTGTGTTGAACATGTCTTTTCTAAATCCTTAGCAGCTACAGTCAGAGTAAAAGTCAGATCCAAACATGTCGCCAAATCATTTGAGGCAGAAGCAAACCAGATCCTTTGTCAGAGACATGATTTAAAAGAAGTTCTATTTATGTCATGATGACCTGAGTTATTACCTTAACGGCAACTAACCAACATAGATCGATGTGGCCGTGGCTTTTTCTCTTTAGATTTACATTCATGTACAGAATACACACTTCTGATGTACAACAGCACCACATTACAAAGCAGGACTCAAAACAGAATTTCATTACTATCCTGCAATAATGATCTGTAGGCCTACAAAGATAATGTCAAGATGACGGTGTCATCAGATGAAAATCCATGCTCGTCCATGCTCATCCTGCCTTATTAGACAGTTCCCTATCGATGGAGCTTTTGAGGGCAAAATAATTCAAAAAGACGGCTCAAAAACACTGACATGAGTCTGAATGTGAGCGGTTGTACTTTCTATATTATATTGACTTTATAATCACATGTTTCTGTCTGTTTAGTAGATGTCTGCTAAACTGTATCTCTTATTGTCTAAGGTATAAGGTAGAGCTCAACATCACAGAGAGAGCTGCTGTCATCACGAACAAAATCCTGGTGCTAAACCTTTAAGACAGCAAAGTCACAGATGGACCGTGATCCACCAGACTGCTGTGCATGCTGAGGTTCTTTTGCTCTTAACACATGGGCAGTGTCACATCCAACTTTACAAAAACGCTTTGTGTCTGTTTCTTTAAATAATCTTAAAAATAGGATCATAAACAAACAAACAAACAAACAAACAAACAAACAAACAAACAAACAAACAAACAAAGAAAAGAAATGTCATGAACTGATCCAGCATAATTCCAAAATGTTTTCAGCCTTTAATTCTTCCAGAACTGTGAATAGTCTCTGTTTTATAGTAATAGAAGAAAAAATCACATTGGTTTTCAGAACTTCACTATACTGAAACAAAACATTCATTTCTGCAGCAGTTGATGATTTTTGTTTTGTGAAACCGTTTGTCTCCTGTGGTCCATGTAATAGTGTTTGCTCAGTTAGAAGCTGTCAGGTTTTACATCAGTCTCTCTAGGAGCAGAAAAAGGTGCTGATGGGGGACAGTCTGATGCTCACCTGATCACATCCTTGTCCTGTTTTATTGCCACGTTTTAGTCGTTACTTCGTCTGGCACAAAAAACTCTTGAGTAGCTCATTTTACTAATTGAACCCTCAGATCATTATCAAAGCACTATTTACTGCAGTGCAACATTTTAATTAGATTATAGTCTCTATTTAACCCATCATGGACTCTTTGAAGCTCCGTGTTTTTAGTGTTAAGTCCTCAGATGCACGGTTGGAAACAAATGACTGAGCCCTTTTTGATTTAATGAGAAATGCTGCCCATCCAGACTGAGTCCTTTGCATCTTTTTAGGTCCCACCTACTCTTTTTTTCCCCATTGAAATCCAGTTAATTGAAGGAGTCTTTCACCGCCATACATGAAGGTGGACAAATTAGCATCCCTTTTTACCCACAGGGAAGCCAAGGCAAAGCAGGCTGCTTTGATGTGAGAAGCACGCTTTCAGGAGGCGGCAGGCCTCTTAAAAATGAGCTGATGGCCCCGCTATTTGGTCCATATACAGATGCGTCCATGTGTTGCAAAACACTTAATCTTTTAATTGATCACCTTCTGCTTGGCCTATTCTTCTGTTAATCACAATCACATTTCAATAACATGGGAAGCTTTTTTAGAAAGCAGGAAGGGATGGCTGATCCACCACAAACCACATTAGAAAACACCATGCCCAGTGAGAGGCACGGCGTGCAATAAAAGTCTAATGAATAATCTCATCTGCTTTAACATAGGAAATGTAGGTGTATACGTGGCAGGGAAAATTAGCACATCGGTCAATCACAGTGAACAATTAACTACTCACCTGCATGGCTGCTGTTACCCCTGTTACTGCTGCAGTCTCCAGTTAAAATTAAGGTTTACTGAGAGCTAAAGTCTTAACATTATAGCAGCCTGCATGTGCAACAGGAACAATGACTCTGCAAGTAAAGTGGATTACAGAGCAGGTTCTGAACATGTGTTCATAAGGAGGGTCATTTGTAAGCAGCAGCAAGAGAAAAAAAGGAAAAATGAAATAGTGCAAAAATGTTTGATGATTTTGTTGTACCCATAATATTTATTAGAACAAAGGCAAAACTTCACTGGTGCTGAAAATCCCATGAAAGAGTCCTCCTCACCAGATTACACAGAGTGACAAACCCACCAGAGGGCTAATTCTGTCAGTGTCAGGCCAAATGCTGCATAGATACAGAGCCTTTCCTTTCAGGTCTTTTTGACAGTTTTTACATCGTGTCTGTTTTGAGACGTCGTCAGTGAAATTTGCCCCCGAAGTTGTCTGATAAATTTTGTGAATAAAAACTTTATATATATAAAATATATTTGAAAGAGCTTTTGGGATGCGGATTATTTAAAAAGGTATTTGGCAGAGCCACATTCTGCACAGACATAATAGAAAAAAGCATGAACACATAGATCTGAACATTTCCTCCAATAACCTGTTGATTTAGAGCTCCCATGGCAGGTGGTCAGCTGCAGGCTACATGAATTATTTGATGTCTATCAAATATGTCGCTGTCAATTCAAGTCGGCATGATTGAGTGTACGCTCACGTGCATTCGTCAATCATTTTGACTTTTTGCCGTATGAGCCCGAACTGATAAATACGGCAATAACAAATGCTAGAAAGTAGAACTTCCCCAGAAGAGAATTCCCAGTTTCCCCCTTACTGTCTGTGTTTTATCGACTGTCAGCACAACCTGCTGTGTTTTTCAATGGACTCTGAGTCCTTTTTTTTAACCTGACTGCAAAACGGACTTTAAAGGTGCTTTAATTTCATAAAGAAGACAGGGATCTTCTCTACTGTTTGTCTTTCTTGCTGTTTGTATTTTTGTGTTTAGATCCCAAAGCTCGGCAGGCAGATGACAAACATGCCCACGCTGTGCAGACTGCGCTAATGACGATGAAGAGAGAGACTGTTAGGACTGGATAACATGAAAATAGACAGCTGACTGAGCCTAGACTTTTCGTGTCTGTTCGGTGAATGTATAGAAGTCCAAGCAACCACATAAAAGAACAAATACAAAAAGTATAAGAACACACGGGGCCGATGACTACTTCAGTGTTTACATTGACATGGGCTATATTTACACATCATTTTAAGAATTCTGTCCAAGAAAAGTGTCTTTGATTGAAACGGGGCTCAGCATAATATTCAACGACTGCAAAAAATTATCAAAGTAGACGAACAGCAAAACAAAACAAAAAAACAACAACAACAACAACAAAAAACGGTAAACGATAAAAAGTAACGTTAACGTGCAAATATGTTGGGCAGCGGGGTGCGTCTGTTTCACTAGATAGTTATTCAAAATTATCTTAATAATAATTAAAAGAGAGAGAGATTTCTCTGTAAGCACATCTCTAAAAGACTCTTCGTTATAATAATAATAATAATAATAATAATAATAATAATAATAATAATAATAATAATAATAATAATAATAATTGTTAGACATAACAACAGGAACATTCTGATAAAAAAGAGGTCAACCAGGGTAGTTGTAAAAAGAAGGCCCGTCATGAGAACAGATATTCGAAGAGGAGGCAGCGAACTGAAGTTTCTACAGACCATTACAGGGAGAAAGTGGCTGCTGATGGTGCAGCATTGCAGCCTACTATAGCAGGTGATCCGGGGAGCAAACGTCGTCCTCGATGTCCACGTCGTCGTCGTTTTCGTCCAGAATGAAGGAGTCCGGCTGGAGTCCGTGTGTGAGCTCTTCTGCACTCTTACTGTCGGTCAGCTCGCTCTCGCTCGAGTTGTCCGCCGATCGGTCCAGATCCCCGCCGGGAGTTTTCCGCTCATCCTGCGCTTTTCTTAGCTGCTTCTTGTGCTTCATCCGTCGGTTCTGAAACCACGTTTTTACCTGCATGATGGTGAATGGAGGAAAGGTGTGAATTACAACGAGATCTTGAACAACATGTCATTAACAGCCAAAGACACTGTTCCCTAGCCGATAGGCCACAGACGGAGCACACTTGGGATAAATATTTATTCATAAATCTGTGTCAGAATTAATGTTTTATTTAAATCTGAAATTTAATGTGTCTTATGATCTTTGTTTTTCAGATTTTTGTTTAGTGTTTATATGACTTATTGAAAAGCATTGACAAAATGTGCCAAGTGTGAAAAGACATAAAGAAAGAAAATGCTCCATGGATACCCAGATACTTTCTTTGCTGTGTGTGCGAGTCTGTGTCTGTGTATATCTATCTATATATATATATATATATATATATATATATATATATATATATATATATATATATACACATTTATTTATTTATTTATTTATATACCTGAGTCTCGGACAGACTGAGCGCCGTGGCCAGCTCCACTCTCTCCGGTGTGGATAGGTACCGCTGGATCTCGAACCTCTTCTCCAGCCCAGACAGCTGTGAGTCGGAGAACACTGTCCGGGCCTTCCTGCGCCTGCAGTGCTTTCCTGGTAACTCTGCGTGGTGCTGGAATAAGGCCGGCATCTGCATGCCTGAAGAAGACAGAAGATCAGAAAATAACAATCATCGAAACACAGCAAAAAATAAATAAATTAAAAAAAAAAAACTTTAAAAAGTACCATTAGAGTTCACTGTCATAGAATAAACACCCTGCAGGAATTTATGGTTTGAATTTGTTCGCTGCCAGCCCCGTCCACAAAAAATAAATAAATAAAATAAAAAGAATAAAATAAAAAGAAAAGAATAAAATAATATAAAATTGAGGTTCTATATTTCTTAATATAATTTCACGGCAACAAGAAAATGTAGGTCATTAACCTGGATAGAAAATGAGAAGGCTAAACGTCAGTTTTACCGAAGTGTACATCATTTTTTAAAGCGGTCAAAGAAACTTATTCCATTCTGTTAAATTTGTGGGCCTCATTCATTCATTCATTTATTCATTCATTCACGAGACCTGAAAGATTGGCTTATTTAAACTCAAACTTGCATTTAGTTTGGGGAGATTCCTCCCACCCCCACGTCCATGCTCACCTGGTGTAAAGAAGTATTGGGGATGTTCCGGCTTGTGGAGCGGGTGGTGCGGATGCGGGGCCAGTATCGGGGTCGGCATCAGAGGGTATCCATACTCCAGGATAGGCATCCGGGAGGCCAGGGAGCTGCAGAACGTGGAGGGGATAACATCTCTCAGGGGCTTGGGTTTATGCAGTAGAATGTCCTCGATAAAAAACGACGTGGACCTCTGCGTGGGCGCCGCAGAGGAGTAGTTCATACTCATGGTGACGGTTTGGGTTTGTTCTGTTCTGCCTTTAAACTTGCATCAGTGTGTGCCTCCTCGTGCGCGCAGCTCTGCCGGGCTGAATCAGTCTTTGTGTGGTCAGAGAAAGACACCATACATCGGGCATTAGATGACAGATGTACAACACGCATTTATTCAGACGGAAAAGTGGATTGGGGAAATTGATTTGCGCATCAGCCAATAACTGCTGGATTTGGGCGGTGCTTTGTTCTGATTGGCTGAGGCGCGTTGAAGCACGCATCACAGCATCACATCGATGTAAGGTCAGGGCTACAGAAGTCGCCACTTATTCGATCACCTGGCAACTTCGCCTTTTTTTTCCTTGGCTTTAGAGAACACCAAATGAGCAGGTAGATAATTTGATCGACATACTCTGCCATTAGGCTATTAAATATCAAATTTAGTCATTTAATAGGTATTGAGATTTGGGCTACTTGCTTTCAACTCAAAATGGCCTTACAACATTCAAAGACGGTAAAAGGAGTCATAGAGAAATGTTCCTTTCTCAGAGAGACTCTGGTCCTTTTTGAACCTTAGTTCGTTGTTTCATACTGAAATAAGAGCTATGTCAGAATTTGAGGTTTAGAAAAAAATCACATATGGGGCTTTCCTGAGCGTCTGTGTGGGTGTACTGGAGACCAATCTGTTTGAATATGTCGGCTGGTCAGTTGTAGTGCACACTATCAGCTTATTTTGGGAGTCCATAACACTGAAAGTCTTTCTCTTGCATTGAAAGATATCATTATAATAATGTGTCAGTTTGCAAGATAGTTTATGTTGAAGGGATTTCTCCTGCTGCTGTTGTCGATGAGCTGTGCTAATTTGACATTTGAGATAAAAATAAAAATAAAAACAAGGTGATAGGATGGGTGAGGAAATCTGCGTCTGTTTACTGAACTATTTAAAACACGAGGGCCCAAATACAATAGTATGGACTGTACGCTTCATGTTTTTATAGCCAACTTCTCAATTGTTTTATTTCTACATTGCACTCTTTGAACAAAACTTTAAATTGACTTATGTTATCCGTGCGACCAGTGTTTCATGCGCGCAACAGACCGGGATAGCTTTGGAAGTTGATGATAGTCTTTCTGAATCAAGTGTGTCACAGGAGGATTGTACTGCTGCAGGCCTGTCTAGTTATTCCGCCCAAATTGGCTGTAATTGTCGGCATTAAAATCTGGAAGAGTGCTAGTGCCGCTCCTGTGCCCATTTGCTAAAGAAAGCACTGCGCTGTAATTTGTTGATATGGTGTTGTCATCACATTTCCAATCAGGCCGCTTAATGTGAAAGTGTCTTAATGTAGGCAGAATTCACGCTGCAATGCTATTAGACAATTAAGGGAGATATTAGAGCGGAAGTTGTAATCCTGGAGCTGCAAGGACAGGATTTCCATTCGATCAGATGGAGGGAGAACAATTACTCACTGTGAATCAGTTATGCCGGAAAAGCGCTGGTCGGCTGCATTAGTGTGCAGTTTGTCATAAATGGACGTGCGCCTTCAAAATGTAAATCAGCACACTGACTGACTGCAAACCGAACACCGTCTGGCACGGCGAGGACTGAACACGGACCGGGTCTGGAGGCTGCTGGAGGAAAATCTCATCCGTTTCAGAGGTGCTACCATACACACCTGCACAACCATCCAAAAGCCCCAAATCATACCTGTCATTGAGAGGCTCTTTGTCTGGCCTAGGTCTGCTGGGCGGAAAAGTAAGTTCAAAAATTGGGTGGGCTATATTTTCCTGGCAGGTTATGCAGTAAACAAGATTATGGCAGTCAAACACCATTAGAACAGAATTTTTATCTGCTGTTGTTCAGTGTCAGTGTACAGAGAGCAAAGAAAGAAACCTTGTAAGATGTGCGCCACCGCCTCCAGGGAACGCACCGGGATAACAAGTTGCTTTTAGAGGGAATTAGAAAGTAAATGAAACAAATGGCCATGAAATCATCTTAAGAGACGCTCCTGATGCGCAGTTAAGCGGCTTTCTTTGGCCATTTAATTAAGTAAAAATTGAAGCAGGTCGGTCAGTGCGTCACTGCGTTCAGCGGCACGTTTGAATGAGCGGGTTACACAACTAATACCTACATTTTTGAAGTAGCCATGCTACTAATGGTAAGCCTTAAAAGCAAGCAACACAGAGGGTGACCCACCGATAAAATCTAAGGAAAAAATGAGTATCGCATAGTTCCCGACCTTAAACAAGAAGGTACAAATCCACACACTGTGTTCTTTGATATTTTTAAATGCCGTTATCTATCTAGCTATATATCCATCCATATATCTATATTTATAAATCACATTGTGTTCATTCTGTGAAATAACTGTTGTAAAAAACACAAAATCTGTTTTACATAAAAAGTCTCATCTCTTCACCTCAGCTCATTTTGCCAATGCTTTTACAGTGAACACAGAAGTAGTCCTAAGATACAAAAAAACACTGATATATTGACAGTTATAATAATAGTATGCATGTCAATAACTATGAACATAAATAAAATAATTGCACAATGTTTGAAACAAAAAAAAAATCAGTCATATTTTCAAAATCTTTTATTGAAATCATTTAAACTTTCCTTTCATTCACGTTTCAGGGCTATGAGCTCATTGGCGGGCAATACATATGCATCAGTGTTGGTAGTGGATGGTTTATGATGCAGCTCTTATGGTTATTTAGGGTGATATTCTTAGTGTGAGTTAGCATTCCTGGGGCATTCATGCATCCGATAGGCACAAAAATAGAAAATACCTGCAGAGACAGAAGAAGGAGAGCATCAAATTTATGCTTTACAGTCAATAAATATGTTCTTTTTTATGGAGACTTGAATGGAGATGTTTTTTTGATCACACTCATATTCATGTTTGTTCTTTTGCAGAAGGAATCAACGAGTATCGCACCAGCTTGTAACAGGAATATCATCTCTGAGTAGGTTTTATTTTAAGAGGATCGTTTATTCTCACAGAAATGTTATGTGCCTGTTGGATGAAATGTTAAAATGAATTTATTGATGCCTTTCCCTTAAACCACCTTCATATTCAGTCCATTGAGCATCCATCTCAGCTGCAGGTTTTGCTCAGCATGCAGGAGAATTCAGAGAGGAACACCAACTCGGAGCATCACTGACTGATAATGTCATATCATCGATCCAACAGCTTGAAAATGAGTTAAAAAGTCTTTGACTTCATTCTGACAAAAGTGAGTCATATGGAGTTATATATCAGGGTTTTCCTTGAATTGATTTGATTTGTGCCATTGTGTACAATACACTGCAGTTTTAATATTATTCATCTGATACATCTACGCAGTTAGTATTTGTTAAGGCCTTGGCAGCATATAGAAGTGATTTAAGACCTACAGCTTCATTCAGTTTGATCTCCAAGTATTTCACCTTCTCTCTTCTGAGTGTGATAGTTATTTTAATGACTGAATACAACTGTAGCAGAAAGACACTATCGTCACAGTCTATTAAATGTTCACAACAGTTGATATTGTGTCAACATTTAAAAAAACGTTAATCACAGTTAATTCAGTTTGCTCTATATTATTTATTTCTTATGTGTTAAAAACTGGATTTTAACTGGACATTAATGTAATTTTAATATTTCCTTCTGGGCCTCAGGGCAGCATAGATGTCCTGATAGGCTCAGATATCTGACTGAAGTTCTCTCCTTCCAGAAATGAGAAGGTAATTCACTTACTCTTAAATTTTTAAAATTGTGAAGGTCAATAAAAATATTTAAAAAAAAGTTAATCTTTTTAAATTTGACTACTTACCCCTTAAGTAAAAAAAATTAAAAAATAAATAAAATGCAATATTCCCTGGTCTCTGCTCGGTGATGTCTTAAAGAGTAGCTGCTATAGAGCTCAGGACAGTTTGTACAGAAGGGCTGGAATAAACAGCAGGCATTGCCCCAAAGTAATGTCTCCCATAAAGGACCAAATAAAGGATCATGTGTTCAGAGGACCTGAATGCTCATGAAAAAGAGGAACTCTAATGCAGTTCAGTTTGTTGCTCTGCATGTGTACCTGAAAAGAAGGTGAGAACCACTGACACCCAGCCAATGATATAGGACCAGGAGAACCTCCAGTTTCCATAGCGTTTTCCATGGTAGTTCACAGTCACACCCGTGTACATTGCCATTGCTAGAAACACTAAAAAGCCTGGAAAGGTGCAATGAATGAATAAGACAAATGGCCAAAATAGTATTGTATTATTGCATACAAACACTTAACACCACTGCACACATGTTCGCATGTCATGCAAACCACATGGCACATATCAAATTTCCCCTCTGGGATTATAAAGTTCTTTTTATCTTTTCTTACATATCCTTACTTTTAAACAAGACACAAGAGATGAACAGAGCCCCAGTATAAAACCAAGAGTAAGCCTTTAGACAGACAAACCAACTAAAATAGATGGAGTAATGAATCAGTGAACTTACATGAGATGAAAAACAATATGCCTGCAGCAAAGGTTTTGTCGAACCTGTCAAACGAGGAGTAATGGATGAAGGCCATGATGCCTATGATGATACCGATAAAACAGGCCAGAAGAGAGAGGATCATAAGGGCACGAGTGGCATCTAGGTGAGCTGTGGAGAAGGTCAAAGGTCAACAAGAGTCATGGCTGGAGTCAGTGGAAGTCAACAGATGTGACCCAGGTCAGGCCATGTTAACAAACCAATTTCATGGAGAACATGTCTGTGAAACCCTTTCAGAAGAAAAAAAACTGTCTCCATTAGAGTGATGACATGCAGAGCAGGATTTACAAACCAGACCAGACCTCTTCATTTATGCAGACAATGTTTAACAACTGATGTTCTAGAGGCAAGAACCTTTTTTTTTAAGTCTTACTTAATTTTATGAAAAACATGCTTGCACCAAGAAGATGTACAACCCCTGACCAAAACAAATCATGTGGTTATATATTTCCCATAAAGATATAAAAAAACATGTAATTCATCATAAATAACCACACAGTATTTCTTATGGACACGCTTCATTCATGAGACAACAGGAGCTTCCTAAAAGAGCAGCTCAAAATTCATCATAGAGCCTGTCAGATATTTGTTGAATTAGCCCAATTTGCCATCTAAGTTAGCTACATGACATGGATGAGGATATTTTTTCCAGTAATGTCAGGTCAGGGTGAAAAAAAAAAATTGTGGATAATTTTTTGGGATATGTTATGGCAAAATGTTCTCACTTTAACCTATCTAAAGCTAGGAGGCCTTTTTACTGACATGATGGTCCACCACAATGATGTTGTTTTTTGTTTTTTTTTAGCATTTTGATATATTTACAGCAATTTTCTGTCTTATCTCTCTTATCTCACTGAGACCTCAGAGTCAGTCCCGGAACTCTTAGGTTCAAGCTCTCGCTCTCTCTCTTTTTTTTTTTGACTGGAGGTGGACCTACAGCATCCCTTCATGAAGAGCAGGGAGTTAGACTGGTCTGTTTCACATCATTCACATTCTGCTTCCATGGTTTAAAAAATTTTAGCAAACACTGAACCTACCAATGCTGTCATTGTGTGGGAAGCATTTCCCAGGCATGCAGTAGCGCCAGAGGCCCTGGTGCATGTACTTGCTGGACTGCCGATACTGCATCCAGTAATCGGTTGCTGTGGAAACGATCAGTAGGATGTTCCCCACGCCTGCACAGAACAGCCCTCCACCCATAAAGCTGTACATCCTGCACCTGCAGACACACACACACACACACACACACACACACACACACACACACACACACACACACACACACACACACACACACACACACACACGGACATAAGGTCACTCAGCATCAGTAGGCAGCAGCAGCAGGCCCCTCCTCTCCACCTCAAACACACACACTTCAGGGCTAGAGCCTCTAAGTGTCAGTAATTGTGCTGTAATGAACAAATTATTTTCACTGAACTGAGCTTCGGGGTCATGGGTGTGTGTATGCCTCACTTTGTTCTCTTGGAGATCAGTCCCTGAAAATGGGCTTTACATTTCCCAACCCCCTTTACACACAAACACACAAGTCCTGCAATGCTTTGATACTTGATACATCTATTGCTCATTGTTTCATCTGGATGAAATATCCTGTTTCCATCCTCTCTTTTCTCATGGAGAGCTGTATTGGATTTTTTCAGGCGAAAGGATGATAGAATGGGATGCTCGTTGAAGGGCTCTGTGTATTCATTGAAGAGCTCTGGATCACTCTGAGTATCTTCTCTGCAAAGCAGCAATCTCAATCTAAACCAGGGCGCCTTGTGAACCTGTTTGATTCACAGAACATAAAACTAATGAAAATAGCCTTTGTCAAAGTTACAGTGTGCTGTGAATCCTTTTCTGCATCTCTGTCTCATTTTCTAACACAGTCACAGCAGACAGCTGTTCACTGTGAGTCTGGTTCCTGAGTGTTCACGGAGGATTAGAGTCGGGTCTCAGTAAAATAAAGAATATAACAGAGTACTGTCTCAACCTACTTCTGTCATAAAGCCTCTAGCATTAGCATTTCTTATGAAATTATACTTAGACTAATAAAAGCAGATAGATTATCCAATCAGTGGATGGCTGTAGGCAATTCTAATCTCATAAAATAAGGATAAAATAAATAGCCTAATAAAGAAATAACACCACTTTCTTTGGCAGAAGTTTGATTTTTGGGTCTCAGTCACATAAAGCAATTGTCTGCCAACGTCTTAGACTTCAAACACCTGGAAGATAAGGATCAGCTCTCTCTTTGTTCAGTACATGTTGTAAATAGGTTCACATTTCTTTATCGTCTCTGCCGTCTATTTTAGCTGGAGAGGGCGAGCAGCTACATCTTCATCTTTGTTGCACAGTGGCTGCAGAGTGAAATTTATGGAGTAAATAGAATTTGAGAATTAAGTTAGGCAAAATCAAACTTTTACATGTCCAATGACAACGATGGTTAATATTTTAGGATTTCCTGTATGCTCAGAGATAGGAGCTGGGACAAACACCACACAGAAACCAAACAAATATCTAAAAATTACACAGCAGTTATCGTCAAAAAAATCCAACGTCACCTTACCTCAATCAGTCCTTTTATTAAAGTTGTTTACGGAGATTGAGTGACCACAAAAATACTACACTGCCAAGATCAGGCAGATTTGCAGCAGGCTAACAGCGTGGGTTGAAAAGGGACAAACTGGGGCCACAACAAACTCTGTGCTGAGACAAAAGACCAAGCTGACCAGCGGCCAATCAGCACCCAGCAATGCAGGGCTTCGGGAATTTGCTGAAAAAACAGAAATGTCCAAAGCTTGGCAAGCTGCAGTAATAGTGATGACTGCAAGGTTTTGATTGAATGTGGGGGGATGAACTAGCTTTAGAGGAGGCCTAGCCCATCCAAGCAGGTGTTGAATCAGTCTTTGGCGACTGTAGTCTTGATGTTTGACAAAATTTATCAGCTCAGGGTTTAAAAACGTTCACCAAGCCTTTTAATTTTAATCACCAACAGTGAATAGTTCAGCGGCTAAACTCAACTAGAAAATACCATAGACTGCATATACTATGGACAACTTGGTTCCGCCTTGTGCCAGTATACAGATTTGAAGCCAAAAAGCTCTGGGTAATTCTGTGTTTTTTCTCCACTTCCTAAAACCAACATTGCCCAGTAGCGTTGTACGCACCTCACCACTTGTGCAGTAGCGTTGTATGCATTCGGCAGGAGAGCCGCAGAGAGTCGCTGTGAGTCGCTCAGCTCAAACAGCATATCCCCCAGGTGAGCTACACAATCTTCGAACGCCCATAGGCTGTATCAAGAGTCAATCATAGAAAACATGAACCCTCTGATAACTTTTACAAATGGAGCTGTACAGAAAAAAGAGGACTTAAGCACAAACCAGACTTACAATAACTACATGTCAACAGTGAAGGTAGAGGGGAGAAAAAATTATATTCCATGTTATAAATTTCTAAAGTTTGTCCATAGCCCCATAAGGATGACTGGAGGAGGTTAGATTTAGGACCTATACTGCAGCCCATCACCAGAGGGTGCTGTTCTTGGGGTGGCTTTACCCAGTGAGGATGCAGACAACATCCATTTTATATGCGGTCTATGGAAAATACTCAAACTGTTGCTGCTGAGAGAGTCACAGAGCTGATTATCTACGACTTTCTCAGGTAACTTTGAAATAAAGGGGAGGTTTGATATCAGCCTATAGTTAGCCAAAGAGCCTGAATCTAGAGTGGATTTTTGAGAAGAGGTACAGCTTCTTTAAAAGGCTGTGGACCGCATCCCAGGATTATTGTTATTTTCTTCAATTAGAAGGAGTAGTGGGCAGTCCAAGCATGCTGTTGAGCTTTCCTGTAATCACTAAGAGCTGTCGTTCAGAATAAGTTACCTGCAGATGATTTGGTGGAGCGCCCTATCTCTTTCAGGTTTTGGGTTTCAGCATTTTACCTCAGAGCTACTCTCCGACCTCTGATAGTCTTTAGTTTGAGAGGAACAACCGAATCAAGAACGGCTCACAGCAGATCAGAAGTATCCTCAAAGATTTGGTTAACTTGAGAGGGACAAGTGTTCATGAAGGAGCAACCAACTGAGTCTGGATAAAATATTGAGTTTAGAGCAGCTGGAATTGCTTCCTAAAACCTAGTTACAGTGCTGTTAGCAGGTTTCACACAACGTCCCAACTCTGTTGGCACTGGGGTTTTAAAACAAAGAAAGGCCTGGGTCGGAGAACTGACACATTGTGTACATTGTAGTGGCTGGGAGGCTAAGAGCCACATGTCAGACTACAGCTCTGCTTCCTGGTCTCCACTCTGGGTCTTTTTAGACTAATAAAAGAAAAGTCAGATTCTTTGTTAAAGCAAATGCACCATCTTAAGTATGTCATCTGGACTAATCAGACCAGGTTTGACAATTTCCAAATATCTATGAAGCCCATGCCGTTCTGCCACCAGCTTGACAGCCAGTGTTAAATAATAAATATGTAGATATCATCCCTGGTCTAGTTTAGCAGGGGTCCAGAGACCGTTATGGATTCTGACATAGTTTTAGGAACTTCACACACAATTCTTAAACTTTGTAACTTCTAACTGGCTTTGTCTATTATAATTAACACTCACATGTATCTCTAAGCTACCTCTGCCTACACCCTGATCGTTACTGGAAGCTGGTTACCTACCACTGCTAATGGTGTCCAAACATCGGAGCCATGACCCCAGTTCTGAGACACTGGCCTCCAGTTCTTTGAGTAAACTACACTTATTACAGTTACTGAGATCTGTAAAGGAGGACAGGTGTAACTAAACATCTGACACACTGAACAGCAGAGAGCAGGTGACAGAGAGACAGACAGAGAAGCCATAGCTATGATGAGGAGCTGAGAAGCTAGTTGCTAACAGCTAAAGAGAGAAAAATCAAAACTAGTGTAATCATTGAGGAAACAGAGGCTGCTCGGTGAATACAAGACTAATTCAAGTCCTGCAGTGAGAGGAGTTTAGAGGAAATAAATGATGCAGTACTCTTGACTACAGCCACTGAAGAGGTCGTAGGTCTAGATATATTGCGAATGGCTGTTGGACTGTTGTCACTGTCCAGTTGAAATATTTCCACATTGCTGACATTTTAGCCATGGGGTCATAATGCTGAGTCTCTACTTTGTTCTCTAAGGCAGGTTTTGTAATATTATTGGCTGGTTTTGTGTCGATGTGGTAAATGTTCACGTGGATGGAGTTCCACATTGATGCCTTGTGTTTCATTTCTTTGTAGGTCCAACTCACTTGGTTGATATAAATATAGGGGTTGATATAAATTGTAAGATTAATTCAATCATTGATCAATAAAGAATGCTAAGATCAAGATCTAACCATCTCCATTACGGAGATACTTACATATTTCACAGCCCATCCTTTGTTTTCAGATAGTACTGAATCCACTCGAGCACCATTAAGAAATCAAACACCAGGCATGACTGAAGTCTTTCCAAAATCTATGACCCTCAAAGAAAATACCTTAATCAAAGAACCTACAGGCGCAGCAAACATACAGTTTAAAAAAACCCAGGATGGAAAATCTACCACAATTTATTTGACACATTTAGTTGAACTTCTACAAAGACCTGCACATCTGATCATAAAAAATACCAAAGTCTTCCATAAATTCTTAAAAGCTTTGAAACTATCTCACCTTTCTAAAGAAGAACAAGATGAAACTTTGAATGACTCACTAACCCTGGAAGACATTAACACGGCGCAGGGAAACCACAGGACGCCTGTTCAGACTCACCTGCCTGTTCACTTTTCTAAAAACCACCACCTCATTGTTTATGAAATAGATTTGACATAAAATTGTGCGTACAGACCTAAAAAAGATTTACAGAAAACAATTCACTCTTTTCCTTTTTTTAAAGGAAGACAACCATCTCATAACACTCGTTGACAATTCAAGCAAATGCAGCTTTAGAAATTCAGCACAAATATTGTACCACCCTAAACAGAAAAAACACATCTGCAGGTTTAACTGGAAAAAGTTGTTTTTCAGAGACTTGTTAATGGATTGGATAAATGTACTGTACAATGACACAAAAGAGTTATTGTCACAAAAATATGCCCTTCACTGTGTCACAAGGCCAGACTGCCTGTCTCTGTGGAGCAGAAGAAATCACTTTCAGAGTATGAAATGTATTTTTATGTGGAAGTTACTCCTCCTTCAGGACAGAATTCTTAACATCCATGAAATCATGAGTGAAAGTGGTCAAAGTCTGCAACCTAACCACTACCTATGAGTGACAAGGATGTCACAGCTCCAGATACACCCTTTTACCTCCCCACAGGTCCAACTAAAAACCGAGAAATACACTTCCTCCGACCTGTCACAGCTGTTCTGTTGCCAAAATTAAGACAAGGACAGCTTAACCCTCCCAACCTCCACCCCTGTCTCCTTAACTGCTAAAATGTATGGTTGCAAGATACAGAGTTTTAAGTTATTCACACAGACATTTTAAAGACATGTAACTGGAACTCATGTATGGTCAAGTTTGGCTGCATTTGTAAAAATGCCAGATGTCACTAAAAGTTCTCCCTTTACAGCAATACATTAAGTGCAAATATGGGGATGAGTGGCATTGGCGGGCATCAGAGTGTTGTTTTTTTTTCAAATTCTCATATTAAAGTCCCACTCCGATTGTTTTTGTTTTTTTTACTACTTAAAGTGTCCTCAGTGGTCTTCAAATTGTGATTATGAAGTTTTTAGCAAAAATCACGTAACCTGTGTCAAGGGCTTTTCTTCTGCAGAGCTCCAGTAGCTCATTAGGAATTTGCCTCTGAGTTGTGGGCAGAGACAGCGCTGCTCTGCACACTCCTCTTCACACTCCTCTTCACACTCCTCTTCACACTTCTCTTCACAATAGCTTGTAGCCCAACATTGCAGGTGTAGTAAAAGTGTCAGGTAACATCCGAGCTATTTAGCTTTCAGACAAAAATGTCTTTAGGGACAAGATGAAAGTTAATATCATAATTAGTTTTCTTACGAGAATTGCAATCTGCTCACGCTTTTCCCGTCCCCTTTATTTCTCCAAGTCTGGCCTGCAGAGTGGGGCTCCGGGGGCGGAGCTTGGATTTACTACGTAAGAACTCTAACTGTGTCCGAACCTGCTGTTTGGGTCTTCCAGAGATTCACAGTGATTTGAATGCAGAAATGCTCAGAATGCAATTTTGCACCTACTTTTGAACACGTAGACAACAAGAAAAACATGTTTTGTTCTTATGAGTGGGTCTTTTATATCTATCAGCTCATAATCTAGGCAGTAATAGTGAAATTGGCCAAACATGAGGTATATCACACTGATCATCAATGCAAACCGCTAGGACACTGGGTTAAAGGCAACAGAACAGAAACAATGATTTGTTGTAAAGCAAAGCTATGCAAAAATACTTCAAATCTGCTATGGAGTTGGTGTGTAAGTGGAGCCTGCAGATGTAGTAAGATGCAGCTCACACCATTACAGGTCTTTGTGCTCTGACTTTGTTTCCTTCTCTCTGACCATCATCTGACTGTGTTTGCTCCTGTTGTGCCTGTTTCCCACATCCAGCTGGGCATCCCATCGCTTCTCCTCACACACATGCACGAACCCTGAAGATGAAAGGAGAAGAGTAGCTCCATTACCTGCATTACAGCAAGTTGCTCAGACCAATTGACAACAACAAAATGCCCCAGAAAAAGCATTTTTTCTGCCTGAGATTTGAGTGCTGTACTTACATCTAACTTCATTTTTATAGACCACAGCCTATTTTCTTCCATTGGGACTGTGGCAGCCAGGGGGACATTTGATATCTTCCGATGCACTATCAAAGTGGACAATATGCCTCTGTGACAGCAGAGCAAATTCATGTTTTTTTGAATCCATCCAGCTTTTGAGACATTAATTTTGTTTTGGAAAGTCTATATTTATGTGGTATCATGGGTGGATAAAGAGTTCATATAGTACTTAGAAGGTAATGGGGCAGCCATAATTACAGAGTGTGTGGTTTGCAGTCCTACATTATTTTGGAGACATCATAAATCCGGCAGAACATGATGTAGCTGTTCACGTGCACCTTCAGAAAATGTTCAGCTCTGTTTCTGTTCAGTTTTACAACTTTATGATCTTGAGTAATAAAAGGATTTTTTCAATATTTCAGAAAACCTTACATGTCCCTGTGCGGTCCCCAAACTGTGTTGTTAAGCATTGGATTTGATTGAACTTAATTTTGATGCAATCCTATTTTAATTTGCAATAAAACTATAGGATTGCAGAGGTATTTGATCTTAATTGTGTCATTTTTGTCCATACTATAAATAAATACATATTTTGTTGTTTTCTCTTTAAATACAGTCACTGCTGAATATACCCCACAAATGTTGTATTAGTAGGAAGCTTTGATCCATCCTCATGCTAATTGAATGATTGTCTTATTATCAAATGTTAAAGACAAAAATATATAAACACACACAGCAGCTGTTAAACAGGGAAATAGCTTGTATAGCAGGTCCAGAATGAACCAGATTAAATTGCTTTTTAGATGGTCTGTGCATCATCGAGCACATGGTGCACACAGCTACGTATATGGCCTCTGGAAGTTACTGACATTAGTGGACAAAATCTTTACGTTCCAGATACACTTTGCCTAAATGCTTAAATCAACTCCTTTGAATTGAATTTTCGAGCCTTCAAATGGCTAATTTGAGCAGCAAGTGCTTTCAACGTTTGCACAGCAAATGAACGACAGCCTTAATCATAAGAGCATGTGGCTGTCGCTGCCTCTCCAGAGCCACCCAGGAGACAGACAGCTGCGCGGATGGGGAGAGAAACATTTCCACTTAACCACTTAAATGAATATATCAAGAAACTAATTTGCCATTTTAATTGCATGATTTAGGAAGACGCTACTTCACTTGCCCCTCTTCCATCTTGGTTGATTTCCAATGTGAGCGCACATTAGATTGGTCTATGAAAGACTTCAGGAATCACAACTCTTAAGTCTTTTCATTTTCCCTCCCTAATGAAATAATTGAAATTCCTGTCAGTGTCTGCACTTAAGCCACACACAAACACCGCAGGCGTGTGTGTCTGAATGAATTGAGAAAGGCTTGTTTTGATCTTTTTGTCGTGGTCCGTCTTTTTCTTCGCTTTTTTGCCTTTTTCTTTTTTGTCTTTCAGGAGCCACAGATTCATTCCATCTGTCAAGCCCAGAAATAGATCACTACATCCATTTTGTCGAGATTTGCCTGTCCCATTAAGTGATTGTTTGCAGAAATGGCAGGGGACATTTCTTCTGATACATTCCCTGGAACAGTGCTGGCAAACATTAAGGACACATTATTGAGTCCCATTTTCTCCCAGCTACAAGGATATCCATTAGAGTGGTACACAGCCCTAAATTTTTCCATTTTCTCCCTCACCAAACTTGACTTTACACATTATTTCTACCTCTGTTTTGTAATTTGCAGTCACAAATTATATCAGGGAAAAGCCATCTCGTAGCATGTGGCTCCTCTTCCCAGGGCTATTTGCCAAGACTTGATTTTGAAGTGTCAAAATGGGCCCATCGTTACGGCTAATTCTGACTGACAGCACAGTGCTCAAAGTACATACAATCTGGCCCACAGTGGAAACTTTTGTTGTGTGTGTGTGCATGCGTGTGTGTGTGTGTGTGGCAGAGAAATTGTATGTATGTGTGTGTATCAGACCAGAGGATTTGGGTTCCACTCTGTTCACAAACAACATGCTGCCTTATACACACAGATGCTTTTATGGACCGAGCAGATGTCCCTGTATCTGTATTTTCTGAAGCACAGCTCACTCTTTTCAAAATGTTGATCCAAACATGACCTCAGTAGATGGACAATTTCGCTTTGATGCTCTATTAACTGGATGCGAAGATGAAAATGTGAGGAGAGAGAAGACAGGAGGAACCTCAGATTTTAAGAATTCAGGTTAACTGACCCCGGTCGGCACCTTGGTGAACACATGATGCCACCTAGAACAATTCACCACATCAAACCCTGAGGTTGGTGCAGTATGAGAGCAGGTTCTTCATATCATACATTTTTAAAATACAGATATTTAAATATTTTCCCTTCAATTAGCCTTAATTGTTTCGCTATTTTCAAATGCTTTCTTTTTACATGGACTGAATTAACCAGTCTGATCTCCTTTTTGCACACATATAAGGGCCTTTTCATAGAGAAGAGACATTATTGTGACATTAGTCTCTCTGTGTCATTCATTTGATCCTGGTTGGTTAGTAAAACATACCTAAAGTGTCATTATCAAATTGCTGCGAAAACTGAATCTGCTGTCATGATTATTATGACCAGCATTTTAAACTTAAACTCAATGCCATCATAAAAAAGCTTATTTATTCATTTAAACCTAATAACTGGTTATTGAGTGGACAGAACACATGTATATCACATTGTTTTTTTGCTCATCTGTAACCATACTTTTAATAGATTGAGAACTTGAAAAAAAAAAAAAAAATGTACATAGATGTCCTGTCTTCAGTTTGGATTCACCTGATGCGACACAGATTCCCCCTAATTTCAGAAATACCTCATCCGGATCCATTTATCAAGTAAACCAGAGCACTCTGAGTCTAGAGGAGTGTTGTGTATGGCACGTCGCTCCGGTCTTTTTGTGTAGTTTTTTCTGTTTAACTGTTGCTGGTGATGATTTTTCACAACATTCACCCAATGGTTGTTATTGTCCTCTTGCTGTTTAAGTCACTTTGCAGTTGCTGTTGCTTAAGTGTATTTTAAAAGTCTTGTTTTAATATAACCTGTCATTATCTGGCAGCTGCATGTGACTTAACTCAATAATGTCCAATTGATTATGAGTTCATTGCTACACTAAGTCATTCAGAGACAGCTCCAGGATATTGTGTCGCAATAAACACAATAGCTAGAAAAAAAAAGACATTCAAGAGCAGTTTCCCCCAGCTTTTTCACCATGTTGTGGACAGTACAATCACAGAGGCGTCAGAGAGCTGCTCAAAGGCCATAGCTGCCCCCCACTGAACTGACATTCTCAACGTGCCTTTCCCATTAATTCTGTTATTGTTGCAGCAACGGCCTCCTGGAGTCCTATCAAAGACCCAATAACTACTGCTTAACCAAAGTCCATTGCCAATTCCCCCGTCTCTCCCTCTCCCCTCTATCAGCCACTCACTCTCTGCTATAACAGCATGCTGGTGTACGAGCAACTGCCTTTCACTTCGACATGGCCGGGCTGAAAAGGCCATTATTACCCTGTAATTGTGGGAGTCAAACCCAATTAAGCAAATCTGTATGGGGGCAGATGCTGCAGCCCCCCCCCCCCCCCCCCCACCCACACACACACACACACACACACACACACACACACACACACACACACACACACACACACACACACACACACTAGCTGTTGGCCTTTCCTCTCCCATGCTGTCACTACACTTAAGCCTGCCTTGATCTGTGATGCAGCCTGAACAAACGGCAGCTCGGACCCCTGGCTTGGAGGAACATGCTGCTAATTGAGTTCTTGCTGGTCATTTGCTCCTTCTAAGTGAGCAAGAAGAAAAACTAAAAACTGCTGCCTCATCTGCTGAGTCCATGGGAAAAGGAAGTGCAATGCCACTCCTGGTGAAGGAAAAAAAGGTGCGCAAAACCCCTTTAATCCACAGGGAGAGGAGTGAGAAAGAAGGGCTTTGGCCTGTTCTGCAGCTCCAGCAGGGATCCACGCCGCAGAGAGGGTCTTCAGCTCCAGAGCAAACGCTCCCATTCAAGCAGCATGCCGCCCACTGGGTTCAACACTGCCTGTCTCCAGGAGGTTTGACTCTGAAATTAGGAGTGAACTGAGGCAACATTCAAGCTTACATGGATAAATCTGAAAATGCATCTCTTATTGTCTGTGCTTTTTGCCTCCCTGACCTACTGAGCAGGTGTTCAGTGGAAATGTGGCTTTTTAGAAGAATTTGGATGGTGTGAGCTACTCTCTAACTATGGAGGATGAATGTGACCGTTATTATTGTGTTTCTTTAAATTCTTAACAGTAATTTTTATTTTTACATAATAAATTAATAAATATTGTTTAATACAAATTAACAAATCTAGAGAATTACACAAATCTGGACAATGAGTCTGGACAAAATTCTTTTGCATTTTCGTCTTTTAATATCAAACAGTTTTTGAACTTTTTTTTTTGTTTGGTTGATGTTAAATTCAGCCAAACATTATAAAGTAGAGAAGAGTCTGTTTTTCTGCAGTTTGAATGTTTGGGTTTGAAAAAAGTGAAAACAGAAATAAAACAATCCACTGCACTAAAGACACACTGATGTGTGGAAATAGATGGGGCTAGAAATGAAAGTTCCTGAAATGAAAGCAAATCCTGCAGAAAAGATTGTTTTACTGTGAAAATTAACAGACTGATTTTTATCAGCTGATTTTCTCCCATTTATTTGTGATTTGACAACATTTGGCACAATAAATTGTGTTCATAATGTTCATAAAGTTTAACAGTGAAATAAACTCAGCTGACATGTGAAGTGTAATTCTGAGAGATATTTATCTTATTAGAAAGAAAGTAAAACCACATTTTCAACTAGACTTTGAGTCCTGAGAACTGATAGGTATTCAATCAGCTCATCATTCTCTCTCCACACACCAGGCAGTGAACTAATTACACAATGAAGGTGTCATCATTGAACAAACACAGGTTTACTGTGAGGAGTAAAATGTCAGCCAGCACTGAACCAACATACGAGTGGAGAATAAGCATCACATTGTTGCTGTGCAGCCCAGTGGGGATCACATGAATAAGTGCACTCATCCAGCTGATTTAAATGTGGCTGATCTCACACCTCTTTCACTCCTACCTTTGTTGCCTTCAGAAAGGAAGGGTCAGAATGGGTCAGTGGACACACACACCCCCATTAACTGGCTAGTAGTACTTGTGTGTGTTCACTGAATGGAAGACGGACAGGAGGCTGTTTTTCAGTCCAACCCTTGGTGAGAATACTCATGGTGTAGAGCACAGTGTACAAAGGGTAAACCTGGACCCAGAGCCGGAGTGATACACATACACACCAGCACAAAGACACGAGCTCAAACACACTAATACACACCAGCAAATAAACAGTAGCTCACGTACACAAAAATACACACTAGACGTACGCACTAGCACATACATACATGCATATGCACACCAACACATATTCAGATTCAGACAACTTCATTAATCCCCGAAGGCCAATTCATTTCACAGTAACCCAACTTGTTACACACAACAATGCACAAACACCAACACACACACGGCGACAAATGTGCAGTACTCTATAGCCTTGGACTATCTGTCTGTCTGTCTGTCTGTCTGTCTGTCTGTCTGTCTGTCTTCAGCCTGGTCAGCTGTGGTGTCTGTGAAGGTTCTGGATCATACACATAGACTGTATATAGAATGGACAGCGTCTGCCTCCTTGCTGGGTGAAGCCACTGCAAGAACAGCACCCTCTGTTGATGGGCTGCAGTATAGGTCATAAATCCCACCTCCGCCAGCAAAGCTTATGGAGCTGTGGACAAACTTTAGAAATTTATTACACAGAATATAAATGTTTCTCCCCCTGGTTGCGGTGTTGACATGTAGATACTGTCAGACTGGTTTGTGCTCAAGTCCTCTTTTTTTCTGTGAAGCTCCATTTTTAAAAGTTATTAGGGGATTCATGTTTTCTATGATTGACACCTGATACAGCCTATTGGCGTTCAGGGATTGCGTAGCTCTCCCAGGGGATACGCTGTTTGAGCCGAGCGTCATCACAGCGACTCTCGGCGACTGCGCTGCGCTGGTTTCAGGAAATGAAAAAAAATCCAGGAAATACTGAGAGCTATTTGGCTTCAAATCTGTATACAGGCGGTAGGCGGAACCAAGTTGTCCATAGTATATACAGTCTATGATCATACAGGGATCTCTAAGGCATCTCTAACTAAGTCCAGTTATGTCTTTGGATCAAGCCTTCAGTAGGTGTTGTGTCTGGGCTAAAGAGTAATCAGTACTCAGTAGTGGTACATATTGTTTGATGATTAGTATTATTATTAATATTATTAATAATAAGTATTAACCACATTATTATTATTATTGTGATGTGTGCATGTGCATCCCAGGAGATGAGGTGCCAGTCATATGACCTGAGACATCACTGTGCTGTCACCACTTCCTCATGGTCCAGGGGAGATCTACAACAGACATCCATTTAAAGTCACTTTGAAATAACCCCTGTCATGTGAACATGGAAAGTATGAAAAGTGCTAAAGTTTTATAAATCTATCTGATATATAAATAATTGTGTAGCTGTCAAATCACACACACACACACACACACACACACACACACACACACACACACACACACACACACACACACACACACACACACACACACACACACATATATATATACACATTAGTGCTTCCATAGGGTTACATTTTTTTTATCAGAACGATTAATAATTGCTGTAGATCAATTTCATTAATCACAATCAAGTATTATTCATTTTTAATGTTAAATGTTTGATTTTGCAAGAGCAAGCAGACTTAAGAAAACTAAAGTGCTAGCAGAATCCCAACTAACATATCCTTTGCGTTAATGGGATATTTTAAGCTGGAAGTGCTTAAGTGAAAGAAAATTTCACAGTATGTGCAACACTTTATGTTGGTCAACTGTGCCATCATGGGTTTGGTACACAAAATTCCCATGGAGAGGGTTAACGTGCTGTTAAGAATGCATTGCCAGAGACGTTTCAGGGATTTGAGTCATTCTGCATTGCAAATGGGTTAATTGCATGTGAATTTTTCATCATAATAATCACAGTGATGGTTTTGAGGTTAACACATCGATTTTGACAGCCCTGAAATATAAAAATGAATAAACAAAGTTATATGTGTGTAAAAAAAAAAAAAAAAAAAAAAAAAAAAATATATATATATATATATATATATATATATATATATATATATATATATACATCAATAAGAGCAAAACAAATGCAGCACTTTAAGCAACAATATATATATATATATATATATATATATATATATATATATATATATATATGTCTCTTTTAAGTGCTGCATTTGTTTTGCTCTTATTGATGTGTGTGTGTATATATATATATATATATATATATATATAATATAAGTATAAGAGGTGACAGTAACTGTCTGGTTCACAGGTTTAAAAATACTCATCTTCAGGTGTCCTGGTTTCCCTCCATGGTTACCACCCACATCAATAAGAGCAAAACAAATGCAGCACTTAGAGAGACAATTGAGGAGGCCACAGCCAGTAATTAAGCAGTTCATAAGGCAATCTCATTAATTATCCTCTTTACTGCAAGCTACATTCTCTAAATGTTGTGATTACATGCATATTGACTCTAAATCCTATGATAGAATGTTCTTTGCTCCACTTCCTGATGGAGTCTAAAAAAGGAGTCATTTACAAATGGTTTTATTAGGCAGAGTGCCCACACGGCCCTTTAAAATGTTACTTGGAAATGCAATTTCACCTGCCGTTTGCAGGAGGCTTTCATGCACTTAAGCAGAGGTCATGCAAACAGCAATGCAATTAGTGGTCTCCCTTTTACAGAGTCTGCTGACTTGAAGAGCGTTACACACCTTTTCTGCTTCATTCAACATTAATCATTTGTTTTCAAGGGAAATTGTCTGTACGAAAGACAAGAAGTCATTCTGGCTGGCTTCTACACAAAAGGTATTTGTTCGACCAAGGGCCAGGAACTGGTGGCTCTAATGCTCCTCCCCTCAGAGGGTACCCCAGTGTCTCCCTGTGACTATGCCAATAAATAATAGATAAATGATTGAGGAGAAAACTTTTTTTTCTCCTTTGTTTTTCACTGATGATTGTTCCTGTTTAGTGTGAGTAGCCTTTATGCCAAATGATTATAATAATTTTTGAAATTTTCTGCATCTAAAGTGTGTCGCCAGTGTGGTGCCAAATGGCAGCTCAATAGAAATTGCTAGCCAGCGTGCAACTCTTGGACAAAACCACAAATGTGTTATTGAAAGGCTCCCAAAACCTGACAAACTTGTGTTAAAAACACTGAATGCTGTTCTCAACAATTACAACCTGATGGAGTCCTGGCTGTCTTATGATCAACCTCGCTGAAAAGGGCTCCAGGGGCACTGACGACAAGCTGTACTGCGTGTGTGTGTGTGTGTGTGTGTGTGTGTAGATCAAAGTTTCAGCTTACAGCCTCTATACTGATAAAATATGCAGAAATTCTTTGAAACAGGGACCACATTACACAGGTGACAAAGCACAAGCACAGCTTCAAAATGTTTTTTTTTTCCCCAACACGGTTCTAGTTTAATGTCAAAAAGACATCTGGTTTTATTCTCTCCTTTGCTGCTGGTCCGTGACAAAGTCCCTCAGGATGTACTTCTGCGAATGTTCAGTTTTGTTTTTGTCTGATATTTCTCATTGAAAAAAACATGCAGACAGTTGTATTTATTGTATTTCTATTACAATGAATGTGGTTTTATTTGAATGAAAATACCAGGCCATTATAACAGTTTAGAAATGAAATAAAGATGACACACTGCAGTTTGGCCTAAATTTGAACACAAACATGTCTGTTTAGGTCTATCATTTCCACAGACTGAAACCTAAAAGGCTACATTTCTTTCTTTTCTCAAAGGTTTCGAGGTTGTTTTGTTGGGGAGAGGGGTGGGCAAAACAGCTCAGGTTTTGACCCGGGGACAGACTCATAAAGAAAGGACCAGAAACCTTTGTATAATGTGTTGACCACTTCTTGCGGACAGCAGACTTTTTTGATATCTATGTGCAGGAGGAACTGAGGAGGTGAAGATAAATGTGCACTCATATTCGTAGCATATCTTTTAGTTTGACACAAATATGTTTTATTCATTTTTAGCATTTATCAAAGCCATGGTGATGTTTAACATTGATTAATGAGGGGCACTTGTGTGTGTTGAATTCAGTCTGTGTGCCGGTCTGTGTGGGTCTTTGGTGTGTGTGTGTTGAATTCAGTCTGTGTACCGGTCTGTGTGGGTCTTTGGTGTTTATCAAAACCCAGAAGCACACAACACAGCAACCACAAACTATTAGCAAATTTCTAGTCTAATAAAAGAACCTCTTAAATGCGAGCAAATGCTGAAATTTGTGCAACTTCCTCGAAGCCTATCCAAGCTCATGTCGAGCCTCTCAGCATGACTCTAAATGCAGATAATGAAGAAATGGAAAATGGAGGCCAAATTGACCCTTTCACAGCATGTTAAATCAGCTTGTATGGGTACCTGGAGTGGCAGTCCCCCTCCCATCAATAAAATAATTTAAGAACACATTATACTCCTTTAAAAGGGCCCATTTGTCAGACCAGGTGACTCTTAAAAGACCCTGCAGATTAGAGATGCCCTACATCAGGTGCTTTTAATTCAGCCATGATCAATATGACTTAGGCTGCCAGTTGTGTTGAGAGTGAATATTAAAAAAGCGTGTTTCAGTTCAAATGTCTCTTGTGTATAAAGTCGATAATAGTAGACGGGGGGTAGGTATGGAAACCGTGCACTTTGGGCTGTACTTGTACATTTTCTGAATATGCATGAGCTTTCCCTTAAAATATCATAATGATCAGAGCGCAGGCAGTAGTAAAGAAAGATGTCTGGTCTTTTCTATCATTATGACACATTCACTCATGATAAAGGGACAGTTGGGTTTTAAAGCACTTCTACAGTATTATAATTAACTGTGTACTGATAATAATGAATAATAGAGTAAACAAATAATATCTGTTGTTCTTAAATAGGGCCTTTCACTCACTTCATGCTGATGTTAACTGTTAAACTGCTGCTGCCACGAAACCCCACACCTCACACTGTGCTGCTTTGTTAGCTTTGTTATAGTCTCTGCAGCTCGTTCAGAACTCATGATGACATTATATCATCAACAATACACTAATCACTTATTATGAAACATACAAATATATTCTATATTCTATTATTACCAGATTATTGAAACATGGAGAGAGGATAAACTACAGCTGTTTGCTGAATTCGAAACATTGAACTCACACATGGGATATCAGGACTAAATGAGGCCGATTCTATACAAATGACAGTGTCTTTACATGTGTGTTTGTTCATCAAATTATTGATGCAAATACACTGCCAACTACATCAGTCATCTGCCAGATACTGAGACAAAAACCATTGTTCTGCATTGTAAAAAGCACATTTGTCAGCTGTCTTGGACTTGCTGTTTTCCCCATCTGTTTGTGAGGGAATGGAGGCTCACAGCACCTAAGTCAGGCAGTGATTTGGCATGTTAGTAAGTGTGTTGGGGCTAATCAGACAGAGGGGCCACTGTAATGGACAGAATCTGGGCAGAATCACAGCTAGACCTGCCACAGTAGGGAGCGGGCAGAACATCTAATTTCTCCACTATGTCAGTGATCGCACAGACGGAAATGGGGTCAACAAAGGTGCAGGCAGTATCAAATGAACAGCTGTTGCTTTTCTTATTGTAGAGCTGCCAAAGAGGAGAATCTTGGCAGAGCCCAGCCCACAGCATGCACCTGCTTTTGTGTCGATGCAGAAGAACGTATTTACAAATTAAGGGCAGGACCTGCGTATATTACTTTCATTCTTCATCTGTGAAGCCTGTCTATCACTGATGTACACTGTGGGAACACTCAGAGCAGCTGTGTGATGAAATGTACGTAGGGTTACTCATAGATTCCTTTACTGGCTGGGGTTTTATGCATCTGTTATAATGGCAAAACAATTGGCTATTATAAAGACACCTCTCGTAGGGAAACAAGGTGATGGTGTGTACATTGAAAAGCCTGGAGGTAACTGCTGAAGTGGAAGTGTTTGTGATGAGAAGATATATATGTATTAATAAAACTATTAAGGCCCAGTATCTGGAAGCTCTGAGAATTTGCAGCCCACTTTCAGCGTGATTGGACCGCTCCAATTCTAATCACAAAGAACAGAGGTATGAAGCTCCACTTCATTATGATGGGGAGTGTCCATGTATATTGTCTATTTAAAGTATTCTCAACCATTTCAGATGGAAAATATGGATGAAGAAAATGTCTTTTTCAGTCACAGTGCACATCTAGTGAGCCTTCACTTTTTTCATTAACATTTGGTGAATTTTTTTGGCATGTAAACTTGTACTCATGCTTTTTTTAATCCTCTGTTTGCTTTAACATTAGACTGTATCCCCTCAGCAGCTATCCACATATGATGTTGCGCTAAGGGTGACACATTTGTACATCCTTTTCATGTATTAATTAGGATGCCTCAGGTCATGTGTCAAATCAACCTCATTAATCTGAATTACAGTGATCATTTCACAGCTCCCTGACTGATGAGCAGCAACACAGATCTGTGCTGGTAACCAGGGGAAAGCTGAGATCACATTTAAGTCATAAAAACACATTTGATATTAATATAATAATAAATGATATTTGTCTGAAACAGTCACTGCATTGAAAATAATCATGTCACTCGGCTAGATCTCTGCAGAAACAGAATTTTAGGCACATTAGCTTCTTTTACTATAGTAACTTTATTATTTCTTATCATGGGATGGCGTTGTCTACCCTCAGTGAGTGCACATTTTCACAGCTGGAGCCCCTCCTTACCCTCACTGCTAACGCAGACTCCAATGATAGCCGTCTACCACTGTTTGAATCTACAGCACAGAAACAATCTCAGGTAAGAAGAGTTAAGATTCAGTGAATTTCCAGGCCAATTGTTGTGAAAGTCACTTACTCAAATCAAGGTCTACGTAAGCCACAAGGTGTGCTACTCTTTCTCAGTCCCTGAGGAGACCCAGGATTTGAAGTACCTTCAGTCCTGCACCATCCTGATTCAGTATGAATCTGAACCAGATGAAAATTGCCATACTGAACCACAAAACAGTGCAGTATCAGAAAGTGTACCTTTAATCTTTAAGCTAGTAAGTGGGTCACTACAGGATGTATCATCAGCATGTATCATTTCCCAGGTCCACAGCCTTGTTTTTACTTTTTAAGGTCATGACATACTGGGGCAAATTTGCAAAGTGAAAATTTTCCTTTTTTTTAAACTTCATGAAGTCAATGCAAAGCTTCCACACCGTCTACGAACTTCCACAGAGCGAAAAAGCAACTGTAATTTTTTACCCCTGTAGTGAGTTTTTTGAACATTCGCAGGCAAACTGCTATTTAATCTATAGCCTAATATAAATCTTACCTCAGACAAATGGCAAGCCCTGGAGTCAGCTGATGGAACAGTTCTTAAAGTTGTCTAAAGTATTAGACAACTTTAAGAACTTTAAAGTATTGTCAAAATTTCTCAGGATACAATTTAAGCTCCTGGATCATTGTGTGGAGTTCCTCCATCTCCAGTCTCAAGGTCAGTATTGGATGTACCCAGACACTTTGATTCTTCTTTTTCTTTTGGTTATTTAATAGACTTACAACCATGACCAGGTCCTCATAACTTGAGGATGTAGTTGCCTTTTTTTCTCCTTCTCCTCTCTCCCCCGTTCTCCTTGGACGTATTTTTATGCGAATATGCAAATTTTATTTGTGTTGCACCAGGTGTGTATAGGAAAAGGCATAAGCCGAATATTTCACATTTTCGTATGTAATGACCTTTGGTCTGACATATTCTTTACTGTCCTTGCAGACTGTGTGCATGTATACCCACTTCTCTGAGTTGGTTGTCCTATAAATTATCTCCATTGTACTCTGACTGGAACCCCCCACGTTCCGACCTTACTTTTCAGCTTCTGCTTCTGCTTCCATCTCTACGTATCTGAGCTTTTTCCTATGGCACTATCAACTATCAGTATAAACTTCTACTGACTGATTAACCATAGCTCTTTGTCTGGCCTCAGGTTAGAGTATCACTTGTGAAACAGAAAGTCCTCCTGTCAAATCTTCTTGAATCTTCTAATTCGTAGCACTTGTAGGTGGCATGATGTGTCCCACCTTCTTTCTACTCAGAGTTAATCCTCAAAAAGGCCCAAGGTAAAATGTCAGACTTTAGAGCAGAATTCAACGTCTATAACAGTTTTGGTCTATAGCTTGATTCCACACAACTAACAATGGTACAAGAGGTTTTCTTTCAGGTTTATAAGCCCTGCAGGTTTACATGGCCCACAATCAGAGGACTCTGTGCTACAGTTTGCTCACCCTTTGGAGCTGTAGTGATATGCTGTGTATTTGTTCGGCCAAAATGGATCATTGTTGTATGCTCCCTTGACTTGGCTTATTAACTCCCTGTCCTGTGTTTTACCATTGTCCCACTTACAGATCATGTTGTCGATGTCCATCCAAAAAAAAACAAAAAACCTTAATTCCCTCCTGTGTATTACCTTTAACACTGCTTGGCAGTTATTGTGACTTAATGGACTTGAAGCCCTCTGTAGCTCTGACTGATCTGGTTTCTTCTTGTCTAGCTCTTTGCTTGTGTTGCTCTTGTTCTCGTATGGGTAAAAGCGCCTGCTAAATGACATTGTACCAGATCAGCCTGAGCATAATGAGCCAGTTTCACCTGCCCCTTCAAGTTAAATCAAAAGAAAAAACAAGATTGCATTCAAAGTATGGAATCAAGGCACCAGAACACAGACCCACTGCTGTCCCTGTCTGCTTTTTGCAGATACAAATGCAGTCTCTTGTTGCAGTCCAGTCTTCCCTCTGGCCCAGTTCTGATGATCCCTGTGTCAAACACACCAGATGTTTTAGCATACGTCTTTTAAAATGATAAAAATTTAGCATGATAATTTATCACTCTGAATATCCTAGGAAATATATCCCATATTCTGTATTGTGATGGTTGCTACATCTTCTAACTTTTTCATGTAAAGCTGTTCAGATATTCCAGGTTTAAGTGAGAAAATGAATAAAACAGACCAGGATGGCTTTATTTGCATCCCCACATCAGGCTCCACAGCTCTCATAGTAACAAGCAACTCAGCAGACAGCTCAGCAGTCAAAGACAGGGAGCATGCACAGGCCATCTGTAGCTGAGATGCAGTAAAGCTTCCCCATCAGCAGAAGTAATGGATTAAAGGCCACTGTAGCTCTGCAGTTTGCCAGTCAATATTCTTTCTCTGTCCTCAAGCCTAAACCCCCCTCCTTCTTCTGTCCCCATTCCCGCTGGAAAAAGTTGATTTACCATCAATTGCCACCTTGGCTGGCGCCATTAATGCACGCCCACAAAAAGGATGACACATGGCATTATCACCTCAGTCCCTTTCAAATTAGAGCTGAGCGCTGCCTTGGCCCAGCTTGTGACTGGTTAACACTATCAGCTATTTGTAGGGATTGTTCCCTAATATGCAGCATCGAAAGATTTCATCAGGCATCTGATGACGGAAATAAACCACTGCCCACAGGGAAATTGAACTGATTAATGGAATTATGCGTTGGTGTGGTGGGGATGCGGGTGGCAGACTCTCACATGAGGGTGAGCTGAATCATTCTCATAAGGCAGTCTGGAGCAGACTGGAGCAGTGGCCCCGGTTTGCATCACTGTGTGTCCAGTGGAAAAGACAGATCTGCAAATGGTGCCTGTTCTCAACCTGCCTCCAGCTGCCAGCATCCTGGTGAGAACAGACTGCTTTAAGTTAGGAGGTGTTCACCTCACAGAGGGGGCACTGTTAGTTTTACAGTGTGGGTAGGAACAGCTCAGGAATGCAACTACCCTTATTTTAAGACAACCCCCCCCCCCCCCCACTCCATGCCCAGCTCTGTATAAGGCTTTACCCAGTCACCAAAATGGCCCATCAAACACCAACATAGCCTTGTCTCTCTCTGCTCCATGTCAGCCTCTACTTGCATGAATTGTTTGTGGCCCTTCAGGAGCTCCTCTCAGTCTCTCTCTTTCTCCCTCGCTTTCATTTTTGAAACATATTAAATAATATCAGATGTTCAGCACACTCACCTCTCATGTAACAGCTTTGACTTGCTCAAGTATTGTAAAAGAGAACATAAAAGTTAAAAGTCATGATTGCCACGGGTTAGAGTTGATAATAACAGTCTGTCAGCAGATCATGTTAACAATTCAACTAGATTTTCATTCTTCTTACCTCCCTGGAAAAATACATATTTCTAGTCTATAATCAGCTCTTAAATATAATGAGTTAGTATGTTTACCACAGAGCTGACACTGATAAGAGTCCAGCCATTTTCAGAAAACTGAGGTTGGTTTTAGTTGCATTTTTATCTTTGTGTCTAGTTTTGGTTTAGTCAAAATTTAGTCAGAGGGGCTCAGTTTCCACTATAGTCTCATTCTAGTCAGCGTTACTTGTCTAATGTTTGTCAAAATTTTTAGAGACAGTTTTATGATAGGTCTTCAAAAAAGACATTTCACCATCTTATTATTATTGATCCACTTGGCTTAAAATTTGCTCCAAACTTTGACTTCCTTTTGTTGTAGAAAAAAAAAAAAATACTGAAAGCCCAAAAGTTGATTTGAAAAGTGGGATAAGTGGGATATGGATTTTTGGGGCCGATGCTGATACCGATTATTATGGAGGAAAAAATCCGATTGCTGATTAAAAAAAAAATATATATGAAATTTTGTTTATTTTAGTAATATTAATAATATTAAGTTAAGTTAACTTCTAACTCTTTTGCTCATCATCTTCATAACTCACATCCCTCAAAACAAACAATAAAAAAACAACTGCAAAAGAATGAGGTATTTATTAACATAAGAGCAATATTAATATAACATTCACAAGCCCCTACAACTGTGAGTTGCTCTTAATACTTCCAGTTCAGCAATGGAATGTTGTAATGTAGGAAGTACAGCTTTTCTGCATTTTCTCCCTTGAGGAATCTACACTTCTCCTCATAAATGTTACTGATGGTGCTGAACACCCTCTCATTTGGCAAAGAGGAGGGTGGACATGAGAGTTACCTGCGAGCAAGGCTGGACAGTTTCTTGAAGTGGCACCTGTTGTTTTTCCGCCACTCCAATGGATAATACTATTTATCATGAATCAAACTCGGACCAGAAAAGCGTTTTCAGCTACCCCGCTGAAATGTCTCATTGGGTAAGATGTCACAGTGGATTTTGCAGCTAATAAAACAAAGACAGAATTATTGTTGTTCTCATTTTTTAACTTGAAAGTGAACATCAAAGTCAGGCACAGAAAATGTTTATCATTGAGCTAGAAAAAGTTGTTGAACATAGCCACTGAACAAACGTTAACATAAAGGGCTCTATTTTCGTGTCCACCTCACCGGCGGAGGGTAGCGGACCCCACGCAGTGGTATTTTCGTCTGGTGGAGCCCGGCGTAAAGCCAGTTTGGTATTTTCGTGGACTGAGGCGCACCGAGGTCCGCCATGCTGAGCATGGTGGCGAGGCAGAGGGAGGTGTTGACAGAATCAGCTGGCGCAGTGACATTTTCGTGCTTGCCGGTGGCATATAAAGTGCGCTGAAAGCTCGCCGATTCAAACCTGGTCAGCTTTCTGTGCAGGTGGAGCGCAGCTGGTCTAGTGGTATTTTGGTAGACCGGCGGTGTATCGGCATATGTCACCGAGGTTTCCACAGTGTCAGGCACATTTCAGTGCAATAAATAATCATCAACAACTAATAATCTGAGTCAGAACATACATTTAGATCTATATAGATATATTCTGATCTATGTCTGATCTGATGAGCGCGTTTGGCACGCGTTTGGACACACAACCTGACCGAATCAACACAGCTGTAACCACATTAAATTAAATTAAATTAAATATCTAGTATCTAGGTCCATGCGCACAACCCACCTTTGTCACGTGAGGTTTGAATATATGCAACTTTATGTGAGTGTCTTTATTTGTGGAAAAGGGTGTTTGTCTTACCAGTGGGTCCAAACTTACACCAAATCCATCTGCGCTTATATGAGAGAGTGTGGAGGACGCCCAATGCAGCGCTTACAGTGACACTTGTTGAGGGGCTGCCTTCTGTCATCATCGTGTGGCATTGTTGTCTTCAGACATCTCTTGATCTCTTTGACTACCTCACGAAAATTGTAATACACCTCGCCGGTGGCGGATTTAAATGCGAGGAGAGGAGCTGATATAATTGGTCAATACAGGTCTCGGCTGTGTTAAACCCACTCCACGCCCTCTCTCCTCCCTTGCTACGACTTATGCTGCTGGGAGGAGCTGAGTTAGGGAGGGGGGATACTTACGCCGGGCTGCGCCGCTCACCAAAATACCAAATTGTGCTTGGGAACGCCTTGTTAGTGCGGCGGACCTGACTTACACCGTGCCTGTGGCACATCTCCGACGAGGCACGAAAACAGAGCACAAAATATTTTGCAACATGCTCTGGAGTATGGAGATCTGTGTGACTCTGTATTTCAGCTGGGGTGAATGTTTTGCAGTACCAAGCCAAGGTATGGTAGTTGACATTAAAGTCCTTTACTGTAGCCCAGATTGATTTATTAGCTAGGGTCACCTGCCTGACTGCCCTCAGCATCACGTCAGGCACTGCCACATCCTGTTTTTGAAATTCCTGACCATGTCTTCTCGCTTTCTCCTCTCCTTTAAACCACTCTTTTTTTCAGTGGAAATAAAGTCAAAATTTCAATATGACAACTTCTGATAAGCAGACTCTCTGTGTTAATTTAAATCCCATTTAAACATGTGACAATTAACCCCAAAATGACTGAGACATGTTGCCCCAAACTACCATGTTTGCTAATTCTAGCTCCAGCTTTTTTTTACTTTGGGTTGCGTGAAATGGTTAATTGGCGCTCATCTCAGCTCACAATGTGCTCTTCTCTTCTCAGACAGGACACACCCCCTGACCATGTAAAGGAGGAAAAGTAGTATTATTTCGTATTATTTAGTAGTAGTATTTAGTTGCGCCCTCTGGTGGCAAAGATAATTACAATGTGACAACTTACCCATGTGACAACAAGCCCCGGTCTTCCCTATCTCATTTGACTATTCCAACTGGTAATCTCAAGACAAAATGAGTCAAAACTATTGATTGGAATTATAATATTTTTTTTTATCAGAATGGCTAATCTTTTAGCATATGTTGCCCATCCCTAGTGACCAGACATCCTCATTTAGGATTTTGGAGTCCCAAAAGCCATATCTAAGGCTTTTGGACTACAGAGAACCACATTGAGAGCCAGTGTCCAGAAAAAGAAGAAAATGTAGAACAGTTGGAAACCCTCCCAGGAGAGGCTGATCTACCCAGATTACTCCAAGAGTACACTGAGGACTCACACAGGAGGTACAGAGGAGCCCAGAAACACAGCTAAAGCCCTGCAGGCCTCAAGCCGAAAACATACAGATTCCGTATTGAGTGGGTTTCATATTTGCTCTGTAGAACATTCCTGGGTATCGCATATAGGATGTGAATTTGGAGCGTAGCAGCAGTGTCGTGCAGCCTCGGTCAGCTGGACTCAGTACAGAGGAAGCAACATGCTCACAGCAGGTTGTTTTGTCTTTCTGTGGTCTATTTCTTGCTAATTTGGATTTAATTCAGTTACCGTTGAGCCTCTACTATATGTGAAAAAGCAACCTTATTGTACAGTTCTGGTTTTTGCAGGTTTACTGGTGTTTATTAAGTAAACTATGTTCCTTTATGCTGTGCTGTTACCTTCAGACAGAGTAGCAGTTAAAAGTCCTGTTGGGTCCACATGTATCAGGGATTGACCATCAGATTGTTCTGTGTTACTTATAAATCCATAACCAGGAAGTATTTCTCATCTACACGATCTGATACACAGTTGGGAGTTCACATATGGTTTTTTATTTTGAAATACCAGAAGACATGCGGTTTTCATGCGTGAACTTCCTGTTGAGAACAATCTTACCCCTTTCCCCTTTCCCCTGATTGATGCACATTGGAAGCATAGAGCAGCAAAAATAGACTTGTCACGTATCTTTAGCAGTGCTGCTATCGATACGATGCTGCAACAGAGCTGATACGCATCCTGTATACGATGCTGAATTGATTAGAATGGCAACCTATTTGCTGCTTGCAATGCTGACAATAGGCGCTCAATACGGATCCTGTATGTTTTAGCCTTCACTTGGCTCAGATTAAGTCTGTAAGGATGATTTTTTTAACCATTCATGTCACCATTCAGGGTGGCTGAGCTGTGTAACTCCAATACCTTAGATATTGTGGTGCCATGGGTCTCCTGGAACCATCCCAAACCAGGAGCTTCTACTATGATAAAGAAGAGACTGGGCAAAAATGGCATCCATGAGAGAGCTCTAAGACCAAAACCACTGAGACTGAAAAGACCACAAAAACTCATCTCACATCTGCCAAAAAACACACTGATGACCCCCAAGACTTCTGGGACAATATTCTGTGGACTGACCAGATAGAAGTGGGACTTTCGGGTATGTTTGAATCCAGTTACATCTGGAGTCAAACTAACAGCATTTAAGAAAAAGACCATCAGACACTCATGGTGGTGGTAGTGTGATGGTTTGGGGCTGGTTTGCTGCCAACTGAACCCATGAATTCTGCTCTCTACCAAAAATTCCTGAAAAAGGATGTCTGGCCATCTCTACCAAAAATTCCTGAAAAAGGATGTCTGGCCATCAGTTCAAGACCTTAAGCTCAAGGAAACTTGGGTTCTGCAGCAGGACCATGATCCAAGGCAAGTCCAACTCAAAAAAACCCAAAATGAAGGTCTAGGAGGGCCCAGTCAAAGTCCAGACTTTCATCTGACTGAGATGCCATGGCCTGACCTCAAACAGGCCATTGATGCAGGAAAACCCTTTATTCAGGTGCAAATATGATTTGACCCCCCAAAAATTCAAAAGGTTTCTCAGCTGTTTTTTTTTTTTTTAATAGTATTATATGTCCTTAAAAACAAACAAGTTTGTCCTCTAGATAGGTGTCATTTTCAAGATAGCGTCCATGATGGGAAGGAAGCCAGGAGGAGACACCTCAGGTGAATAGGGTTAAATTTTTAACCAACAGATATCACCATAAACCAAATTTATAACTTACATTTAAACAAATATTTGTTGTATTACAAGTTTTGTCAAATGTTATGCTTTAATATGTAAATGAGGCAATATCTAATTTATACATTTATAATACCTCAACCAAATACCACTGCCAAAGAGTTTACCTCCAGATCATGGTGTGGATTGGAAAGGAAGGTGACATGAACACAGTGCACTGGGGATGGAAACTGGTGGACAACCAGTTCTTGACAGTTATGACCAGTAAGACTGCTGCCCCAGAAAGTCTCCTGCAGATGATCCACTGTATTTGCATAACTGCCTGCCAAACCCAATGGTGCAATTGGAGGGCATATGGATTACCATGCATGTCTCTTTGTGGACCATGTCAAGATGGGAAGCGTGAGAATCAATCGTGTGTCAACAAAAATAAAACAAGAATTTTGAAATGGGCTGTTTTCCTTGTTCAGTTTTCGGTTCTGGTAATGTATGTGAATTTAATTAGATATGGCCTCATTCACATATTCAAACATAACATTTGACAAAACTTGTTTTATGGTGATATCTGTTGGTTAAAAATTTTACCCTATTCACCTGGGGTGTCTCCCCCAGGCTTCCTTCCCATCATGGATGCTATCTTGAAAATGACACCTTTACAGTGGTCAAACTTTGGTAAACTTTAAGTATGTTATTAAGGACACCTTATATTATAAAAACGGCTGAGAAACCTTTTGATAGAATTTTTTTTGGGTTAGGTGTTTGTTTGTTTTTTTCATATTTGCACCTGCCTACTCCAACACAGCTGAATGAAAAGAATCCAGCAAAGGAGAGTGGACCCAAACTCCTCCACAGTCACGCGAGAGACTTACTGACAGTTATCACAGATGCTTCACAGCAACTGCCCAAAGGGGAACAACCCAGCTATCAGGTTTAGGAAGAGATGACTTTTTCACATAGGGCCTGGTTGGTTTGGAGCTTTTTCCCTTAATGATGAAATCATGGTTTAAAAACTGCATCTTGTATTTACCCAGGTTATCTTTGTCTGATATTCAGATTAGTTTGATGATCTGAAACATAAAAAGAAAACTGTGAGGGGAAAACACTGTTTACAGCAGTATAGCTATTTCACAGAAGGCTGTAATCAGTCATCTTACCAAGGTATACAGGCCAAAGAAATTGTCTTTATCAAGGAGGGAGTGAAAATTTGTTCTGGCACACATGTTGCTAATAAATAATGAGTTTCAAAAGGTAAAAAGAAATAATTTATATACTTTTTAAATACAACACCCGGAGGACAACAATATGATGATCAAATTAACTATTTTTCATGAAAAGAAACACAACAAAGTGTACAGATCTTTACCATTGTTTACATTTTTGGCATTATACCATGAGACATCAGTATCACCTTTTAAAAGTGACTAATGTATTTTAACTACCCTTCAACCAATTGAACACTATCTAAAACGTTCCTATTATTTTTATTGATTCAACAAAAACATAAACAGCGGTCAGCTGCAGGTATGTCTGAGTTTATTACACACCTACCACCATCCATTAGAACAACAATAAGAGAAGTAAAAAGCACATCAACTTACAGCACACAGGTCTCGATGGAGCCCTAAGCAAAATTTGATTTTGGGGCCCTCTATTTCACCCAATAATAATGATTGTTTATCATTCACACACCTTCACAAATCTCTTTGATTAACATTCCATGGCATACAAACATACCTTTATCATGGCGTTTTTTCTTTTCTTTCTCTTTCTTTTCTCTGCTCTTGAAGGATATGCCTTTTTTTTGCGACATTGTTTTGCCCCACAACTACCTGCACTTTGGATGCTAAGAGCACATTGCAGAGCAGAAGGCACATAATGGTAGCAGAGCTTTGATATATCGGCAATAAGAATCATAGGCCTACATCATCAGCAGCACTAAAATGTTTTACTTTATTTTATTTTTACAATAATACATATGCGATCATACAGAAAGCATCACTTATACATGCAAAAAAATATATTTATTGAAAAAGATATTTTTTTTCGATTGCTCGGGGAGCCCCTATTGGCTGCGGGGGCCTAAGCAGGCACTTGGTTCGCTTATACCTTGGGCTGATACAGGACTGATACAAACATTCAGACCAGGTTTAGACAGTCAGTCCAGGTTATACAGTCATTAGACTAAGTCAAACAGCTGTCCTCCTACAGTGAATGATGGTTCATATAATGAGGACATCCCACAGACTCAGATGTGTCCTCTTCAGTGGACTGTGGTGTCAGACAGCTGTCTGTAGTGAGGACCAGGTCTATCATTTAAAAGCTGATGAATTACTGATCTGGGGCTGACACACCTTCACAATTATCCATCTGAGCATCAGCACTCCTTGCAGTAAGCACACCTTTCCTTTAGTTTACCTGACTGTCAGTTGGTGGATGTCAGTTGGTCTATTGATGGAAAACTCTTATTTGTTTTACTTTCCCTTCTTTCTTTCTGTAGAGAAGATCCATACTCCAATGAAAATACTTGGATAAAAGTTTAAAATGACACAACAGCTACAAAAAACAGAATTCACGAACAGGGACCTACAGTAAATGTAATGACTCTCTCAATTCATGAAGACAATGACTGAAGATTTCAGAGAGGACCATAATCAGTTCAGTCATCCTGTAAACTGAGTCTGGTTCTGTTGACAGGTACAGTAGAGCCTGGCCTGCATGGCTGAAATGACAACTGTCCAAACTGTCCAGCCTAAAACAGATAAACAAAACTCAAACTGTGAGGCTGTGAAACTTATCACTCATACCTGACTGTGGGTTTTTGACATCCCCTCTGGTATCTGGCTGATCTTTTGGTTCAGCTCAGCTCTGACTGCCGGACTCATAGTTAGAGTGAGATGTGTTAAGGTCGAAACTGTGGGATTTTTTTTGTATTTTAGTATCCCAATATGAATACATTTAAGATGCAGCTGTGATCTGTCCTGGTTCTTTCTGATTCCGTCTTACACCCGAATTAACACCTGATGCATGGGTTATTAAGTTTTATTCAAAGCTTGATCATGAACACGTTTCTGCTAATATTCTGCCTCTGCTTTGTGATGTTAAAGGGGTTTTTATATGTCACAATCAGCAGCAATAAATCATTCATTTTTGTAAACACTATTAAATTTATGTTAATAGATCATGACAGCTGAAAACTGTGGCTAACACTACCAGGAGACTCCTTTACGGATGTACTAAAGGTACTCGGGTTCAGTGATCATATTTCTCCACACAGTTAGATCACACAAATACTTGGCCCGGTGTCAACGCTCAGTAATTCAAAAAAAGATGCAAGACCTGTAGTTTCTCTATATATCCCACAGGTTTATAAATTAAAAAATGAAGCTTCCAGACACTGAGGGACAAATCAAAGAAATACTTGAATTTGACCTTCTTCATCAAAATCATAAACTCTGATAATCTGAAGGTGTTTGTGAGGTTTATTCACTTCACACAGACAGAAGAACAACATACTCCATGATACAACTTAACTGTCATGAGTACTATGAGAGTCTGCAGAAAGCTGATCCATCTATCCTCTGAGACGAAGCAGGAGTGCCCTCTAGTGTTCAGTGGAACATTAGAGTGGAACTGTATCAAGTCTAATCCAAATACACTTAGAAGTCCAGACCACAGCACACCAGTCAGAGGTTCAGGAATCAGGGAGTAAATTAAACTCCTTTGTGCATTATGGATTCATATTTGTCATTTTTTCAAATGGAAAAACTCTAAACCTTTAATATAAACAATGGAAAAAATATAACAGTTTACCAAAAAGTCCAATGATATGAATTAATCAATAAACATGGAGTTTGCTTGTCGATAGTAATAAAAGTTAACTGAAAAAAACAAGCAAATAAAAAAATTATTTATCAAATAATCGTACATCTTCTCATTCACTAACTGCAGTATTTTTATGAACTTTTGTTTTCACGTTTTTTAATATATTGTCATACTTTCAAATACATCTCTGTAACTTTTTATGACTTTTTACCTCTTTCCCCAAAAAGTCTTGCTTTAAGCAATGATTTCTAAAATACACTTTTCTGTGGTAACAGTAGGTCTGTCATAAATCAGATTAAATTAAGAGCAGTGCAGTACACAGTTTCATAGGTTCAACTGTGGAGTCATTTCCTTTAATGAATCAGTTTTTATCTGACTGTCAGTGGCACAAATGAATATGTAGAAAGCTTTATACCACAACCAGAACTCCTCAATAGTCCTTCCTGCTTTGTCCTAAGTTCTGAACACATTACACAAACTTGTGGGACTATGCTGTAGCAATGAAATAGTGTCTGCCTGTTTTTTCTGCAGTTAGGAGCAGAAAGAGGGAACTTACTGTGGGCTTGCTGGACTCAAGACTGGGACAGTTCAGGACAGTGAATAATTATGGTTATCTTGTCTTTTGGCATCATATTCAGACTTATTGTTTCCAATCCCAGACTAAAATAAAAGCAGCATTTGACCTTGAATGAGGAATTCCAGTCTGTCCATGCATGGGCCCTTTTTAAACCCAGTTTGGGACTCACAGGTACAAAAGGTTGGACTGACTCAAGCTTTGGCTGACAGCAGGGCAGAACTAGCCTTCAAAGGTTTTCTGGGGGAGGTCTTTATCCCTAATCTTTTATGGTGAAAGCATATCCCAGAGACCTTCTGTCCACCTCATACTCTGTAGTGACCCCTCATTTTGCTTCAGCTCAAACATATTCACCGATGCTAACTGTCAAACCTGATTATATCCCTGAGGACAGTCAGCTGATCTGATAAACTGTTGCAGGTAAAAAGGTAAGTTCATATTCCCATCATCTGCAGCCACTCAGTAAATTCACAAACAGCAAACACAGATGGGCCAATTAAGCTTCCAGTTTGAAAGCAGTGGGATAAAATATCTGTGCTTGAAATCCTTTTAGTCAAGGCTTCTCTGCAGTGATCTGCTTTGCTGCAGATCCGGCTGAGACCAGAGTCTCATGCTTATGAGGAGAAACAAGGAGACCTTTCACCCATTAACATCCAGAACGTGCTCATGCTCAATCTCTTAGCGAGATCTCATTATTTTTTCCTGTGTTTTTATAAGTCCTTTGACATGAAGAAAGGGCTTTCAGAGGGAAAGTCTGACACATAATTTCCAAAATAATGAGACGAGGGTGACAGACCGCCAAGAAGGACAGATGCAGCAGAGCAGAAGTTTGTCCAAACCAGCTAGAGGAAAATAAGAATAATAATGACTTTATAAATAACGACCTGATCATTTCATCTTACACATACGTCTTCCTCTAGGTTTCAACCAAATGAACACTTGCTCCAGGCATCCACAGAGACATCAGACCTCAGAGTGATGGAGCCAAACAAACACTATATAATTGGAAAAACAACACACACAATATGTAAATCAATAAATGTAAAAGATTATTGAGTGAATACATGAATAAATGAATGAATGGATAAAAAAATTTGACGCTCAGATAGCTCCCTGCCCTGAACTTCGGTAAAAAGAGTGATTACTACCACAACTACAACTACTACTGCTGTAGTACTACTACTACACCTACTTCCAATGATAATGAAAATGACAGATGCAGACATTAACTGTTGGATGGCAATCAACTTTTTCAAACCTCAAACAAACAGAAATATTTGCAGACAGAATCAGAGAGCCAAAATCCACTGACACCTGAAAATAATGTGTTTTAAGTCAGAAATCTTGGAGTAATCTTAGATTCTGGTCTTAGCCTTGGAATTCACATTACAACATAAAAACAACAGCATTTCCACAAACATCTATGACTATTCGCATCCCTAACTGATGAGGAAAAATATTGATAATACATTAATAATTGGATCCATGCTTTCATTTCTAACTGATTTTAATTACTGGGGTGCCCTGTATGTACGTGTCATCATCATTGTTATTACTACTTTTCTCTTTGTCTTTAGCCCCAATGACATATGCTTTATCATAATATTACATCTGCTATTGCTGCATAGATAATCTATATGAAGTGCTTTGGAAATGTGACGGACCAAATAACTTGTATTATTTCAGTTTTATTCTTATTTTTCCATGTAACAGAGGAGTGCTGTTTCTCTGGTGCTCAGGTCCTTCATGCTGTGGAGAGGTAGCAGCAGACTGTCCGAGAACATGCCTGAAGTAGCTCGCTGAGATGAGTTAACCATTTGAAAAGCTCAGATTTCACAGATTAGTGCAAATTCATAGACAATGTTGGAGCCTGTTTCTTACTGTCTGACTGTTCTTCTGTTTCCAGTAACTTATGATTTACAGGAAGTGGCTTACACTCCAAAATAAAAGCAGTGGTTTGAAAAATAAGAGCATGCCAAACTATCATTTAGTCTTGTCTAAGGTCTTGTCTTCTCTAAAGGAGTTTCAGTCACAACCACTGATGTGGATAAATCATACATTTGAACATAGTTAGAAATGGATCATGACGGGTAAGTTAGCTCATTCATATTTACTTGGAATTTTAAATGTTATGATCATGTATAACCTTTTCCAGCTTTTTTACCTTATGTGTTGTTTTACATTTCATGTTTTCCATCAATTTCACAAGAATTGTGAGATTTATGGCCAGGATAACCATGAGGTGAAATCTAATGTTGTGACAGCCCCTTGATATATGACATCTTTAACCCCACTTCAAACATGTTTAAGTATCCCTGTAACACTCAGAGGGCTTGCCTGCTGATTGGTGAAGAGGGTGAGGGGCAGAGAGATTAAACCCAGTAAAACTCTTGCTCATATGAATTTAGAGTTTTGTGATATAACTAAAGAAGCGCTGTGATCAGCTTTTTTGTCACTTCATGAAGTTTGTTTGCTTCTCAGATCTGTCATTTTTTAAAACTTGGCCCTTAAATGAACAGAAAATAACATTAACATGACAAAATTCTGTGTATGCAAAGAAAAAAAAATATATAGAAAGAACAGTAATTAAAGAAAATATTAACAATTTGGTTGTCAGTCTGTCGGAAATTGGAAACTTTATTCTCATAATGTTTGACTGTTTTTTCTCACCAATTTGCCATCTTGTGTATCACAACTTGACAACTTTATGATCTTGTGAATTTGTAACTTTATTTTCTCACAAACACTTCACTCTAAAATGGTAACTCATCTCTGGCTTTGTTTTCTTTTATTCTATCTCCCTATTTTCCCTCATTTTTCAGGCCTGGTTTCCATGTGTAAAAAGGCAGCTATAATTTCAGCACAGTGATGCACAAAACTTATGATATATACATCTTTGTTTTCAGGACAGTCTGGGGAACCAGAGTCTCTTTTTTACAAGGATGTCAGATAAAGTGCCAACCAGTCAAAGACTATAAAATTAATAAATAAAATAAAAGCAAAAAATACATTTCGAAAACCTAAATTAGGATAAAACTTAAAGCAGCGTTTGCTGTGGCATGTGGCTCCAAATTCTCCTGTGTCTTAGTGATCAGAGGGAAGTGAAATAAACACTGTTGATATAGATCAAAATCTCTGCCATTTATTTGAGGAGTTAAATCAATAATGTCTACAGGAAATTAGTGTCTATATCTCTAAATAAAGCTTTCTGACAAAAAATGATGACAAAATAATTACATTTTCTTTTAATTTTGTGATTATTATGTTATCAAAAGAAAATTGACATTTACATAACTGAATTAGGTTATAAAACTTCATAAAAACTAGTAAACACAATTATTAAAAGATAAACTCAAATAAAATGAACCAAATGATTTCATGACTGTAAAGATGATAGATAAATAAAATCTACTTAACGTTTTAATGTTATAAATGTTAATGTCTTTGAAAAAAATATGTAGATTTTGGTATGTCATAGTATGTAAAAATGAAAATATCAGAATAATCAAGTAAAACTTACTTAATATCTTCACAAATGAGAAACTATGTGGGAAGTAAATTTTACTTTATGATTCAGCTGTAAAATTTACTCAAAATTATGAGTGCAAATTATTTTTTAGGATTTATCAACTTAATCAGACAAGTTATTTCTTTTAGTGCACAAACACACACACACACACACACACACACACACACACACACACACACACACACACACACACACACACACACACACACACACACACACACACATGCTCACAAACAGACAAAAACACACAGACACACAGCAGGTAAACAATGAAGCTGTGAAATTTCCTCTGTGCAGTGAGCTCTCAGGAAGAGACAGCAGATGGTGCTCAACACTAACATTGAGGATATTTCTGCTCACAGTTCCTCTGAGTGGGACTGCAAAAGCAGTGTATGTGTCTCACACTTCAGGACATCCATCACACTAAAGAACAACAGTCAAATTTATTGCAGGGTCATTTTGCTCAAACTGTCTTTTTTCTGTCTTTTTTGTTTTTGAATTAAGATGTGAGATGACTTCTCTGAAGGTTTTCTCCAGATCATGTGTTAACCTGGGATCCGTTTCACGTAGGTGGTTCAACAAACTCTGAGTTAAATCCTTAACTCTGAGTTGATCTACTCTGAGTTAGGAAACTCTGAGTTTCCGGTTTCACAACACCTGATTTGAGACGGTTTTAACAACTCCGAGTAGTTTGACCTGGAGTTAAGCACGTGCACGCCAGACATAAACAGCCAGCATCTGTGGAGCGCAGATTCAATGATCAACCAATGGAAACAGGGAGAAGGAGGGGGCAGCAGCAAGCCAACAGCGAATTACAGCACGTTTTCAAAAGAAAGTGCAATACAGCAGCAGCTGCAAAGGAGAGGGAGAGGGCATGGGAGGAAATCGCTGCTCGCGTCAATGCGTAACTTTAAATCTAGTCTCGTACAATCACAATGACAGACTGTTGCAGGGAAACTGCTTGAATCATTTTGATCATGTTTTACATTGTCAAGTAAGTATTAAGTGGCAGTTTGATCCCTTGATCCCTTTTCACACTCAAAAATGAATTTTACTCTCTTATGATGTTCCGTTAAATGATTAGGAATATTAAAGTAACTCTCAGTATGTATATGTACATATATTAAACTAACACACACTACACTCAATATTAGACTTTCACTCAGCAAACAGAAAGAGGGCAGATGCCAGAAAAACGGGTGGTGGCCCAGCAGCCCCACCTTTAACGGAGGCAGAGGCGCCCCCCCCCCCCCCCCCCCATTCGACGATCATTTAACGGAACATAATAAGAGAGTAAAATTCAGTTTTGAGTGTGAAAAGAGCATTTTTTAAGAGATCAAACTGCCACTTAATACTTACTTGACAATGTAAAACATGATCAAAATGAGAAAACGCCGATGTCTCACCTGAAACTCTGGGTTTACTGAGTTAAACCTGCTCCCGAGCAGGTTAGGTTCACGGAGTCTGTTACTGTGGTAACTGACCGCGAGGTTGAGTTACCTCTCTTTGTGAAACAGGTTAGAGTTACCCCTCTCTCCCTGGTTTAACTAACCCTCCTTTGTGAAACGGAAAACTCAGAGTTTCCCTGATTTCAGGGTTAACAAACTCAGAGTTTCCACTAAACCTGCTACATGAAACGGACCCCTGGTCAGTGTAAAGGTCTTTTATATGTATAGCACAAATGGGTTTATTCTGTGATAGTCCTGCAGTGGAGAACATTTAGATATAAATGTTGTGACATTTTTTTATGAAACAGGTTATGGATATTACAAAGTATTAGGTGTACTGTTGTTATGATTTGGCTTATAAACTCTGGTTTACATAGATTCATGTTCTCATTGTTTTTGTGTGCTTGTTTATCATAATAGTCTCAGTGTAAATCTAGTTGGGATCAGATTCAAATAATGGAATCACTTCAAATCATAGTGAAATCATAATAAAATCATTTCAACACCATCCTGATGTCATGTGAAATTATTCTGGAATAAGTGAAAAAGAATTCATAATTCATGATGTCTCGTGATCACAATTATTTTTCAAATTCCCCCAAAGATTAACCAGTTTGATCTGAGTATGCCTGGAAACATCCAAATTTTACCTGAATTCATTGTAAATCATAGTGATCTCAGTCTGACATCATCCCAACTACAGCTAAAATGATCATGAAATAATGTTAAAATTGTACTGAAAGGGCCCTAATATTACATGTAATCATTGATAAAAGATTAAAAAGTAATTTCTGAGATCATTCTAATATTAGATTAAAGTACAGTAAATCAAACTGAAATCAGTCTGAGATCACCTGGAGATGACCTTTAAAGCATTGTGAACTTTTATTGAAAGCATTCTGAGGCCAACCAGATTTCACACCTCCTGGATTCATACTATGATCAATCTGAAATCAGCCTCATGTTGTTTTATATCATCGTCCAATAAAAAATAAAAAGTTCTTAGTTAGAGAATCAATTATTTTGAAATCATGCATTAATAAAGGATTATCAGTCATTACACAATAATAATGGATATGTAACATCAAATCATTTAAGGTCATTTTAAAATAATTCTGAAATAATCACTGCAGATTTATACAGAAATAATTCTGAAATAATACTTTTGTCACATAAAATCATTTTAAAATCTTCAAAAAATCAGATTAAAATCTGCTTTAATTACTCTGAAATCACATAAAACAATTTTGATCATCTAGGATTACCCTGAGATCATCCATTTGTCACCTACAATGGTTATAAATCAACATCAAATCATCTTAATATCACTTCAAATCATATTGAAATCACATTGAAGTCAATCTGAGTGCAGTAATGTCCCATTGAATCTTAATGAAATCAGTCTAAGTTTAACTCCAATCAATTTTCTGAAATCACCAAAAGATTGAAATCATCCATGAGTCACCCAAAATCATTGGAGAACCATCATCAAATCAGCTGGAGATTACTTGAAGAATACTTGAAATCACAGTGAAATCATTCTGAGATGTATCCTGATGAATCACTGTGAAATACATCTATAATGATCCAGTGATTGCTCAGATCACCTATTCTCACATAAACTGCTGCATCCTCAGATCATGTGATCATCCACAGTTCTGCTTACAGACTTATTAATATCACCTTAAATCACCCACTGAGATTTATCCTTTGTAATGTAGCATTCTTAGACCAGCTGAATTTAAATCATTCTCAGATCACCTGAATTCACTAAAATATCAGTTATAAAAACTGAAACTACCTGAATTAATTTTGAAATAATACTTGGATCATCTTAAGATCATCTTTAAATCACCTGTTATCCCTAGAAATCATCTGCAGATTAGCTGAACTCATCTTGAAATTTACAAAGATCATCAATTTATAATTAAGAATGTAGTCATACAATAATCTTATAGAGCTGATTGTTGCAGACAACAACCCTGTTCGGAGCGCAACAACGCCATACTCAAGGCTTTGTACAAGGAGGTCGAAGAGGATGTGCAAAACGCCCGAGACAGAGGTTGAAGCCGCAAATCAAGGCAGCATATACCACAAAGGGTTTGTGATTGAAGAATCCAGGCAACCTCAGAGGTTGTTTAAATGGATCCCATTTGGATTGACAAATGCACCTTCAGCTTTTCAGAGGTGTATGTAGGGCCTGCCTGGAAGGATTCAAGGTGTGTACTGTGCTTCATACCGTGCTGATGGGCTGATTAACTCAGCAATCTATGAGGATCACATAAACTACCTCTGAGAAGTTCTCATCTGCCTACCAAGTGTGAACTGTCTTGGCCAGACTTTTCCAAACTCCCTAAACCATAGAAACTCATAAGAAAACAGTCAGCAACAGAAAAGTAAAACGAAAGACAGAGCTGGTGTGAAAGATGAAGAACAGCTTCCATCAAAAACAGCCATCACATGGAAGCAGAACATAGGGAAGTGGTAGCCAAGCTCTTGGATATGCCGGCAAATCCACCCATTCTCGTTAATCCAATCTTTGACCCCTCATCCATACTGCATACTGATGCATCCAGTGATGGTCTGGGAGCAGTATCGTAACAGTGTCAGTACAAGTTACAGGTTATTGGTTATGGCTCAAGGACTCTGATACCCGCTGAGAGAAATGACCATCTCTACTCCTGTGATGGTCTTGGCTCTAAACTGGGCCATCCGTGACAGGTTCCATGACTATGTGTACCATGCTCCAACTTTTACAGTTAACAGACGATGATCCTCTGAGTGATGTCCTCAGCACAGCCTGCCTCACCAACCTATCTGTTGGACATCTATCTACTGTTGGGTTAGTGAGCTGGTTGACTTTCATTTTGAGAGAAAGTACAAACCAGGAGAAATAAACACAGATGCAAGAACTCTGTCAAGATATCCAGTGAAGTTTCAGGATGACAGGCAGGGGTACGCAGAGACAATATTGCCTGAGACATTCATGTCCTTTGAGTTGCAGCATTGCAGCTTTTTGATGAGAATGCATACATAACATTACTTGAGACTGTTTCTGGTATTAAACCACAAGACATCTGTCCAGCACAGCAGACCCAGGAAGTTAGAAGTCGTTTCATTAAAGCTACAGTGCGTAACTTCTACATGTCTGTAAATATCCGTTTCACCCAAGCCACTACAAGAGGATATGATACAATGCTGATCAAGCCGTTTGGCTCCTCTAACAGCAACCTTTTTCAGTATTTGTTCTTTTTTTATTTGGTGTCGAGGGGCGACATTCCCACGCTGGGACACAGGAAATGACGCGTTCTACTTGGTTTTACCTGACAATGTGAAGGGAGGGTGGAGGAGAGCACTGCTGGAAGCAACATGGTGGCAATACCAGAAGAAACAACCAAGGAGTTAAGAAGTGGATTCTATGAGAAAGAAAAAGCCTTCCCATTTGGCAGAAGGTCTGTTGCCAAAGAGAGTAACAAAGGGAAAACACTAACGCAGATATACATTGGTGTCACTTTTCCTCGATGGAGAGGAGATTGGACTAAGGTCCAACACCAGTGTTGCCTTGATACTATTGGATAAGTTAGTGACTCTGTTCATTATGAGCAGGATGTGTTGCTGTTACATGGACTGGGCCGAGTACTTCATTATTTTCTTGGAAATGGTGCCATGAATGTAAGGTATTGTTAGCAGCCTGGTGTTCACCACATTGTGTAACATTAGCCTAACGAGCATTAAGTTACAAGGTGTGTAGCCCGTGTTGCTGTGTGTAACTTACTGCGGGGAGTCTGTGTGCTGTGACGAGTAACTTTAGTAGCCTACACCTTGTGTAGACAGTTACAGTCCATGTACCATGATGAGCAGTATGAGGTGAGTCGCGAGTGTTACTCTGTGTACCATGACGAGAAGGACACGTTGTGTGGACAGTAATAGTTTGTGTACTGACCAGCAGTATGCGGTAAGTCGTGAGTGTTTCTCCGTCTAATGAGACGAACAGTACACATTTTGTAGCCAGTGTTACTTTGTGTACTGTGACGAACAGTATGCTGTGTCTGGTGAGTGTTATTGTGTGTGATGTGCATATCATTGTAATAACTCAAAAATCCGCGAGGGGGCAACATAAGTTATGCATTATAGCTTTAAATATCCAAAACTGGACTCCAAACAGGAAAGACAGAGGGACCATGAAGCTAGGTCAGGGAGCAACAAATGCACTGATAAAAGCCAATATTAGCTCTCCTATACAGTATTTTCATGCTAAAAATATTATTTGTATGAAAACAGGTTTAGCCCATAGACTGTATAAAGAATGAACAGAGTCTGCCTCCTCTCTGGGTGAAGCCACTCCGAGAACAGCACCCTCTGTTGATGGGCAGCAGTATAGGTCATAAATCCCGCCTCCTCCAACAAAGCTTATGGGGCTGTGGACAAACTTTAGAAATTTATTACACAGAACATAAATTTTTCTCCCCGATGCTTGTGATGTTGACATGTAGTTACAGTAAGACTGGTTTGTGCCCAAGTCTTTTTCTGTACAGCTCCGTTTTTAAAAGTTATTAGGGGGTTCATGTTTTCTATGACTGACACCTGATACAGCCTGTGGGCGTTCAGGGATTGCGTGGCTCTCCCGGAGGATACGCTGTTTGAGCCGAGCATCATCACAGCGACTCTCGGTGACTGCGCGCCCGAATGTTCACAGCGGCGCTGGTTTCAGGAAATGAAGAAAAATCACAGAAATACTGAGAGCTTTTTGGCTTCAAATCCGTATACAGGCGGGAGGTGGAACCAAGTTGCGCATAGTACATACAGTCTATGGTTTAGCCTGATCATATTTGCAGATAAATTCAGATCATGGTGATTAAAGTACCTGCTGATGTTCAATCATTTGCAGCACAAGCTGCCTCTGTGGCTACAACATGTGTACATAAAGACGTGAGGGGTTAGGTCGGTTTCGAAAAATATAAATCCTCAGCTGGTTAGTACGCTGAGAAACAGCAGACAACTCATCATCCAAATTAGTTTTTCCCATTTAAATCTTTTGCAGATCATCTGTCCAGAAAAGACAAATAATGGGACGACATCTATCACCATCTCTCTCTCTCTCAAATCCATGACCGGCGCAGAGGGAGCTCAACAGTTCAAAACAGTTCCTCAGCTTGGGCCCACTTGGTCTAAAAGTGTCAGGTAAAGCATACAAACAACAATCAAATTAAAAGTCCAAAGTTTTCTGAACTTTTGCATTGTGTTGTTTGAAACTTAGAGGGATCTGAAAAACTAAAGCCACCAAATTTCTCCCAGGATAAATACAGTACTTTGATTCTGATTTTTGGGGGGTTGTTCCTCCAATAATCTTTCACTGTTGCAGCAACACAGAGGCCAGTGATGTAATATTCAAATGTGGAAACAGTTGACTATTTGTGAGGATTGTTTGTGAGAAAGCTCTCGAGAAGATGACTTTCTGTCATGTGGCACAGTTTTACAAAAGGAAAAGGACCCAAAATGCAGACTTAAAGGTGGGGTAGGCAGGATCTGAGGAAGTGCCAGTTTTGGGGAGAAATCTTGAATGTAAACACTACCCCTCCCAACCAGTTTTCCCCTCAGCTCCTCCCCTCCCCTCCCGCTCTGCTCCAGCAAGCCCTGCCTATAAAACAGGTGCTCCTGCTCGCCTGGTATCGTTTTAATTAAATTCAGATATAATGCAGATAAATACTTCACATAATTACAAATGGGGCCCAGTCAACGTGAATGTAAAAAGCATTGCTGCTACTGTAGATGCCAACAGACTACCAGCAAACACAATGTTTGCAGGACTTCTACAACTAGGATGAAGTGACATACTCCAGGACTCGAGGTAAACGGTTTAGCCGCGCTCCAACACGCAGCAGGTCCCGTTTGACAAAAAATGAAATGTTGACTACGCAGACATTAAAAAATAAAAATAAAAACAGCAATATTTTAATATTACCAAATGTCATCAATAACTAATAGCTATTGACTGATATTAAAAGCTTTTTTGTAGATACACCACGAAAAAAGATGCTTCTTTAACAGAATCCTGCCTACCCCACCTTACACTAAAAAAAGATTGATTAATAAAAAAAAGGCAAGTAATAAAAACAAAGAAACAAAACAAAAAAACAAACAAACAAACAAAAAAAAACTGTGCAGACTCTGTATAGTTAACTGGAGAAAACAAGGCCAGACCTTTTCTTATTGTTAGCTGGAGAATATAACATGTGTTGGGCCTAGATCTGGGTTGCCCAATTATGGAAATCAACTACGATAAATAATGATGATAAAAATGATAATAATAATAATAATAATAATAATAATAATAATAATAATAATAATAATAATAATAATTATTATTATTTTATTATTATTATTATTATTATTATTATTATTATTATTATTATTAAGAAGAAGAAGAAGAAGAAGAAGAAGAAGAAGAAGAAGAAGAATTAAGAATCTATTTTTCTTTTCTTTTCTTCTAATAATAATAATAATAATAATAATAATAATAATAATAATAATAATAATAATAATATGCTTAAAAGATTTACTTATAAGGATTCTCTGGATTTTCTCAAAGTTTTTCTAAAATCACAGAGGGCATAAATAAAGATGTTTAAATCATCATGTAGAGTCAGAACACTGATGAAACAGATCGAGTTTACAGTGACAGATGTTCTCTGGTGTGTAAAAAGTGATCCTGGATGGGAGTCGTTCTTGCACTCTTAGCTGCCTCTGTGATGCAGAGAGTTAATAACAACGACAGCGCAGAGGGGAACAGACAAGTTTTCTGTTCCATCCCCAATCACTGCCTTTACTTGGGATAAAGTAGCTCTGGAGTTTAGTGTCAGAGTTTAGTGGATATAACAAAGGTGAAGAGGAGGATGACTGGTTGGCAAACCCTTTCCCCCATGCATTGACAAAAGATCTGAGCCAACCAAATGCCTGTCATCACATTCTTTTGCAAGGGGCAGGACAAGAGATAAAAATACTGTGCAGTCCTCCATGAAGTGGAAATCCCAGGTCACAATGCTGCAGAGCCTTTAAACTCTATGTGTATCAAAAACTTCTCTGTAAACTGATTTCAGCTATCTTCACGGGTATACTTGACAAAAAATAAAATATTGGTGATGAGGATGCCAGAACTTTTGAAAGGATGCTCCTCTTATCTTGGATATCTTCTGATATCCTGAACCCTTTGTATTATGATGTCTGAAAAGCAAATTAAAGGTATATTCGAGCATAAAATTAAGTTAGGGTCAAACACACCTTAACACCAAGTTAGACGCGCTGTCGAGACAAACACAGCTCACCCACTCTCTTCCAGCAGCCACTTGTTTGTATGGAGATCTCAGGTGAGTCCACTACCTCAGTGGGTTGAGGCAGCTCAAGGAAGAACATTTATGACCATTTCTTTATTGAAATGCAATCAGACCGAGACGCTAAGGCAGAAGAACTACCATGTCTGCAGTGAAAAATGATTAAAATGATGATTATTACTTCAAGGAAATGATAAAGAAATTATTCTAAATGTTCTTCCTTGAGCTACCTCACCCGCTGCAGTCGATGGACTCGCCTGGGACAGCTGTGTATTGCTATCCTGCAGTCGTTGATAAAGAGGGTATAACTCGAGAAGCAAGCGGTCAGCAATATTCATCTCTTGATGGGGTGTCTAACTCGGTGTTACTGTGTGTTTGGCCCTAACTTAATTTTACGCTGGAATATCCCTTTAACTTGTTTTTTCTCTGGATGTTTATGGTTTCAAAAAGTAGCTACTATAACTATAACCAGTTATCTGCACACAAAACCTAAATGAGACAATATGAAAACTGAGGAAATATTTTTTAAAAAGTCATTTCAAAATTGTACTTTTCACAGCTGTAAACTAAACAGCATCCAAACATATTCATCCTTGTCACACCGATATTTCCGGTTATTAGCTGTACGGCCGCAGACCTGAAAACCTTTCAATAATAATAATAATAAGTATAAACGCACACATGAAACTTTTGCACAGTGCAGCTCTTCACTCCTCGTGAAGCCACTGTAAATAGCTGCAGGGACCGGGTCAGGACCGGAAATATGTTGTTTGGATTCCTTCAATTTAAAGGTGCTGTCGGTAATAGCAGCGCATGTGGACCATAAGCGTCATGGAGCCACTCAAAAAATTCATCGGAAGTAGCTGTGTCAAAAAAAGGTAGCACCCCCCTCCCCTCTCTTTTTCACCCCTCCTCACCCCTCCACCCCACACACATCGCTGATAATAGTCTCCCAGCTGAAGCAGGCTTACTGTGGAGCGTGTCGGTGGATGCTTTACAGTCTCACAGGAGGATCGCGGACTTGGACAAACGCGCTTTTCGGGATTTTATTTCCTGGACGACATCTGGCAGCGGAGGAAAACCCAATCGTTAAAGATGAAGAATCCCGTCTACTGGGTGATACTGGTCGGGATGACTGTCCTGCTGATGGATCAAGGTAAGTGATGGATTGTGTCATCATAACAAGTCTCGCTGTCGCTGTTTCCCTCCTGTGTGGATGGTCTGTGTGGACGCTGGGGTGCATTGTTGGTGAGGTTGATAGCATCTGTGTCCACACTTGACAGCAGACTGTCTGTCATTTAAGCTGCAGCTTCAATTAAGCGATTAGTGAAGTGCACTTGAGTTTTTCGAGGTGATGTAGCCTGACTCTAAGTATGTTGGCGCTTGCGTTGAATGTATTTTTGCACACTTTACAGTCGCCTGTATGCTCCCGCATTTCTCTGGAAGTGTAATCCTGTCGAGCGCAGCGTCTTGTTCTGCTCCTGCACTTTTATAACTCAGCTGATCCGCTGCCTGTGAGCTGTAGACTGCTCTCTCAATGAATCCACCTGCTCTTAAATGAAGCAGCTGTCCTTCCTACTGCTTGCGGATCATCCTGGTGTAAGGTAAATCTCCTGAACTGGGGTCTGTGCAGCAAAGTTGATTAAGAATTAGATCTTAATCCACACTGACTGCGTGGACAGGTCATCCGAGTTAAGCCCTGTACTAGGGGCAGTCAAGAGAGCTTTGCTCTTAAAAATGACAGGCAGTGAGTCTGCCCAGGCTCTCAGACCTGGTTTAAGTCTAACATTTAACTCAATGAAATCGCCTGAACTCGACTATTATAAGCTCATTAGAAACATGTGGGGGAAGCCTGTTATACTTTCACCTTTCTTGTTTTATGAGAAGAGGAAGGATCAACCAATAATCAGTTGTAAATTCTGCCTTTTGACTTCTATGACTGCAAGTCTTGAAAGGACAGTCTCCTGTGTTTCCTTCCATTTTCTGTCCTGCATACATCTTGAAATGAGGTGAAGTCCATACACATTCAGATATTCTAAACCCCCCTTTTTTCCTCCCCATTAAATAAATAAATAAATAAATACATAAATAAATAAAAAGGTCTATACCAGTGCTGCTTTTGAATATAATTCTGTCCCAGGACAAAGCAGGAATGGTTAAAAAAAAAAGCTCATGTGAACATGCCCTCCAGTAGGTGGTGATGCTGTGTAATCAGTCTGTTATAAACCATGGAAGAACGTCGCTCACATGCTTATTGAGAGTCCTTTTGAGCGAGCAGGAGCTGTAAACGATGATCTTTAAATTGTATACCAAATGGCAGGTAAAAAACCATTTATCCGCCTCGGCACCGCAGCAATGCCTCTGAACATACATGCACAATGACAAATACAATAAGTGGATGTACACATATTGATAGTCTGCCACCTTGGTGCATGTAGGCCTTTAATACATACAAATATTAGTTGCCATGTACAGGTTAAAATAAAGGTATCAGTGTTTACCCAAAAATCAAATCAATCAAAAACAGACCTGAAAATTAAAATGAGTAAATTTGACTAAAAAAAGTTCAGCAGGAGTCCTATGGGCAGGGGAAGAGAGATGAGTTAAGCCTCAGCTCACCTCAGCTCCATAGTTTGAGAAAGTCCTTCATCAAGGACTTTCTAAAAATCCACAGTATAACAATAATGCCTCAATGTGTTCGCCCTGTTGCCGTAATGAATGATAATCCTGCTTTAGTCATGAAACACATGTTGACTGACATTATGATTTGGTGTGTAAGGAGGGAGGGTAAGAAAGAGTTCCTCCTCCTGTGTCAAAAACCAGGGTGGGTCTGAACTCCGACAGAATATCATATTTCATGAGAATGAAACAAACTCACTGTAACATGAAAAGTAGACAGTGGTGTTGGGCGGCATGAACAAAATCTTATAACATGGTATGAGTAATTTCATATCGCGGTAACGGTATATATCATGGTATGTTTTTCCCCCCTGTAAATTCAATTAATGGCTTAAAAATAACCATACTGTCGCCTTTGTTCATTTTCCTTTTTTTTAAAAAATTTTTGGCGATTTTTTATCATATGACCTTTGGCAAAAGACTCTGCCAAGCTCTTTTGTATGGGGGGAGCTGCTGCAGCTTTAGTTTTTGGTGCAGCAGGTGCACCATGCATCTTTTGGCTCTCATAATAGAGCTTGGCATGTTTCATCTTTTGGTGGTGGAAGAGGTTGCTGGTGTTTCCTTCTCCAGCAACAACAATCACACGATTCTCTTTGCGTAGTATTGTTTTTTGATCATTGTCGGATTTTCTAAATCCAAAGAATCTCCAGGCAACCGATGTAGCAACTCACTCATGTTGGGTGGGTTGGGCTGTCTCTGTTTGCTCGGTACGGTCCCTAAATTCCGAATCTGCCATAACCACTACCAGTGAAGCTGTTTCTTCTTCTGCTGGACACACCGTGATTATAGGCAGTGCACCCAAACCTGACCAATCAAGCGAGCGCAGACAACTACACACTTGCCCTCATTTAGCAATCTTGCGAACTTAGAACTTAGCACAGGATTCATAGTATGAAAGGACACACGTGAGATTTATGAAAGGGTTTGTATCTGACCAGTCCTAGCGTACGTATGATCGGGTCTTGATAAATGGGGCGGCTGAAATCGATTGTCATCAACATGTCACGCCCTGGTTCAGAAGCCTCGCCCACTGAGGTCAAACATGAAAGAGGAGAAATATGAGAAAGATGTGAAACTTCTGAGCTGAAAGTTGATATCCTCACATCTGTGGTGGAAACTAACAAGGAAAATTTTCTTTGGAAGCATGAAAACTGGTATAAAAGCAGTCCAGAAAACTCCTGTCTGGAGCAGGATTATGGAGGCTGTGAACAGCGCTGCTGCTGCGGAATAGTGGGCAGTGGCTGAAGTTTGAATAAATCATTAGTCAATAAGTTGCTCATAATGATAGATCAATATCTCATACATGCCTCATATTTGTTTATTGCCATGACATAATGACATTTTAATTTGTTGCGTCTGTAATGTAAAGCAGACTGGAGAGTCTGACAGAGGCTGAACAAAAATAATTATTAACGTCACTAAATGATGTGTTGCTGCCCCTGAGGCACATTTTTATGGATTTCTATTGGATTTTTATCACTGAATAAATAGCAAGAGCACTTTCTGAACTTATACTTTACATGTCAGAATCCATGGATAAGGTCCTGTCCCCTCTGTACAGCACCTTTGTGGAGTCTCTCCTCGTTATTGTTCTCCGGGCATTGGGTCCTCACGTTGCACCGGTACAGCCAACGGCACTCCATTCTCCAGTACAACACTGTGCAAAACTGTATGGGCCCAAATGATGTCCCACACCTTTTCAGGAGTGTACAACAACGTCCCTGCTGCTGGGCGAAGACAGAGACACCTGCCTTTTAGGAGTCAAACGCAGTGCTCCTCAGTGGTGCATGTGCGGCGCTCCTGCTCTGTGGCAGTGTTTCTGGGCAGAGTTATTAAATAGGCCCATTCACTAAAGGACATAACAATTTTATTTGATTTTATTTACATCTTATTCTTTAATGAAATCTGGCTGATTGTGCTTAATGACAGGTTTGAGGTTTGTTTAAATCAATTATTTTGAGACAGACATTTGCTGCACCGCAGATCCACACTGACTCAAACTTGCGTACACGATGTCAGACCTGTCGTGTTTGATCGTATTGTACGCTCACGTTCAAATTGATAAATGCCTATCCTTGCGTGGAAATGGTCGTACGGACAGTTTTCTGCCATACGTTTGTTTGATAAATGAGGGCCACCGACTCAGAGAGATGCAGCAGACATCTGCTGTCTCTTTTCGGTATAAACGGTGTAGCAAAATCTCTATACCGACACTTTTATACCGCCACAGGGTATATACCGTCATAACGCCCAACACTAGTAGACAGTAAACAGTCATTTACTCTGTTATCAAGAAAAAAAAAACTTAACTCAAACACAAAACGGTGCCCAACCACCAGGCAGAAGAGGAAGCAAAGGTTTCCTCTCTGACAAAGAAGGGACGATATTTGGGAGGATTAATCCAGCTCTAGACAAACACTGGTAATGAGGCACCCTCGCTGTCTAGGCTGGCTACTTCCCTCTCATTATCTTTAAGTGTGTGCGGTGTTATCAGGGTTCAACACTTACTCTTGTGATTTTGTTGGCTGAGGTTCCTGCAGCCTGGGTTAATACATTAACAGTTATTTAACTGGATCACTGTCCTTGTCATGGTTTACATGGACTGGTTAAGAACCAAATTATTGACTGAAGTATGACTGCCACAGTAGGTGAGGACCTGCTCCCTTTCAGCTCGTCACTACTGGGTTCTCTCATGGTTGATGCATTATGTATCAAAACAGACAGCAAATGTGTTAGAAAGTGGCTGATGAGACTAATGGCATTGTCTGAAGATGACAACATGTCATTTTACAGCTCTGTGCTGCTTGTGAGGAAAGTTTCATCCTTTTACGTCCTTTCTTTGTCTGGTAAAGTTTTGTTTGCCACCTGGCTTCTTACCAATGCATCCATGCTGTTCAACTACCAGTTTAGTGCCTGGCTTGTGAACACCGGGCCATCTGCAGAACACAGAGGCTGGTTTCAGCTCAACTGAGCCACATACATGACTGAGAAAAACGATCTCCAAATGCATTATCCAGATATGTAAGCATGACTAGTGGGATTTCAGTTTGACAGACATTTTATGATTTCTCAAAGTCCAGTTTTAGTGGAATTTTTGGAATGAATGGATTTTTTTAACTGCATGTAAACATACTGCGAGCTGTGTCCTTGTCAGCCAAAGAATTACAGGCGGTAAGATGGAGATGTGGAGCAGCAGCTGTTATTGGAGGAGGAGCAGCTAGGAGGGTGGAGGTGGATCGGGCTGGTGGTGGAGGGGAGCTGTGGTGCTGATTGTGTTCAGCAGCCTTTTGTTAAAGACATAAAGATCATTGTTGATGGCAGAGTGGCTTCTTTTTTTATCAGAGAGCTGCAGAAACTCAGGAGGATCTCCAGGAGAAAGAGGCAGAGCTGCGCCTGGGAAAAGGTCTCAGTTGGTCTCCTGTGAGCAGAGTGGGCTGATGTCTGACAGTGTAGATATTTTGACCTGTGAACAGTGGTA